ATATAGAATTTATATTTTTTTAGTTTTAATATAATTTTAGCTTCTCTAAGTTTTTATAGTATTTTTCTATTATACTCTATATATTTAGTCTTTATTTTAGAGAATACTAAAATATTATCTAAATAAGCTATTACGAAAGTATTAAGGTATTCTTCTAATATACTAAAGATAAAACGCTAGAATAATATTAATATATTAATAAGTTTAAAAGATATAATAATATACTTAAAATATCCGAATTTAATTCGGAATACTATTTTCTATTTATAGTCTTCTTTAATCCGTAGATAATTATAGGCGTTTATAATATCGTATTTCGTGAAGTAATTAGCGTTTTAGATCTAATCCTAGATCTTACTAATTAATAATAATAGATATTAATCTTTAATAGTAATTAAATTTAGTTATTAATAATCTATATAAAATTAAAGTAATCTATCCTTTTTTAGTATCTTAGATTCTTTCTACGAGAGCTAATAGATCGGTATAAATTTAGGTTCTTTTCTTTCTTAAATATTAATTTCGTGATTAAATAAATTATATATAGATAATATTCTTTCTATTAGTAATATAAATATATTCTAGTACTCTTAGTATTTATTAGGTATTAGTATTTCTTCTTTTACCGCGATAGTATAGAGGGATCTTAATTTATATTTAATTATAATATAGTCTTCTAATTCGTTATTAGTTATATCTAGTTATTATTCGATTATTATAATAATATTAATATCTATTATCTTATATTATACCTTATCTCTAGGCTAAATACTTCTCGTAAGTCTTATTTTATAAGAGTCTTAAAGGCTATCTACCTCTTTAAGGCTAGGTCTCTTTTACTGCTATTATATAAGTCCGGTCTATATCTTATTTATTTATTAATATCTATATCTATTAAAGATAATTATTTTTTTATCTAGTTAATCGCTAGATTATATTATTATAGCTATAGGATTCCTAATATAACGTTATATTCTCTAAGATTAATAATATTAAAGCTAATAATTTTAAAGTAGTTTCCTAAGATTATAGAGAGTCGACCTATTTTATAAATAATTCTTAGTCTTAGCCTTTTTTTATTAAGGCTAATAATAGATAAGATATTTTTTTTATTTCTCTAAATATTTTTTTATTAATAATATTATAGGTTTATAAAATTTCCTAAAGCCTTTAAATTAATTATTACTTATATATCCTTATATATAATATTAACTATAACTTTTATATAGGCTTCTTATTAAATAGCTATAAACTATTATAGATTCTTTAGTTTCTTGTTTCTTTATTAGATATCTACGAATTTAGGTTTTTATTATAGTAGGTTTTCTTAATATAATAATTATAGTTTAATCTTATAATTTAATTTTCTTTATCGATAGATTATATAATTATAATCGTAATATCCTAGAACTATATAGATATTATATATAGTCTTAATAAGAATATTATAGATATTTATATAGATATATAGATTTATTCTAGAATTGCTCTTTTTAAACTAGTTTATCTTAGAGATCTTTTATCTTATTATTTAAGGTTTTGTAAATTTACTTAGATATAAATATAGTCTATTTATAGAGTAGCTTCTAAACTCTATTAGGTTTTAGTAAATCTTTATTATTTTTAGGGGATTTTATAAATATTTCTAGATAAATTATTATTTTTACTATTTAGAGCTTAGATAAAGTTTCTTAAATCTCTAGTATTCCTAAGGTTTTAATTAGTATCCTTAGATTCCCTATATTCTATTTTTAGGAGTCACTCTATTTATTCTAGGAGTTAATAATATTCTAAAGGCTATATTAGATCTATTCTTAACTCTTAATATATTTCTAATTAATTTTTAGGAATTACTCTATTTCTAACTATAATATTAGTAGTTTACTACTATCTATAATTATCGGTCTTATCTATTTTTACTTTTTTATTACAGGGAGCTATTAGATTTGTTTCTCGGCTTTTATAGTATTAATAATATTATATACTCCTTTATTAAGCCTTTTATTTATTATTTATATCTAATATAGCTTATCGTTATATTTTTTATATTCTTTTAATTAGTATCCTAGTTTTCTGTAGTTAAAATATAGATTATTTTTTTTATATTAATATTACTCCTTCTCTAGAAGCCTTACTATATCGAGTTCTATTAGTTATAGACTATATAGATTATTAGAGCGTGGTTATTATATTTATTAAGATTAGATTTATTAATAAGATAGGTAGCTATTACTTTATCTTTATCCCTCTATCTCTTATTTCTATATTTATTTATTATAGAATTAGTTATTAATATAAACCGCGAAATCGATAAATATATCTATAGTATTAAAGTCTCTATATCTTATAATCTTATCCTTAATATAGGATTAAAGCGTAATTATCTTATCTAAATATCGCTATTTATTATATAAATTTAGCTATATAGGCTAACGCGGATCTTATCTATCGGAGTTATCTAAGTTTTTATTTAGCTATTTTCTTTATATCGATATCGCCGAATATTTTCTTAAAATAGTTTTTAAAATTATTATAACCGCTGAAGATATTTTATATAATATTTAACTATTCTAAGCTATTTTTTTTATAGTATTCTCGGATATATAGTTCGAGCTAATCCTATATTTATTCTTATAGATAGGTTAATATAAAGATAACTTTACTCGTTTTAATAATTAATTAATATCTATTAATATTAAGATATATATTTATTTACGTAAGGAATCCTTATAATTTAGAGCGAGTTCTATTAAAGTTTTCTATTTTAGATAGCTATAGTACTATTAGTAATAGAGCTTAGAGTTAGATATTAGTTTACTAGACTAAATTGTGAAGGTTCTTAATTTTGTTATTATATTTTTATTCGAATATAGTAAATTAGCTAATAAAGGTACTAATTTATCTTTCTAATTCCTTAATTCTCTTTTTGTCTTTATCTTCTGATTCTAGGTTAAATTAATATATCTAGGTTTTCGGAGGTATAGGTTTAATTACCTTACCTTTATAGTTATTACTATATAAAGATATAATAATTTATTATTTTATAGTTTTAACTAATAGAGTAATTAATATATTACAAACCGCTAAATAGTTATAATAAATAAGGTCTTTAAAGATAATACTTCTCTTAGAATACTATAAGCCTAAAATATAATCCGTAACTATACTAACGCTACGCGGGGCTTTAGATAGATTTAGGTCTCTAGGGTACTTATAAAATATAATAGTTACGGCGCTAATTAAGTTAGTTACTTAGGGATTAGAGATTACTAAATAAGCTCCTAAGATCGTTAAGGTTTTTAGCTTTATAGTTGAACTATAAACTAGTACTTAAATAATAATAATACGATTAATTATAAAGACTAGATATATTATAGTAAACGAGTATCTTTATATATCTATTAGTTATATACTATAGTACTAGTTCTAATATATAGTATATAGTATATCTATAGTCCCCTCTATATACCGTCCTATATACTATATCACGTGACCCTTCGTGGCTTAGTTCCTTCTTCCTGTAGGGCCGATTGGCGTTGCTTCTTCCGTCCGTGCCGCACTAACGCCTAGTTGGGACGAGGTTCGTAACACAATTTTACTCTATATTTAGTATATATAGGCCTTAGGCATCCTAAATATATAGTGATCATATACCTTCTATTACTAATCTATTAACTTTACCCCCTAATAAAAAAAAAGCGACGCCTAGTATATCTCGCTCCCGGTATAGCTACCGGTATACCGCCCCTAAATCAACGCCGGTAATCTATCATACTACCCTATTTAACCCCCGGAACGCCTCTCTCCCGGTATACGCTCCCGGTATAGCCCCGGGTATATCATGATATCAAGGAAGAAGGGTTCATATCTCTACCAATATAGACCCTCAAGACCTTATCCCTATATCAAAATCATCCTCTCGGTCTAGAGAATCAATATCTTCTATTAAAACCTATTTATATTTATATTAATCTACGGTATTATTAATCTACTATATTACTAATCTACTATATAAAAATAGCAATAAAAATAGCAATAAAAATTAAAAAAAGGTAGAAAACTAATCTATACTAGACCCGACTCTCTGCCGGTAGACCCTTGCTAGTAATAGAATAAACCTTCCGATGAAACTCCCAAAATACCTAAGCCCCTAGGGTTACCTCGGTATCAATAATACCCCACTTCTATTTTAAGAGGTGATTGGCCATTCGGGCAGGACTTGTATCGTCGGGGATCCCTAGATCCTACTATACCTTACTAACCTCGCTAGCGAATAGGCCTTGCTCCTCCTAGATAAGGCGAAAAAAGGCAACTAATAGGCCCTGGGCCAGGTAACGATTATTGACCTTATTTAGCTGATATACCTTGGTAGGGAGAAAACAGGTAAAACAACAACTATCATCCCTAAAATCAAGCCATTTTCTGATAAAATTGGTTCGTTCTTGGTAAGTGGTATATTCGCTCTATCGGATAGTCGAGTGGGTGCGCCAGTCGGAATCGGAATCGGGGCAATTTGGACGAAATCCAAAGGCGAATGCTATATAAAAATAGAATAGATTAGTATATAATATATATATATCAAAATAGAGAATAGATATATATAGTATATATATACTATATATACTATATATAGAATAGAATATCGACTTACCTCTTTGCTGAATGAAATGAATCAGGCAAATACCCTGATCAAGCCAAAAACCAATCATATTGAGGAACTCTTGGTAGTTCGATTGGGTAATTCGCTGATATTGCCTAGCGGTTCGACTCTTCTCACTCATGTCCTTTTCCCTTTTAATGCAAAGCTCACATGCTAAATCAGGTGATTCGCAGGCATTCATCACACGATTGTTGAAGTGCTTATGCAGAACCCGTCTTCGAGATACTTACAATGGTGAAAAAGGCGAGGCGTCGATATAGGAGAGAGAGTTGCAAAGGTTTTTTTTAGGTACATCCAAAAATAAAAATATATAAAATAAAATTCATACATATACCAAACCTCATATCCTCAATGACGCTGGAGGCCAAGGAAATTCCCCCCAAGGCTTGCCATTAGTCTCCCGGGCCAGGTCTGTCAAACTCTTCCACGTCCATAAGTCTCCATTGGGATTCACGAGCGTATTGTCATTGCCAAGAGCCCCAGCACTATGGCTCATCTTATTCTCCCCCATCAAAAACCGTAGATACGGCGCTGGATCCCACGACGCCTTGGCCGTGACCTCCTCTTTATATTCCTCAAGGGGAGTTTCAGAAACATCAATCTGCCCAGCCCCGCCATCTCTCATAATCTCGGCGATCTCCAGGAAACTGCACGTATCACCACCAACATGCACGGTATCGGGTATCTCATCCCTAGCCAGCGTAGCCAGCGACGCAACCACCCTCCCCACGTCTTCAAGCGCGGTAAACGAGATGGGCGATCGAGCTGACCCAACGCTCTCGTATCGCCCGTTCTTAGTATCAAAGCCGAACCACGGCCCGATACTATCCTCGATGAAGAGCCCGCAAAACACGCGACAGATCTTCGTGTCGGGAATCAATTTCTGCGCAAGAGCATAATGCTTTTTCTTTGTGTCCCATTCGAGATGCAGGAAGTCGTGGACATAGTGGTCCACGCCGAATTCAGAGGGGAAGTAGACTTGGACGCCGGTGTGTGGGAGGGCCTGGAGCAGCTTCTCCTTGAATGAATGACCCGAGGGGCCGACGGTGTTTACGAGAATCTGGACTCCGCTGAGGGCTTCGACGAGGTTGTTCTCGTCGTACTTTCGTGCGGTGTACTTCCCGCTGGTTTTTAATGAGTCTGGAGAAGATTCATTGCGGGAGAGGATGATGACATCAGAGAATTGGTTGTTAAAACGAGGGGAGAGAAAAGCAGATGCGACGTAGCGTCCGAGGTGGCCGGTAGCGCCGGCAATAGCCACAACTGGTCCAGACATGGAGGTCTTTTTTTTTAATTCTTTATTTTGTACAGGATGCCGAAGGGACTTTCCGCGATATAAGTAACCAAGTCTTCCTTGAATTGATTATCAATAGATAACTGGACCAATGGTCGATCTGATTATTAAACAGCCCGGAATCAGTCCGCTGCAAGTAGCCCACTTTTGACTATATTAGACATTTTGATTGGCTCGAATGCAAGTTTGTCCTCATTGCAAAATACCCAAACACTCTGCTTAACCAATCATTGCATATAATGTGGAGCTTAGTGGGTGTTTGCATTCTTTTAGGGATTTGCATGCATTGGCTACGGCAAGAGTATATAATATGTAGATCGAAGCAGGCCTACCTAATATCATCCCATCAAGTGAACTAATTTGAAACCTGACGGAGATCTGCATCCTAATTTACCAGGGCTACGTCAATGGCTGAAATCCCCTGTTCCTCCCGACTCGAAAGAGTCCTTCGATACCTCCTTCAGCACCAGAATCAACCAGCAACACATCCAGAATGCCAATGCACCCATCACCAACACAGCAGTCCAGACTGGATCTTCAACGAAGATACGTGGTCCCAACTCGAAATCCTCCGTCGACTACTCTGCCAACGACCAGCACTCCCAGAATTCCCCGCCGACATTCTAGAAGACATCGAAGCAGTCCTCACCTACCGGAATAGCCACAATCTCCTCACATCAACCAAACAAATCACCCCCCGCATCACCATCCAAAGCAAAAGCTCAACCGTCAACTCTATCAGAATATCTTGCTGGAAGGGCGACATCACCACATTAACCGATATAACCGCCATCGTCAACGCAGCAAACTCCCAACTCGAGGGCTGTTTTCGCCCCAAGCATCGCTGCATCGATAACGTGATCCACTCCGTCGCAGGACCACGACTCCGGCAGGCTTGTCACGATCTTATCCAGGTGCAGGGGTACTCCGAGCCCGTCGGTTCTGTCAAAATCACGCCTGGCTTCCTCCTGCCGGCCGAGTACATCTTGCACACCGTCGGCCCGCAGCTGTATCAGAACGTCAAGCCGCAGGCGCACCAGCAGGCGCAGCTCGCGTCGTGCTACCAGGCTTGTCTTGATGCCGCGGAGGAGTTACCCCCGCTCGATGATGGCAGGAAGGTTGTTGCCTTTTGCTGTATCTCGACTGGCCTGTTTGCGTTTCCGTCGGATATGGCATCAAAGATTGCTGTGAATGCCGTAGTAGACTGGTGCGCGAGACATCCCCGGACAAATATAACGGATATCATCTTCGATACCTTTCTAGACAAGGATTGGGGTTTGTATCAAGATATCTTGTCCAAGTTGCACAGCTCTTCTGAGATAGACATCGAGATCATGGACTCGGATTATACCTATACCCAAAAAGCACTGCATCAACCATCCACCCTCTCTCCCTCCCTCCTCAAAGCCCGTACCTGGCTCCGCCAAGCGCACACCCTCATCATCTCCGCCGGCGCAGGCCTCTCCGCCGCAACAGGGCTGGACTATACGTCCCACTCCCTCTTCGCAACCCACTTCCCCGCCTTCTTGTCCAAAAATCTCCGCACCCTCTACGACGTCTTCGGCTACAATGACTGGGACAGCCCCGCCCAGAAATGGGGCTACTTCCTTACGCACCTCGACATGGTGGCGCGGTGGCCTGAGACGCAGTGCGAAGTGTATCGCATGCTCCGCGCGCTGGTGTCCCGCTTCGAGGGGGAGCGATGGTTCGTGCGCACGAGTAATGCGGATGGATTCTTTGTGAAGAATGGTTTTGATCCGGAGAGGTTGTCGACGCCGCAGGGCGGGTATCGGTACTTGCAGTGTGTGACTAAGTGTAGGCCTGGTGCGGTTGTTGAGTCGGCGCCGTTGGTTGAGCGCGCGGTGGAGGTTGTGCACCCGGTGAGTCAGGTGCTTCTGGATGAGGAGTTGGTGCCGAAGTGTGAGTTTTGTGGGGGGGACATGACGCTTTGTGTTAGGGGGGGTCTGTACTTTGATGAGACGCCGTTTCGGGAGGGGGAGAGGAAGTGGGAGCTGTTTTGGGAGGGTTTGGAGAGTGAGGGTGGAAAGGATGGACATGCTAGTTCTGGCTCGGTGGTTATTCTGGAGTTGGGTGTTGGATTGAATACCCCTGCTGTGCTGCGATGGCCGAATGAAGATTTGGTTGCTGAGTCGGAGAGTCGACGGTTTCGGCTGATTCGTGTTGGGATGGAGGCTTCGGGCTGTGTGCCATGGGAGTTGGAAGAAGATGATCTCGCCGTGGGTATTTCGGGGGATATAAAGGCAGCTTTGGATGTCTTGATATCGGGAGCATTCGAGAAATGCTACACGTTCTAGCTTTTCCAGGCGAATGTGACGAGAAGCTGCTTCGACACTTCTCTGGGGCACTTATAAAGCATCCTTAAGTTTGCTTTGGTACGGAAGCAACTTTTGAATATCTATACCAGATAAGGTGGTTAGGACATCAGTCGCTCTCAGAATTACTTCAAAGTGGGACATTTTGAACGACCCAGGCAGGCTGGAAAGATGGAGGACGCAGAATAGGCGGGTTACTTGTACTAGGGGATGACTCATCTCCGCAGTATTCATAGGGCTCTACAAGCTGGGATCCTGCACGAGACCCCTGTCCTCCTAACATATTTTCAAAAAATATACCAGGAGGACAGGGGTCTCGTGCGGGATTTATGCGTTTAGCTAAGAATAAAGGCCAATAACAGTACTCAACTGTACCCTTAGTTCTAACTCGCGTCTGTTAAAAAGGCATATTACAATAGGTATACAAGTAGTTGCACGGTGCAGCCTTAGATCTTATTCATTTGTAAAGCTAGACTTGGAGGTTCTAGAACCTTGAGTCCTGCAGCCAAAGTTGGCATCATATAGTACCTTTACTGCTCCTGAGGCATCCCCTTTACTGTATTAGAGGAAACAGAATCTAGCTGTTGAATAAGAAATCTGTTGAACAAAGCTCTATCTCTTCACACCATATTCCAATCATAGAGATTATGCGAGTCTGGTTTCCGATAACCTTTAGCAGACACTCGAGATCATCGGAAAACTACAAGCGGGAGTAGACGTCATGAACACGCGATCTTAGACACCTGGTCAATGCAGGTCTGTCGACTGATAAGAATCTATATACTCTGGAGCACTAAGCAAAGGGTTGGAAGCTACCAGCGTATGAGATGAGATCCACGCTGTTATATGTATCTTTGGATATTATTGATCTGTAAATCTTTGATGTAGGTCTTCGGTCCATAGATAATCAGAATCATTGCGCAGCACCTAATTCTTCTATATTTGGCTGTTAACGAATAATAACTGACATAGAAAGGATAGAATTCATTATATGCTTAGTTATATATAGTTTCGCCGGTTAGAAGTCACTTCTCGTATCTTATATCTTTTACTAAACCCTGTCTAAGGCCGAGCCCAGGATAGGGCACAACAAAATGTCTAGGGTGGCTGTAAATTCACTAAATAGGACAGTTTGTTAACTAAGCCTCTGATATTGGTTATAGATTGTTCTCTAAACTATATTATAACTAGGCTGGCTAAGGAAACGAGTATGACCTTCGGATAGTTAGCCGATATATCAAAATACTAAGTTATAAAAGATAATTTTAGAATAGCGGTATAGTTAAGTGATCCCGCGAGTGTTTTTATCGTAGCAGAGAGAATCCCGTCGTCTATCGTAGTATTATCCTAGTCTTGGCTTACTCGTAGAGCCTAATAGACGTCTAGACTTAACCTAGTATCTTTACTAAATTATCCTTAGGGAATTCCTTTCTAATAGGATATAGCACTAATCCTAAGTTTTAACAATATCGTTAAGGCTAATTCGGCCGGGCTATAAAGAAATAGGATCGGGATTGGTTGAGCCTCTGTATATAAGAATTAATAGCTATTATTAAAGAGACTTCTTACTTACTATTGTTTAATATGATTATTTCTGAAATTATAAGTAAGCTGTGGTTACTCTAAAAAAGAAGAATAAACGTAAAACTACTAGAGAAGCTTCTTTTATAAATCTTTATATAACGATATGTTTCTAAATTTTATTAAAAGCTGTTTAGTGTAGTATCTCACCGTGATCTTGTTAATTTTGTTATAGCTTATCTCCTTTTCTCTTTAAGCAACGATGCCTTAAGCGATGATGACTTTTCTTTTTAGGGCGGGGGCGAATGACTAAGTGCCTACGAGGATTCGAGTGTAGCTATTCTAGATATAACGAGTATATATTCGCCCACTAAACCCGCCGCCGTATATAGATTGGATCGTCCTAGCTCTACGCGCGAATGCAAAAATACTAAGTAAATAGCAACGATTTATAGGTGAGTTTATCTTTAAGCCGTAGTTGATCGATATTGTCTTCTTACTCGTATAGTCTCGACTATAAATAGGCTGCGAAGAGCCATCTTCGTGCTCAAGGAATACCTCAGCGAAGATACTAGTGCTTCCCGTAGTACCTCTAAATATTCGTCTCCCTGTTAGGGGCCAGACTATTGATTTAGACGCGAGGAGCATTAATTCCCGGAATAGCAGAATCTACTTTTAAAAACAATACAATTACTATAACGCTAGAGAGGGTTTAGATAATTCAGTATTAAGTCCTACTAAATCGCGCTCTACTTTCTCACGTTTTATCCTAACAATATTTCTATAGCCAACTATTTTAGATATCGCTCTACTCACTTAGGTAGAAAGATTTCAGGATTTTATAGGGTTAATATATAGTCACAACATAGTTAGTAGTCTAGATATATTATTGTTTGTCGAGTATTATAATAGAGGTTACGGCGTCATTCGTTGTGGATCGTGGATTGATAGATAACCGAGGTATATACAAGACCACTTCTGGTTACGTATAAAGATCTATCGAGCGAAAGAATTAGTACATTAGGACTTGCTGTGGGAAATAAAGCAAATCATAAAAGAGAACATGTTTCGTATTATATGGCCAGTGAAAAGTAGGAAGGAAAAAAGGGCAACGAAATAACCCTCCGTTTTGGTTCCCGAGCAGTTGACCTTTGATTAACGTGGCCTAAAGTTAAGAAAGGAATAGCTGTGCGGTTCGGAATATCAAGAGATTAGCTCCCTAAGCTTCACAAGGGGTGCTCTGTAGGCAATTCAACTGCGCTAATTGTAATTAGATTTACTTTATATAGGACCGACTCTAGACTGACTCTATTCTATGTATATAAAGACCTAGCTATATATAAGTCCTAGATAATTAGGATCAAAGCATTGAAGAAGAAATAGACTCTATACAAACGCGGAATATATCTACTTAATTTTCGTCTCAAAACTCTTCTAAGAGATACTCGTTATACCTAGTAAAACTACGGCAACGACTTACGCGATAACTAGTATTTATAATCGCACGACTAATAACCTTAGCTAGGACAACCTCCGTTATATCCCACAATCATCTATCATAACCTCATTCAGTTCACAAAGGCACCTACTTCCAGTGGCCCGTATTACGCTACAGCAACTATAGAGATAAGGTCGTCTTATACCGAAGGACTTTCAAATCAAATTTATGCAGTGGGGCGTATCTTGAAGAGTAAAGGACAGAGTAAGAGCAAAGAAGTTGGCAATAGATAACTAACATGCAAAGCGTAGCTAAAGCCATTTTTTCATCAACTATCTACTTTGTTGCGAAATATAAAGCCATCACGCTCTGCAGCTCAATCAAAGATTTGAGAACTTCAAAAGACAACTGCACTTGAAAGCCAGCCATCCATTGCCTTCTCTGATATTTATTAGTCGGCCTTGCTAATGCCAGACACACAATTCTAGTTTGTATTTAGCGTTTTGGTAAGAAGATTCTCCTCCAAGCTTTATACACATTCTAATTTGTGAAGACTATACGAATCTATTGCATCAAACACCAATCCAACCTAAATTAAATCTGCACCTATACTACATAATAAAGCCAGAACTTCTGAGAACCCTTTGCAGTCGCGTTTTCTCCTTGAATTTAAATAGAAATAAAGCGTCTGCTACCTATACTGGAGATCTCTCATCTGCAGCCTATTTGTAATACTGCTCTTCGGCGTAGTGTTCCTCCTGGTCGTAGTCACTACTATGAATCTCGAAGTTCAGACACAATCCTCCAGCTGTACATTGTTGAAGTGTGCCGTCCTTATTGTAACTAGTATCGCACGTTTCTGCGAGGGACCAGTCCTGTAGTTATCTCGATATTTGCGATCTCTAAGGAATAATCGACCGGCACGACTATGACTTGGAGTTCTTCAGTATTTTGCTCTTAGATAAAGTATACCTTAGCTAATATTAGCTTCTCAACCTTGGGAGTCAGCGGTGCTTAATAGACCTTGACTTTCTGAACGTTGACCGCAGACCGCAGAGAGATCCGTTTCCACTATTCACACCGGTTCCTAAAGATAAAGATTTTGTGACTAGCTCCTTACTATATTATAGTTATGTTACAGGAAAACGCGTTCGTCGGTTAAAGTATAACTAAACATACTCCTTGCGACCATCCTTAAGCGCCTTCTCACAGAGGGTCCTAATATTAGATGATCTAGCGTAATCCCCAGTGATCTTAAAAATTGATTCCCTCCTTCAGATAAACGGGCCTTGATTTGTCGGGTAGATTCTGTTTAGTTTTGTTGATTACAGTATTTAAGGGCTTTACAAGGGATTCCTAGGATGGTATTCCTGTTACAGCCGGCCCCCTCTGCCATCTCCGATATCGATAGTTCTCTACTTCGGATCATATTATAGATCATCTCGTGCTTTGAAGGGATTAGGTTGGCACTATTCTAGTAATAACCAACCACAGATGATTGGTTATCAAGATCTCCTATATCAAGGAAGAAGATAGTTCTTATAGTATGGCGTGGAGGTGCGAGATATATTAAACTTGCAGGCGAAAACACTACATAATATGGGAGTTGTTACTTATAAGGAATAGTATAAGGCCCGCTGGCCGAGGCACTTCAGGAAAACTCCCGTAAGTAATATACTAGTCTAAATTGATAATTAGGGTTTAGAGAAACTATCTGAGTGAAGGTAGTTGCACCGGTTTCGGGACGAACTAGTAAATACAGTCTGGAGATTGTTTATCCTATCCCACCCATTACCACTTTCAACCGCTGGATGAAACCTGAGCTGGTCGGACGGAAGTGGTGCATGGTAATAAGCGTTCACCAACGAAATTCTCGGCGTCGGGTGAAGATTACGGATAGCGTCCATTCGCGGTCCAAGTAAGCGGGGGCGGGGGGTATACGAAGGAGCCCATTCCCAACTAGGTAGTTCAGGTCGGTAGATAACATCATCCCCTCAAAGCAGACGATATCAGCTCACATTGGAAGCTGTTGAAGCCGGTTTCGCTGTCGTTGCTTCTCGCTGCGAAGGCCACGGACAGTTTTCTTGAGTCTCCCTTTATCTTCTATCGCCCGACCCTAGAGGCTTCTTAGGTCATCTTGCATAGGGCGCTGGCACTTAGAGGGTGATCGATTTTCTTAATAGTAGAAGTAGGCTTGATATACCCGATCGGCGCGTTCCTATCTAGTTCGACGATCTTCCTACTTACGCTTTCGTTTATCAACCTTAGTCTACTACGTTTAAACTACTAGGATCTTGTTAAGAGAGCGAGACTCTTCCTTTGAGAGTTTGTAGGGCCGGTCTAGGTCAATTAACGTACTTAAAGAGCAAGCGAACCGCACCAACTATAACTAAGATCCAGTCTAGCGTATAATACCTTAAATATCAATATCGATATCTACTTAGTAATATCGGACAAAAGTACGGATATTACTATACTATAATATAATATTTTAGAGACTATCTATTACTTCCTCTGTCCAAAAGTTTAGCTATCAGAAGATAATTAAGTAGAACGATATATACTACTCTTATTAAATACCTTAGCCCTAGTATATCGGAGATTATATAGCTTGGTAATATCTTCTATACCTATAATCTCGCCCATATAGCGTATCCGTGACCTTATAATATCGAAACGTTATCTATATCTCCAAATCGATACGATAACCGGTAATATCCCGAACAACCTAGCAAACAAAAGACAAATTTGTCCAGGAGTTCATCCTTCAATTTTAACCCCTACTATCCTAGGCCTTCGATAACGCGAAGACGATAGAGGTTTTCCGGGTAGTCAAGCACAGGTCCGGTCGATAACATCGTATTGAAACCCTTAACATGGAACAATATACCCAGCAGAGATAGATATATACGGACTAAGGACCAGAGTCGCCAAGGGTATGTCTCTGCAACTACAAGAAATACAAACAACATGGGGTTCACTCCACAAAAATTCAACCTCGTCGGGTCTTTGCATCTGCCTGAATCTCAGCATCGGCACGGCTTTTCCAGCTCTCCTCCCAGCGGGACAGGGCCGGTCGGTCTTCGGTTACATCTTCACTGGCCCATTTCATTCGAGCCTGGTCGAGAGCCCAGTCGGTCTCTCCATCCGAACAAATAATATAGAAGGATCTTCTTTCTAGCCCCGCCAGCAATTCCTCCGCGACTTGACTCGCATACCATGCCCCCGAAGGCTTTTTGACCTCGCTTTCATGCGTTGGGCCCACATTGCCCATCAGTCCCGTCCATGTCCAACCGGGGATGAGAAGGTGGACAGAGATATGTGCGGTCGCTGGGTCGGAGCGAAGGTCGTGGGCGAGATGCTCGGTCAAGCTCTTAATGGCCGCTTTGGAGGCATTGTACGCAGGGTTGCCGGCACCTGGGGGATTCGTGATGCCCTGTTTCGACCCGGTGATGACAATCGATTTGGGCGTTTGTGTTGTCGAGGCCAGCAAAAGCGGAAGAAGAGCTTCCAACCCGATTAAAGGACCAAAGACATTTGTGTCCAGCGTCTTGGTACATCAGCACTAGCCCCATGAGGTTCTTGGGGTTGAGAGGCTTACCTTTGTCCAGTAAGTAGAATCCAACCAGGGTTTGAGTCGTCCCCCGTCAGGTTGTCCCAGGGCCTTGTATGATTTGCCAGCATTCAAGACCACCAGGTCAATCTGTGGGAAAAGTTGAACAATCTGCTGCACCGCCTCCGTCCACGCGGGTTTCTCGGCAACATCTAGGGCATATGCCTCGATTCGCAGGCACGGGTTGAGGTCGTAAAGTACTTTTTTTGTCTCGGTGAGGGTCTCGCGATCGATGTCCACAAGTGCCAAATGCATGCCCTTGCTGCGGCAGAGCTTGGCTACGGCGAAGCCAACGCCGGACGCGGCGCCTGTGATGAGGGCCGTTTTCTGGTTTTGGATGACGGTTTCCATGTCGACAATCTTTCAACTGGGGTTCACTTAAGGGTTGAAAACAAGAAGGAAAAAGAAAAGGCAGGCCGGAGGGGAACTGAGACGCCGATCGATCATCCCGATGTCATCGTGGGGTTAGCGGAGATTAGCAATCCCGCAGCTTACGCAGCATATTGTTATCCTAAAAGACATGGATGCTGCCCATAAAATAATAGCTTCGCCTATGCGTTTATTCCCACACTCCCTAGGACTCTATTTGAGGCCGTTACTCGACTCTCAGACCCGTCAGACTTATGATCACGGGAATTATTTTAAGCAGGGATGCTTAATATCAAGCAATCGCCCTGTCTTTCGTGAGTTTGTTATCCTTCCAGGAGGGAATTTAGACGTGAATATGGTGAGAAACGGGTCGAAAGACCTTATTTGAGGAATTCCCAAAGCCTATAGATTTAATGCTCTGGCATAGTCAACGAAAAGGTATCTGGCTAGCATAAGACCTATACAAGGTCATGAAAACATTTCTAGTCTCTTGACATGTAGAAAGACGGCCTTTCAACGACGTCGTCCCAGGCGGCTGTTGGCATTCCTTTTCTTCAGTGCGCTGCTTTCCTCGAGAGCTTGCTTCCGGCCCGGCCCAAAGTCAGGATGGCCACCCAGGGTACCGAAAATATCACCAACGTAGTTGTGCGGCTTGACACCCTTAGCAAAGGTATCTTTCCAGCCATGCAGAATTCCTTGGACCACGCGAATACCGGCCTTGTAGATATTCTTAATCGCTGGCTCAAAGGCACCTTGGTCGGCCTCAAACAGGTTGTAGGCCGCCGAGGAGCCAGGATAGGGCCGGTCAAAGTCCGATGCTGTGCGCATGATAATAATACGGGAGAAATCGGTCAGGTTGCGAGCCGATGATCGCAGCAGGGCCTCCAGGGTGGCATTATCTTCCTGGGCACTGGCACAATATTTGCCGGTCCCATTTGTCAGGAGCTTGGTTGTGTTGTCAAAGGTCGACCCTAGAAGATTGCCGCTGTAGTACACGTCCGATGTCGCGACATCACATTCCACGACACCCGGGGACAGAGTGGCCGCGTTATATTCTCCATCTCGCGTCGCATAGTGGGCACGATAGGCTTTGGCGGTGGCCGAGTCAGAGAGGTTCGCTTTCAGAGCAAACTTGGCGGCCATGGTGCGCAGATCAGCGTTCACCTCAAACACTTCAGTGCCATAAATATTGGTCGGATACTTGTTGGGAAAGTCGGAGCCCAGGGGAATGTAATCCGTCGAATAGTTCTTGGGCAGCTCTCGGGAGTCAATCTCATACTGGAGTGCGACCTGTACCGCGTACCGCGAAAAGATCACAGAGCCGGTGGTCGCTCGCTTAGGGTTAACACCGGCAATGCCCGCAATGAAGAAGTATGTTTGCGTGAGGTTGAACTGCGGCGAGAAGGCCACCGCGTTGACGGTTATGGCAGCATTAATCTCCGATTCACCGGTAATCAATTGGCAGATGGCGTAGTCTTCGGTGCAATAAACGTCCGGGTAGATGGGCGACAGGCCGGGGACGGTGATGTTGTGAGCCCGGACGTTGAAATCGGGGATATTCCACCACGCCGCGGCCTCCGGTTCGAACTAGACAAGAATGGTGTGAGTACTTGCGAGGGCAGTCATTTGAGCCCTCTCCCTCGCCACAGAACATACCATGGAGACAATGAAAATCTTGGGCGAAATCTTGTGGGCCGGCGCGCCATTCGCCGTCACGCATATGGCGCTGCCGCTGAGCAGCAGCGAGGTCGCCAGGGTTTGAAGAAACCGCATTTTGAGGCCAGGTGGAATGGGATTTTGAATTTCCCTGCAGAGGGGGCCCCCCGTTTATAACCATCCTGTAGCAAATGCCTTCACTTGCGATTTCTACGCTACTGGTCCACTGTCGCCCGGAAGTGGATATCACTTAATATAGCGCTGTCTAGCGATTTGCCCGAAATCCCTCGCTGCCCCTCCGATTGGTGGTGTTTGGCAAAGCTCCATTGACCTGGAGGAGCTTCGATAAAGAGTTTGTGGCTTTCTGGTCTCGTTACTGGTCAATCGCAAATCCTAGTGGGCCTTGCTTATCATTTGGCCCTGTTGTTATCGCGCCTTTGTGTGAGCCAAGAATTGGGGCGGGTCCGATAATTTCAAGAAGCTCGTGGATTGTGGGCCTTCTGTGAGATGGGAGAAAGCAGGGTGCTGTCATAATGGTGGAAAGGGTCTTTCCACGAGAACTCGCTCCATTGTCTTGCAATCAAGTCCTGGAGGCATCAACCAGTGCTGGTTTGTTGGCTAGTGGAATTTCCACACGCGAAGACATTAATCATGTCCCTTCTAGAAGGACTGAGAGTTTTGCTTGAACTTTTCTGCGCGTTGGAGCAGCATTATATTCTCGATCTGAGACCAGGGCTTGTCCGGTAAATTGCGACTGACATGAAGTAAACCCTAAGCCTTTGGAATGAAAGCACTCAAAATGGCACAGTGTCCACTTGCGCGAGGTCAATACCGGCTCTCTCAAGTCCGCAGACAACTTTATTGCCAACAGTGCTTCATCCAACGGTGACGAGGGGGCTCAAGCCATCGTACCACCCCAACGTTGGACGTGGGGCATGACGCATGTCAACCGGACCCAGAATAGAACTGCAGTGACAGGATTAACAAGGCGAATCGCTAATCCCGGAGAATAAAATCAAGAGAATCATCCAGCGCCGAGCAACGGTTTTTTACTCCAACGTCATTGCGGTGACGTCATATTTAATCTATAAGAAATTGGACCAACAGTTAAATCAAGGTCGGTCGCCAGGACTCTCGAAGTTGACTGTGTTTCTGATCTCACATCGAACATCTTTGTCAAATTCTACCCGGTTCATTTCTAGGTCCCTTCTTGGTAATGTGTGTTTGACCCTTTGGCACGCTCGGGGTTCTCTAACACGCGTTGTTGCAGCATCCCTGTCACGATGCCCTCGATCCATGACCGAATCCGCGAGGACCTGCTCAACAAGGAGCGTGCCCTGTGGACTGCATTGACGTCTGCCGACCCAGCACCCGCGGTTCAAAAGCTTTGTAACCCGGAAGCCAACCTGATGTTCCCCCAGATGCCAATCCTGACGCTAGAAGACGAAGCCACATTCAAGGACGCGCTGAAGCCGCCATTCCACCGCTTCGATGGCTACCAGCTGGATGAAGTGCGAACAATCATCATCGACCTCATGGCGGGCGTTGTGACATATAAGCTGCGTGCGGTCCGGGGGAGAAGCGAGTACCAAGCGACCGGCTCGACAACTTGGAGTCAAGCATCGGATGGTGAGTGGCGGATTGCCTGTCACCAAGAGACATTATTATAGTGGATCCGGGGAGTTCTTCCTGTATATTGGACATGCACAGGGTATTTGCAACCACCATATAATTAGGTGCATCACGAGTCAACGAGTCCCTTAATGAAATGACGATGGATATCTGACCGTAACAGTATTGCATACTTGGACAGTAATCATTGGAATTCGGGGAAGCCAGCAATTTCCATGGAAACCCTCACCTAGAGTCGATGATGAGACCTTGGGAATGACCAAGGTATGCATGGCTGGCGGGGCACATGCATTTGCTGGGAAAGAAAATATATATATATATATATATTTCCGACCTCATCACTTTGTCCCCCACATCCTTCAGCCAGAAGTGAGGTGAATGCTGGCCGAGAGAACACAGCGGAAGTGCTGAATTCCTACTTTTCAGCGGCTCGGGGAGGGAAAGCAATCTCAGAACCATTGGTCGGCTTGCCGGCTCAAGAAGTGCCATAGGATATCGATGGCGGTCGTCCGCATATTTTACTGTGACGGCGGTAGCCATGGCCTTATTGACAGTTAGGGACGCCATAGACTATATTGATAGACATGTTCCTCTATGACTTCCTCGTCCCCATTCTTCCTTTCGTGGTAGAGAATCGCCTGGGTCTGGATACCTCGTATACCCAGCGTATAAGCCTGCTCTAGTTGGCGGAGAGTGCCTTGATCTGCATTTTATTGAGTCTCTCATCGCTTCTCCATTGTCACGGCGAGCTTCGACACAACCCACCCTCCCTCTCCACGTACACGATGTGTTCCATCGGGGCAGTTTTTCAGTGGGGATGCTATTTGCTGGGCTTCAAGAGCCTGTCGTGTTGTTGAGCGTGCCAGTCGGCTGGCTGAGGGATCGAGTGGGAACTCGGTTTCCGGCCACAGTCGGTTTCTGCACCCTTTTGCCCCTGTTATGATTGATTGGAATCCCCGGGGACAAGCGATTTGAATGGGCCAACAAAGGCAACGTTGATTCTATGCTGTACAGTGTCGCAGTCGCCGGGGCCGGGATCACAACTTGTCAGTTGAATGAGGTGGGGATGATGGAAGCCACACGTAGGCCACTGTTGCATATCTCCGTGCAAGATGCAGCGCTGACTCTACCTATAGAAGCCGTTGATGATATTGAAGGACAGCACCCCGGAGTCTTCGGGCCTAGCGGAGGGTATTTTAGGGCCAGCGCTTCTGGTGAGCCTGAGCTGGACACTTGGAATGGTGATCAGGCCCATTCTGTCGGGATATCTCACGGAGCAGGTCGGGTATTTTGAGATGAATAGTGTGCTGGGTGCGTCATCTCCTTTCCGCGTTGCTCAAAAATCGGTTTTTTTTCTCGACGCCAACGAGAGTCGGCAGCGGGAATGTGTGCATTTTGTGCCGTCGTCGCCTTCTGGAGCCTGAAGGCGTCTGTACCCCAACGGGGAGTCACTGTTGAGCCCATGTGTGGAGTTGAAAACTGAGCGCAGTGGGCCCCCGCGGGTTAATATTCAAGACCAGACGACGAGTGTTTGAGGTTCAACTATCTGGATGTCGTGAGAATCCTCTTGATAATCCAAAATAAATATCTTTTCGGGCAGAATCAGACGGTCAGAACCAGAAGTTAAAAAAAAGGGCTCCAGGGATGCATGATGAACACGCCACTGGCAGGGCCTAGAGACATGCCGAGAACTGGTTAGAGCCTCGCATATACAAAAGGTGGCAGTGTTTTGCCATCGCGATCACTCCGTTTAGCAGAGAAAGGGTGGAACAAGTGGGACGGGGATCCATGGCAACCCCTGAGGATGCTGTCGAAATTGCCTCGGCTGGACTTGATGGTTTGTTTGTTTGTTTGTTTTTTTTTTTTTTTTTTTTTTTTTTTTTTTTTGCTTGTTTTCGCGTTGAGTGCCAGGGTTGAATGCTGGACAAGACTGTCCTGTCATTCTCCACTGTTAACGTGCCTATCTGTGTCATTGGGACGTGGCTCTGCGGGTTCCACGGTCCATGGAGTGTTCACTCGGAGATCCACCTCGAATCCACACAAATACCGAACGATCGCCTATTCCGGCCGAAGAGGTGAGCATTGCTCGAAGGAATCAACAAATGAGGGAAAAAATCCAACACATGGATGGGTTTCCAACCACTTTTTGGTCGGGTGAAGACTGGGTGTGGTATATAAAGCGTGGGTCATGCTGCATGGAAAAGCATGCTTGAGATCGTCAAAATGCCACCGCACAAGGTCATAGTGGTCGGGGGTGGCATCGCGGGAATTGCATGCGCACTGGCCATGTCCCGCGAACTGTCACCCTTTGTGCCTAATCTGCAAATCACCGTGTTTGAGCGGCATGAGGTTCTCTCGACCTCGGGCGGTGCCATCAACCTAACCCCCGTGGCACAGCGCCATCTCGCCCAGTTGGGGATTTTGGCAGAGCTGGATCGAATGGGGCCCGATGGAGGAGCCGACGTGGATGCCATCGAGCTCTTCTCCATGCGTTCGGGTCACTCCATCGGCTCCATTGACTTTACCGACCAGGACGGAAATGGCTTTGGAGGGTATAAAGGCCGACGGGTCATGCGCATCGTCTTGTCGATGGCACTGATGAACGTGGTTGAGTGCACCCGTAATGTCGAGATTGTGTTTGGGAAGAAGGTCGTCGGTGGAGCAGAAATCAATGACCAGGCCGTGGTGCAGTTCGACGATGGAACCGAGGCAATCGGGGATTTGGCTATTGGCTGCGATGGCGTTCACTCGGCGATTCGCACGCGATGGGTTGACCCTGACCGGCCGTCGGAGTATACGGGGATGTCGTTTTTGCAGGCCACCATGCCGTCCGACAGCGTTTCGTCGCGCATTCATTTCCACTCATCAGCACTGAATATCTCGCGCCACGGGTCAATGCTGACCAGCTATTGTGACCGCGACCGCCAGCAGATTTTCACTGCTGCCATTGTGCAGTTCAATCAGGACGATTTCAGCCGCTATCGACTCGAACCAGGCCAAGATTGGTCTACGCAACACCGAATCAAAGGCGCGCTGCGCGACGAGATTCGCTCCCGCTTCGGCAAATCCGCTATCCCCTGCGTCCGGGAAATGGTGGAAAGCAAAGCAGACTGGGTGCTCTATCCAGTGTATCAAGTTCGTCCGGGAGGGAAATGGTGTCTCAACCGCGCCATTCTGCTCGGGGATGCAGCCCACGCCGTAAGTTCTTCGATATTCTTGTCTGTTGTTGCTGTGAGTATTAATATCGAGCACTTAGATGCCGCCGCGAGATGAGTCGGCTGCGTATGCGCTGGATGACGCGATTCTTTTTGCTCGCGTTCTGGCACGCTATCGCTCGGAGCCACTGGTAGAGGTGTTCAGTGCCTATGAAGGTCTCCGCCGTGATACCATCAATTACGCATTCAAGCAGTCGCGTCGAATGTGGGATCGAAATCGCGACATGGGATTTCTAGAGGGGCGGTTGAAGGAATGGATGATGCCGTTCTCCCTGCGCAGTCACCGGGATGAGCGCGAGGCCGCCTGGGAATTTGACGCGACCAAAATTGACATTCCAACCCCAGTGCCCAGCGAGGATATGGTGTCATTGCATTCTTTCCTCAGGGAGCGTGCCCCCTAGAAGGTGGGATCGGCGTACGGGGAGGATCTTTAGCAGTGTTCGGGTTGGGTTGCATTAACCGGTGTATTTGATTTATATCGACGACTTCATACTGAAAGAGCCATATTATCATGAGAGAAAAAGCAGAACTCAATTGACGCTTCAACTCGACCCAACTTAGACCTACCCCCATATTTTGCGTGGCCTCAGTCTTGCCCTACGGGATTTAAAGAGTATAAATTTCAGATGAAAGCATAAGTAAAGAGTGATGGTGACTGCGGATACCATATAGTAAGATTGAATAGAGAGACCACTGTCCTGAAAACGGCACTACACTACACGGGAAACTCATCCGATCAACCTGCAAGCTCCTTCGAAGACCAGTTCGCTATGCGCTGTGACTAGGGTTTAGAAGCTAAGAGTTTGGCCAGCACTGCCAACCACGGCGCTCTTGACCTTCCCTGAGCCCAGCAGAGTATAGCTATAGGGCATCGAGGTCAGAGTGCCCTTCTCGGCCGTGTTGGAACCATCCCCAAAGCCATTGTCGTTCGCAACAGCATATCCAGCATCAGTCGAGTACAAGGGCTTCTTGCTTCCGACAAAGCTGTTAGATTCCACGAGAAGCTGAGCACCTTTCCGAGTGTTGATGCCGTCGCTGACATTCTCAAAGTAGCCGTTGTAGATGTGGCCAGTTCCGAAGCGGAAAGAGGGAGCGCGCGAGTTGATGTTGTACTAGTAGTTGTTATTCTGTGTGACACGGTGGCCGGTGTCCTCGTTGCCGTTGTTGTCCGAGTGGCCGATTAGCGACGCTTTCCAGTGGTCGTGAATGAAGGTGTTTGACACGGTGACATAGTCGGCCGCATGGGTGATCTAGCTTTGGTCAGCATATACAATTCTAAGCCGGCAAAAGTATGACATACATCAATCAGTCCATCGTAGTAGTCCTTGTCGTGGTCTCTGTCCGAAGAGACATCGCAGTGGTCCACCCAGACATTTGTCGAGTCCTCTATAGCCCGTTAGATTCCCTTTCTCCTTGGGAACGGAACTTGGTTCAAACTTACGAATACCAATGGCATCGCCGTTGTCAGCTAAGACTTTCTTGATGCCCAGGTTCCGGATGATAACATTGGACTTTTCTTTGACCAGTCTGTTCGAGATTAGTACCGTATAATCACTCGCGATCGAGAACACCGACATACAAGCCAAAGTTCTCGAGGATGGCCTTCGAGTCCTTGCCGATAATGCTGGTGTTGCTTCCCACTCGGGCCTGATCGGCCTTTTGGGTGATGGTCCCGCTCACGACCACGACCTTTGCAGCGTCACCCGATACGGCCTGCGTAAATGCAGCGGAGGAGGAGACAGTCGTGGTTGTACCACCGGCACCACCTTTGGTACCGCCGTTTTGGCTCGCATAACCCGTGGCGGCCTATATTGTGGAAACTTGGCCAGAGTCGATTGGAAAGGATTGTCCATTCCTTACTATATGGACACGTACATCATTGATGCTTGTGCGTTTAGCCAAAGGATTGCCCTCAAAGTCCGAGGTGGCCGTAGGCACTGCAAGGGCCTGTCCAGACAGACACCCGGCAATAACGGCAGTGATCCACTTCGAAGGAGCCATTGAGTCAGGGAAAAGTCAGAAAGAGGGAACTTGTTCGAGGTTTGCAAGGGAGCAATAAGATGTGTCGAGGTTGAGGGGTTCTGGCCAGCTCGAAGGAGGTTTATATATTATCCATAACCCCTGTAGCTCTCCCCACCAGAGATCCTCCCATCATTTCACGTCTTTGTTCACGGAGTTGGCGGAATCCCGGTGCTAAATAGCTCATAGTCTGCCATTTGATCAATTCCCGCGGGTGGACGAGTGAGCACTAATTCTCCGACACAGCATGTGTCAAAGTGATGCTTTAGCGACCTCCGTGAAAAATCAAGAAATTGTGCAATTGATTCAAATAAACTTGGCCTCAAGCACCAACCACATCGCTTGCAAGATCGATCCATCTAGGTTCGGAGTGCATAGACCAGGCCGGCATAACCTGGACACTGCAGCAGAGCTTCCGCAGAACTTCCACAAATCAATTGGAGGGGAGTTTCACCTAGAGCAAGGAATAGCGCTAAAGGTGGCCGGGGTTTCAACACAGTCCCGTATCTTGGCAGGGGCATATGAAGGGTCCACTGCATGCTGATATTTCCATCAATGGAGGAGAGCAAAGTACGGTCATGGGTTGGCGGACGAATTCGTCACGGAATATGCGAGAGCATCAAGGACTGCAGGGTCGTGAGTATTTTGATGTATTTTGGAACTCAAGCGTAGAGCATAGCTGGAGTGAAGCTGGTAGTCGAAGTGGATGGCATCGACCGTGTCGAAAATGATGTGACCGCGTCCCCATCGCCAATGGGCATTCGGTTGATATGCTTCGGAACACTTCCAAACAGCCCATGAATGCATACAGCGCCAGATCCGGGCTGAGTAATCTGCATCCTGTGAATAACCCCGCAAGTTGACTTGAACATCGACGTCCACAAGCTCATTGAGAAACACCTGGAACAAGTCTTGACTGTTTGTGACGAGCAGCGATTCAAATGGAGACCTTTTCTTCGGTTCCCACAGTGGACTTTGCCCGACTGAATGACCCAGCAACGAAAACAGAGGAACTGGCACGGCTGCGTGATGCAATCTTCGTGGTGGGCTTTTTGTATCTGACCAACACGGGGATAGAAGTATGTTGACGAGTCACTCCTATGGAATTGGCAGCAAGCTGACAGGCACGATAGAATGACATCCGCCGCACCCATGATTACCTGCCACAACTCTTTGCGTTACCAACGGAGGTGAAAGAGAAATGCAACATGATTCACTCTCCATCCTTCCTCGGGTATACTCGGCTTGGTGCCGAGACTACGGCCTCGAAGACTGATCTTCGCGAGGTAACCAATGCACTCCCTTGCCGAAATCCAGATGTTATCGCAAACTAAGGAAACTGGTAGCAATTTGACTTTGGCACGCCCGGTATGAAGACCTGGGTGGAAGAGGATCCATTCTGGCAAAGGCTAGAAGGGCCAAACCAGGTAAGCCTTGATTTTCCAAGGAATTTGTCTGTATCGCCTGTCAGAGCTCTAGTGACACTTCCTAGTACCCGGATCATCCTGGTGCACGGAGTCTGGTGGAAGAATATATCGCCAAAATCGACGAATTGGCACAGGCCTTTGTACACTTGGTGGCTGAATGTCTATCCCTCCCACTGGAAACATTCGATGCCTTCAAAGGCAACATGAGTCGACTCAAATTTGTCAAATACCCACCGTCCGCACCCAACTCTCAAGGTGTTGGTCCCCACAAGGATTCAGCTGGTCTGTTTACCTTTCTCTCTCAAGACGACACAGGGGGCTTGCAGGTTCTCAACAAAAGTGGAGAGTGGATCGATGCCCCGCCTGTAGAGGGAAGCTTGGTGATCAATATCCAACAAGGGTTTGAGGCGATTACTGGTGGCATCTGTGCAGCTACCACCCACCGAGTCATTGTGAGTATGCCAGTCCGTGCAATGACGAATCGCTCATCTCAACCCTTCCAGGCCCCAACATCTCGAACTCGATATAGTATCCCATTTTTTCTGGGGGTGCGATTGGATTTAACACTCGAACAATTAAAGGAATCCGCGGCCCACATTGTGCGTTGCATTCCAGTCTCGGATGATAAGAAGAAACGAGCGGTGGATGTTCCGAGCGAGTTCCTATCTCCCTTGTATTCCTGCGTAAGCCGTGCAGCCTTGAAATTCCTCCATTGATTCTAATGAGAAAACAGTTCGGTGAGGCGCACCTCAGAAATCGCATCCTCAGCCATCCGGATGTAGGGCAACGATGGTACCCAGAGCTGTATGCGAAATACTCCCAGCAAAATTTAACATAGTCGTTGGAGTGGAGAGTATGGCTCTTGCATATACTTGTGGACGTTGCATACTGTTCAATCATCAGCCGTTGGCCCTCGTTTCACTTGGTAGCTTGAGAAGATGTAGTGAAGAAAAGATAGAGTCTTTTTATTTATATGACAAATGCTGATCGTAATTATTAGTCTCTTTCTAAATATATATATATATATATATGTTTCTAAACGTTTCCCCTTTCTCTTTGTCGCTACCCCCTTCTTTTCTACCTTTCTTATATACCTCTAGTATTCTCTACTTCCTATTTACCTATTTATTACTACTTTGTTCAGGATATTTTCTCTAGCTAGTTACAAGTTTCCCTATATTCTCTTCTACTATTCAACATCACCAGTTTCGTGATTCAGATACTATAATCTTTTGGTTAACTATAGGTATCGACAGCACGAAGTGATCAGAAACTGCGTAAAGCGGAATATACCCCACTAGGCTGTGGACTTCACACCCGCCAGCATCGAATGACAAGGGGTATTTCGGGTGGAGTAAACGAGATTCGAATAAGTACAGCGGGTCCCCCAGTCAGCGCGGGGTGAAGCAACATTCCCCCACCTTTGCAAATGGCCAAGATTGATGCTGTTGCCCTAGAGACTTTTCGGAGTTGTCTCACGACCTCCAAAGTCTACACACCTGGCTCGGAAGGGTACAATGATGCTTTAATCCGCTGGTCAGACACGGGGACAAAACACGCGGTATGCGGCACATACTCACCACCTCTTGCCATAGACTAATGATTATCCTAGGGGGTAGTTATCCAACCTATCGACACCGCTGATATTCGAACGGCTTTGTTATGGGCCCAAGAGCATGGCGTGGATATCGCCGTGAAGGGTGGTGGGCATTCGGCAGCCGGAACTAGTTCGAGCGATGGTGGCTTAGTGATTGATCTCTCGCTCATGAACCAAGTCATGGTCGACGTCCCCCACAAGACGATCACGGCGCAGGGAGGTGCGACTTGGAAGGAGGTCGATGAGGCCGGCGCAGCCCATGGATTGGCGACCGTTGGCGGAACAGTGAACCACACTGGAGTCGGAGGTCTGACCCTGGGAGGGGGATATGGGTGGTTGAGTGGACAGTATGGCCTCACCGTGGATAACCTGCTGTCTGCCCAAGTGATCCTGGCCAATGGCAATCTTGTTCATGCCTCTGCGACGGAGCATCCGGATTTGTTCTGGGGGCTGCGAGGAGCTGGATACAATTTTGGCGTTGTGGTGGATTTCACCTACCGGGCCCATGACCAGAAAGAGTCCGTGTATTCTGGGGTGGTTGGGTTCGCACCCGAAAGGCTAGAGGCCGTCATGGAGCAGCTCAATGCATTGCTGGCATTGCCTGATGCTCGATCGGGCGCTATGTGTATTTTTGCGCGAGCACCGGATGGGTCAGGGCCAAGCATCGTCGTGATTTGCTTCTACAACGGACCCCGGGACGAGGGTGAACGGCGGTTCTCTGGATTGGTAGCATTGGGGCCCGTTTTTAACACGCTCGACATGATTCCTTACCCAGTGGTGAATACTCTGCAGAACCCGCAAGCCACGTATGGGGACCGCAAGCTGTTCAAGGGTATTTTCTACGAGCCACCTCTGGATCCGACATTTGCGCGGAAGATATTTGACAGTATCATGGCCAAAACACAGGCAGAGCCCGAATTGGCGCCATCTGCCATCATCCTTGAGTTCACTGACATGCGCAAGATTTGCGAGGTGCCCTTGACAGCGAGTCCAATGGCGAGTCGCAGCACCACTCAGAATGGCATTGTCTTTCTGCGCTGGACCGACCCAGGCAAAGATCAGGAATATCGAGCTTGGGCACGCGAGGTGCAGTCTAAGTGGAAGACCGAGTTGGATACGAAAACACAGAACCAGGTGATTACCAAAGTCCCACAGTACATCAACTACGCTGAGCGTGAGAAACCATCATTGATACCTCGGCGGCTCTAAGCGCTAAATCTCTCTGCAGCAGGCGATTCGGTGGTTACGAATATTTATGGCGACAATCTTGCCCGGCTCCAGGCAGTCAAAGCCCAGTATGACCCTAACAACGTCTTTCACAAGATGCATCCCATTCCGCTAGCGACCTCTCAGTAGGCAGCCTATATCGACGGTAAGCCCAAACATGCGTGTCGCTCTTGGGATAGGCCAAGAACGCAATTTATACACAATGTACCAGATCCTCGCTCGTCTCATATAGTGTCGGTGTCGTCAGAAGACTCAGAATGCATGATATGGCTAAACTCCTGCGTCGCGGCCCATATATTTAGACACTGTATGCCACAAGAGTCCTGGTAAATCATGCCTCCATTAGAGCCGTGGAAGAATATGGTACTTGACGGCCTTCACCGACATCCACCTCGCTAGGGCCTCTTCGCCCATGTCGCGTCCAAAGCCGCTTTCTTTGACACCACCGAAGGGCACATTGGGATTCAGCATCGCCCAGGCATTCTGGGCATCTCGCCTGATCAGATCTGCAAGTTTCAGCAGCAGTTGGGCCTTGGCGGGACCAGGGACTGTCCTCCATGCCTGAAACCCGAGCTTGGCGGACTCGACAGCCCGGTTGATATCCGCTGCACCCGCGGCAGAGATAATTCCTAGTTGCTGGCCGGTGGCAGGGGTTTCGACTGAAATGGTCTGACCAGTGAGTGAGGGCACGAATTCATTGTAGATGAACAGACCCGTGGGGACTAGCCATAGTCAGCTTTGTTTACTTCCTGATCTCGACATCCCAGCCCTACCGGTAATGAACCGCCCCTGTACGCCAATGACCGCCAACGAAGACATTTGGAGAAACTTAGAACGTTGATGAATGGACTGTTGGTTCTAAGAAGTTGCCAGGGGTTTCGTATCTGCTTTCTAGTTCCCTTCAGCGCGGGCATTGTTCCGCCCTCGCGGCATTGCTTCCGAGTCTCCGAGGGCGGGAGACGTGAAGAAATAACATCGAATAACATGAAATGATATAAAATAATATGAAGAAGAAAGAGAAAATGAAGTAAAATGAAAGACATCGTCAATAGCTCGGAATGTCGGAATCTATCAACCCGATCCTTGAGAATGCAACCGGCCTGAGGAATCCCGAGGGATCACATCCTCGCCGCTTCGCCTCTTCGCCTTTTCATGAATTTCGTGGCTTTCATGAAGTCGTCTTCCAAAACCCCCAGGCTAGGGAAACTCCGAATTTAATGCCCGCCGACAACCACAGGGCAGGCGAGATTTGTCCAGTGGCCGTGGTCACCCATCCGCCGATAATCGCCCCGACCAGAGTCAACACAAACGCGATGACTCGGCGGTCGCGTTTTTCATTCCGCAGCAGAAATAGCTTGGGATCCGACATCAGATCACAGAGCAGACTGGTGATAACCACGGTCGGGATCTCATTGAATCCCAAGGCTCGACTAGCCACAATCTGGCCCGCAGATTGAAGACTCAGGAGCACAATGGGGACCTCTTGATCCCAATTAGTTTCATCGGCTGAATTGCGTGCCAACACGCTGGAGATGACTCCTCCTTGAATGAGGCCTGCCGTGATCACGATCATCGCGGCTTGCAACAAAAACGACAAGATCAAACACCCTCGGCGTCGAGCACCCAGCAGGCGATTCAGTCGCGCAAAGAAAAAACACCCGATGATGAAACACCCGATCGACGTGAGTGACCGAGCCCAACCATAAGGACGAGGGTTTTGATTCGAGGCACCCAGTCCAACGAAGATGGTATTCCCTGCACATTCAAGAATCAGAACCCTCTGCTCTGCGATGGTGATTTCGTCCTCGAGACATACCCGTTTGCATGGAGACAAAGGTATTGTAGGCTGCCAACGTCAACAGCGTCCTTTCCACCAACTGCCTGTGCTCGCCTCACCATTATAGACTGTGCTATCCACCAGTCCCGAAGTCAGGCAGCATGCAAAGAGCAACAAATCAGCATGTCGCGGTTCAACATCGTGCTTGAGAGTGGTGAGTCCAGCAAACGGCATTTTCGAGTGTTCCATATTGAGTTCTTGCGAAAGAAGAGTGGGAAAAAAAAGACAAAAAATGAGAGAATCTTAGAAAGACTGTGGGGATATGATTGACTACGAATATCTCGCCCCCCACCGGAGCTCATTCTCCCCACCTCCATCCGTCGTATCTTCGCTTTTTCGAGGCCAAAGACCTCCCAAGACCGGAGCCGAAAACATGTTGCGAAATCCCGCAGTCCAAGAAACTAGGGGGGATTGTGGCAAAACAGTCAGATAAGGGCCACTTTCACGTGGAGTGCAATAGGCCGGTGGTGTCTGGAAATTGAGTCTCTTTGGCGTCAACAAAGCGCGAAATTATGCAGCGGGGCCGTCTTCAGGCGGTCCGGGCCGTGGGTCTACGCCGAACATTCCTCTCCAAGGACACACTCGGCTTGCGCGCCCAGAATGCCAAGGGAGACTCGGAGGGAATCGGTTACAACGCCGAGCTCCTTGGCGACTTGGTCCTCTGGTCTCCTTCGGTCCACGGAACGGCGTGTTACTATCGAGCCGAGTTTGCTCACAGAAACCCTGATATACACCACCGCAGCGCTTCCCAATTTTTTTGCTCACTGGGGACCAAACGCGACAAAAGAGAAAAAAAAAACCTACGCAATCGAAGATTTCAGCCTTACTGGGCCAGTATCTGCATTGTCGCGAAGAAGGATCGACAATCCACAATGGGGTCAGGATCATAGGTCGCCCTACGTCCCCACGGTGCTTTTTTGGCTGTTGATCTCCCGGCTGATGGGCTGTACGTGAGGCTTGGCGAACCGGGTTATTCATGATACTGTCTCTCAAGCCAAGAGCCACGAGGGTGCTGAATGTCTCTCCGCAGCTGCAAGAGAGAATACGACGCATGGAGTAATCTGCATGCAGTCATTCGCCAAGCGAGCTCGGATTGATGACCTCTCTCACGACCCCGTAGTCGGGGGATTTTGCCGGAGCCTTCCAAATTGTTCGACTATGTTCGATCACAAACTTACATTATCGAAGATCTCGGCTCCTGCAAGGCCTGATGTGCTGCAAAACATAGCGACAGATCCCACCGCATTGGGAATTGTCTCCGGTTATTCTCAACCAACAATTCATCTTCCTGGTGGAGCTGTCCAACTGGGCGGAGCGACAGTCATCCGCCCTTTGAGGTCGGATCGGTACGACCGAGTTGGGAGAATTAGATTGTGTCCTGTCCTTGGCGCATGAGGGGATGTTGCATCGTCAAGAAACCAAGTCTACTAAATTTTGGTGTGATCATCTAGCCAGTCCACTCCACCATGTCAGCATGACTTGAATTCTTCCGATAGATCAGACTGACCCATCCTCAGTCGGGCCATGCTGGTCCGCGTGCACGACGAAAGATATAAAGCCAGGTACCATCCCAAAGGATCTGGGCTGTAGCACAAGAATTCTTCCGCAACACGCTTAATTCTTTTCTACTCATTCCACCTGTCACCATGACCATCACCATCACCGTGGAGAAAGACGGTTACTATGAGGTGAACGGAACCCCTCAGGAGCCTACCGTGTCCCTCTATGTGATCCCTGCCGCATCCAAGTTGCGCAGGATGCTTCGAGACACCAAGGATCTGATCGTCTGTCCTGGTGTCTATGATGGTCTGTCAGCTCGGGTTGCCATGGAGGTTGGCTTCAAGGCAATGTATATGGTAAAATTGTCTTCCCTAGCTGATGGAAACTATACTTACAAATAATCCAGACAGGTGCTGGGACGACTGCCTCCCGTCTGGGAATGGCAGACCTTGGGTTAGCCCAGCTGCACGACATGAGAACCAACGCCGAAATGATTGCCAACCTCGACCCATTTGGTCCTCCGCTGATTGCCGATATGGATACTGGCTATGGAGGTATGGCAGACCCGATCACCAATGATCCCTTTAATCACGATGTCTAACGACTCTCTAGGCCCGCTGGTGGTTTCCAAGTCAGTTCAGCAATACATCCAAGCTGGCGTGGCTGGATTCCATATCGAAGACCAGATTCAGAACAAGCGTTGTGGGCATCTTCAGGGTAAGAAGGTGGTCGGTCTGGATGAGTACATCACGCGTATTCGCGCTGCCAAGATGACCAAGGATCGGCTGCACTCGGACATTGTTCTGATTGCACGAACGGATGCCTTGCAACAACACGGATATGACGAGTGCATTCGTCGCCTCAAGGCTGCTCGAGACATTGGAGCCGATGTGGGTCTCCTGGAGGGCTTCACCTCGAAGGAGCAAGCCCGTCAAGCTGTGCAAGACCTGGCTCCGTGGCCTCTTCTGCTGAACATGGTGGAGAACGGAGCGACACCACTCATCACCACCAAGGAGGCAGAGGAGATGGGCTTCCGCATTATGATTTTCTCGTTTGCGACTATTACTCCGGCCTACCTGGGCATCAAATCCACTCTGGAACATCTCAAGAAAGAAGGAGTCGTGGGGACACCGGAGGGACTAGGACCGCGGAAGCTCTTCGAGGTTTGTGGGCTGATGGAATCCATGCGAGTTGATACAGAGGCTGGAGGTGATGGCTTTTCTCAGGGTGTTTGATGTTGTATTTGATTTCATTGGCCTGACTTACTTCACAAGCAACAGCTCTGGTATAGCTAGATCAGGCAAAGCAAATTCAGTTTAATGCGCTTTTTTATCTTGTTCTGAAGAACCCTCAGCCTCCCTTTGGCCTTTTTCGGGTTAATCTTCACCATTAGGAGTGGTTTCTTCCGTAGCAACCGGCTTCTGGATCTTTTGCATGGTCCGTACGACCTCCTTCTCCAGCAACGACCACTGCTGAGACGGTAGAACTTTGTAAAGTCGAGGCCACAGACTTCTTTCAACCACCTCTGTATCTTTTGATCCTGTCCGGCCAGTGGAGTTATGCATGTCTGTGGCACGAAACGGCATTCCGAATTGACTGCACCAAAAGCAATAGACATGCTCCTGACGCTCAAGCCGGCCCTTGAACTCAAAGCATTGCCAGAGAAACCTTCGGAGTTGTTGGGTTCGCTTGGTCTTGTCTGTCGTGGAGTACTGGGCAAATTGTACCTCTATAGAGTCGACAATCCGATGACAATCTTCTCCCAGGGACTGCTCTGAAAGTGATTCTCCTGTCATGCTTGTAGCCGAGCGCCAGTGGTGTCGGACATGGGTTGGGCCTGTCTGGGTCAGTAAGAGAAGGTGGTAGCGGATTCACTCCAGCTTTCCAGTTCACGTACAAAGCTTTTGTATCTCCGTGTCAAGTTCCCGCAGTTGATGGTTCCAAAAAGCGCCCTCGAAGCCAATCATGAACCGAGTCCAAGTCGACTGGAAAATCAGTCGGGTAACTTCCGCTTGAATGTCGTAAATGGTCGGCGGCTGGTTATCATCTTCACCCATTCCATCTTCTTCAGGTGCTAGACAAACAGTCATATCGTTGCTGTACGATTGGCCAAAGTGTCTTCTCACCCAGGCGTCGAGATACTGATACAAGAGACGCATTTTCTCTTTTGCGTCGTTGTCAACAAGGTCGTCTGCCCATTTCTGAAGAGTGGCCACTTTGAACAGTAGGATCTTGTTGTCCTTGATGGCATTATTTGCAAGTTTACGGGACTCTTCCAGCAGCTCCTCTTGTCGTTTATCTCTTTCGGCCGCGCAAATGAGGTCTTGACGTAGACACTCCGTCTCTTTTTCGACTTTGATGATTGTCTGTGCTAGAATTCAGTGATGTTGAATCCATACGGGCACTTCTATAGCTAACCTGTTGAAGTTGATTGATATCGGCAGTGACGGCATCATTATCATAGGCCTCTTTAGACATTGTGTCAATATCCAACCCCCCAGAATCATCCAAGCGCGTACCTGATGGAACTTGGTCCTCAGAGCCCGACAACTCGCCAAAATCGTCCCAGGGCCACATGATTCCAGGTAGTATCAGAAATCAAATCAAACCGTCCAAGAAAACTAAATACGAAAATTATGTGAGGGTATAAAATCAAGAAAGGGGAAATGGTGCTGACCTGTGCGGGATCTATGGATAGCCGACTATATCTCCGACGCTCGATATGGTCAAGTCTGGCAGTCAATGATCTCAGCATCACCCAACAACGCATCATCTTATTTTCTTTCTGTTAACCCTTTTTCGGCTTTTTTAACTCACCCTTGTGCTATTCGGCTTCTGGCACTTCGGGCGTAGCTTCAAATAGTGCCCACGAGAGCAAATTGCAGCGGCCCCCAAGTATGGCAACTCCTCGCTAGTAACAACCTGGAAAGATGTATACTTGACTGGCTACAATTTGGGAGTGCTCCCCAAAGAAAATAAAAAACAAACCAAGGGATATACCCAGCCCGACCACCCTAAAGACAGATCAATTCACTTAGGATTTTCTGTCAAAGGGATAAACGCCTAATCTTAGCGAACTAAAATCCCCAGACGAGCTCAACCTAAGCCTCAAAGGCCTCTGGTTTTCAAGCGTTTAGTTGTGTTCTTTTGTGCCATCAAGCAAGGGACAAGACAGTCATCCTGTGTCGTAGATAGGGGTGTTACAGCGCTGCCAAATGCAAGTCTACGAGATTAACTTCGAGGTGTTAGTTGGAAGGCGATACTACCTGCGTATTGTGTTCTCTCTGATTGACTCAACGGTCATAGATGACTATATATCAATTATATGATGCTTCCGAGCTGCAGATATCCATGGATGGCCTAGGAAAAGCCGGTTAACTCTCGGGGAAATGAGGATTGGCAATGACTTCTTCCACCTGCGGGGGAAGAGCAAATGTTTCTGATAACCCAGCCCAATGCAGCGCATCCAATCGTGCCAGACCCAACTTCACAAGGGGAAAGCTTTGGCTCTGGCATCGCAACACTTGCAACCAAGAGTCTACCAAGCTTTTCCCACGGGTTGCATGGGCGATGTTCGGGGCCTGCACTAGGAGTAGCATCAAAAAATTGGAGATTGTCGCGAAGCCAATGCGGGACCCTGGGAAAGTAAAATCAGCAATCGGTATCTCCAAATCGAGCTTGATGGGCGCCGTACAGGAATACCAGAAGCCGGTGAAGTCACTGGATGTCAAGCGTCTCGTGAAATTGACGACGATTGTCGCACACTTCTCCGCCGCATGCAAGGTCGCTTCTCCGGTACCATACTCGTCAGAGATCTCAATCTCTGGCAAAGATTCAAGCTCCGGAACTTCTGCAAAATCCAGGATTGCCTCGTCCACTGGCAACGAAGTTGCCGACATATCTTCTAAATCAAATATTAATGGAGGGCTGGAGGATCGCGCCATAGGTCGAAGCATCGCACGGTAGACATAAACCACGAGCAATAAATATGCAAAATGGATTGACGTCGGGTATGGTGCGAGTCCGTGGACGGACTTGCTCCAATTGGGGAGCCGAAAGGTTTCTGGGAGAGACGAATACCACTCGTTCAACTTCTCAAGCAGAGCACGTCCCAAGTCAGATGATGTGTTGAAGTTCGCATTCAGAAATTGGGATGCCCTGAGGGTACTACCGGGGAAAAGCCACGACCATCAGCAACTGAACAACTGGCAAGTGTCTGGAGAGGCATCAGCACTCACTAAAAGGTCTCATGGATTTCCTCGGCGATGCGGGCAAGGTTCACAAGGTATCGAAAGGGGATTTCGGTATCGCACGATGACGTTGAGAATCCTTGACGAGGGCCGACCAGGAAGTCACCTTCATCCAAGTCGCTGACATCCCACTCCGCAGGGTGGATAAAGGGAGGCCGACCCATTAGCAAACTCCTCCATTTATCCTCGGCATAGACTGCCCACCAGAGCCGTCGCCGTAGACGCTTTTCCCACGCCGGAATGCCCCACATACGGCATTCAATGTGAAGGCCGAGGGAGCATGCCAAGCCCACGAGTTGGCCGACAAAAGACCACACAAATGGCGTGTCGGCGGTCGTGAAACGGGCCTCGTCTGTCGGGTGCTGATGGACATACAACAGGGCCGCTTGCACAACAGCGAGACGAGGACTATGGATTTCCTCGGTCACTAATTCGTATACCATGCGCCACAAAGTCTCAATGGGCGATGTGTGATACATGTTCAGTACACAGAGGTAATCATCGTGGCCGACGAAGGGGAATGCGGATGCATAGACGGCCGCCAGCAGGTGCACCGGAACCTTGGCCAAGGTGGACAGCTCTGGAAGCTGGTATGATGCCGCGCTCAACCCTAGTTGGGAGCGCGAGATGATTGGCAACGCCGGGAAGACATACTTGACAAATCTAATGTGGTGTTAGCTCACAGAAAGCAGGGCCCCCTCTGTGATTGACCTTACAGCGCAACGAGCCTTCTTCCATATTCGGGCGGTACGAGGTAGTTTAAACGATCACGGGTCGCATCGCCCACGCCCGCTCGAGTCTCGTGCTTGAATGCCGTGGTGAGTTCATCGGAAGAAATCATAAAGTGGACCGGTATCCTCTGTGCGGTCGGGACCCCTCCGGCGTTGCGAAAGTGCACCTTGTAGAAAAATTTCATGCCTGAGTCATCGAATTGGCAGTGCCTCAGCAGCCATGGGTCTGATTCGGCCGATGCACCGAATAACTGCGCATATCCATGGTCGAGTTGATCTATGCTCTGAACAAACTGAGTTGGCGGCCCTCCCATGGGCAACATGCCCGAGGCTGGCGATGGGTCATTGGCGGTTTGATCAAGGGCCAATGAAGAGAACCGGGGCTCGGCATTTTGAGACACACTCCTTGCTTGAGTCGAAGCAGAGCCCAAGATGCTGTGTTCGGGTTGGGAGGGGAGCGCTACTTCGATACTCGGGACGTCAAAGGACGACAGTGGCTCCGACACTCGCGGTCTCTTCGGCGGAGGGTTATCGAATGTACAATCCAGCCGAGTCGCCCGACACCGTTGACACGGAATTCCACCATCGGTCTGACAGCCCAGCTTGCGGGCTCGGCATTGATCACACGGCCGTTGACGTTTTGACCGATAGGGTCGAGCCGAAGAGGGGGACGACATCTTTTTTTTTCGGTCGCGCTGATCGGCAAACGCAGGGGATGCACCGGCGAACGGCGCATTTTATGTATTGACAGCTGCAGTGGAGCGTCCGGGGGGCTGACGGGGGAGGATGTTAAGTCGATGATCTCATCCGCCGACCGTCGGCCATCGGCCAAGTGTACTCTTTCGCCGCCAGCCCTAAGGATGTGCTTTGTGCATCAATGTATTTTCCCCCTTCATTCTGAGTACCTGGCAAAGATATAAAGGTCTTCCGATTCTCGAATTCGATGGGTAATCCCCACAATATAATCCTCGACATTGTGAACTTCTTGTATATATCCACTCTTCTCGGCCAATTCAAACAATATCGACAACCGATCTAGATAATGTCTCAATCACTGCAGCCTACCAAAACTTTCAATTTGAAGGCCATGTTTTCATGGAAAAAGCACAGTGAAGCAACCAGGGATGATTCGCAGTCAGAAATTACCCTCGTCCCAAGGTATATTGTTTCCCAACTCAGCCAAGAGAGTGATATACTTACTCCTTTTTCTCATAGCCAGAGCAACCGGAAAAAACGTGCAATTTCCCCAGTGCCTCAGAATTTTAACCGTAAGTATTTCTCTCCATTTACCCAAAAAGAATGGACGACTAACCGCTAACATGTATACAGCGGCCGATATGTGTTTTGGCTCCTGCTGCAGGAACAAGTGAAATCGTTGTTTCTTAGGTACTCCCAATCAAAATGGTGTTATCATTACACTGAATATGTTATTAAATGACGAGAGTCTCTTGTCTTCATTCCAGGAAAAATGATAATAAGAGTAAGAAAGCTAGGGCAAGGCTTGTTGGTATAGTCTCCACTCTGGATAAATGAACTATATAGGGAGTAGAAGGTAGTAGAAACAGAATTCGTCGATTACATAGATGGCACCTAGAGCACAAGATATAGATCAGGGGCAATTGTGTCCTAGCATAGACAACAGCCACGGCAATCCCGTTCCAAGCACATGTGGACCCACCGATGCCACACCGGCAGTTTGCCCCATGGAGATGATCATCGTCACCGAGTTCCGAGTAAGAGAGGGGTTACAGTAAGCCGAGCGCCTTCGTCAGCATATATCGTGGGCCCTTGCTGACCTCGAGTTTCCCGTGCACGAGAACTCAAGTTTTCCTATTTCCTTGCTTCTATTGCCACTTGAATTACCATCCTTTTATCCACCATGATTTTCGAGCCAGCGGAGCGGGTTTTGCTCCCCACCAAGGACCTTTTGTCGTACATTTTTGACGACCCGCCATACAACCAGGATACGCCGGTAGAGTCCTTTCAATGTGCCCGCGACTGCGGATGGCGCTGAAATACACACGCCTTTTTACCTTAGATCTATGTGGATGTCCATAACCCAACACGGTCAATCTCTTGCAACCAGGCGCGAAGGCTCATCCGCCAGCTCATTGCAGGATTGCGAGCCTCCGGGTTTAAAAGGGGCGATTGTGCCCTCATTCACTCCTTCAATGATGTATGCATCATGGTTGTCGCACCCAAATGAGAATGCAAGTTGATTTAATTCCGCTTGAACTTTAGATCAATTACAGCATTCTTGTCCTGGCTATCATTGGCGCTGGCGGTGTTTTCACCGGCTCAAATCCCTCTTACACCCCACACGAGCTCGCCCATCACATCAAGGCTTCGCAGAGTAAATTCCTTATCTCGGAGCCCGAAATTCTGGAGTCTCTGCAACGTGCCGCAGAACAGACTGGTATACCAGCCCAGAATGTGTGGGTATTTGACAATCTGGACCAGTCAGTGCCATCGGGTATGCGGTCATGGAAGCAGCTACTGGAGTTTGGCGAAGAGGACTGGGTACGCTTTGATGACTTGAAGACGGCCCAGGAGACGACAGCAGCCAGACTCTTCAGCAGTGGAACCACTGGCCTCCCCAAAGCTGTTACTATTACCCACTATAACCTCATTGGGCAACATGAGCTAACTCTTGGAATAAATCCTCGGCCTTACGAGGTGAGTTAACTCTATTCAGGACACTCAACATATAACATGGAGCGCACTTCAATTGCTGATCAAATTAATGGACAGATCTCACGAGTGATTGCGGTACCGGTCTTCCATGCCTCTGCAGCCCCCGTTACGCACATTTCTACTCTGAAAATGGGATCTGTGGTTTACCTGATGCGCCGGTTTGACCTCGAGCAATTCCTCAGAACCGTGGAGAAGTACAGTGTCACCGATATGATCATGGTTCCACCAATTGTGATCGCAATTTTGATGTCACCCCTATCTCAGCAACAACCCTTTCTCCGGAAGGTCCGGCTTGCCGTCTGTGGAGCAGCTCCTTTAGACAAAGACGCCCAGGCTCGATTTCGTTCGTTGATTGCAGATGATGCTCCATTCACCCAAGTGTGGGGTATGACCGAGACGTCCTGTGTAGCAACCAACTTTCCGTATCCCGAGCATGATGATACTGGATCAGTTGGACGGCTGATCCCCAACATGGAGGCGAAGTGCGTCAACTTGATCACGAACTCTTTGGTTGATCCAAGATACTAATTCAATTCTGATGTAGACTCATCGATGGGGATGGTCGAAACGTTTCGGCTTATGGAGTCCGCGGAGAGTTGTGCGTACGTGGGCCGACAGTGACCCCTGGATATTTCAACAATGCCGAAGCCAATTCCCAGTCGTTCGATCCTGATGGCTGGTTCAAAACCGGTGATATCGCGTACTGTGATCACAAAACCAGGAAATGGTATATTGTAGACCGCAAGAAGGAGTTGATCAAGGTACGGGGGTTTCAGGTGGCACCACCAGAGATTGAGGCGGTGCTGTTGTCACACCCTGATATCATTGACGCGGCGGTGATTGGAGTCAGTCCATCCAGTGCTGATACTGAGCTCCCTCGTGCCTATGTCGTTCGACGACCAGGTGATGGGGGAGACAATTTGACAGAATTAGTTGTCCAGCAGTATGTCCTGGGGCGGCTGGCGCGGTATAAGGCACTCACTGGGGGAGTGAAGTTCGTTGGGACGATAGCTAAGAATCCTAGTGGCAAGATCCTTAAGCGGGTTTTGCGAGAGGACGCGAAGAAGGAAATCGAGGCAGGATTGATCAAGCATAGGCTGTAAATACAGGTGATGTTTTGCGGATGAATATATTCTGGTGCTACTCTATCTTATTTTATTTTCATATTGTTTTTCCCCTGCGGCTTCGAAACCTCTCAACCAAACGAACTGAATGATTTCGGCCGTTGAATAGAGATATAACATCACATACTAGAAAGCCTGGGGTGGCAACCTCAGCAGCTGTGGATAGCACCAGGGAATGGAGAACTAGGGATATCAGCACAAATAAAATAGAGAACCTTGGCCATAGTGATAAATTGTGTTAAGGTCGTCCCAAATACATACGACCACAGGGTGTGGACTATCATGCCCAACGTTTAGATGCTAAACTTATGGTTTGCCCCTTCGTTCTATTTAATATATCTGGGGAAAAAAGCACGATTTCTTGCCTACGCGCCAACCTCCACAGCTCATTTTCGGCTCGGCCTTTGTGCACAATACTGTCCAATTTCATTCAGAAGCGGAGCCATGCCTCTGTGAAACTTCATCGAATTAAAATGAAGTTATACCTGCTTCTCGGAATGCCCGTTTTCAACATCGACGGAAATGAAGAGAAGAAATAGTATGATGAATTGATGGGTGGGATAAAGATGGAAGACTTCATTAGGCGGAAAAGACTCATTTTTCGAATGCGGTCGGTGAGGACCTCCGGAAGATGTTGACTGAACGACCTAAGACACCTATCTTAACCTCAATTCCTGTTCCGAAAATTTGTGGTCCTAAAAAAGGTATTTTACGGCTCAGCCGTTGTGATCAGCTATATTCGTGATGAAAGTGACTGGCGAGATCCGACAGATTTGGGGATGTTAAAGAAGAGCAAAACTACGATCACGTAGAAACCGTGTCAGGAGCAACGAAGGCTATGTCATGGTATCAAGTGCAAAGCCTTTAAGTAGACAGCATCTTCGAGAACGTCTAAACTGCAATGACTATGATATACTCGAATTCTCGCATTCAGGATAATCGCACAAAATGGACTCCGTTGGGGACCAGGGTAGAAGACACGCCACCTGGTTCAATGCAGCCGAATAATATATAGCAAGGTATACAATTATCGTTTACATATATATATATATATACGAAAAAAACCGAAGAAAAGGGAAGAAAAGGGAGGGAAGCAGTATAGCATACGCGCCCAAAAATTAGGATCGACTTGGTCCGAAGCCTTAATGGATGGCAAAGATGATCTCGAAACATCACGTCATGAGTGAGTGGTTTATGATGAATATAATCCAGCTCAACGATCAACGTCAACTGGAAACGATGGAAATGCCCTGCTAAGTCAAACTCGCGGCTAAATGTGTCCGAGTAGTACTAGGCCTTGCACTGAGTGTTTCAAGATATGATTAACCCGTATTCTTGCGCGCGCGAAAAGATACCGGAAATAAATTGCCAATCAAAGTTAGAGGAATAGGGCCCAGGTATCTTACTACTAATCCGACTTGCAAGTGATCTAGTCAGGCGCTAATAGGCGGTTTGTGATTCGAAGATAAACTAAAATGTTCGAGTGGAACGTGATTTGGACGTCACAGTACATATTTCTCCTTCAGAATTTGCTCGTCCTCGAGTCTCAAACTTATGAGTGCGAATCTCTCTGGTTCTTTTTATTTCTCTTCTACTTCACTTGTTCCATACGAAAAAAAAGAAAGGAATACCATGCCTTCACCATTAGAGAGAGAGACAATGGTATAGAATGGTGAAACACCGGCTGAATAACCAGCGCTTACTATTTTCAGCGCGGGGGCGCGAAAGAGTGACGGTCTGTTGCTGATTAGACGATACGAGGAGAACGGGGTTTTAAAACGCCAAGAGAAGCCCGCCTACGACCCTAACTGGTTGCTGAGAGCAAGTGCGGTCGAAGGAGCGCTTATATCATGCTTCTACTAACCGCCAATAGATCAAAGGAGCCACTCAAGTGAGCTTTGTGGGAAGCGAGGCCTTCCCATCTCTCGCTATAAATACAGTGGTCTTCCTCACCCAACTTATGAACAGAAATCCCTTTCAACTAGCCACAGCTAGATACAGCAAAGAGATCCTAGAAACCACAGTCATGTTGTCAGTGTCGACAAGCAGATTGAATCCCTTTCTTGCAAATGCCCTGGAACAAAAGGGGGGGCCGGAGAGGTCGAACAATGTGAGTTCGGGTGTGATTTCCAACCTCCCCGTGAATGAATTAACAAGTATCCAAATCATAGACTGCCTTGGAACTCGTGGATCAAATTAAGATCCTGCATATGGAACTCGCACACGAGAAAAGTTCGCGCCTCAAGTACCTAGAGGAGGTGTTTGCTCTCCAAGAACAAACCAGAGCATTACAAGAAACGATGGTGATCACATTCCTCTCCCCCAAAGATTCTATCTGGCGTGCGATGCTAACCAAGCCTTCGTTAGAACAAGAATCCCTTTGTGGCTGTTGTTGTCGATGGCGACGGTGCCAAGTTTCTGGATTCGTTGCTCCGTCACCCACGCGAAGGGGCCAAGCAAGCGGCACTGAACCTCAAGCAGGCTGTGAAGGAATACCTCAAGGGAACAGTGCTGGAAAGCGACGAGGTTCCTATTGTTGTTCGGATCTTCGCAAACATCGACGATCTTGGCCGCTCTCTGTACCTATCCGGAGTAGTGAATTCTCGAGACGACATGCGAACATTCTCTGAACATTTTACGAATAACAGCGCTGAATTTGACTTTGTGAATGTCGGCCGAGGTAAAGAAAATGCGGACTTCAAGGTGAAAAGTGAGTGCGGAGATGTATACTTGACAATAGAAATCCCAACATTAACTGTGGAGCGCCACCCCTAGAGATGTTCGACCACTACTACCGAAACTTCCAATGCAAGAAAATCTTCTTCGCGGGCTGTCATGACAACGGTTACATCCACGAGCTTCGTGACTATGGGGAAAGCCAGGAGGCTCAGCAACGGATCGTGCTCCTTGAAACAACTCCCGCCGAGTCCTCTTTCGAAGCGCTCGGTTTCCCCATAACTTCCTTTGATGCCGTTTTCCGCCGCGAGCCTCTAGAAAATGAATTCAAGGCAAAGCCGATCCAGATGCGCGCCCAAAGCTGCTCACTGTCACCATCATCGAGGGACCCATTGCCTACTGAATCCAAGGAACACCGAGAGAAGTTATTGCTCGGGTCTTCAATCACCCCGTCACTCAAGACATCCATCTCCCGGCCTAAATTTTCCTTGGCAGCGAAACCACAAAATTCGAATTATGCTGCTATTGCGCACATGGAGTCCATAGCACAAGGACCATCTGGGGTGAACATCAACGACTCTGGCCGAGGTGGTATCACGGTGACACATAGTACCGCCAGCTATGCGACTGTTGCCCGCACGGAAAACGTTGGAAACCTAACTCTTGAGCGCTCGAAATTTGCAAAACCCAATGTGATTGAGTACAATTCCGACGGGCAGCGCTTAGATCCAGAGGTCAAGCCACCCAGTGATTCCCAGGCCTGGGAATCCTATAAACTCAAGCAGGAAAGTGCTTTGTCGAATACATTCTGCAACGATCATTACCTTGGTGGATCTTGCACCCGACCAAATTGCAACCGAGAGCATGGATTGAAGTTAACCCCTAGCGACCTTGTTATACAGCGATACTATGCTCGCAAAAGTCCGTGTCGTAACGGGTCTTCCTGCGATACTTACGGATGCTACTTAAGCCATCTCTGCCCATATGGGGTATCTTGTCGTCAGCCTTCCTGGTGCAAATTTGGTACTCACCTACCCCGGGGCAAAATGGAAGTTGCGTGAGTCTGTCACAAAACGAATCATGCCAAACATTCTGTCACTAACTTTGTCAAACAGTGAGCGCTGGACGGAGGGCAAGACCTTTCCGGAGCGATTTCTGGAACATTTCAAGTTATAGTTACCCCCAAGGGTATGTGGGTATGTTGAGGAGCGGATGTGCTGAGCATTGTGGTTTTCATGACTTCTTATATTTTTCATTTCCCTTTTTGACTTGCTTCATTTTCTTCCTTTCCTTTCTCATTTTATTTTATTATGGAGATTCCATGAAATCTGGCTATTCATTGTCTCAAGAGCAATTAATCTCTATTCACCGGTAAAATCAATGGCAAGACGTCATGTCATCTCTTGTTGAACCTAGACTCGAACCATAGAGTAGACCTAAGACCTGACAGGAAAGAATAGACCAGCAAACTTGCTGCCTCTTTTCGCTCTCTTATTTTGCCCTTACAGTGAATTTCTTCGGGTTGCTCATGTCGATATCAGTATGCGGCGGTGGTGCAATTGATCGAGTCATACGGAGAAGGCTGATCCGATGCCGCTGTCAAATATTCCCTGATACCCTTGCTTGCTTTATCACTTGTTTTGAGCATGCAGATTTCGGTATTTTCCAAATCACCAGCGGCGTTGTCGCCGGCGCCTCCCCTCTTTGACGAGAATTTCACCAGATAAAGGTCCTTAAGTATCAGCATCATCATTGCCTGGAGGACCAAGAATTCCAAATGGGTGCGTAAAATTGATCGACGATTGGCCTTGGGCAATTCCCGCCCCGCCGCGAAAAGGGTACAAGTCAGGTAGCCTTAAGGAAGAATCGCTCTCCTACCCTCTTTATTAGGACTGTTTTATGAAGCTCTGGGGTACGTAGTCTGGATAGAAGGTGATCGGGATTGTAGTAACCAGGAAACCAGAGTTTGTATGAACCGTATTGATCTATATGGCTTTCATATGCATAGGTGACCTCGCCATCCATGAACTCGGGTTATCTAATGACAAACAAGAGCTTCAAAAACACTAGTCTCATCGATAACAAGGCCATGCGTACTGCGATCTAAAACAACATAGGTTGATTGTGGATAGAGCTCCAGCAACGGAAGGCTGTCTCGACAGCTTACGCTCTCGTCTTGTCGACCATATACAATAAGTGTGGGTGCAAAGAACTTAGCGCTTTCATTGTCCAATGAAAGCGACAACTGATATCGATATGGATTTGCTCGGATCGAATCCAGCACCTCTTTGTCTACCGCTTACTCCGCTGGAAGGAAAGCCCCCTCGTATTTTGCCTTTAACATTTTGACGTACGCGGTGGTTTGGATGACAATATTTCCAAGATGCGGCCTATCCTCGGCTGATATGTTTGAAATGAGTTAGCCGCTTGCAACCAAAGGCTGTATTGTGCCAAATTAAGCCATACGTGGGGGCCAAAATGAGTGGGTAGTTGATATATGGGGGCTAAAACGTGGCCCAATAACGAACAAGAGCTTAGTAGTCCCGGCTGACGTTTCTTCGCAGTGTATCCCTTGAAGGGAAAGTGGATATTTGGAGCCAGACGAGGTTCTTGTTTTTACATATTAAAAGGGAGTTGCTCCCTTGCTGGAGTGTGTGATGAAATACTCAGCATCCGTTACTTTTCAACATTCTACCTTGAACCTTTTCGATCCCTGCTCGCAATAATGAATTCGGAGTACTATGGAACTCCCTCTCAAAATGGGTATGGCTACCCTGAGCCCCCGCCTCCCCAGGGCCCTCCCCAAGGGTATCAGCAATCATATCCGCAACAGTACCCAGAGCCTCAGAATCAGTACCCTCAGAATCAGTACCCTCAGCCTCAATACTCTCAGCCTTACAACGAGCAGCAGCAACAGACCGCCCCTGGTGAGGCTCAGGATGATGAGCGAGGTTTTGCCGGTGCCGTCGCCGGTGGTGCTGTCGGTGGTTTCGCTGGCCACAAGGCCAACCACGGCTTCCTCGGAACCATCGGTGGTGCCATTGCCGGTTCCATCGCTCAAGATGCCTACAAGAAGCACCATGAGGGTAAACAGAACCTTCCCCAGGGCGGCCCCTACCCGCAGCAATTCCCTCAGCAGCCATATCCGCAAGCGGGTCCATATCAACAATATCCCCCGCAAGGTCCATATCCGCCGAGTCAATTCTATCCACTGAATCAGTTGCATCACAATAAAAAGTCTGTGATGAAGAGACAGGAGGAGGTTGAAGAGCTTCAGGACAAGATCAACCGCGTGTCCCAGCACATGCAGCAGGGTCCGTCTCATCATAAGATGAAGGATCTACGGAAAGACATGGAAGACTTGCAGAAGGATCTGAGAAAGGCCCAAGAGGACTACCAGAAAGAGTTAAACAAGGCGCTCGACGACGATGCTAAGAAGTGACGACACTAAGCTTCAGAAAAAGCAGAAAACAGGGTGCAGCAAAGGCGGCCGCTCAGCAGGTGAACGGGCAAAGGTGACTTATTATTGCTTGTAACGATTAGGGCTTTGGGCTTGATGATTTGGACGATGATTTGTATGGCCCGGCTCATAGCGCAAGTCTTGAGATAATGTAAGTTGGCCTTCTGTGTAAATTCTGCCTTTTTTTTTTTTTTTTTTTTTTTTGCTTATTGGCTTTCCCTCCGCCTTCTATTTTACCCCTCCTTATTGTCTAGTTGCTTTTCCTGTATACGCCTTCGTTTAAAGGGGCCTTTTTATAGACCTTACAATTGACTATAGATTATTGCTCTTATAGCTGAGTAGAAAAGCCTTGAGATGACGCGACGACTGGAGAAAAACATATTAAGGACGTCGTTGAGTTTATACGCGTACTCCTGACTACCACGGAGATAACTTTTGTGGCTGGTAATGCATATAACCCCTTCGTTTCTGCTAGCTTGTAGCTATTACTGTAAACCGCCTAGGCGCTCTCCTAGGTCTCCGCTATCGAGACCTTAGGTTGACCTTGATTCGTGGTCCAGAAGGAGGACGCCCGCGTCTCTTTGTTTTCCTAACACCTAAATTCACTGGGAGATTTCTTGGAAAGAAAGCTCCGTGGGTGTCTATAATATCTGAAACTTTGGCGATAGGACCCAAAAGGCTAACTTGATCGGAAGGAATGAGTTCAAGATACCAGAGATCATATTTGACCCTGTTCCTAATGAGGACACCGCTGTGCGGGCACCAAATCAGGAAGTTGATGATAGTCCGAGCACATTCAGATCCCTGTTGAATCGGCCAGAAATACGAGACGTCTGCTATTATGAGTCATTGCCTGCAGTTCGGATGATGTTTCATAGGAGTCAGTAACAAGGGATGAGACCGGATTGAAAATATATAAGACTCTCTCCCCTTATTCACCAGAATTGTGACTAGAAGCAATCAAGAACGAAGTAGCTTCCAAGACTATGTAAGTATTCCCCCTGTTCTCCGACCGACACCCACCCATATTCCCTGATGATACTTATCACTCGCCGAAATGACCCTGCTGGATTGCTTAAGACCGGCAAGCCAATGATTCGATTTGGTTCTGAAAATGAAATTTCCATCTTGTTGAACTACGAGCTGTGAGCTGAACGAAGTGCTGATTTTGAAACTCGGTTTTTGTTGCAGATGAGCTATAGCCCTCCAGAGATAGTGTCAAGACCAAAATGAATGGATTTATTCAATCGAGGACAGAATCATATTATGTCCCACTTCAATTTTTCTCTTTCCATTCTCCTTACTTTTCTCCTCGACGGTTGTATCGATGGCTGGTGGTGAGGTCATGGGGACGATGCAACCCTAACAAGCCGCAACGGGAAAATGTGTCCGCAGTTCTAAACGCTTCATTCCACCGAATCTTGGGAACCAGCAGAAGGAATGTAGAAACCCCATGGAACAAAAGAAGGAGTAAATCGAGATATTATCGGCATTCCAGGGGGCAAGGATCAAGGGGGCAAGGATCAAGGGGGATGGTCTTCTCTTCCTCGGCAAAAAGTATCGCTTAATCCAAGGTTCCCCGCAGATAAGCTCAGGCAGTGGATGCAACCGGTGCAAGACTTTGGCGATCCTTTGTCTCGTCTGATTGCCGTGCCGGGTCTATCGTGCGGAGAAGCGTGGGGGTGACATATCGGGAGCGCGAGCGATGCAACATTCTTCTTATCTAATGGATTTGCAAGGGAGGTTTCTGCAGAATATGATAATCTCGGCTCGTCCGATTCTTGTCTGTAGAAAATTGGTCTCAAAACGTGCAGGGAACACGCAGCGATCGTCGAGACATCCATTATATATATACCCGGGAGTCTCGTCCATCTCTCTGTTCTCTACCCCATTACAGACCCAACAATGGCGTCCAGTCCCGCGCATCTCTCGTCGCCAGACGATATGACTAAAACAGCCACTCTCGGGGCCATTGAAGAGCCCAACAAGCTGCAGAGTCATGGATCTGCCCCAGGAGTTGTCGACGAAATCACTCGTGTGGTTGATCACAAGGCCGAGCGGCGTCTCTGCCGGCGGTTTGACATTCGTCTGCTGCCAATTCTGGCTATTATGTGTGAGTGCCTCCGCGTCACTGGGGAACGCTGAAAAAGCTGACCCATATAGACCTTTTCAATGCCCTCGACAAGGGTAATTTGGGGAATGCAGAGACTGATGGGATGACTGACGGTATGAGCAACCTTCGAGTTATTTTGGCCCTCGTATGCTGACAAGATGGCCCATGGAGACCTTCACTTCAAGCCAAACCAGTATAATCTGCTCTTGTCGATCTTTTTTGTACCCTTTGTGGTGTTCGCGCCACCGTTCTCAATGCTTGGGAAGAAATTCAGCCCGGCACGCGCCCTGCCGGTCCTAATGTTTTCATTTGGCTCCTTCACACTGCTCTCTGCGGCCGCGCATAACTTTGGAGGTCTCTTCGCGTTGCGCTGGTTCTTGGGCATGTCTGAGGCTGCATTCCTTCCTTTGGTGATCTATTACTTGACTACCTTCTATCGCCGAGGCGAGCTGGCACGTCGTCTCGCAATATTTTATGCGGCCTCGAACATTGCCAACGCTTTTTCTGGACTCATCGCCTTCGGAGTATTTCAGATCAAAGGGTCGGGTCTGCAGAACTGGCGGTATCTCTTTCTGATCGAGGGCGGGGTGACCGTCGTCTTTGCAACATTCGCCTTCTTCTATCTCCCTCGCAGTGCTGCCGAGGCTCGATTCCTCTCCGAAGAAGAAAAGGCACTGGCATTTCACCGGATCCAGGTCGATTCCAGTGCGGTAGTGAACGAGAAGTTCCGCTTCCGAGAAGCCATTACAATCTTCAAGCATCCCACGACCTATGTCTTTCTCTGCATCGAAATCTGTCTGGGCGTGCCCCTGCAGGGGGTCGCACTCTTTATGCCACAGATTGTCTCACGGTTGGGCTATCCAACCGTCAAGACCAACCTATACACAGTGGCGCCGAACGTCACTGGTGCGGCCATGCTCCTGGTGCTGGCCTTTGCCTCCGATGCCACACGACTGCGATCGCCGTTTCTCGTGCTGGGGTTTCTTCTCACTTTCTCGGGCTTTATGATCTATGCATCCATCGATGACGTCCATGGCCGGCTGCATCTGGCCTACTTTGCTACCTTCATGATGACCTGGGGTACCTCCGCGCCGTCCGTGATTCTCAGTACTTGGTACAACAACAATATTGCCCATGAAGGGCGCCGCGTCCTGCTGACTAGTATCGGAGTCCCACTGGCCAATTTGATGGGCCTGGTCAGCAGTAACCTGTTTCGGAGCCAGGATGCCCCCAAATATATGCCGGCCTTGGTCACTGTGGCGGCATTCGGCGCAGCCGGTGCGAGTCTGGCAGGTCTGCTGGCATTGTATATGTGGCTGGATAACAAGCGACGCGACCGTCGTGACGGCATGTGCATTCACGCGCGGGATATCCCCACGGAGCGAATGAGGGACGGCCCTTCGTCTCCTCAGTTCCGGTGGTTTTTGTAAGCTTAACAAGCTGGGTATGACTAGGCTAGGAAAAATCCACTGCTGCCTGTATATTCTCCGTTGGTGTGGTTTTGGCAAGTCCCTAGGATTATCCTGCGTCCTTGACCTCTGGGGTTATAAAGAGATCGGGAAATAATGCAAGCGCGCGAGGGGACGTGGCGAAACTCGATGCGAAGTCACCCTCGAAGGAATCGCTGGCAACCGACCGATGTACAGACAAATCCCTCGACTGTATCACTTGCACCATGGCCAGCTGGCTGCGCAGCTGCATGTCTCCTACGCCGAACACGGCAGTCGATCTGACAACCTCTCGGAAATACATCATCATTTCCTGCAGCCGACTCACCGCCGCTCTGCATCAGGAATAAGTGGGACTGTGAGACAGTCACGGTCCATGTCAAGGGGCTTCGGCGTTGGTCATAAAAGGGCAGACTACCCCTCCACCTCCCCGAGTTTTGTCTTCTGCGATTTATCGCTCCTCTTTTCCCTCAAGACGAATCGATGACCGCGATGCCTACCAACCCCGGTCAGATCTCACCATTCCGAGGCGTCACTCGGCACATCACTGGCCATGATGCGTCTGGAAACGCCGTCATTCACTCCTCCACTCCGGGCCAGTGGAAGTCATTCGAGGGAAGCTCCATGGCCTTCAATGTCGTCTATACCACCTCACAGTTTCCCGCAGATTTGAACCAGGAAGCCGACATCGATGCACACGAGAAGATCCAGCAGTCTGGTCAACTGGGCCTGGTCAATCCGCGGGGAACGGTGTGCCGCATTGTGGACTTTGCCCCGAACAACACACCCATTGTCCACCGGACGCAGAGTCTCGACTACGGCATTGTGCTGGAAGGCGAGATTGAAATGGTGCTCGATGAGGGCGATCCGGTCCTTATGAAACGCGGCGACGTCGCTGTGCAGCGGGCAACGATGCACGGTTGGCGTAACCCCAGCAAAACCGAGTGGGCACGCCTGGTGTTTGTCCTGCAGGACTGCCAGAAGTTGACGGTGGGCGGGAAGGAGATGAAGGAGGATCTGGGAATTGCTACTGGCGTCCTCCATCCCAGCAGGAATGACCAGTAAAGAGATTGGAAGCCACCAAAATAAAATATACACACAAAGCTATCGACCATCTATTTGACCTTGATCACCACCTTTCCAAAATGACTGCCGCTCTCCAAGAACCGGAAAGCCTCCTTCACTTTGGTAAAGGCAAAGACCCGGTTCACTACTGGGTGGATCTGGTGTGCCCCGTAGAACCGGAGCATCTCCTCGAACCGATCCGTGGGCCCGTTGATGATGCCTTTTAGAGTCACCGTTCGACGCAGCGTCAACACGTTCACATTCAGGCGATCATCATCGGCATCCACCTTGCCCGTCACATATCCAATGCAGTCAATCAAACCCCCAAAGGCGATGCAGTCAAAGCTTTTTCTCAATGTCTGAGCACCGCCCGTTTCAAGAATGATATCTGCACCATGGTTCCCCGTGAACTTCATGACCTCTTCCTCCCAGTTCGGGGTCGTGCGATAGTTGATGGTGAAATCGGCGCCTAGTCGTTTCGCCTGGTCCAATTTGGCGTCAGACGAGGAAGTAATAATCACTGGATGCGATGTGAACATGAATATTCTTCCATGATTTCTCTTGTAGACTCACCTGTGGCGCCGGATGCCTTGGCAAGCTGCAGCCCGGCAATGGCCACGCCGCCAGTACCTTGAAGTAGGACATATTCGCCCTTCCCTCCACTTTGCCCCAGGGGGCGCATCCCATTGATGGCCATCCAAGCAGTGACTGATGCAATAGTGAGTGTAGCTGCCTGCTCATCTGACATGTGGCTTGGCGCTTTGACCAGCCCGTACTCTGGAAAGACCCGATGGGTGGTCAGGACGCCATCTTGCGGGAGCCCCAAGCTCCCAGCGAGCTCCTTCTCCGTCACCTGGCCGGTCAGATGGTCGGGGGCGAATGTCGACACCACGCGATCACCGACCTGCCATCTTTCCACGCCAGGAGCGACCTGCTTGACTACGCCGCACATGTCCGAGCAAGGCACGACGGTGGTGTCCTGCTCCGCGGTGTTGTGGTGTTTGTATTCGCCCTTGGTCACTGCCAGCCAGTCAATTCGAGACCCGAGTCATTTCTATGCAGATGCATTACTAACCTTCTACATCACGGTAGTTGAGCGAGATGGCATGGATCTCCACCAACACCTCGCCCGGGCCGGGGGTCGGTGCAGGAACCGCTCGAGGCCGAAGACTATCGAGACCCTGGAGGGAGGTCACCCACTGCTGGACAGACATGGTAGAGATGATGCGAGATCAATGATGACCGAATATGGCAGATGAGAACTTTTGCAGAAGATTTTCCATCATCGTCTACAATGGCGGTTGGAGACGGTTGGAGATGTTGGATCGCCCCACCATCTCCATCTCCAGGAGCTGAGTCAGTCCACTCAGTCTCCAGTGGAGGGGTCGAATAAGCAAGATGAAAGGGGTTACTAGAGACAGCAGGGATCAGCTGGTCGACATCTGACCACGTTTAAAAACGTGGGGCGATGGCATCTCCGATCTCCGACTTCGCACATTGTGTATTCATTCCCATCATGTCGCAAGAGGACATCGCACCCCTCGTCCGCGAGCACTCAGATGTTCCAGGTGAGTGAACCTTTAGACCAGGAATCACCCCAGTTCCACTTACGTGGTTTCCAGCACATTTCCTCCATGGAGGGCGACATGGCTCCCCGCGGCTCCCTCACGCCATCGCTCATCGTGGGTTCAAAGGGCAATACCCTGAAAACACACTCTGTGCTGTCGATGGGGCAGTGCGTGCAGGCAGCCATGCCATCGAAGTTGACCTTCATCTCTCCCGGGATGGAGTTGTCGTCTTATCCCATGTCAGTATGCACTGCATGATGCCGAAAGGCCAGCACTCACCCACCGGCAGGATGGGAGTCTCGAGCGGTGTTTCGGTGTCAAGAAGGAGGTCAAGGACTGTGACTGGGCTGAGTTGAAGACCCTTCGCACTATCGAGGCTCCGCATGACCCGATGCCACGCCTGGTCGATCTTCTTGAATACTTGCGACAGCCAGGCCGGGAACATGTGTGGGTTGTTCTTGACATCAAGGTATGAGACACCCCATTCTTTTACTATATATAAAATGTTTGGTTATTAATTGGCCACGCAGCTCGGCAATGATCTCGAAGCCATTATGTCTCGAATTGCCAAAACCATCGCGTCAGTGCCTATTCCTGCTGCAGGCCCGGACTGGCACCGACGGATTGTACTTGGCTGCTGGTCTGCACAGTATCTGGCTCCACGTGGGCGCTATCTCCCGCGCTATGAGGTCGTCTTGATCTGTTTTGACGTGAGCTATGCGCGCCAGTTTTTCCAGGTGCCACGAGTTTCCTTCAGCATCCACCAAAAGATTCTGATGGGCCCGCTGGGACGGGGATTCTTGGAGGAGGCCCGCGCCGCGCGACGATGTGTTTATGTATGGACGGTCAACACGCCGAACTTAATGCGTTGGAGTATCCGGCACGGGGTGGATGGGGTCATCACGGACGAACCACGTCAATACCTGCAGGTTAGCGAGCAGTGGGAGAAAGAGCAAGCGGAGAACTCAGGGACCGGTCCCCATACTGATTTAGACCGACTGACACTCACCCAACGGCTCGAGATCCTCGGTGCGGCTTTATATGTCCTGTTGTTCGGGTGGTTCTTGAAGCGCAGGTACCTGGCCACCGTGGAGCGAGTGCAGTTTGAGGAGCACAAAAACGAATGATTGTGGGGGGGGAATAACGGTTCTCAGTGAATGAGTAAATAGATAACGACACATGGTTTCGGGCTTTTTAAACTATGAAACACACATTATGTCCATTCCAGCCTATCCAAAGCCAAAAGTCTCAACTGAACACCGAGCCGATGGAGGTTGTAATACATGGGAACATTTCAACATCACGATGGAAACAAAAAATCAAACACCGGCCCGAATGATAATACCGACAGAGAAAAGGAAGTGGGGTGGAGAAGTATATACCAGATATAGGGGGTCAATGAATACAGAAGAAGGAAAAGCCCTGGTTGCAGGGAGAGCGAACGATCAACGCCGGAATCGGTCGAAACCAAATGGGTTAAAGAAAAGCAGAGGGTATAGGGCGCACGGTCTAAAAAGCGAACGAGAGATGCGGGTGGCAAGGGAATAGCCCGCCCTAGGAAAGAGGGCAGAGCAAGATCGAAGGCATAAAGACACGGAACTCAGACCATCATAAGTTTGGTGGTTCGTCGCTCCGGGAAACGTCGCGCACCCCCAGATGGGAAACGCGGGCCGGGTCGAAGCCCACCAGCACCCGGTCCAGGAGACGGCGGTGGGTGAGCGCCCGGGGTGAATTCGCGTGATTGGGACAAGGGCGAGGAGCCCAGCGTAGGGCGTCGACGGCCCGGCGGCGGTGGGTAGTAGGCGGCGGCGGCACGGCGCGCATCGCGTTCGCAGAAGACTTCGCCGTTCCACTCGAAATAATCACCCTTGAGAAGGACGCGACACGCTCGACATTGGAGACATTCGGGGTGGAATCGACGACGATCGGACCGACCGCGGTTTTGCTCTACGGTCTCCAAGTAATGGCCCTCAATTCCGTTGTGACAGGTAGAGCACAGCGATCCGTTGCGCTCGTGGTAGTGTTGTGCACAGAAGGGGCGGTTGTTAAGGACATAAAAGTCCGCAGTTTGGAAGGGCGAGTGGCACTCGAAGCACACAAAGCACCCACGATGATATCGGCCAGTCAGGCGGCCATCCGAAGAGGAGATCGACTTGCCCGTAATTTCCTCATTACAACCCTTGCACCTCCCCTTTGACCGTCCGGTTGAGGACAGTGTGTTGGAGCGGGTTGGTGGACGAGGAATGGGTGATGTCGGGGCTCGAGGTCTTTGCGGGTTTGGTGATGGTACCTCCTTGCGGGCTATCTCAGCCCGCTTCTCAGGCTTCTCAGAGATCAGAGACAAGCCGCCCTGGTTGATGGAGGGATCGGTGGGCGAGTCGGGGCTAAAGAAGGCAGCCGGGATGGGGGGCACCTCATCCATTGTACTTCGCACGCGACCGGGGATTTCCAAGATCGTCTGTCGCGTGCGTGGCGGCAGTTCCTCCACTAATGGCCCCAGGTTGAGTGGGTCAATGGCCTTGTGCCGGTGAAGACTTGCGTCGGAGGGGAGGCTGGACATTGAACTTCCACTACGAGTTTCAGACGGCGACGAGTCCGACGATGCGGTTGAACTATCGGCCTTGTTGACATGATCCTCCAATCCTAGGGCGCGAGCAAAACTGGTGACAGACAATCCACTGTCACTGGTGGCATCCGAGTTCTTCCTCCGTGCGTAGCTGATTGAATCGGCCGCTGCTGGGTGTAGATGCGTGCGAGGAGACCGCTGGAAATCCTGGGTTTGCCCATTGGATCGGGGGCTATCGACCGAGTGCTCCTCCGGGAGATCATGCAATCCCGAATGTCGGTCAGTGGGGATACCAAAATCAAATCCACTGTAAGTATCACCCCGGTCACTTCGGTACGAGGAGCTGACTGAGAGATTTGAATCTCGAGAAAAGGAACCCTTGTGTGGCGTTCGGAGAGGTGCTGGGGGCACCGGCGGCGTGTCGTCCATAAACGTCCGAAGACCGCGAGAGAGGCTGTTTGTTGACGATCTCCCCGTCGAACTTGCGTAACGGGTGCTCGCGAATGAGGTGCGATAGCTGCTGTGACTGGCCACTGAATCACTGCGATGATGGCTATAGCCTGGTTCAGGGGGCGGGGGAAGCGGGCTGGGAGGAAGCTGCACATTTTCCGGTACTTGGTCGAGTCCTAGTCGTGGAGATGGAGCTGGCGGCATCGATCGCGGTGTCGTGCCCTCACCCATTGGGCCCGGTGTCCCGAAGCGGGCGGGGGATCGGTTGCCGGGCATGGGGAAGGAAAGCACCGAGTCCAAATTGATCACATCCGAATCATCCTCGGCCTGGTGCGGGCGTGGAGATCGAGGAGCCGAAGCAATCGAGTGAGGAGACGGAACATGAGAGCCGACGCTACTGGCAGGGGTCGGCACATTGGGCTGCAAGAATGCACGATCTAAAGGGTCAGTCTCCAACAACTTCACCCCGCATCCGAGTGCACACATACTTGCGATCGAAGGGTCAATCCGGGGAGGAGCTCCAGGTCGGCCAGACTTGGACGTCAAATGGTCTGGCGACTCGAACCCCGCGGAGGGGGCGGCGATGGAATGGGCGCAACGGGGACTAGCAACAGCATCAGCGCTGGTCATCGAACTGATGCCGGCATGCACATACCATGTTCTGAGGGGGCGCACACATGGTCGCCCATCACCGAGATCTCAACATCGCAGCCACAGTTGGAGCACTTGATGGAGGGCAACATGCCCATCATCGAAGCCATCTTTCACCAAAAAAAAGAAAATAACACCAAAGAAAACAATATCGGGAGACCACTCGGGGTCGATTTCAGGCCGATTGCCCCAGCTTCATCGAGGTGGGCTCGAATTTGATCCGGGGGTTGTTTTTCAAGCCCTGGGATGTTGGATGTTTTCTGGAAGAAAGAAGACCAGGATGAAATGTTAACCCCAGTCACAGACTAAAGAGGCCGATCGCAGTTGCTATCAGCCTGACCCAGCGCAGCGCACTAACAGCGTAGCGTCTCCAGCGCGGAAAGGGGATTCGTAAGATTGTGTGGTTCAGGGGGGAGATGTTCTGCCGGGTCATACACACCTCTTTTACTTCTCGTTGCACCGAATATTATCCCGGGACTTTTGCGTTGATTTATTTTGGTGTATTCTATTCTTCTTCTTCTTCTTCTTCTTCTTCTTCTTCTTTTCTTCTGCTCCTTTCTCTTTTTTTTTGGAAATTCGCTTCTCCATTCTCCTGAGTGCCCGGACCGCGATCTTCCTTCAGGGGCCGAAGTACGCAACACGGCTCACTGTGGAGCATCGCCAGAGCAATCACACAGGGTCCCCTCCTCGACATTCTGGGGCTCACTGTACTATGACTGGCTGGTGCCTGGCAACTCATCGCCTCCACTGGCCCCAATCACATTGCTCACATCGTGGACTTCCCTGATCGGTGGAGATGATGCCCCAGGGGTTACATCTGGATCGGTACATTGCTATATACAGACACGACCGTATCGGAGCCACAGGAGTACAGAGATACATGGATTCAATGCTGAAACACTGCAAACTGGCCCCCAACCGGGCATTTCAATCCTCGTGGTCGAGGCCATACCTTGGTCGCTACGGAACTATACTCCGTTTGTCCCTTCACCCCCTGGGACACAGATGAACTTCTTGGGGTGCCTAATCTGATCCCTGGTCATGGTATTTCAGTGGATGAGGCCTCCCGCAACCTTTTTCTATTCTGAATCAAGTTTAGGGAAGCAAGCATTTCGCCCTGTTCCCTCATGATTGGCTTCATGGGCTTCATGGGCTTCATGGGGGCCAGAGAGTCAGGGCGGGGGCCAACTGAGGATTGCGTGCACTGTTCCTTCGTACAGTAACAATTCTGGGGCGTGGTCCACAAGGAACACAGCCCGCAGGGTAGGTTCCAAAGGGTCAAAAAAGGTGTTGCCAAACTCCATACATAATCTCAGTGCACGCCCCAGGTCTCTCGGAGCTGCCGTTGGAGTGCATGAGTCGGCCAGCCGTGCAGCGAATCCATTCGGGTCAAGACCTGGACCAGCTGGTCTTGTTGCCGACGATCGGTAAATCGATCACCACCTATACTCGCGATTTAGCTGGCGCTGTCCACGCGATGGTCCTTGGGTCATTGGTTTGCCCCTTACAGAGATGAATAGCCATGCACCCAACCACCATGGCAGGAGGGACGGAAGTATTGGACAGGGCGACACCACATACCTTCCATACTCCCTTGCGAATTTGATCCTAAATGATCAAAGTCAATCGTTTCCGGCCCAAGGCAGAACTGACCCATTTCACTTACGTCGGCTTCTCGAACAACACGTCTTCGCAGAGGCCCGACCAGAGGCAGATCAGGGTCGTGCACCGAAAGTAGGATCCGTGCGAGGTCGGCATACTGGTTGCCAATCACTAGGGCCCGGTGACCGTTAGCGTGCCGTCATGGAGAAGGATGCACAAAAACCATGAGGACCCATATTACCATGCCATGCAGAGCTGAAACGAATGTCTGGAAAGGCAGTTCCCACCTCCACTTCATCATTACCGACAAAATATGGGTCGAAGGATGCCGGGTGCGTGTCGCTCCATTGTTGATTCTTTTCTCGTAGCTCCGCATGCACCGCCGCCGACCGCGGACCTGCGCCAAAGGAAAACAGGAGAACATCCGCGCAATGCGCAATCGCTTGGTTTGCCCAGGCGCAGTCGCCGTCGTCCGGGCCGAGGGGACTGAAGTGAGAATGAAGCGAGCTGAGGTCAATGTCGGGAGCTTGCTGCAGGCTCAATGCATTGTAGATTTCCTGGCGCAGCCCACTCCAGTAGACAGCCTGTCGTAAGCTGGGAGTCGTCGTCACTGACGTTGGTGGTCCCTGAATAAAAGCTTTGGTTCCAAAGGAATGGCCACGAAGATCGGACCCCGCCAGTGGGACTAGGATCACCATTAACCGGGATGCTCCTGAAACATTTGCGGCCAGAAAGGGTCCACTGCTTACCGTCATACTCTTCCAACAGCCGGAGAATGACGGTGGCCGCCAGCAGGTCGTCGTCCATAGTGACCCCGTGATCATCCAGTGCTGGTATCAACGTCTCAAGGCACGCCTGGTAGTAGTGGCCCGACACATACGGGTCAAAGGATGCCGTGCGGCTGAGATGACGGGCGGACATGGCCAGAATTGCGTTGAACAACGTCTCGCAGTACCGAGCGCGATATGGGATGTGGACCGCGAAATGCTGCTGGCGATCGGTGCAGTCGAACTGAATCAATGCGGTCAGCCTGGACAACGACGGTGATGATGACAGCAATGCTCACAAACGGTGCCACTGTCTCAACAAAATGTTGCAATAGCCGCGCCTCTTCGGGATCCCGTAAGGGCCAGGATCGCTGCTTGGGACGGCCTGCTTCACTCTGGCTCATTGATAGACTTCCCTGTTGTTGTGTAGGCGTGGGGATTGGCTGCTCTGCTACAGTATGTAACTCCTGTGTAGTGCTGGGTTGTGAGTTTGTGGGATTCGAGGCCCCTTCTGGGATAGAAGCTGAACCGCCATCGTCGCCATGTAAACCCCCTTCGGCTGGCGACAGAACGCTGGGCACGTTATCCACCACATCATCGGATGTCCCACTCCCAGGCTCGAGTACAAAGTCAACTATCCCAGAGAACCCATTGTTAGAGGCATTCGGTAGAAGTTGTGAGGGGAGTCCAACCGCGCGGTGGTGGCCGTAGCCAAACCTGGTTTCGGGGAAATCGAGTCCGCGAAGCCTGGCTCTTCGCCTGTCGAAACCGAGTTTCGCGCTGTCCTCGTACACAAGCCCGACCGGTTCGAGCACATCGACCGCATTTCGGCAGATTTCCGTCGCCTGTTCAAATAGTGAGATGAAGCTCGCTCGCGGGGGGATGTGCCCACTGACACTTATGATGTAATAGGCGACACGAATCGCTGCTGCGCGTCAGCCTCCATCTTATAGAAGTACAAGCGGTACAGAAGAGGGCTTGGGCTCTCACCAGCACTGGGATTTAGGCGCAGCCGTCATGACCAGCGAGGATATTTTGGAGAGTTGGCGTGGGGAAGTCTCCGCTGCGGGGGGCAATTTCTGCGGGGGCCCGTGATCCAAGTGCCGCCATGGGATGTATACAACGACTTCAACATGATGTGATTTTGACCGGAATGGACAATTTTTGTGTATCTTGTGAATGGAAATTGGTGGGAACTCGTCCGATGTATTTAGGACTATCTAATTGCTCTCCAGAATCGACTCCGCCAAAATATATTTCGCTCATATCCGGAGTATCCCCTAGAAGCCCAGTCCGATTGTATGGCAGCACAGAATGCGAAACGTGCTTGCTAGAGCCAAACCGTTCAAGCTCTTCAACCACCGGTGCTTTCGATGCCATACCTGATCTTTTTGCAGCATGGCAAACTACTGGCTGGCGAGATCTTGATTCTTCAGTATGTCGTTCAGCAAAATCGCTGGGTACCAGAGGCTACAGAGTTGTACTATCGGGCTCTTAGGCATTTTACCCAAATTCCGGATGTTGATGATTCACCTCGGTCATGGCTTTCCACAAGAATCTAGCCGGTTCATCAGCCATCAATCTAGATAGACCACTATTCCTCAAAGATTCTGGAAATTCTTGCAAACCTTTGGGGCCCTGTGGGCTACATTGTCCATCTGGATTCCGGCTCAAGGATTGGAATGCCAAGAGACCAACAATTCAGAATGCAGTAACTCATGAGCTTGGGTGTGGTGATCCTCCGGAAAACATCCCAATTTCGCTTGCATGCGTTCGCATCTGGCTGCCTCCAAGTCCACGTTGGCGGGCCAGTCAGGATCGCCACGGCTGTGCGTGAGAGGTTCTCACTTGGCTCCATGGGTCTGAGGCAGCAGAACTCGAAATGCAAGAGATCCAGGGCTCAATGGAGTTTGAGCATACTGTGAGCGAGGCCAGTTGGAAGGATATATTTACCATGCCCGTCTTGCGAGTCACCCCGCTGGGGATGAGCGTTCAGTTCTTGCAGCAGATCACTGGGACCAATTCGATCCTCTATTATACGGTGAGCCTGTTCCATTGAATGTTGATTGTGGCGCACCCACTAACAATAAACCCACCAAGTCTCTTTGAACGAGGTGGAATCACCGACCCTCGGACTGCAAACCTGGCCACTGGCGGTGTGGGCATCGTGCTTTTTGTCTCCTCGTGGGTTTCCATTTTCTTCTTCGACCAGCTGGGCCGCAAAACGTGGCTTGAAATCGGAACAGTGGGCATGGCGGGAGCAATGGTTGGCATCACCGTACTGCAATCGCATGCAGAGAGCCACCCGGGAGATAGCGCCAAATACATGATTCTCATGTTCTCATACCGGTTTTATGTGTTCTTCAACATCAGCTGGGGTGTAGGATCGTGGACGTATGCAGCGGAAATCTTCACAGTCTCGATGCGAGCCAAGGGCAATGCGCTGACAACCGCATCGCTGTGGGCGGCGTGTTATCATTGCCGATGCTGTTGGCTGGGGTTTATATATTATCTACTCGGGAATTTGCATAGTGGCGTTTTTCTTGGTTCGATACGTGTTAGGCTGATGTTCTTCTCACGTATCTCTGCATGCTTACCCTTACTGACACTTTTGGATCTCTGTAGTGGGAACTCGGGGCCGCATGCTGGAAGAAATGTCCCCTGTCTTTGGGATCGAAAGCCAGCTCGCGGAGCGAAGTGGTGTTAAGCCAACCCACGCTGGACAAGACCGTATGGAGGAGCATGTTGAAAATGTAGGGGTGGCAGAGCAATAATGGGCCTGCTGTTTTGTGGCTTCTAGGCGCTCGAAGGTTGGAAGAAGAAGCTGTTTTGATGTCCAAGTAGATCGGGAATGAATACATTGAAAAGCACCTTCTCTGCGGTCCCCGACATCCAAAGCATCACGGTTGATTTCCTGGGTTTCACGAGGGATACGAAAACGAAGGGACCCCAGAAAGCGTTCCAGGGGGCAATCCCATGTTGCGTTCGATTCGAGTGCGCTCTCTCTCAAAAAAGACGGCATCGGGGTCGGCAGTGTGGTAAAATTTCAGTGTTTTCACTAGCTCAATCCTGGAGAAGAGCTCGACGTAGTCATCCACATCGGATGACGACGATCTCATAACGGCTACGTCTTTCTTCACCTGGCGTCCGATTCAGCGCGAGGCAATCGAGCTTTTGGGGTCATTTGCACCCTCGGAATGGTAGACATAGTAATACCAGTGGTCCACGGGCTGGTGCGGGTAGAACTTGCCGGCTTCGTCGGTGGTAGGCCAACCCATTCGCTGCTTCAGCTCTCGCATCTCGGCGGACCAGTTCCCATGTGCCTCGAGGGTGAATGGCTCCACATAGTCAGAGTCGTTGATTTCAGTGGCCGAGGTAGGAGGAGCTCGGATGAGGAAACAGTTGTATTTCTGGGCGCCGGCGCAGTTGGCCTTGTGAGTGTTCCAGTCGTTTCGCTGGCAGGACAAGCTGCAGTAGTGAGCCTTGGGGGCCGAGCACGCCGAGCAGACGCGAGAGCCTTCGTTGGTACAGTTGCTGGCAGCGCAAACCGTCGTGTGAGTACCGTGGTGGTTGTGTGGAGGAGATTCGGTGAGGAAAGCAGATCTTGACGCGTTGATCAAGCGATCGGGCGAAACCTAGAGACCCATGCAAGGAACAACCAACTCTCGAGGGAATATTCGCAAGATTCATCAAAATGACATTCGCCCATTGTTTCTACTGTAGCTTTCGAATTTCCCGGCAGAGGCATACTATGCATACACCATGCATGCCCTTCTATTCCTTTTCCCTGCAATGTCCCCTGCAATCAGCAGCCGAGGTGGACCTGCCAAGGCACTTCAGACCGCCAGTTTGGAACCCCGCGGAGATTCGCACGGATCACTTGGGGGGACGTGGCATGGAGGGGTTCAACGGCGATGCAAAGAAAATCCCGGATCTTCTTCAGTGTCTTGAAGGGTCCTGAGGTGCTGAGAATTGGCTCGCAACAGATCAAGCTTCATGGGAAAATGGAGCCGGAAGTGAATGAGAGCCAGGTACCAGGGGGGGGGGGTCCGGGAACGGAGTGTCCCGGCTTTTCGCACACAATTTCTCTGCGGATGCCACTTTGCCTGTAGCCAATGCAGGCACCAGATGAGGTGGATTCGGATCGGCAGGATGTGCCCAACACTGCTCAACCAAGACCCGAAACGGTGTAGGCTGAGAACTGGAAGGATTTTAGTTAGGTCAAAGCATAAGGAAATTAGTGGGAAAATGACAGGAAGTAATCACAAGGGAAGAAAAAAAATTCTGAAGAGAAAAAGGAGGAATTGAGGGAAAAGAGAAAAAAGACAGAAAGGGGAAGCCGGGGGAGTCCCCGGAGCCCCGGCACGTGTGGACTGCTATTTAACCTCCCCCCCCCCCTCCTCTTCCTCTTCTTCTCTCTCTACACAATTCTCTTCCGTTTCTCTTAGGTTCGTATAAACCTTGTCAGCAGGTTTGATCACATCTCTTCCGAGACGTGGTCACATAACAACCGCCACCATTTTCGCCACACTTCTTAACTCGTGAGTTCCCGTTTCCGGCGCGAAAACAGCAATTGCACCCATTGCGGTCGATCCGCCATCTCCAGGTCGCAATTGCCCTGTCAAGAGCCATGTTGCTAACCTCTCCTGTCTAGGCGGCACCACCCGTTCAACGGCCGACGCTCATCCAACCGCGGAGGAGCATCGGACTGCGCACCTTTCATCCGCTAAAGCAACTCCACTTCCCCAAGTACCTCTTTTCATTCGTCTCACGCGCCCTCCGCTGTGAACGCAATGGCTCCCCACGCAAGCTCGGATGTTGCCAATGGCGCCGTGAACGGGTCGGCTCGCCAAGAACCCTCCCCTCTGTTTACTGTCAACTCGCCTAATGTCGTCTATACACCGGACGAGATCAAGAGTCACTATGCCTACCACACCACTGAGGTGACTCGCTCCGCGGATAACCAGCTGGTGGCCACCCCCAAGTCGTCCAACTACAACTTCAAGGTTGACCGCAAGGTCGGCAAGGTCGGTATGATGCTGGTCGGCTGGGGTGGAAACAACGGCTCCACTGTGACTGCTGGCATCCTCGCCAACCGCCGCGGCCTGTCCTGGGAGACCCGCGAGGGCAAGCAGGCAGCCAACTACTACGGTTCCGTCGTCATGAGCTCCACGGTCAAACTGGGCACCGACGCCAAGACCAGCGAGGAGATTAACATCCCCTTCCACGACATGTTGCCTATGGTCCACCCTAATGACCTGGCTATTGGCGGTTGGGATATCAGCAGCCTGAACCTGGCCGAGTCTATGGACCGGGCTCAGGTGCTGGAGCCCACCCTCAAGAACCTGGTCCGCAAGGAAATGGTCGAGATGAAGCCGCTGCCTAGTATCTACTACCCCGACTTCATTGCCTCCAATCAGGAGGACCGTGCCGATAACGTCGTTGAGGGCACCAAGGCCAGCTGGGCTCACGTCGAGAAGGTCCAGAAGGACATTCGGTAAGCGTGTGCTTTCTCCCCCCCATGTAGGATCCATTTCTAACCCAGTCACAGCGAGTTCAAGGCTCAGAACGGACTGGACAAGGTGGTTGTCATGTGGACCGCCAACACTGAGCGGTACGCTGACATCATCCCGGGCGTGAACGACACTGCCGACAACCTGATCAACTCGATCAAGACCGGCCATGAGGAAGTCGCCCCGTCTACCGTGTTCGCCATTGCCTCGATCCTGGAGAACGCCCCGTTCATCAACGGCTCGCCGCAGAACACCCTTGTTCCCGGTGCCCGCGAGTTTGCCGAGCAGCGCAAGGCCTTCATCGGAGGTGACGACTTCAAGTCGGGCCAGACTAAGATGAAGTCGGCCCTCGTTGACTTCCTGATCAACGCCGGTATCAAGCTCACCTCCATTGCCAGCTACAACCACCTGGGAAACAACGATGGCAAGAACTTGAGCTCTCAGAAGCAGTTCCGCTCCAAGGAGATCTCCAAGTCCAACGTGGTCGACGACATGGTGGCGGCCAACTCGATCCTGTACGAAAAGGACGAGCACCCCGATCACACCGTCGTCATCAAGTACATGCCGGCGGTTGGTGACAATAAGCGTGCCCTCGATGAATACTACGCCGAGATCTTCATGGGTGGTCACCAGACCATCAGCCTGTTCAACATCTGCGAGGACTCACTGCTGGCGTCGCCCTTGATCATCGATCTGGTGGTGCTCGCCGAGATGATGACCCGTGTCAGCTGGAAGGAGGACGCCGAGGGCGCCGAGTACAAGGGCTTCCACAGCGTTCTCAGTGTGCTCAGCTACATGCTCAAGGCTCCCATGACCCCGCCGGGAACCCCCGTGGTCAACGCTCTGGGCAAGCAGCGCTCCGCTCTGATCAACATCTTCCGGGCCTGCGTCGGTCTTCAGCCCGAGTCGGATATGACCCTGGAGCACAAACTGCTCTAGAGCACCCGCTGTTCTGGATGTGGTGTCATGCCGAGTTTGCTGGGCCTTTGATGGTCTAATGTTCCAACTATAGTCACTCGTTACGTTACCAATTCAGAAATTTGCGCACTTCCATTATTTTGCCATTTTGCCATTCAAGGTCTGACATTTGTAGATGTGTGAGTAGATAACATGCTATAGACTCATTCCCTCCTAACCCTGTGTACGTCCAATATCCGAGTACGCGTTCAGGGCGAGCTGTCCACCCAGATGAGCATATAGGACATTGCCGCCCTGGATCTCCCCACGCCGGATCAAGTCGATCATTCCTGCAAAGCTCTTGCCCTCATACACCGGGTCCGTGATAAAGGCTTCCATGCGCGCAGCATATTCGATCGCGTCCCACGTCTGACGATCGGGAATACCATAGGTGCCCGCGTGGTATCGATCATCAAGAATGACATCGTCGTCAGTGATATCGTCGGCTGTCAATCCAATACGGGCAGCCGTGTTGCGAGCAATACGCAGGACCTGGGCACGAGTAGCCTCGACGGTAGCCGAGCCATCGATGCCGATGATCTTGCGCTTGGGGTCGGTCGGGTGCAACCGCTCCAGCAACTTGAAGCCAGCGATCATGCCGGCAAAGGTCGAGCCGGTGACGGCGCAGACGAGGACAGTGTCGAAAAAGTCACCCTGGGCCTGTTCCTGCTCGCGGACTTCAAATGCCCACCGAGCGAAGCCCAGTCCACCCAGCGGATGATCCGAGGCACCGGCCGGGATATAGTAGGGGCGTTGACCCTGGGCAGTGCACTCGTCAACAACGGCCTGGGCAGTTGTCTTGTGCTCAATGCCGAATCCGGATGGATCCAGACGAACATCAGCGCCCATTAGACGCGACAGCTGGATATTGCCGACGGTTTCATAGCCGGGATCGACCCAGTCCACCCAATGTTCTTGGACCAAGCGTGCTTGCAGGCCGGTGCGCGCAGCGACGGCAGCCACCTGGCGCGTGTGGTTGCTCTGGATGCCACCGATAGAGACGAGCGTGTCACAACCTTGAGCCTGGGCATCGGCAAGCAGGTATTCCAGCTTACGGGTTTTGTTGCCACCATAGGCATATGCGGAGTTTAGGTCATCGCGCTTGGCGTAGATGGTGACAGGTGAGTGCGGGCTGTTGCGTGCGAGATCGGCGCTGATGCGGGGGAGGGCGTGGATAGGCGAGGGGCCCAGCAGCAGCGAAGTGCGTGGGATGGAAGAGAAGGGCTCTGGGAGAGCGACGTCTTGGGCCATTGTTGGTTGGGGCTTGGGACTGAAACAGTAAGAAGACGGAGTAGATGTATCACGAGTATGGGTAAAGACCAAAAAGGTGCAGGTTCCAGTTATCAAAGACACAATTTCAATTGAATCCAACCTGACGTACTGGGCAGAGGGGTGGTTTTATACCCCTCATGGACATCGTCCGGAGACACACCTACACGACGATCACCTCATTGGGGTCTTTATCAATCGACTCCAAAACGGCTTTCCTCCCGACGCCCGAAATCGGACAGCTTATCGTTTCCACGAGAGTGGACGTGCGTGTCATTGCCCCGATAGCTGTGGTTGTCAGTGGAGACGGCAGATGCTCGATATCGGACCCGAGAGTAAGCGGAGTATGCGTGTACATAGATGCAGGAGTATGAGTCGCCTTAGATCCCCCTGACCACCCACGCTGCTCCACTGCTTGACCCCAAGGTACGGCGGGGTGAGGACCTTGCGTGTTCCCCGTAGCCCTACAAAGCCCGTCTGTCTCCCTCCAGACGAGAGACTATGGTCACTGGGAGTCTCACAGAAAACATCGAGTCATATTTCACATTCAAGTCTTTTTAATCTGTCACTAGGAGTCTCCATATCTATTTCATATCCACAACGCAGCGCACGCAGTCGCCCTGCTTCATCTGCTCGAAGGCGCTGTTGATTGCATCCAGCGGCTGGCGGTGGGTGATGAACTCATCCACCTTGAGCTCGCCATTCAGGTAGTCGTCCACCAGGCCCGGCAGTTGCGAGCGGCCCTTGATGCCACCGAACGCACATCCCTTCCACACACGACCCGTCACCAGTTGGAATGCTGTACAGAATGGTCAGATAAGAAAACCATCAAGGGGAAAAAAGGAGTTGAGATTCAGAGCAAAGTGACTTACGTCGAGTGGAGATTTCCTGGCCTGCGGCTGCGACACCAATGACGATACTCTCACCCCAGCCCTTGTGGCAGGCCTCGAGGGCCGCACGCATGACACCGACGTTGCCGGTGCAGTCGAAGGTGTAGTCGCAGCCACCGTCGGTCATCTCGATCAGGCGTTCCTGGATGCTCTGGCCAGAGAGCTTGGTGGGGTTGACAAAGTCAGTGGCACCGAACTTGCGAGCCCACGCCTCCTTGCCGTCGTTGACGTCGACAGCAATGATCTTGCCAGCCTTGTTCTTCACTGCACCCTGCATCACCGACAGTCCAACGCAACCCGCGCCGAACACGGCCACGTTGGAGCCCTCCTCTACACCGGCCGTGACTACGGCAGCTCCGTAGCCGGTGGTGATACCGCAGCCCAGCAGGCACGAGCGGTCGGTGGAGATCTTGGGGGTCACTGCCACAACTGAGATGTCGGCCACAACGGTGTACTGAGAGAAGGTCGAGGTGCCCATGAAGTGGAGGATGTCCTTGCCACGGGCCTTGAAGCGAGAGGTGCCGTCGGGCATCACACCCTTACCCTGGGTGGCACGGATCTTGCCACAGAGGTTGGTCTTGCCAGACTTGCAGAATTTACATTCACGGCATTCGGGGGTGCTAGACTCGTCAGCCAGGTGCTGGGTGGAGCTTGCGATAAGGCATACATACTAGAGAGCGACAACATAGTCGCCAGGCTTGACCGAGGTCACACCCTCACCGACCGATTCAACGACACCGGCACCCTCATGTCCCAGGACGATCGGGAATGCGCCCTCCGGATCCTTACCCGAGAGAGTGTAGGCATCTGGTGGTGTCAATGTTTTCCATGTTCTCCGGTTTCCGGCGGGGCGAGGGGTTCGTGGGGCTTACCTGTGTGGCAGACACCAGTGTGGTGAATCTGAATGCGCACCTCATGCGCCTTGGGAGGGGCAACCTCGACATCCTCAATTGACAGGGGCTCAGCAGCACCCCAGGCAATAGCAGCCTGGAAAGAATCTTTAGTCAGAGGAAACTCGCCGGATACCGACGTCATGCGGGGCAGTTGGATCGTACCTTGCAAGTGATAGTCTAAGGCATGAGTTAGCGGGCTGGCGAAGTCGCAAAATAGACGCCAAGGATGATTTACCTGTCCAACTGTGCTGGCCATTTTGTATGAAGTCTTGGGATCACCGGGGTTCCTTGAGCGCTGTGAGCAGCTTGGGGGGTAGGGGATGAAAACGGAAGGAGTTTCAACTCACGAGATAGAGATGACAGAGATGGAAATCAAATGAGCGAAAGAAGGGTTTTTGAAGGGAAAATTGGGAGTGGAGCCTCTCGGAGACGTAATGAGGGGGATGGGGGGGGGGGGACGATGAGGAGTGAGGGGAGTTGCTTGAAGGCTCTTGGGTATTTCCGTGTGTCTCTGGCGACCCCCCCCCCCACTTTGCGATATCACCGGTGCCGGCCCCGATTTGCACGTTGTGATCCACCTGCTTTATCTTCGAATGCACCGAACAGGTAATCTTTTCCGGGGTTGGGCTTGTTCAAGATATATCCAGGACAGTCGCCTTGGCATGAAATATTCAATACTGTACCACTCTACTATTTCTATACAGATTCTATACATACATGCTGAGACCTATCCATGGATATTGCCCAGACCAGAGGAATGAGAAGGATTTTTTATATATAGACAAAACAATCAGGATCGTCTTGTCCAATTCTCTATTTTACACGGAGAAGAGCGGATCCGGTCTGCCTCCTCGCCAATGGACCCAGGATCACAGTGACCGCACCCAAGTCGCCAGGCTATACCCTGACTGAAAGTAGGCCCAATATGTTGTGGTCCTGGAAAGTATCCTCCACACAATATCCTCGCACGGAATTTACCGACCGGGTCCCTGGGCACCCTGCATCATGGCGGCATTCTGTTCCTGGAAGCGCTCATTCAATCGCGCGGAGCCCTTGAGGTGCTTGTCGACACAGCGCAGGACACAGCTCTCTTCACGGTTGATGAGAGACTTGGTGGTGAAGTCATTGACACAGTCATCGAAGCATCGCTGGACCATCTTGGAGTACATCTGTAGGAAACGGCGAAATCAGACCGGGTGTTTGGGAGAAGGGGACGCAACCGAGGGATCCCGACGGCTGTCATGAACAGTCGAGAGGAATCACAGAGAACAGTTCAGTAGGTTGGACATACAGTCATGAATTCCTTCATTTGCTTCCGCTCCATGCGAGAAGCGAACTCGCGCTGCTCCGAGGCATTGAGTCTGCACGGGGATTAGCATGAAATTTCAACAGAAACAAAACATCCAGCAGATGCCAGATTCATTGCAAAGACTAACCCATCCATGATATAAGAGGTAAAAATGAAGGAAGAAACGAATCAAATCGTCAAGAACTGGAGGATGGCAGGATTGGTTGAGACCAGAAAACACACCTGTGAAGCTCGACCCAGCTGTTTCTCGGCGCATCAAAGTATCTCCGAGCCCCCGAGGTCTATGTCATGTGGTGTCAGGTGATACCAGATAGTCACCTGACCTACCCGATTGCGTCCGGAGAGGCCTGGGGTTGCACCGTCATCAGTCTGGTCGTTCTCGTTTCATCCTGATTCAAACATCTTCATGTTCGCTTTCCTTTTATTTTATTTTATTTTTTTTAATTTTCCATTCTCATGCTAATGAATTAATTGATTCTTTCTTCTAAGATACAAACATCCTATTCTCATGTTACCAACATTGGTTGTCCGTGGATCTGTCTCCTTATACTTGGCCCTGGTGCCTGAAGGCCAGAACTGTGGACACACGGGTGAGACAAGTTGGCCAAAATGGCCCCTTCAAAGGGTCCCGACACTTCAGTCATTCTGAGGGGTTGTAGTCTTCTGTAGTCTTCCGTCGTCTTTTTGTAGCAGTAAATAAGACCGAGTTTCATCACCCCCGTTTCATGAGAGAAGTCGCTTAGATCGAATCCTCACCTTCGAGGGGTCTCCTTCCACTTGGCTCGAGCCCCACCCTTTTTCCCAAGCTTCCCGGAACCCTTTCGCACCCCTTCATCCGCCCCTTTCTCTCAACTGTGGAAGCCCCTCGATCTGCCTTCTTAGCTTGTTGCGACTTTTGGGCTTTCTTCTCAGGGCGGTGACGGCCCCCTTCGACTTTCTCGTCGACACTTGCGCATCGATCTCACCGTCGCATCTCCTCGGGCTCACCATGGTCACCGGTAAATCGCAGCCTGGCGCCGAGCCAATCCAACCATTCCCTGCTACCTCTCCTGAACCCGCCGGCTCGAGCTCTCCACCCTCTAGGCGTGATCTCGCTTCGTGGTGGAGACAGTTCAAACGGAACACGAGGAAGGATGAACTCAAAGGTATGGCAGTCGTGTGGTGGGAACAAGACGAGCGACCGATGTGCATTCGGGATTTTCGGTGTTTCGAATGTCCACCGTTCCTGGTTCGCGGCGTCTCGCAACCACTTGACCCTCCTTCAGTCTGGGTTTGCTCTGCCGCGGAGCAGTCGGACATCTCAATCCCTCATCCTGTGTCGCGAAGCAAGTCCCGCTTCACATGAGATATCGCCTTCCTCTTGCTCCTTTCAGCTCTATTAGACCAGTCGGCTAATTTGCTCTCGCGACAGACACTCCTCGAGGCATCTTCAGTGTACCCCTCAATGTCAGCATCAAGTACGCCAACGTCGCCATTTCTTTGACCAATGACCACGGCGAGAGCTTCATTTATGGATACGTGCCGATTGTTGTCGCCAAGTGCGGTGTGTTCCTCAAGGAAAAAGGTTCGTCCTCATACTATTACTATTCCAGCAGCCTATCACTGACTGGCGGTATCAGCAACGGATGTCGAGGGCATCTTCCGTCTCAATGGGTCAGCCAAACGCATCAAGGATCTGCAAGAGATCTTTGATTCTCCCGAACGGTATGGAAAGGGGCTGGATTGGTCCGGTTATACTGTGCACGATGCGGCCAATGTCCTCCGTCGGTACTTGAACCAGCTGCCCGAGCCGATTGTCCCTTTGGAATCCTATGAGCGGTTTCGCGAGCCCTTGCGGATCTACCAGAAACAGGTCCAGGACAACCAGGAAACGACCGATGCAGAGAAATTTGACCACACTAAGGCGGTCGAAACCTACCAACGCCTGATCATTGAGTTGCCTCCGCTGAACAAGCAGCTACTTCTCTACATCCTTGATCTCCTCGCTGTATTCGCCTCCAAGTCCGATCAAAACCGCATGACCTCAGCCAATCTGTCCGCCATCTTTCAACCCGGATTACTCTCTCATCCCCAGCACGACATGTCCCCGGAGGAATACAAGTTGAGCCAGGATGTCTTGATCTTCTTGATCGAGAACCAGGATCATTTCCTTTTCGGGATGAGTGGCACCGCAGCAGACGAACAAACTATGAAGGAGGTTGAAGCCGGTGTGGCCTCGTGGCCGACCTCGCACTCCAATATCCGGCGCTCGGTCTCGAGCGCTAGCGGGAGCACCGAAGGCCCCCGCAAGCTGGACACGCTGCGCCGCAATGTCTCTGTGTCATCCCGCAACTCCCGCAACTCGAATACAGCCCCCAGCCCAGGAACTCCTACATCCATGTCTGGTGGTGTCCATCGAAGTAATACCTTACCATCGAAGATGGGCCCTGTCATCACCTCTGCTCGCTTTGCGCGATCAAATGAAACCGGCTCGGCCAATCCGTCCGGTCTCTCTGTTTCCCACCATAGCTCCCGGTCGGCGAGCCGAACTCCTTCAGTCCGTGAGGAGAGTGAGCAGCCAAACCCCAACCAACCGACGTCGGGGTCATCCACGCCAGGGAACTCATATGTTCACACATCAACCCACGGTCCTGTACCTATGGCGGCAGCTGGACGCATGAGTCTTAGCGAGACCCCTCGACCCCAGGAGAACCTGCAACCTCCAACCTCTCCACCCCCGCAGGTGGTGACACCGACCCGCGAACGCAAACTCTCCAGCTTGTTCGCCAAGTCTCCGCCTGCGGATGGGGAGCAAAAGGAAATCCGGCAACCAAATCGACTGAGGAAGAAACGTATTCCCGGAAGCGCCAGTGTGAGTGCACAAAGCTCATCCAATTCTCTACACAACCCAGTCTTGGAATCCAATCCAGACACGGGGTCGGAGTCCAAACAAGAGCGACGCTCGGTGGACGTCGCAGTGGGAGAGACCACCCCGCGTCCTAGCAACACCGCAACTCTGGGCGCTCGGGAGAACCCGTCGGACCTGAACCCGGCGCTAGGAGAATCCAGCTCGCAACCCAACACCGAACACTCCCTTCGACCACATCAATCCCGTACTCCGTCCATGAACTCCCGCTCCTCTTTCACCGATCAGTCGGATCTCGATCAGCCCGAGGACGGGACCCGTTCAGACCGCCGCGATAACCGCCGCAGTTGGCGGTTTCCGCGCTCCTCCAAGCGAAGTAGCGATCAGATTGGGCTAGGTGTCGCGTCCCCACCTCTACTGGCGACCAATCCAGGTGCAGAGCAGAGCAGCAGCTCGATCGGTAGCGGTCAGCATCAAACCGCGGACCCGTCCAGCCAACCCCTCAGCTTGGATGCTGGGGTTCAAGGCCAAAATGCCACTGCCTCCGACTCGGAGAAGAAAAGTCTGTTTGGAAAGTTCAAAGCCAAAGTCGCCTCGGTTCGTGACGGAGGGAAGGATGAACGAGAACGAACCAAGAGTCCAAACCGACCAGACACAGACCCCTCGGCCACCACCCAACCCTTGTCCCCTGTGAATGCAGAACAAGCCAACGGCAAGTCTCCTTCAATCGAAGTACCCCAAGAGCCTGCCAAAGAGGAGTCTGTCCGCTCCCCGGTTTCACCCCTTTCTGGATCTGGTCTTCCCCCTGCGATTCCCGAGGAACCGCACAGTCCAGAGGCACCCTCTGCCCCTGTTGCAGACTCACCCAAAGAGGATGCGCAAGCACCACCTAGCGAAAGTGTACCTACGTCTGAGCCGACCATATCTGACCCACCGAAGGAGACTGGGCCTTCGAGTTGAGTGCCTTTGGTCCCCTGTGTGTGTTTTCATACTCTGGGGTGGAGTCATCGGGTCTTCTTTCCGCGTTTCTTATTCTTCCTTTTGCCGACAGCATTGGTCCCCTCCTATCCCTTCTTTCCAACCCCCCATTCAATTGGGTGAGAACGATGACCCAGAGTATACCGATGGTGTCGAATGTGCATTCGGCGTTGACCGGCGCTTTCGCTCTATTTGTTTGTGGCTTCTTTTTATCGGAATTCCGTGGCATTCGTGTTTTTAGTTCTCTTGACGATTTTATTATTTTCTTTAGGATACACCCTGCTTGGTGGCAGCTAGCCCACTCCTGTGTGTGCCATGCATCCCTGCCCTCCCCCTTCCCCCTCCTCCCCCCTTTTACCCTCGAATCTTTGTTCATATTAGCCTATCCTCGAGCTCCCGTTGGTCATGTTGCCATGTGGTATGAATGTATGTACGTCCCTATGCGATCGCAGCCGGTCTGTTTTGATGTTTCCAGTCTGTAGCCTAGTTGGGCGCATTTGGGGTATCGAAAATGAAAATCCCTAGAATTGGATTGAAATATGCGACTTTGTCATTCTTGCTGCTGAGTAGTCATGTCAGCTAGTGGGTTGACGGGCCATAATCTGTCAGTAGAGTATCTTCAAATGCCGACCTGTTTATTCTCGTGGTTCATAGATGTCTGTCGCCTAGGAGTATCGGGCAAAAATATTTGATGCAAACAAGGCAAACATGTACCCTTCCCCGTCTTTATTTTCTTCGATTCCACCGAGAGCTCCCAGGAGACCAGGCAAATCCAATGAGTTCACAATGGCCTCTGAAACTGCCTCCCCTACTGTGAACTCCCCCTCCTCGACTCCGACACAGGCCCCCGTCGAGAAACCATCCACCCCACCGGTCAACATCCTCCCCTCGCCGACCGCGCGGATCTACTCTTTGGTGCACCCAGCCCTGCTGTTGACACTATGCACGCTCCGGTTTGAGGCATTGGTGGCAGATCCCATCCGGGAGCTTCTTGCAGATCTGCCCTGGTTAGCCTTTTTGCAAATCACCTACGTGTTGATCTGTCTTCCGCCGGCCGGAACAACCCCGACAGAGGCCAGTTTTCCGGCTCCGACTGATGGGGAAGATAAGAAGAAAACACCTCCCCGTTCTCCTTCGGGGCCTGGTGTGACTCTACGGCCTGGTAAACCCGGGCTTCGGCGAAAGCAACTTGCCGGAAAACATGATTTCGCTGGTGTCTGGGCCAAACTGATGGTACGTAAAGATCAGCATCCAATCCACCGCCAATCTTGGAGTCTCAATTGCTAACTCAATGGCTCAGCCCGCCTTCCTCTCGCTTTCGCTCACCTTTCTCCTGGCCACCCCGATTCTGGCCGTTCTCCTCGTCCTGTTCGGCGCCCCACTTACCACGCATAATCCCGAGACGGTTCTCTGCGCGGCCCACATAGCCCTGTTGTGTGCAACAGCGCTGGTGTATGTCCATGGTGTAGACGGTTATGTGTGGAAGGAGGTTTGGGGTATTTCCCGTCCTGCTGATGCGGTCTGGGGCAGTGCGCTTGGGACGGGGCTGGGAGCATGGTTTGGTGCTATTCCTATCCCGCTGGACTGGTGAGTTGTTAACATGCTATTGTGCCCAGAACATGGCGGGCAAGGAATTTCGCTAACTTGGATAAACAGGGACCGGCCGTGGCAGGCGTTCCCAATTACAATTCTGGTTGGGGCGTACATTGGGTATGCAGTAGGATCCTTGCTCTCTCGCACTCCACTGCTCTATGGGAAGCGAATCCAGTTCACGCCGGTGGAGGACGAGGAGGGAGAAAAGAAGACCAACTAATGAGGGTCTATCTTGCCTTAGTGTTATCCCAATTGTATCATGCGGAGAGTGAATATCCAACTTACTATAATATATCTTCCATGATCTGTACACAGTAGATAAAAAATAGCGTGAGAGAATCACCTATCGATACTAGACCACTATTGCCTGTTCTGCATTGACTGGCGAGGGTGTTAATCGTGAGTAACGCGCTCTCTCTTTTCTCTATCTTTTCCCTTGCTTAGAGGACACTTAAGTCAAACGTGTGTAATCTATGTGGTTTATTCTTATTTCTATCCCGGGGTGCGGGGGCTATTCGCCAAATCACCGACTTTATATATTGATTGATGTCTCCACATGATACCCTGGTGCTTCGTATGTTTCTATAAAAGTCTCTCCTTGATCAATGAGTATATACCCAAATTTTCCCTCAGAGAAGTTTATTGCTTGCCATACTACCTTGTCGATAAGATCCTCGCCTCGAAATGCAAGCTGAACTAAAACTCCCGACGGCGAGTACACTCGGAAGATGCCGAAGGGGTAATCAGGCTCGTTGCATTCTGTATCATCTGCACGACGCTGAGGATATCCTGTAGGGTTGTGACTTTTATTGGCCTTCTCCATCCCAAGGCCGTGGGAAGGCGTTCGTTTTCTATGATCGAAGATAAGCAGAGGTTAAATACTATTTATTCTATTCTGGTTACTTAACTCGCCAAAGAAGTATTCCACCAAGGACCGGTTGGCTGTTCCCGTTTTGATGTCTCCAAACGCAATAACTGGCGCGGCAACCTCCCCCAGACTAAATTGTTCAGTCTTTGGGGAAAAGCGATATGATGGATTGTATGCTTTGGAGTTGGTCTGGCGGGCGATTTTGCTGTTTGCCAGCATCTCAGCCGTGAGGATAGGTCCAGTCCAGTATGCCCGGGTTTCGTTGAAAATTGTCCCGCTGAAGACGTGGCTGTTTCCAAAGAATGCGTCTGAACAACTACTAAAGTTTAGCAATATGAAACAATATACAAGGTCATCTCCAAGTTTAGGATAGTCTCACCTCAGGCTAGCATCATGTTCCAAGATGTTATGCCGATTTAGGTTGTCCCTAGGTCATCAAATGTTAGTAAAGCAGCATAGCATATGATATCTAAGCATTACAATCCCGGGGGAACAGGGAAAAGGATAAGTGAATCCTCACAGAGTAAAACCAGTGGCGTTCTGCTCTGGGCTAGCAATAACGCCCATATTGAACATGAGACTTGCGAGAGACTCATTGAAGTTTAGTGCTGCACCAAGAGCACGTACCAACGCCCTCAAGCGGGTTCAAGCGATGGGCGAGTATCAAGGCGAACAAGATCCTCAATATAATCGATATCATTTTCTGGTTCGCCCTCTGCATCATCACCATCATGGGTCCATCTGGTGCTCATAGTATGAGCAGCCGTGCGCTGGGTGGTATCATCGCTACCTTGTCGTTTTTTCTCTGGTTAGTGACCCCACTGAAACTAAACAAGTATTCCTTTTAAATGTATAACTCAGTAAGAATTGTTGGATTCGTCGCCTTTATCTGCATTCGGGAATCTAAAGAACCACGGGTAGCTCATTCGCCGATTTAAACATCTCGTTTGGACTGATTAATCTTGATAGAGTTAGGCCTAGAGGGTGGGAAATAGTGATTACATTAGGGCATTGAATTGGTCGAATTGATGCTAAATTTGCGAGCGAGACAGTTGAAGAGTGATGAAATGGGGATATTTATGTCTTCACTTCTCATCGTCTTTCTCGTAAAGTGGCCAATGACACTCAAAGCTTGCTAAAGTCTTTGAAGCTGCCATGCCTTCCAGACCCTTTGCTAAACCTCGCCGCACCTGCAATGGCCTCTGCCTCGATGACCTTGCTCCCAGTGTCGAATTCATTAGACATTGCATCGGAGAAGGAAGATGCATCAAATGCGCTGTAGTAACACGAGCGACGATCTGTTTTCAGACAGAGTTCAGGGAACGCGATGAGCTGGTTTGTAATTTTGAGGGCTTCTTGGAGTGACTCGCCCTTGGGGACAACGCGGTTGGCGAGTCCCATCCCGAGAGCCTCTTGGGCTCCCCCTGGCCGACCTGTGAGAATCATGTCCAGAGCGCGCCCAAGACCAATGATGGCCTGGAGTCGGACCATTCCCCCATCGATCAATGGCACACCCCAGCGGCGATAGAAAACACCGAAAACTGCGTCTTCTTCCACGACGCGCAGATCCGCAAGAAGACTGAGCTCCAGGCCACCCGCCACTGCGCACCCGGCAACGGCGGAAATAACGGGTTCTGGACAATAAGCCGTGAGGGACCCATCGGTCCCAAATTGCGTCCAGTTACTGGCTGTAGATTGTCACTTGTGACATTGTCGCGTTTCTGGGACACGCTATGGAGGTCCGCGCCAGCACAGAAGGTGTTGCCTGCGCCGGTAAGAACACACACTTTTTGTGTCGCATCGGCTTCGAAGGACACGATAGCCTCATAAAGTTCTTTGGCAGTGGCGGCGTCGACAGCATTTTTTTTTCGCTGAGGCTGGTTGATTGTGATGACTGTGATCTCACGGTGAGAGGTGTCAGTCACCAAGCTTGGGACTGTCATGGTTGAGTGAAGTGGAACAACGATGCCTCGGCTGAACCCCACACTCGACACCACCGCGATCGGCCATGTCGTCCGCGTGTATCATCTGTCACAAGCGAAAGGTATAGATATTTCCCCGGGCAATGCAATAGGTGGATCCTGACATGCTTAGGTGCGCTGTGACCTGGCGATCCACGACCCCTGCACCAACTGCACCAAGTCCAATGTCGACTGCCAGTATGCCAACTCACAAAATCGTTCAAGTACCAAAACTAAATGACCCCAATAGGCCATACACAAGAAAGCGCAAGAGGTTTACCAACAGTCTCTCGCCGGGTCGCCATGCGGCACGCGCCCCCTTGAGCCAGACTCCTCAACCGAGTGTGTCTGCCGAACCTTCGAGTGAGGGCCGAATAGCACCGCAACGTTTTTCGGCAGGTTCTCATAGAGACAATCCACCTCTTAGCGAGTCTATCTCAGTCCCTGATGATGAGGGTGAGTCGGCGATCAAAGAAGAGAGTTACCGCGGTCGCAGCGAATATCTGGGCGGGAGCGTCCCCTTTGATGAGAACATGGTGAAACCTGGTCGCGAGACCACCTATACCAGCCCCAAAACATCTCAGGCAGATTTGCAGATGCTGCGAGAGCAAGGTGCATTTGAGGTGCCACCAATCGCAGTACAGAGAGCATTGATGGACAGCTTTACAAAGCACTGTGCTCCGTGGACACCTGTTGTTGACCCGAAATGGCTGCATGAAAGCGCGCCATCTATGCTGTTACTACAAGCAATCTTCCTCGCCGGAAGTCGAGTTTCCAAATCGCATTTGGATTACGGATCCAGTGAGGTGTTTTATCGACGAGCAAAGCTTTTGTTCTTCTTCGGTGGGGGCAACAACTCGCTCATTTCCATTGTGGCCGCCTGCCTCCTGCACTGGTACAATCCCGTTGGGCCCGAGGATGTTTCTACCGACACCAGTGGATTTTGGATCCGCACTGCCGGAGCCATGGCTTTTCAGATTGGGCTGCACAAGGAACCGCCACCCAACTCTCGAGACCGAGGCCTTCGTCGGCGGCTATGGTGGTCACTGGTGGTAAGAAACATCAATTTATGGTCAGTTTCATTGGCTCATGTGCTACAATTTAGATCCGGGATAATATCATCTCAGTTGGGGTAGGGCGACCTCGAACCATTAATCTCCGAGATAGCGACGTGCTCCCGCCATCACTGGACGATTTTCCAGTCAAGGATTTCAAAGCCCAGTTGTTCTTGGCATACTGTACAATATCTCGTCTCTTGGGCGACACGGTCGAGTGCCATTTACGCAGAGAGATATCTCTGCAGCGTCGAGTCAATCTTGAAAATGCTGTCTACCGATGGACCAAACAGGTGGTTCCAAAACTACAATCGTCTGCCACGATCCAGGAAGACGCCGTGACTTGCCACTTCGAAGTTCAACAATTGCTAGTCATGTACTTTGTGGTCATCACCATTATACACCGTTCTCCCACGCCAAACAGTGTCCCTCCGGCGTCATCATTGGTGGCATCCTCGTTCATGGCCGGAATCTACGAAGAATTCCTTCTCCGTGACGAACTCCGGTACCTTGGGCCGGTCTTTGCATTCTACCCTCTGTGTGCCGGGTTATCATTACTTTCTAGTTGGCGCTATAGACATCTACAGAGTACTGCAGAGCACGAGCTGACGGTCATGAAGCTCTCCCTCCAGAAGTTGTCCGAGAGATGGCTTTCGGCAGTGGGGCCCCTGCGGGCTTTAAACAAATTGACCGAGGAGGTCCGACAACAAGGCCCTTTTGAGGGCCCTTCCCCGACACTAGACTATGACGCTGCCTCCTTCTTTGAGGGCTTTGATACAAAATTGTGCAAGCAATGGCGATTGGTTGGACAGTCGGAGCGTGGGAATGACTCCACGGGGATCAATCCTACTTCCACGTTGCCTGACATCCAAGATCCTAATAATGGGATTCGACCCTTGGAAGCCCGACTTGGTGATGCACTGGACAGCTACGATTACACGGCTCTTGATGCCGACATATACCCGTTCAGTAACGACTGGGAGGGGGCCGGTTTTGACTGGAGCGGTTCCTGGCTCCTCAACTTGTAAATAATTTCACTTGCACTCCATACTAAAACTCAAGTATTTAGCCGGTAGATAGCACCCCGAGCTAGACAAGAAAAAGAAAAAAAAATTCCAAATGTACAAATCAAGTCACAACCAGCATTTTCATAGTTTTGCCCCAGTACTCTGCAATGAACGATGGCCAGAGGCTCGGTTGGCTGGTAGATCAATGCCCCAAGCAATCCTGCAATCCCATTGTAGACACTCCTCCTCATTAGAGGCCGTGTCATCACCATTTTTGAAGGTGACAATGTCACGGAATACCGTGTCTCCCACACCACTCTCACCACTCAGAACCCAGCGGCGTGCAATCTCACTATTCACAGGATCCCGATCTCGCTCGGCATCGAGAGCCAAAAGCATTCCCGACAAGATCCAAGATAGAGTAAAAATATAGCGCCGAGCATCAGCCAGCATGACCGCTGGATTCTGACTCCTGCTGGCAAATCGGGCACGCAAAGCTGACCAGATGGCGAGCAAAGCATCGCGTAGACATGCAGTTTGGATCAAGCCCAAAGTGCGCTCCAGCCATGCAGCAAAGACGTCGAAGTGATCCTTCTTCAGAAGGAAGCGGACCACTTCGCTAGCAAGGACATTAGTGGTTCCCTCCCAGATCGAGTTGACCGCGGTGTTTCGCAAAATGCGGGAGATGTTGAACTCGGGCTCGTCGGCCTCATCCATATAACCCACACCACCCATCGACTCTTGGCATTCCTGAATCCCAGCAATAGCCGTTTTGCTAATCACTGCTTTTGCGGTGGCAGTCAAAGTACGGAACACGACGTCGGCCTCTTGTCCAGGCCGAGGCAGATGCGTATTCGGTGAAGATTGGGATGCCTTGTTCTCCACCAGCCCCATCACTGCAATGGTAAAGAATGCAAGGTTCATCCCGCCGCGGTGTTTGACTTCCAAGTCTGCCAACAGACGCAAATGCATCGGAATCAGCCACAACGGCTCACCAACAGTGGATCTAGCCTTTGCGAAGCTCTTCGCGATGCTGAGTGCGCGCCGCCAGCCAGAAAGAGAGCCAATAAAAGTGTGAATGCGGGTGAGGTTGAGAAGAGGTGCAATAGTGACAATGCCCTGGTCTACGCCTCCTACCAGGTGCGCCCTCATATCCTTGAGATTCAGTTCGGCAGTCGGCAGTTCCTTCGTACCGAGTTTGTTTTTCAGCCGGTGAATTCGAACGCCATTTGAGACCTCCCGGGGCATGCCATCGTCCCCGATGACTGTTTTCCGCAGTGGTGCAAGGAATGTGCTGAGCTTGCCGGATGGTGTTTTCGCTAGCAACAAGGCCACGTTTGCATCGGTGGCCGAAGAGAAGAACTTGAACCCATTGATCAGGTAGTCCCCATTTGCAAGCGGGTCAATATTTTCAGAATTGGGCTGTGGCGAGTACGCGGCCCAGGTCTCAGTGTTTTGCACATCACTGCCACCAGCTCTCTCGGTCATCCATTGACCCGAGGTCCAGTGGTCATCTTTCTCTGAGATGAGCCGTTCGAACACGGTATGGAAAGGATGTGCGGGGGGAAGCCTAGAGAGCTTCAAGGACAAAATAAACGCAGCCCCATCAGTCATACTAATGGGGCACGAGTATAGCCCAGACGAAGGGGAGTAGAGGTAGTTTCTGGAATTGTAGAGCATGAGTGCCTTGCATCAGCCGGGATCTTAAGGTGCTATTCTTACAATGCATATTGGACTGTCCTCCTCTGCAATCCGAAGGCGGGATCATATCCCGCGGAAACAATCCTAGAATGATCATGTTAGACTGAAATATTTCCAAGTCCATCCTATAGTTCTCACCTGTGCTTTGCGCCCCATTTTCCCAGTTGCTTCCAGCCCTCGCTGGTAATCAGACGGTCATAGTCATACCGCCTCCCCCAAACATTGTAGCTCTTGACATAAGGCTGATAACGCTCTGCGTCCGCACTCCATTCACGCACTCGCTCAGACACGGCTTCGGCGCCGAGCTGGGTCAGATGCGGCTCTACAGAGTGCAGTATGTCAGATGGAAGATACCCTTGACATAATTAGTTTATTAGTTTTTACCTGTAACATTCTCCAAGCAACTCACATGCCAATGCCCGTTGCAGACTCTTGTCGGATGTATAGGTGTTTTCCAGCGGACCCGGCTGGGTGATGGATCCGCTATCGGCTGTTGCAGGCTTAGGTGGTAAGGGCGACATGAGGCAATGCTGCAGTGTTTGTAGAGAGCAGAATCAAACAAGAGCAACACACTAACGTTGAATGTTGATATTCCGGGGAATGCGGGGGCTGTCAAAGCTTGTGGCAATGGACCTCGGTGTTCGGTCCACGGGGTGGAGATCCATCGCCGCGAAAACACCGAAAATGGCCATTTGTCTGTTGTAAGAACATCTTGGAAATGAAGAAATGACCGAAGGGGCATAAATGAATAGCGTTTGGGATTTTCTTTTGGGTTTTCTCTCGAAATCAACAAACTCCATCCTCTCCCATCCATTCACATGTCATGCAGCGTGTTATACCCAGTTTCAATCAGACTACGCGAGCCCCGGGCATCCGAGCAAATATGCCAGTAAAAGAGCCCTCCAAGCTTCGACGATGTCACAAATTGGGCTTTCTGTTGTACTGTCGCCGGCGTGTCGTAGGTCACAAACCCGCCATCGCCACCGGTGCAATATGCCGCACCGAGCTTTTTGTCGTGATGCTCTTTGGTTCCTGGTCGCGGGAGATCGCGATAATCAAAGACACCATCTTCTCCACCAGTCCCCGTGTACCGCTGGCCGGGACCTTTGCTGCCCAGGAATGAACGGCCGTAAACCGGAACGCCGAGAATGAGCTTCCGTGGTGACACTCCCTGCGATAAGACATAGCTGACAGACGATTCGCAGGAGATACCTGAGCCGTAGAGCTTGGCTTGGTGACCAGTCTGGGATTCCCACGACCCGGAGAAGTCATACGCCATGAGATTCATCAGGTCTAGATACCTCTGCGCGGCACCAAGGTCAATATTCCGCAATGCCCATTGACCGGCAGGAAGGCATGTCGCCAGGACGTATCGTGGAGAAGGCAGCCCCTCGCGCAGGCCCGCCAGCAAACGAATGTAGCCCTGGCCTTGCTGGGGATCGGTGGGATGCTCCCAGTCCACTGCATTCATCATCATCATCATCATCAGTAGTTAGTCTCAATTCACACCAAGTCTTTAGGCCTGGTCAAAAGAGCCACCCACCATCGATTCCATCGAGACCAAACTGATCAACCAGTGCTCGGGCAGTCCGCACGAAGTTTTCCAGGCGAGAGCGACTCTGGGAGACATGGGCAAAGTTTTCGCTGCCCTTTCCACCTCCACCAACGGAGAGGATGACCTTCATTTCCGAGTACTGCTGCTTCAATTGAACAAAGGCCCGCAAACAACCCTCGGTCCCATCCACAGGCATCTGGGTGTCGGCCCATTCATCACTCAGCTACAAGATCATATTAGCTACGAACCCCCCAGGGCTTGTTTCCAGGGAATTCCCCATCCACTTACATAGACAGTGCCATCATCTTTGACCCTACAAAAGTCCGACATTAGCGTGATTCGTCATCGACTATCATGATTCGATGTCGATGATTGGCTGTTATTTACCAAGCAAATGCATAGAAGACATGGGAGATGAATCCTAGTCGCAAGGAAGAAGGAGGCTGTTTCCGGTAGATCCTCCAGTTGGGGTAGTAGACTGCATTGGTGTAGATGGGCACTTCATCCGAGCCACCCTGGGGCTGCGAGGCAGCGGGGTTGCGATCCTTTCGGCGGAAGAGTGCACTGGCAGCAGAGAACATAGACATGACTTGGAAACAAAGTCAACAACAAAGGGATAGAATTAAACAACAAAGGGGTTAGATATAGAAAAGAAAAGAAAAGAATAAAAGAGAGAAGATGAAAGGAAGCTGTGTTGTGTGTGTTGCCTGTTTGGGAAGATGTCACGTGCATCTTTTCGTCGTGCATTTTCCTTCTCTTTTTTTTTTCGTTGCTTTTTCTCGCTTCTTTTTCTCTGATTATATGTTTTGTTTCTGATTGGATATACAGAGCTGCAGGAAATCTGACTCGTTTGTTTGACCCCCTACGGATGGAGCAGATGCGCAGTGACTTCACAGCATCGAAACCCCATCCAACTTAGCGCGAACGGTTCAGGGTCAGATGGACTCGTGGCGGGGGCGCGGCGGCCATTCCGCACCCACACGAGATGAATGATCTCCACATCATATCGATTCTGCTCCTAAGCACGCTGTGTCCTCGAGACGCGGCAGTTCGATGGTCAATTCCCTATCCTTTCAGTCCAAGACCCAGGACACTTGGTTTGTCCACGGATGATGCACAGTGAGACCTGACTGGGGTATGCAGGAAGCAACCCCGGTCAGGTGGCAAGAACCTGGGGCATGTAGATCATCGTGCGTACTGCACTCCGTGTCTGAGGGTCCACGCATTTCTAGCTCTCTCTGCCAGATGGCCGGAAAATAGGCCTGCAGCTACGGGTTGACTCCAGCGGATGCTGATCCTGTGTTGATTTCCCAGACAAGCCTCAGGTGAAATATCCATCGATGTTTATGGTGGAGCCGAAGACCAGGCCAGACCACAGTCAATCATGCAACTTGGAGATTTTGTGGTCAGTTTTGCTTTTTCATCGCTCAGATCGCGTGGAGGGGGGGATGGTGGGATATCTTTGATTAGCCCTGGAGGTGAGGCTGCGCACTCCCAGGGGCAATACAGGGATTATTTTGATTACTCTCTTTTCTCCCCCCACACTCATTTATGGAATTTATTTTCCAGTCCCCGATACTGACGCGCCCACCGGAATGCTGTTTTAGATAGTAACAGTCTACGCTTTGCGATATCCTTTCGTATAGGATTTTAGTCTATTGCCTAATAAACCAACCTCAGGGACTATAGATCAAAGCTGTATCACGTAAAGCATGTTTTCAATCTAGTAGTTGACTAGGGAGAAAAGAATATTTTGGTGCTTATCCTCAAGGACCCAACTGCCAGAATAATGATCGCATCCTCGGAGTCTTTCAACGGTCTTTGGGCTACACTAGCCATGCGTTGATGTGTTGCACAGCCAAATCATTTAATCAATATACTGCGTAAGAAAAAGATATCCCCCCCTTGATATTCAAGGAATAGAAACAAGGAATTTATAAGGCCAAGAGAGATGTATAAGATACGAGATCCAGTCTTGTTCTTGTGAGTCCTACTACCATAGCTAAATCATCTTTTAAATCCGGGCACCTCATGACTGATTAAATATATTCTTGGTGACACATTCCTTTTCTCGGAAACCCCGGCTTTAAATATCGGGGGAATACGTATAAGAAGTGTGAAAGACGAGCAAAGTCGCCCCAGGCAACAGAGGGGGCCAAAACTGACTCGGCGGGGAAGAAGCGCCAACAACCACAAACAATAATTGATTCTGGGAAATAAGAACAGCCTTGTAGTGTCCTAGGAAATCCAGGTCATCTCACCAACATGTCGAGAGGATTGATTTTCATCACCGGTGCCACTGGCTTTGTGGGGAGTGCCACAGCCATCGAGGCGCTCAAGGCCGGATATCGGTTACGAATCTGCGTTCGAAAGGCTTCAGACACGCTTCAGATCCTACTTGCAGAATATGGTGATCAACTGGAGTTTGTAACTGTTCCTGACTTCACTGCCGAGGGTGCGTTCGATGGCCAGCTCGACGGAGTTGACTATGTGCTCCATATCGCATCACCTTTCCCCCAGGGCATGAACAAGACCTTCTACTTTCCTCCAGCGGTGCAAGGAACCCTTGCTGTGTTGAAAGAGGCAGCCAAGGTGCTCAGTGTTAAGAAAGTGGTCGTCACATCATCCCTGGCAGCTCTGATTCCAGTCAAGGGAATCCCCGAGGGCGGAGTGATCAGAGGTAAGGTTCTTTTGACTTTCCCCCTGACCAATGCTTTGGTGTTGACATTTGTGTCCAGAGGACAATGACTGGGACTTTTCTGTGGATGAAGAGGCAGATTTCACCGATCCCAACAACCCCGACAGAGGCCCGATGAAACTGTACCATGCATCGAAGCTTCTTGCCAACGCCGCAACATGGGACTTCTGGCAGACCTCCAAGCCACATTACTCACTGGTGGTGATCCATCCAGCATCAGTGCATGGATACAATCCAGTGCAAACGTCTGCCGAGGGAATCAAAACATCAACCAACAACTTCTTATGGAAGCCGATTATGGAAGGGGCCCCGGCCACTTTGCTAATCGCGGTCCATATTCAGGATGTGGCCGAAGCACATGTCAAGGCATTGGATCCGAAGATCGCAGATGGCTCGAAGTATTTGCTGGGTGGGAAGGTGGCCAGTTGGAAAGATGTGGCTCACATTGTGGGCAAAGAATATCCACAGGCTGGAGCTAAAATCACACAGGACGTGCAAAACATAAGCATACCCTTCAACACCTCTAAGGCAGAAACTGAGTTGGGGATGCAATGGCGGCCATTGGAAGAGATGGTGAGGGAGGTGATGGATCAGCAGCTGGAGTTTCTGGGTTGAGCGGTCTGATTTGGGATTAGCCAAAAGAGATCAGCTCAGTATAAATGAATTCGAGATAGCAATCGAAATATGTCGAAAGGACAATCTCGACAGCTCTAACTTATATGGTTCCGTAAGATAGCTTATATACTTGGTTATATCTATAACCGATGTGTGTTTGATAGATATCGCCAGCCGAAATGTACTTCTTAATTCTGAACCATCTCTAAAATTCTACGATTTCTAAGAAGTATCTCTCCTTCTATCCGATTCTAATATAGATGTTATAAATAACAATTTAAACACGACCTAATTCGGGATTAGCCTTCTAGGAAAAGTTATATATAACGTCGCGACCAGCAATAAATATAAAACCGATCTCTCTAAAAATAGCTTTCCCACCAACGGTCCAGCTTATTAGCCAGAGAGGAAGTCTCTGCTAAGTATATAGACTATCTAGCTTGGTTGGATTATTGAAGGCTGCTAGGACGAAGAATTTCGCAACGCCCACAGTCTACTACGAGCTTTGAATTCCGTTGATCTACGCTTCTTATCTCCTTCCCTTGTAAACGACACGAGATCTAATTTTGCATCTGCGGAATATTAAGCGCCTCCACTTCCACCAAGGCTTGAATTATCGGTACGTATCTTGGAAACCTATCACGAGCAAGGGCGTTCCGCCTACAAGGCGCCCGTACTACGGGAAGGTCATGGTGACTAGTATTCTCGGTCAAGCGGAAGATATTTCATTCGATAAATCTGTCAAGACTGTGAGGACATAATGGTCACATCAGGAAATGACACCGAAGGTCCGCTTAGCAGATCCGACGATGTCCCATGCGCAAAATACACCAGTGCGGCAGTTACATACGAAGCAACCACACGCTTAGCCCGCAGGCCGCCTCTTGTCCCAGTCTTGGCCTGCACGACTTTTCTAACCTCTTCGGATATACTCAGTGCGTCGAGAAGCACGGGAAAGTCAGAAAAGGCATAGTGTTTAGACTGCGCGAGCTCGAGCTCCAGTTTCCATCCTCGCGATTTTGGACCAAAACTTCTTCCAGGTAGCATCGGTTGCCTGGGTATAGTTCGTGTGGCCGAAAAGTAAGAATGGTTTCGACAGTCCTATGTTCACGACGGAGCCCCATAGTGCACCGTCTAGATTGATGCCCCCGACAAACCGATCGTCGACTAATATTGTCTGTGCTGCTGTTGAACCTAAGCCGAATAGTGATACTCGGTCGAGAGATAGTAGATTCGAATTTCCTTTTGACAAAGGGAATATTCCTTTGACCGCGTTCTCGTCCTGTATTTGATCGAGAACAAAGGACATGTCTTTGACTCGAACGTTCTGCGCCAAAAGGAATTCTGTATTGGTAGTGATGTTTGTTCCAAGAACAGTGCGATCATCGGGATATTCGACGATGTCAGCATCATATGGGTGATCGACAGAGACCACGGCGAACCCGTTACTCGCAATGTCTTGGAGTAGCACTGTGTACATTAATCTCGAGACTCCCGCTGCCGGGGAGAAAAGTACCACCGAGTATTCTTCATGACTCGCAGACAATGGCTGTTGTTTAATATGAGTCTTCAGACGAAAAGACTCGAAAGCTTTTGGGACCAGTCCAAGAGCCTGGAAAGTTTCATCCTCGAATTTGGCCGTTGCATTTGGGAAGTAAGAGGTAGAGGATACACGTCCGCAATCCTGGGTGTAAAACTGGTGACCATAAGAGAGCGTTTCCCTCGTTTTGAATCATAGGGGTCAACTCGAGAGGAGTCGACCAATTCACCTGCATGAAGTTCGACGTCGCATGGACCTGTACCTGAAGTAAGAGGTATAGTTGACGAATGACCGAAGCAAATGAGAAAAGCAACGCATAGAACGGAGCGCATCATTTTGACGATTGGGAATGGAGAGGAAATTCTGAGCCCATCAATCGGTAGATCATTTGTATTTATACTGAGCTGATTCTAGACAGTACAGCTAATAACTCACAGCAAACGAGTCAAGCTTCTAGTGTCACAGCTGGACGCCTGAAGCGGCCATCCGCCATCCGAATAGTTCCTACATGCTTCAGTTTTTCTAGGCTCGAGCCGTGGAGACAGCACAAGAGTAAGACAATGTTGAAAACTTCAAGACAACAGGCAATTCACTACTTTCTGGTATGTATGGAAGAGAACGTGCACACTCGACTGAGAGCTGAGTGGCGTATGAGGCATTTGTTCTTCAGTCCACTAGAAGCCGGATGACGTATGAGGGATTTCTTTTCTTAGTTCAACGGATAATCGGATACTATGTGAGGTATTTGAGACATATACATCTCAGGAAGCATTAGAGGGAGTTAGGGAAAGCAGAGGTGAGAAATCAAATTATCTTGTAGAAGAGAAGAAGGGAAGCTATCTGCTTACTGCTGCTCTCCTGCCCTGTGGGCGGTCAGGGAGGCGGTGGGATCCTGCGGGCAGAACACCAGTCCCAACCTACTGAGCTGTTGTCACGGTATTTTGCCACCGCCTCCTTCACGCCTGATTTGTAAGGCGACAGTCGGAGAATAATCATCTCGACAGCTCCGATCTTTCCATTCACTCCAATCACCAACAGTGATCGCTCCTTCATTGTCTCTTCGAGCTTTCAATCTGCACAGATTATCCAACTGCCACAATCAAGGGCTTAATGTACTGATTGGGATTTTGCTGGTTGGCAATCCCTGGGACCGCCCAACTCAGTATGACTGCCGACGTTCATAGTACGGCGACGCGAATTCTCTCCACCGATGCCGCGCGCGACCCCAGCTACAATGATTTCTCCTTTGCCCCCTTCCTTCGCAAAAGCTTCGGCTTTGGTCTTGCCAGCGATGTACCTGTCTGCAAAGCCTACAGCGAGGGCCACTGCCCGCTCGGCCCTGCTTGCCCGGATCGACACCCAACCCCTTCTCGTGTGACCACCTCGACTACAACGGCATCCGGACTGGCCCCATCCACCACACATGGGTCACTCGTCTGCAAGCATTTCCTCAAGGGCCTGTGCAAGAAGGGCTTAAAATGCGAATATCTCCACGAATACAACCTCCGCCGCATGCCAGAATGCCAGTCATTTTCACGGTCTGGATACTGTCCTAATGGCGATGACTGTCTGTACCAGCATGTTCGCGAGGAGGCCCGATTACCGCCATGCGAGCACTACGATCGAGGATTTTGCGAGCTGGGCCCACTCTGCGCAAAGCGCCATGTTCGACGGCGTCTTTGCCAGTTCTATCTCGCCGGGTTCTGCCCGGAAGGAAAGGCCTGTGCTAATACTCACCCTCGATGGACCGAGAACCTTCCCCGACCAACCATGCGGACCGAGAAGACCGAAGAAGAGCTCGAGCATGAACGGGCTCTCATTCGTGAGGAACAGGAAAAGGAAAAAGAGCGCGAGCGCGAATGGCGCAACGAACGGGGGCGGGGCGGGGGATTCATGCGTGGACGATACCGTGGACGAGGGAGGGGTTAGTTTTTATAGTATACATGTTACGACATCTTGCATTTCCGGTGTGTGGTGTGTTTTATCTGGCGACGGCTTCCTTTTATTTTTTGTTATTTTATCTTTTCCAACCCAGTGGCCTCACGATACCCAATCAACCTCTGAAAGACCCTGAGCGAGGCTGCAGCAATAGTCGTTTGTCTGCAATACCAAGCATGCTCTAACTCTCTTGGACACGGAAGGCAGACTCGTGCAGAATCAACCATTAAAACCGCAACCCTTTTTCTACATAACAAAGCAGCGATGCAATTGCCTACATCGGCGTCTATAGACTGTTTCCGGGTGGCACGAAAACGAGTGTTCATCATCCGAGTCCATGACATCATCATCGAGACGGATTTGATGGGACAAGCAAGTACGGAGTACATCCACGTCTTTATTTGAGATTTAATAATATGTGAATAAGAGAAAAATAGAGAACTGATTGCAAATTTACCGCGAGAGATCCACTGGTATATCCCTATATCCGACACCGGTCGTACATCTCTTTGTCAGAAATCGGTCAGACTCGACAAAACATCAAGAGGACCGAGTGGATCCCCAGTGGCCAATCACTGATCAATAGTGCTGTGTCATCGATGACTGATTCATACTGGAAGCTCTTGTGGTGCTTGATAATCGTTGACTGTACCTGGCGCCACATACTACGTACTATGGCGGGCCATGTACCCTGGGCTCCGGCATGGTGGGGTATATAAGCCCCCCCCCCCCCCCTCCTACGACCTCATCAGCTCCATTGTCAAGTTTCTTGCAGCTTCATTCACACTCAATCACCATGGCTCCCAAGGTTGCTATCGTCTTCGTACGTGTTCCAATTCTTGACTTGCCAGCTATCCTATGGCCCTTGGCTAACCTGTCAACAGTACTCGATGTACGGCCACATCCAGAAGCTGGCCGAGGCTGAGAAGAAGGGCATTGAGGCGGCTGGCGGCCAGGCCGATGTCTACCAGTAAGGACCCATTCTTACCGCGGCTGCCACTCTTCAGATCACTGATCATTCTCTATCTAGGATCGCCGAGACCCTCAACGAGGAGGTCCTTGGCAAGATGCACGCCCCGCCCAAGTCGAGCTACCCTGTCGCTGAACCCGCCGACCTCATTCAGTATGACGCCGTCTTGTTCGGGATTCCCACCCGCTACGGCAACTTCCCCGCCCAGTGGAAGACGTTCTGGGACAAGACCGGCGGTATCTGGGCCACCGGTGGCTACTGGGGCAAGCACGCCGGTCTGTTCGTCTCGACCGGCACTCTGGGCGGCGGCCAGGAATCGACTCCCCTGGCTTCCATGAGCACTCTTGCCCACCACGGTTTCATCTACGTCCCGCTGGGCTACAAGACGGTCTTCCCTCAGCTGTCCAACCTGGAGGAGGTTCACGGTGGTAGTGCTTGGGGTGCTGGTACTTTCTCTGTAAGTCTCGCCTCATTCCATACGACCTTTCCACGCTGACCAGATTGTGTTTGTAGGGTGCCGATGGCTCCCGCCAACCCTCTGCTCTCGAGCTCCAGATTGCCGAGGCCCAGGGCAAGGCTTTCTACGAGACTGTCGCCAAGGCCAACCCCCAGTGACTACATGGTAGTGACGAGTCGAAGCCGAAAGAGCCTACCCCTGCCGCGGGTGCTGCGAAGAAGACTACGCAAGCTCCCACGGAGCAACGGGGTACTCAGGAGTCAGCTCAGGAAGAGAAGAGCAAGGAAGGACCATGCGGTTTACCCAGAAAGTGCAATATTCTCTGATCGGGTTGCTAATCCCCTCTGCTTCTTGCTTTGGTGATTCCCGGGGTGTTCTCATGGACGTTTCGAGTTTCGCATGATGCTAGGACATACGACATGACAGAACCTTTATGATGGCGTTTAGATAGAAAATCTAATGCATGGAGAGATTTTCTTACTTGAATGACTTGACATTGTATGCACCCATCCATAGATATAGATAGGACCGATATATATGTGGGAGTAAACCGATCCGCGCTGGATAGTGCAGGTTTTGTTGCATTTTGCAGGGAATTCCCAACATTAATTCTACCCAGCTATATAATGTCCCAAAAATATAATTTCCCTTGTCGTTATTCCAAGACAACATGTGTATTGCGCAGGCATCTCCGAGTGTAACCTGATTACCAAAGTTACCTATTACTGACCACCAGCACAGTGACCAGTAAGGTTATCCAGTGACCATACCGCCCGCCTGTGACGTGAGCCGTGGAGCTCCCGAGGGCAGCTTGTTCTCTGCTTCGCTTCGCAATGCCTGCTTCAACATAACTGATCGCTGGACTTGCGCACTCTCATCCTCTTCGCACATCCAGCCACAACTCTCTCCCTCTCAGGTGCCATGGCTTCCCGGCCGATTCTGCTGCGGTTCGAGAGTCGGAACGGCCAGTTTCGATTTACCGTCGACCCGCAGGAGCTCTTCCCTTCTCTCCAACAAAAGGTATTATCCAGCTCTGGGAGCTCTCTCATCAATTCCCATAGGTAATCAAGAACTAATACAGTTACTATTTTTAGATCATCGAGCATCTCCCATCAGACGTCGCTTCATCCTCGATTACCCTCTCGAATAAACCGATAGGCACAGGTGGCGAAGAGAGACAGTTGGAGGCTCTGCAGGGAGTCTCAATCGGCCAAGTTGGCCTGAAGTGAGTCATGATTGGGATCCTTAACTCAGCCACGGCAGCGCTGATAATGTTCGTAGACATGGGGATAAGCTCTTCCTCGGATATCAGGACCAGGCCACACAACAGAATGGCCCCCCCAACGGCTACACACCCACCACCGCCGAGCGGCGATTGAACGGAGCACCAGTACCACAGCAACAGACAGTGCCACTGCGCCCCCAACCCTCATCACCTTCTGCCACCGTCAAGAATCCATGGGATGTGGTGCAACAATCTCCCCTCGACGATCTTCTCGACAAGAAGGATGGCAAGATCAAGCGGAGCCAAGATCTGAAAATGTGCAAGCATGGACCTCGAGGCATGTGTGACTACTGTATGCCGCTGGAGCCATACGACAAGCAATACATGTCGGACAAGAAGATCAAGCACTTGTCCTTCCACTCTTACCTGCGGAAAATCAATGCGGCCACCAATAAACCCGAAATTAAGGGCTCATTTATGCCTCCGCTCAACGAGCCTTTCTACCGTGTTCGCCGGGATTGTCCATCTGGGCACCCATTGTGGCCGGAAGGTATTTGCACAAAGTGTCAGCCCAGTGCGATCAGCTTGCAACCACAAGAATTCCGCATGGTCGACCACGTGGAGTTTTCAACACCGGGATTGATCAACACCCTTCTGGACTTTTGGCGAAAGTCAGGTGGTCAGCGGCTAGGGTTCCTGTATGGAACATACGAAGAGTATGCCGAAGTGCCACTGGGTGTCAAGGCTGTCGTCCAAGCGATATACGAACCTCCGCAGGTGTGTGAAGTCGACGGTGTGACTCTGCACGAATGGCACAACGAGCAAGAGGTGGACGAGGTGGCCGGTCTCTGCGGCTTGCAGAAAGTGGGAGTGATCTTTACAGACCTGCTCGATGCCGGGCGTGGGGATGGGTCAGTGGTGTGCAAACGGCACATCGATTCATATTATCTGTCCTCGCTGGAGATTGCCTTTGCCTCACGGCTGCAATCACAAAATCCAAAGGCCACCAAATGGAGCCGGACTGGACGGTTTGGCTCTGATTTCGTGACATGTGTGCTTAGTGGTGACGAGACTGGGGCCATTTCCGTGAGCTCGTACCAAGCATCGGTGTCCGCGGTGGAGATGGTCCGGGCAGACATCATCGAGCCGTCAGCCGACCCGTCTGTGATGTTGGTGCAATCAGAGGAAGACAACCCTGATAACAAGACACGGTATATTCCTGAGGTCTTCTTCCGACGCATTAACGAGTATGGGGCAAGCGTTCAAGAGAATGCCAAGCCCAGTTTCCCAGTAGACTTCCTACTGGTGACGCTCACACACGGATTTCCCACCGAATCAACACCACTATTTACCGACAGCCGCTTCCCCGTCGAGAACCGCGAAGTCATTGGCGAGAGCCAGGAGCTGCGACATGTGGCACAGAAACTCGTGTCGCATGGCGATCCCGACAAAGCCATCCAAGGCGTGTCCGACTTCCATCTCCTGTGCTTCTTGCACGGACTGGGCACGTTCAACAAGGTCAGTGCTATACCCCTGTAATCCATAATCCATGTCCCGCATCAAACTTCCGGTGCTTGTCCTGGTAATATATACTAACTTCGGCCACAATCACAGGATGAGGAAGGTCTCCTCTGCCGCGTGGCAACGTCCCACGCCCCCGCGGATGGAATGCAGCTATTGAATACCCCCGGATGGGCAACCTTGGTGACAATTCTTCAGGAGAGTGGTGAGCGCCCCCCTAAGCGCCCCTTGCCCACAGCATCCGAGCCCAGAAAACGGCGTCCCCATTCACCCGCTTCCCATCTCCCCTGCTCTGTCTCTCCCAAGTCCGACGGTGAGCAGCTTGCTAAGAGGTTCAAGGGAGCTAGTCTAGAATGACGGGTTTTCGCCTTACCCGTCCAGTCCTTATCCGCAACGCCCCGTGATCCGTTTCGAATCCTGGTATCGTGTTTTGCCCTAGGAGGAGTGTCGGTAAGGGGGAGGTCGAGACGAGAAAGGCCTCTTGGCGTTGGTTTGAGAATGCTTTAGGGTTTAGTCGATCTTCAAGCTTGCGGCGGACCTGGGGAGGAAAGGGGCAGGTTTATAGTCAGTATTACTGGAAGCGTCTAAATGGCTTTCAATATCGATATGCTTTTTCAATGGGGATATGAACCATGAGCATTCTGTTGAATGGCGTTCTATTACGAAAATGTAAAACCACCCAATTCTTGAAGCCCCAGGGATTTTTGTTCTGATCATGTTTTGACGTATATACCTACTTGCAGATATTAGAGACATGTTCCATTCATGACAGTAAGTCACAAGTTCATCGACTAAACACCTTGCGCCGAATATAGAAATTATCCACCAACTAATCCACGGTCCAATATCACAAACGCCAGCCGTGAGACCCATAACTCGAATAATACAAGACCACCACCCAGAGCTATAGCCGATACGTCTCACTTTCCTGAAGCAGCTTGGTCAAACGCTTCTCCAATACCTGTCGACCCTTGCCATCAGTCCACACCTCGTGGGGGGCATCGTGGACTATATCCCAGGACAGCAGATTATCGGTGATATGGGAGAGATCCTCCTGCCGTTCTTCCCAGCGTGAGTCTCGTCGAACCTCAATCCCAGAACTGACCACGACCACTGGAGTATGGCCCATCTGGATATGGCGCGCCGACTGGATCTCAGCGGCGGTCATGGTCATTGCAACGAGATTCTCCTGCAGCTTGGCCTTGATGAATCTGCCAGACTGGTAGGCCGAGCGTCCGGCGACGCGATCTTCGCGAGAACGGCCGCGCACAATCGCCCCGGCTAGTCGATCCAAACCCAGCGGTGACACGACACCGCGAAGCCAAAGTAAGAACCCACGACCGGGCTGGGCGATGTCTCCGAGGTATGCTTCATGGAGGGGGTCAATTAGAAAGATGCCGCGCACTTGGAGTAGGTTGCGGCTGGCGAAAAGCCGAGAATGGAGTCCACCAACTCCCGCAGATACCACGACCCACGGGCCAGTTTCCCCGGCGAGGGATAGTGCTTCTGAGAGCACGTCTGCTGCTATTCCTGCTGAGTGTGGCGAGGGCGCGTTGTCCGACCATCCCATACCAGGCCGGTCCCAGTAGCAGTACCGCTTGACTGCGCCACGGCTGTATATATCGTCCAGGAATGGCTGCAAGGTATGTTCAACGGGACCCTCGCCTCCTTCAAGGAGAACAGTAGGAGTGTCTGCATCTGTGGTTCGGTTCCCCACACAAGCGAGATGAACCTGGTATGTATCACCGTGGACAAAGTATCGGTGACCAGGCGCAGCAAGCGAGACATCGCGAGAGCGAAGAATCAGCGTCGCGGTAAACAGCACAGCCGCAACGGCCATGACCGCCAGAAAAATAGTCTCGGCGAGAACAGCCAGCCACTCTCTCAGCGGACGGCGCGTCTCTTCACGGCCGGTCAGACGCTCCTCTTCCTCCCGCTTACCCCACTGAACGGCTCGATTCTGGATGATCTGGTAGACGGAAATAGCAGCTGCCCAGACAACGGACGCAATTCCAACCCAGCCTTCCTCGAGTCGGATTCGCGGGACAGCCAGGATAATACACATATCCACCAAGAGCAATACGACGAGAATGATGCCCCAGATGGTCATTGGCTTGGACGGCACGGCAAAGAACAACAACCCCAACGCCAGATAGCCCATGGCCAGGGTGGTGTAGGCGAAAGCGAAGAAACCCGATCCGCGCGAATGCATCAGCGGTGGAGTAACAAAGACCGACACCAAGAGGAAAGTCCACCAGACGAAGCTGATAGCCAGTGCAGCCAGCGAGAGGCCGCGCAAGGCGCGCACGCCCCATAGATTGTAAGGAGAGACCTAGGTTTCTTTGGTTACATCGTCTGCGAATTGATATTTTCACCAGTGTGACACTTACTGCTGGGTCATCGGGACTCAAGTATCCCGGGTTATTTTCGGGCGGAAGCAGTCTTGTCCGTTCGTCGGGTTGCTGGTCTCGCGATGGCGTATTCTCATTTTGTTCATTTTGGTCAGGAGATGGCTCCTCCGGCCGGTCTGAGTGGCTCTTCTTCCAGCCCCAGAGAGATACCATGTTGGTTCATGGATAATACTTATGTCCAAAGGTGAGAAGGCAGAGTTAGCACCAAGTTGTGGATTTTCAAGTTCATCGAACTCCGGATGCTCCCCTCTGACGTCATCCACTGCTCTCCCAACTCTATCTGCTTGACAAGCCAACGACACTATACACCATCTGTTTCAATTAATATCTAACCACATAAGGGAGATAACTAGCAAGGGGAATGGCTCACTCAGTAGTCTTCGGTATCATCGAATGTTCTTGACCAAACCCCTATGCGTACGGATTACCAATATACATCCGATATGTGCTTGTTCTGCAGATAGTATATATCCTCGACGAAAAATTTGGCTCTGATGAGCTGCTTGATTTCAAGTCCCTGGAAGTGCCGATATGCACGGCAAGATTATACCCGCGATACTGCACCAAAGTGGACCCTGTGACTAGCGACCAACCCAACCAATTTAGATTCCAAAAACTTCGTACTCCTAGCATCAGTGACACTCGCCTTTTCGATACGTCATGGGTTCTTGATTTCAGCCAGCTTCAAAATGTCGTCATCGAAGAAGTACTGGCCGCTGAGGCTATCGCAGCCGAGCAAAAAAATCTCAGCGAGGTTAATGTGGCACTGCCCTTCGTCAGCCTAATTACACCATGTTAATGCCTGCATTTTGTTTCCTCGTGGATCGGTTTGCATGTCCTACCAGGAGTTGGCCAGTGACGAGGATGACAAAGCTTTCATTGGCGAGGGAGGGATGGCGTTGATGGATGTAACTGGTGCTTGACATTCTGGAAAGGTAGGCTCCATATGACGAAGTCATTCAGTTTCCATCCATCAACAAAAGAGCCCGCAGTGTTGTTGATGTAAACATGCAAGAAGTGTGATTGATTGATCTACCCATTGAGGAATATGGTTCTGGTAGTAGTAGGGTCAGAAGTAGATTAAGTACTGCAGCATGTTGGGTCATACACATATTTAAATACCCATCTGCACCTTCCAGTCAAGCTTTCCAGGTTACGAAACTCTATATAACAGCACAAGAGAACTTCCCTTTTGCTTAGCAGACCGAGTCTGGGGCATCTCGGGGATACTCACTTGCATCTAGTTTCCAAGTCAAGTCTACAGTTATAAAACACAGGGGGAAGCATAAAGTAAGAGAAAAATTACATTGCGATGATTTATTTTTGGGTCTTCATGCAAGTTCCTAATTTCGGTGTTTCAACTCTCTCCACTCAAGCGACACGCCATGATCGGCGCTCGATCTATCTTGAGTGAGCCCACTGCGGCGCGAACACTGCAACCGCATCACATTGCCCTACCGAGTTTCTTCCATGCCTAAATCCCAAACTAGCTAATTGGTAAAATCAAAGTCGTATACTATCTAAACTTGTCGGCAAATTAGCCTGCGTATAGTTGGTCTTCCACAATCCTCTCCAATGGAGCGCAAGCAGTCCCAGCATGCCGCACTCCATCCATATGGCCGCGGTCCTCTCCTTTATCACCCCAGAATAATTACAAATGCCACTCGTCCACCAAATCCACTAAGGTCTGAAGATGGCCGAATGTCGCGGGCTGTTGACCCTGAGGTTTCTGCAAGCTCAGGTATGTGACAAAGGCCGCCAGACCCATGGCCCCAAGGCTGAGGTAGAGAAGAGGCGGTGGTCGAAAAAAACAAGCCCCAGTTATATGCGTAGGAAACCGCATTCCCGAAGAGCCAGTGCAGCACGATTTTGAGCACGAAAAGCGTGCCCGTGGCGCGGCTGGTTATTCCCTGAAGCAATGCGTTGGGTCGGGGGTTGTAGTCTGCGCCAGCAGTGTAGCATTCGCGCCAGATCTGTTCATCCAAGTAGACGGCGGCAATGAGATCGGCGCAATGGAGCGCCAGGGTCATTAAACCTTGGAATACATAGAAGAGCGCAAACAATCCGGCAAAGAAAGCCGGCTGGTACTCGGGAAGGATGGCGGCACTCATCGGGGTGCCGCCGACATCTCGCAGTAGATTCCAGTTCGTTCCCAAATAGGCATTACAGCCATTGCAAGGCTTATCCATCGTGCCTCTTGTGGCGACGAGTATCACCTGCGCGACGATAAACCAGACGAAACTGAGGCATGTGAGAGCCCATGTGTAGTAGACAATAATCCGAACCTGTTTGTGTGATTTCCAGGCAGATTGTTGTTGATTCTGTGGCGGACGGGGTTTCGAGGGAAGCTCGGTGTCGTGGACACTCATCATACAGCGACCAGGAGCTCGGTTTCTCAATCCCAAGGTGACGCTTGCCCAGGCTGTGTCTAGTGGATTGGACGACCAGGTAGGAACTCGAATAGAGACCATTTGCCAGGTCACAATAAGTGCCTGGCCCAATAACCCGACGCCCACCAGGCAAAGACTCGGCGTCGCTAGAACGACCACATCGCCGCATCCTCGACGGACCTGACTTCCGAGGCTGTCACGGAAACTTTGACAGAAAAGTGTCGGATGGTAGTTGAGCAAAGACGAGAGACGAGGCAGCATAATATAGAAGTATAAAGATCGTATGGAGCAGATTGGACACCTTGCCGAGGGAGATATGCCGTTGGCCGGCGAAAGTGAAAAGACGTAGATTTGAGTTGAAGGTCAATTCATCTCCCAGTGCCCAGCGCAGCGTTGTTGAGTGGATCATTCCCATGCTCCCCCCCCCCCCCCCCCCCAGTAGCGTAATAATAGTGTTGCCGACGAGAGGCAGAAACTCTGCTGTGACCGGGGTGAGGTTCAGCTGCGGCCAATTGTGGAAGAATTTGCCCCAAGTGTTATGATAACTTCTGCTCGCAGCGGACTTGGTCGGCTTGAGGACAGCTCCGGATCCGAACACAACGCGAAGCACTCCCGCCACATACGAGAAGAGCAGACCCGTCACAACAAGCCATCTGGTGATTGGAGCTCGGTCGTATGACTCGTGTTGGAGGATATCGGCAGTAGATGGCGGCTTGGGCAGTGGCTTTTCCAAAATCTCAACATTATAGTTCTTTTTCGGTGACTGGTGATGGAATTTGGGTTTGGTGGGCATAGCGGTGCGCTATGTTTTTGTTGAGTCGGTAGTTTCAAGCGCACGGTAGTATACCGGAGGGTAAACACACTATAAATCAAAATCGTATGTGGGACTCATTCAAGTCATATCCACAACTCAAAATAGACGTACATACATACAACAGAGCTAGTCCAATGGCCATGAGGCTAATGCAGGTGCATTTGTTTCGGCCGGGGTTCGACCTGTTAAGCGCGCGACCCTGGGCGATATGGGCGCCAACTATGCAGGCGATGATTGGCGTCAGGTTATTCTTGGTTATTTTAGACCAGCGCAGACGGTCCTTTTGCCTTGGTTAGATTGATGCAGGATTACTCCCTGTGGGTAATGGAAATTGATCTCTCTTTTTGTAGATTGGACCCATGGCTGGCCATGTTTCAATCGCGCGTCCGAAATCTAAACCGAGCGATTATACTCAAGCCGTCACAGGATTGCCATCACTATGACTGACCTCTCCTGGTGACGGTTAATGGATTTGTTTATAGAAGTGAAGAAGATGTAGGTTTTCTTCTTCTTCTTCTTCTTCTTCTTCTTTTGATGTTATTTAGTCTTCTACTTTCCAACCCCTAGCTAATTTGTATACTTCCTCTTGCGTTTTTCATACTTTAGGAATTTCTTTTCGAATCTAATTTACACACTCTGCATACAATAGGACAAGATATACCAAGCTGGCTTTAGGTCTTATCCTCTGGACCTGATGCCGCTGTCTCAATTTGCTCTTTTTCAGGTCACAGTTTGAAAGCCAATCTGCATAGAAATGTGTATTGCCTAGCTATTCTTCCGGTTCTCCATACATGCCCAACCAAGTCAGAGATCCATCGCACAATCCTTCTACCCAATGAGTCCATCTTGGCAGGGGGGCATGGCAGCAAAGCCGTGGCGGTGTTGGGGGCCATTTCGATCTCCACTCAACCCTTTAAGCTGCGGCATCACCGCTGTCACCCACGGCGCACTCCCGAACCAGGCCCGCAGCTATGGCTATGTATACACGACTACCGACCAGCAAGGCGGTACAAAAGCTCGATCACCCCATCGGCATCCGACAAGAGCATATCGCCGACTCGCAAACACTGCTATATCTCCAACCCAAATACGACCAACTATCGCCCAACGAATACACACTGCGCCGAGACTGGGATAACTCGACAATATTCACGGTGACGGGCAAGAAATACGGCGACACCCCGGTGCGTGAGTTCCGCAATTCGTCCGGGCTGCCGTTGTTCGAGGCGCACCGGGTAGTCCCCACGTGGAGACGGCCCTGGCGGGTGCGGCTGCCCGGCAGCGAGGGGACGGAACTGGTGGAGATCAAAACGGGGTGGCAATCCCGTTTGCATTTGACGTTTCGCGATGCGGCTGCCACGGATTCCAAGGAGGAGAGTGAGAAGATGGTCCGCGTGGAGATCCAGCAGATGGTGACATTTGCCTGGCATGAGTTCACGGCATGGGTGGAAGGCAAAAAGGTGGTTGATATCCGTGAAAACATGCATCTGAATAAGACTATCGGCACCATCTACAATACTCGGTCATGGGCGCCGACGCTGCCACCTCGGCCCGTCCTCGATGTGCTTGTGGCCGAGGGATTTGACTTGTCGTTGGTGAGTGACTCTTCATTTCTCAATTTGTCATGGTTTATTAACTTATACTTTGCCCTAGGCGGCTTTGATAGCAGTAATTATGTCGGACATGGCATTCAGTTCAACACCCGGTCCTCGGTAGAGATAATGTGTTGGCCAAGTTGGCGGATTGCTAGATGATGATGATACCCACGATCTTTGTCTTTTGTCATTTGCCCATGCGAGATTTTAGAGCCATATACCAGCCTCAATGCATGAATATCTAGAAGAGTGAAGTTGGAGAGAGATACTTCCAGAAGAGAGATTCCTAAACATCGATCTGGCAGGCCATGTGATTATACTTGGCATTATTTACCGTAAAATGATGCAAGCTCAACCCACTGAATTATTGGAATAGACAGTATTCGGATCATCTTGATTTAATCGTCAAAAAGCATCGAAATCATCACAAACTTCCAATCAAATCTTGGAGCAGGCGGATGCCTTAGTCAGCTGGCTTTGACGACATTCGAAATGAACCTCGCCCAAACACAAGACGCAGGCAGAACTGGAAGCTTCCCGATTGATCCACCGTGCAATCCTTGTTGACGGGGAATTCAATGGATCTCCGCTGCACACGGACCATCTTCCGACAACGGCAGCCCCGCCTCCATGAGTGAGCTTCAGAAATCATTTGCCAAGTCTAAGCTGGCCAAGCTTCCCCCGAAGCACCTGTCTTCGACACGATGACCAATCCGGATGATTGCCGGGATGAGGATGGCTCCTCAGCCTCGTCTGTGTCGTCTACCGGAACAATGGTCCCTTCGCCGACAAGGCAACTGTTTGCCCGCACGGGCCGAGGGTCAGTATAGCAGTACATCAACGTCATTTCTGCATTTGGCGGCGCTTGGAATAGTTGTTTATTAGTATTCTTTAACTCACCCCGAGTTACCAGACAATCATCCCAAACATCCCTTACATGGGCGGACTTCTTCGCGCAAGAACTCTTTATCCCGGAGGAAGTGGGCAATCTGCACATTACGCACCATGTCTACTTGACACCACCCACCGAGTCAGACCCGCTCTTCGTCATGCATCACGGAGCAGGCTCCTCGGGTCTATCATTTGCGACATGCGCAGAGGAAATCCGCAAGATTCTCCCCAAGGCAGGAGTGTTGTCTCTTGATGCCAGAAGCCACGGCTGCACAACTATGTCCGCTGCAGACGGACCGCCAGACTCATACAGTCCATCGACAGCTGCGGCGGCGCAGGCGGAAGCCGGGCCACAGATCGAGCTTGATCTGAGTCTCGAGACTCTTAGCCGGGATCTAGTGTATGTGATCCGCCAGACACAGGCCCGAATGGGGTGGGAGAATCTCCCAGACCTGGTGCTGGTCGGGCACAGTCTGGGTGGAGCAGTGATTACGGACGTGGCAAAGAAGGGCGATCTAGGCTCGAAAGTATTGGCGTATGCTGTACTGGACGTGGTTGAAGGTTCGTCACATTTTGTTTGTTTGAGGTCTTGATTTCATCTTAATGATCTGTTTGATGCTAATGGATACCGTGCAGGATCTGCCATGGATGCTCTCCAAAGTATGGAGAAATATCTCTCCACCCGCCCAACCCGGTTCCCATCCCTCGCATCAGGCATCGAGTGGCAGTATGTGTCTATTCCACGCCTTGTGTTTTCTCGATCTCTTCTAAACCCAATTAACCCACTGCAGTACTCGCTCCCGCACAATCCGAAACACCACCTCTGCCCGTGCCTCGGTGCCCTCGCTCTTGTACGAAGAAAGCCACCCAGCAGACACGGCACGTCCGTGGGTCTGGCGCACCAATCTTTCGGCCACAAAACCCTTCTGGGAGAATTGGTTTGTGGGACTGAGCCGAAAGTTCCTCGATGCCCGGGGCGGCAAGCTTCTGCTGCTTGCGGGGACAGATCGACTAGACAAAGAGTTAATGATCGGACAAATGCAAGGTACGTGTGATCTCCAGTATTCTTTCACATTTCTGTGCTTGCTCCACGAATTCCTCGAGAAAGTAGACAGCGCTAACGTTTAATATTTTCTCTCAGGAAAATACCAACTCCAAGTCTTCCCCGAAGCAGGCCACTTCATCCAGGAGGATCAGCCGGCGAAGACCGCACAAGTTCTGGTGGACTTTTATAGACGCAATGACCGGAGTGCACTGGTGCTTCCACCCAAGGTTGCGGATATACAAGCAGCAGCTGCGATGAAGAAGGATACCGGCGCTGGAGCTCCTGCTCAGAGCGGGCATTTGAAATAGGACTTTGGGCACTGGAGCGCTGAACGGAAATGATGTACATGACAGGCGCTGAGAAAGTAACTTTGGGAGAAGACAGAATAGAATGTCCGTGGTGGCCTCTAGTCGAGATATCAACTACGAAAGGAAACAATTAGAACAACGGTTGTTGCATTGAAGTCTCAGGCGAGTATAGTAGATACGACCACTGCAAATTCAAGCCCAGGTCCGCAGTCCACTGATAGCAGACCGCAGATAGCTACAAGGGCCATCTATAGATAGTCACAAGAACTTTTCGAGGTCCACCCTAGTTGTTCCTGACCACAGATAGTTATAGGAATCATCTGCAGTCCACAACTATGGCAGTCCACGAACCAGCTTGAAAAGGGCAACAAGCATCCACCAATGCAAAAAGACATGAAAGAAGAACTAGAAGAAAAAGCAAAGAAACACAAACTTGCACCGCCTCCGAACCCGAAAATGAACACCGATGACCATGTTTTATGTCCTGGACGCCAGATCCCGCAACCGCCAGAAAAGAGAACATGGAAATAAGCTGGCTCCCTTCAGATATTCCGATGCATTGTGTCGAAAGATGAAAACAAGGGTATTTGCATCAGATGAAGAGAGCAGCAACCGAGAGGAAACAAAGAAAAAAGAAAGGGTGGCTGGCAACGAAGAGCACCCTTGAGGCAAGCACAAAAACCTCGCATCTAAGAAGAATTTGGCAAAAAGGCACCGCCAGCCAAGACCAAGTTCATGCCGGTAAACTTGACCTTGTAGACAGGGCTCTTCTTGGCCTGGAAGGCGCTGACCTGGTCGGGGGTGACCACATTATCCTTACCCTTCTTCTTCTTCTTGCTCTGGCTGGCAGCACTAGGAGGGGCATTGGGTGCATCAATCTTGGTGCCACCGCCACCCTCAGCAATAGTACGTCCCTGGGTAGCCTCCTGGGGAGCAGTGACGTCCCAGACACGGACGGTGCTATCAGCGCCACCCGAGACCAACACCGTAGACTCAGAGCTGAAGCTGAGAGACCAGATGCCACCTTTCTCATGACCGCGCATGCGCTTCATGAGTCTTCCCGCAGCCAAATCCCACAGGAAAATGGATCCCTGGTCATCGGCCGACGCCAGGATCTTGCCATTGCGGCTGCATTCCATGGCAGTGACGTTGCCCGTGTGGCCAGTGAACATGCGGACAGCATTTCCAGTTGTGATTGCCCACATACGCACGGTGTGGTCGCAGCTGGCAGTGAAGACATAGGCAGAGTTGGGGTGGAAGCAGACACAGTCCACATCCTGGTCATGGCCGGCAAAGATACGCTGCTGGCGAATGTGGTCAGTCACCCAGAGACGAGCCGTCTTGTCAGAACCCCCCGAGACAAAGTAGTGCCCGAAAGGCCCCCAGCGCAAATCCCAGACCGGACGATCATGTCCTTTGTAAACCACCACGCACTGCCAAGTATCAAGAGACCACAGCCGGATGGTCTTGTCCGCCGAGGAGGAAAGCAGGAAGCGAGCATTGGTAGCGACCCGGTTCTCTGCGGCGACACTCTCATCTTCGACACCACAGGGAGCAAAGGCAACGGCATACACCGGGCCAGAGTGTCCAATCAGGCGTCGAGAGTTCGCAGGCGGCAGCTTGTCCATTTCAGGATCGGCTGCTCGGAGTTTCTCACCGTCGAGAGTCCAGACACGGATGTAAGAATGTTCGAAGCCCGCGGCCACAAGCGTATTGTCATCTGAGAAGTCCAAGCAGTTGATCCTGTCCATCTGTTAGCATTTTCCTTTGGAGGCAAAGGTTACTTGCGGACATACCCGTCGAACGTGTTGTGAAAAGTGAACATGCACACGTTCATGCCAGGACCCACGCCACCAGTACGACCATCGATCTTGAGCCGGTCCCGATGCTCCTTCACTTTCATCACCTCGATAGCAACATCCCGGGCAGTCGAAGGAGGGAAAGGAATATCAGTGCGGGAGGGCGCTTCGTCGTCTTCCTCTTTCTTGATCATCTGCTCAAACTCATGGACCAGCGTGTTCTTGCCGGCGCTCGGGGGTTCCTTCGCATCCTCGTCGGCAAGTTCGGCGCGAACATCTTCCTCCAATGTCTGCTCCAAGGGCATTGGGCCAAGTCTCAGTCGCGGCAAGGTCCCCGCCATAGCCGGGTTGTCACCCGTGTAGGCAGACCCGGGATGGTGGCCTGGGATTCCTTCATCCTCAGCAGGAGTGGGCTGGGCCGCCCCAATCTGACCAAGCATAGCAGCAAAGCTGAAACGCTCATCAGCAGCCCGATCCATGGTCTTGATGGTGCAATAGCTGCTCAAAAGCGCAGTCATGACGGATCCTCCCTCCTTTTCCTTGCTTTCAAGGAACTGCAGGAGATTGGTGTAGGCAGGGTTGCTCAGAACAAGGCGATACTTGTTGTGGCGGTACAGATTCGAAAGCGAATTGCTTTGCACATGCTCCGGGAGGCCGATGGTTTCAAACACTCGGATGTCATCCGCGTGGTCCGGGAGGAACATGTTCTTGTAGGCCTCGAAGAACTGCTTGGCATCCTCAGTGTAGAGGGCGGTGATCATGTTGATGTACGAGTAGATGAAAAGCGGGAACAAAACCCGACGCAGCTCGGGCTATCGATCAATTAACACATGCTCAACTATAGGGGGATGCAGAATGTCTCACCTTGTACAAATCCAGGTTCTCCTCGACCCAGTTCTTCAGCAAATCTGGGCAACTGATCAGTACGAATATTGTAGGTGATTACTGTCAAAGATATGGCTTACCAAAGCCCTGCCGGAAACGGGGGCGAGCATCCTCTGAGAGAGGGGGCAAAGGACGGCCGTCAATTTCTTGGTTGGCGGACTCCATGCGCAGCATGGCCTCGGTTCGGCTGTAGCCCTTCTTGGCGAGATAATCAATGACCTAAGAAGCATCAACTAGTTAGTATTCTAAACATGAAATCCCAGAGGACTCAAACGAAGCAATACAAAACACCACGGTAAAACAGCAAGTTCCCAGAGCAGGTTCGTTAGCAGGGCAAACAGACAGTTTGTGCCATATGAGGGCTTTCCGTCAAGAATTTGACAAATTCAACACGCCGTTCAGCCGTTCCTATGTTCAGACACCAGTCTGAACCCAAGAAAGGCCGAAGAGTAGGAGGAATGTTGTTCATGACAGCTTCAGACCCATTGGAGCCAGTTCCTTGGTCTGCCGGGACCTCTTGTCCTTGAGTAGCAGGAGGTGCAGGCGGAGCAGAGGATGGCGTAGGCTCAGAAGAGGTCCCAGCAGCAGCTTCACGGCGTGACTTGGGAGCTCGCTGACTCGACTTTTGGGTGCGTTTCTTCGGGGCCATGATAGCTTGAAGGCAGGTCTGTCGGGGTATATTATGTGCAGGGGCAAGTATCAACAAGACCAATAACGAGATAATGAGGTCTTATATGAAGATGGGGAGATGGGTGAAGGAGAGAAAGAAGACGGTGGGAGACATCGAGGTGAGGCAACCACTAGCATCAAACTTGAATCTCAAGGCAGGAAGAGAAACAGAAGAGTGGGGGATCATGGCAATAAACAACAGACCAACGACCCAGTCGCCAAAACACCAGGCAACTGGCACATCACACACCCCCATGACTCAGAAAGGCAGAGGAAGGTAAATGGCCCTCAATCCATGAGATCTGTGGACATTCCAGTCTCCACAGCAAATGGATGAGGGCATATCTGATCATATATCAAGGACCGAAGAAAACAGTGATCACTTCACATGAGACACACACACAGCCTGCTCTGGGAACGCAATCTGCAGCTCAAAAGACACTTACAATCTGATTCAAGTTCTGCTGGGACATGGCGCCGCTGGGGGGTGCTGCTGGACCTGGGGTAGGCGGCGCGTGCACTGGAGTGCCAGGCAAAGACTGCTGAGAGGACATAGACACGCCGCCAGTATTACCGCCACCGGGTCCCATGCTGCCACCTCGCGGGGCGGGACTGGGAGCGCCGCCTGGCGCGGACATTGCGATTGAGCAGATACAGAGGCCAGGGACTGCTGGAGAAGCTTGCAGGGGTAGCAGAGAAGTAGAGGATGATGGAATGGAACGGAATATGATAGAATGAGAGCAAGGTAAGGCGGGTGTCAGCGAACGAGGATTGTTGGCGGTGCGACAAGTTTGATACTGGAGCTGCCCGTCGTTGGCCTCGGCGCTTATTCAGCGGACATCCCCCAGATTCCACACGCGAGGGACAATCTCCTTGCTCTTGGTGAGCCAATTCCCCTGTGAGCTTCGACCTCAACTAGCTAGTTATATATGGTCTGAAGGGCCCATGGGAACGGGTTCTGTGTGCCACAAGGTCCTGGGCCAGTCGGCAGTATGAGCGAGCACGCCCCCGAGCAGAGCTTCACTTCCGCGGATCGTATCCGGCAGCTGAACGATGTGGACAAGGTATGGCGAGAGTCTACTGATATGATGGGATTGAACTATGTACTAAATCCTCTTTTCTAGGACGTCGCTAAGCTTATCCATTCCGCCGGTCTCGCCATCCAGGCCCTGACCAACGCTAAACCCGACCCCTCCTCGTCGCCCGCGCCAGACGGCTCACTCGATTCGCACAAGGCGCGGTTCAAAGAAGCGACCGCACAATACTTTGCCCTGCTGTCATCCATTGACGTGCGGCTTCGCCGCCAGGTCTACGCATTGGAGGAGGCGGCCGTCCTGGCGCCCGAGTCGAGCGTGCGATCGGGGGATACGGCTACGAGTTCTGGGGGTGGGGCAGCTGCTACGGCATCAGGCACTGCAAATCCTTTGGATGTGAGCTGGTTGAATAGCCGGAAAGATACGGTCGGCATGGACAAGGAGGCCGAACTGTGGGCGGCTGCGAGGGAATTTGTTGAGCGATTGGACAAGCCGACGGACGCAAACCGCGCCTCGAACAAGACGGAAAATGGCCCGGAAGAGATGCAATTCGACTGAGAGAGGGAAGGCCATGTGTACGTTATGCAATGGGTGGCTGGTTCCTCTGGTTATGGTGATCAACGGCGGCCAGCTTCTGCTTTTTCCGTGATACCCCAAATGCTCTGCAAACGCCGGCATTTAAAATCTACTTGCAATTCTATGACGTGGGAAGAAACTCAGACGGTAAGGTTGCGATGAATTGTATAAACTAGGCAGGGTTAGGCAGGGTCTGCGAAAAACAAAGCTATGCAACAAAGAAAATGCACCAAGCTCTACTTCTGTATCGACTTGATCATCTCCAGTTGCGTCGCTCGGTCTCGATTCGTCTCGGACAACGGAGCCAGGCCTGGAGGGAGGGAGTTAGCATGAAACACCAGCATGTACTATCCATTGAACAAGCACTTACTCCGGAGTTCCCCAACCACATCTTTGGCCTTGCCGAAGTAGACCTCCTCTGGTAGATCACAAGAGTCAGCGATACACTCCAACAGAGAACAGGCAGGGACAACGTACGAAGCAAGTTACGCATCTTCAGCTCCATATCCTCCACCAGCCTGCCCACATTGGCGACATGGCTCGCATCCGACTCCACGGGCAGATCGACCTCGACTTGCCGAGTCATGTTCCCGCTCAGGTCCATCTCGCCGAGGGCCTCGCTTTCTTTGGCCAGGTGTAAGATAACAGTGCTGGTCAGTTTGTAGTGGGACATGCGAGCGCGATCCGTAGCCTCGAAGACGTGGATGCTGTCCCATTCGCCAGAGCTTTGGGACCCGGGGGTGACTCCTGAAAATGAAAAGGTCAGCAACAGACCGGGGGTGTGTTTATAGCAGTTTCCATGTGGATATGAACGCGCCTTTCTTCAGCAGAATCACACCGGCAAACCCATCATCCAAATCCCAGAAGTAAACACTTCCTACACCGCCCTCATAGTACAGCTCGCGGTAGACATCAAAGGCATCGTTGGCGGCGACCTCGAGCTTGCGCACACGCTCACTGGGAACAGTACCATCCTCAAGCGGGGGATCAAATTCATTGCTCCATGGTGAGCGGTAGCTGTCGCCGTCACGGTTATAGTCGCAGAGGAGGTAATCGCGATTGGACTGCGGACACCGGCGAATCTCCAGTGGCTGGTCAACGGAGGAGAGGAGGTCTTCGGTAAGATCGGGGACAATGCTAGTAATAGCCTGCAGGTTGGCCTTGGTGTCGCGCGGGCTCAAGCGCCGAAGCAGGTCGCTGGGGTTGCGGTCAGTTGGGCTCCGTCTGGGGGCGGGGTTGCGTCGGAGTGGAGGACCACGCAGTGTGGTCGAGGAGAAGGGCAACCAGGGTTGTATAGGAGTATCAACCCCACAGAGAGACATGAAATCACTCACAGCGCACTGTCAAATTGGGCATCGGCCATCGTTGTGGTGGTTGGAGGGGGTGGTATAGTCTGTTGACGGGCTGGCGGTGTTGATCGGAGGTGCGTGGGGACTGCGGGCAGCTGTGGCAGTAGGCCGACTCCACGTATCTCCCTGAACATCGCAGGTGTACAGCAAGACTACAAACAAGGAAAGCATGGGAGCAAATCTGAAAATTCTATGCACCTGCCATGGGCTATTTACATGCAATCCATTAAAAACGGGTATCCAAAGGTGGCTCGGGTAGTCATCACTCGTCACTCGCCCTACTTCCGGGGTTTCGATTTTGATCCACTACTGAAGAGAACACTGGCATCCGGCAGGTCAAAATCGGAGCCATCATCGTCAAAGTCACTCTCTAGTGAGAAGGTGGCCTGCTGCGGTTGTGGTTTCGGGTCGCGATTAGAAGGGTGTGGGGACATCAAGGCGAATATCTCCTCGTCAACATCCTCCCCGGCTTTTGCAGATGCCGGGCGAGAATCCGAGCCAGATAAAGGCTTGGTAGTCTTCTGGCGGCGAGGCTTAGCACTCGACCTTTCACGCGGTGGTGGGTCCGGGTCATCGAAAGATGCAGACGTGTGGGCTAAGATCTGTTTGAAACGATCATCGCAGTCAGGGTCGGCTTCGTCCATTTTCCGCAGCGTATTAATCATGCGACGGGTCAGGGAACCATGCTGAACAGCCCTGGTAGGCCTGGCAGTCATCTGGAGACGCGGGAAGGCGTCATTGCGCGGGAAGCGGATGAACTGGGGAGAGGTGGCGCCAATGTTTTGGTAACGGTGCTCCAGCTCCCTCTGTTCACTTGCGGTGAGAACAACCTCGTCCAGAGGAGGTATGTCTACGGGCTCTGGCGTGGGAACCCGGGCTCGCTTCTTGGGGGTAGCAGCCTTTGTTTTCTTCCGAGAGCTATCGCCCGTCAAGGTCGACGCACGAGTGAACCCCGTCTCCACGTCGTCGGGCATGTGGAATTCCTTGGGAGGTCGCTTGGGCGCGCGGCCCCTGCGTTTGGGCTCGGGAAGCTCCTGCTGGGAGTTCTCGACAGGAATGTCAATATGCCGTTTATCAGGCACAGGCCGCACACCGGCAGGCAGGATGCGAGGAGACCGGTCATCGTGAAAAGTAAATCGGGAGCCGCTGGCGATCATTTGCTGCATCTTCTCATAGTTATCTTTGGCCTTGATGTACGAGTCTTCCTCCTTGCCCTTCATCAGTAGTAGGGTGATATTTCCCGACCGTTTACGGCCAGTTCGACCCATCCGTTGCAGCATGCGAATTGGTGACGCGGATGAGTCGAAGCACACGATCAGGTCAACTTCGCCAATATCCAGACCTTCTTCACCGATTGACGTGGCGACAATGGTGTTGTACGTGCCTTTCTTGAAATTCTCGATAATCTGCAGCTGGGTCTTCTGGTTCATCCCCTCGGAGCCTTTGGCACTGGTCTGGCCCACGAAGACATGGGGCCGGATCATGGGTTCGTATCGCTTCAACACCCTAGTCACCTCGTCGGCACTGTCGCGAAAATGGACAAAAATCATCACACGGGTGGCGGGCTGGCTATCACCATCGCCAGGGTCCTTCCCCTCGCCCGCGTCCATGAAATGATTCAAAATGACCGATTTGAGGTATTCCAACTTCGGGTGCCCAATGAATTCCGGGTTTTTGCTCCACGGCTCAAGATGGCTCATGAGCTTTTTGAAGCTTTCATCCTGGACAACTTGTTTCTGGTACTTGCCCCCTTTTTGGCCCTCGGTATTGGACTTGAAATGGATTAAATGACGATAGAAGGGGACGATGCCATGAAACTTCAGCAGATCGACAGCGTGAGCCAAGCTGGCCAACACCGTGAAAATGGCATTGACCTTGCCCTTCAGTCCAAAACTGGCGTTTCGACCCGCGTCGGATCCCATCCACTGCTGTCTCGCTTTGGTGAGGCCGAACGCAGTCAGTCCCATGGGATCTCGTCCCCAGTAGGCGTTGAGCGTGCGGAGCTGGTCCACCAATGGCTGCAGCGTCGTTGACAATAGATCCATACAGAATACCATTTCGTCGGAGTTCTCGAATGTTTCGATTTCGATGTTTCGTGAGTGAACGTAATCTCGAATATCAATCGACTGCTCGGTCCGAATTTCCACCCGCGATATGTCCAAGCCGTCGATCACCGACTGCACAGATTCCACTGTAGAGCCAGGAGTTGCAGTCAGGGCAAGAACACGGAAACTTTGGTTATGCCGTCGGAGGAACTTGACCACTTCCACGTATGCATATCCTCCTGTCGCGCGATGGGCCTCATCCACAACGAGAAGAACAATGCGTTTAGGGTCCGCAATCCCCGTCTTCAAATCATTGATCAGTGTTTGGGGGGTCATGAAAAACACCCGCTTTGCCTGCCACTCTTCGGCGCGTATTCCAGGCGAGGCCCCTCCCGTCAGCATGGAGCTTTGGGATCGTGGGATCCCCGCTATATCGAGGCATGCCGACACCTGCTGTGACACCAGGGGCTTGGTGGGGGCGACAAATATAATCTGCGAGCCCCGTGTCCATCGAAACCAATTGAGCATGATCGTCGCGGCGATGAATGTCTTTCCGAGACCTGTGGGCAAAGCCACCAGGAGGTTGTGGAAAAGACCTTTCTGAGTAATGTTGAACTGATAGTCTCTCGTGTTACCTAGGTTGGTTGGGTATACCCAAGTATCTAACGTATCTTGTTCAAGCTTGTGTTGCGTCGGGGGCTCATTCTTTTCGGGCGGAGACCAGTCCTGTTCGCGCACCACCATGTCCGGGTTGCGGGCAGTCATGCCAAACAACGTGGTTTGCCGAATACTTGGTTGTCGGCTCAGAGTCCGGTTCGAGCTCCACTGCGATGGAGTTGGCTGGATCGGCCTTGCCGCTGGTGATAAAGACGGGGAAGAGTCGAACGCGTCCTCGGGGATATCGTCGAGCTCGAAAGCGGCATCCGCTGAGCCGCCGGCCTGCTGCTCGCGCGGGGATTCCAGTCTTTGGGGAATATTCCTTTTGGAAATGTTGGCATTGAAGGCATTTCTCGTCGTTTTTTCTTCTTCCAGCGAGTCCATTGAAGCCGCAATGGCCGCTCTCAGTCCCTCGTCGTCATCGTAGTAATTATCCGCGCGCGACGCAGTGTTTTTAGTCTCGTGGCCAGTCGGGATAGGCTCAGGGGTTGGTGGATCAGGATCGGGTTTCTTCCACCGCGGCCCACGTATTCGCTCGGGACTCGAGTCAGGCTGGGTGAGCTGGGTGACGAAAATGTTCTCTTGAAAATTGCTCTCTTTCGGTATGAAGCTCTTGTACTTAGACCGCGCATCTCGCTCCTCAAAACCTAGAGAAGATTCTCCACCAGGCAGCGGCAGTTGGTCTTCGTCCATGGAAGAAAACGAGGTTGATGAAGCCGCATCCTCGTCCTGCTCTCCCCCGCGCGGAGGATCAACACGGCGGCGTTTGGGTGGGCGCGAGTTACCATAGCCGGGGGAGTCTGGAACTACAAAGTCATCGTCATCAAAGTAATCCGACTCGGTGTCTGTTGCCGGCATGGCGCAACTGTTGCGAACCCGCGAACGCAACCCGCAATCTTCAATGCCGAAGCACGCGTCGCGTCGCAGAATCAGGTGACCCGTTTATTGTTTGTGCGGTTTGCATTGCCCCTGCAGTTGCAATGGCAGCTGGTCGTAAAGACAATTAAGATGGTCATGATTTCGATTATTGAAATGGGTGTATATTTCTTATTCATAATAGCTCTATACATAGATTTGTATTATTATTATCTGGTGTGTTGGGTGTCTATCTATGATCGGCGGGCTGTAGTGGAGTAGATCCAGACCCCAGCTCAATATCCCCACGATTGCTGCCGGTCCCTTGCACCCCTGAAGACCCTCATAATTTTAATTTAATTTAAATGAATACACGATAATAACATACTCCTTGCTAGGATCCGTGTAATGATCCATCACAATAGTCAGGCAATAGCAGGATTCTAGTTTCGCCCGGCAAATGCGCAAATCAGCTCGGGCATAGCCGAACCCCCAGATTTGACAGATCCACTTTCTTCCCTGTCAACAGCCCCTGGCCAGGTCAAGGGGCCAATTCCTCCAAGTCCCTGAGAAGATGTCGAGGGCGATGAAGCCCAAGCAAGGAAGATGCTGTTGCCACTCGGGATTTGGCCAACAATAAAGAAGAAAGAAGAAAGAAGAAAGTAGGAAACAGAAAGAAAAAGAAAAACAAGAAAACAGAGGAACAGACACCAATGTCCTAGGAGCATCTGAGACACGGCGAATCAGAGGCCGCCGCCACAATCTTTTTTTGTCTCGATAAACCCTGAGGGGATACAACGTTGTTTGCCTGTTTTTTAAGTGACTCTTTTTTTTCTTCTATTTAATTGCCCATCTCCCTCTTTCTTCCTCTTCTTCTCTCTCCACACCTGTCACTCGTTCACTTGTCAACTCCACTATCTATCTAATTTCTACCATCTACATCGACACCATCTCTCATCTACCTCCATCTCCACCATGAAGCTCAACTTGCTGGCTCTCTCCACCCTCCTGGCCGTGGCGGCTGCTGCCGACACCACCTCGGCCGAACCCTCGACCACCACGACCAGCGCGGAGGTCAAGTGTGCCAAGAGCTGTACGTGATGATCTCCAATCCCTTGGTGTTGAATCAAGTTGACTGACCTTTTCCCGCGTGTAGGTGACTCCAAGGATCTTTGTTGTGTTGCCAAGTGCTACAAGGTCCCCTGCCCCAACGACAATCAGGCCAATGACACCAACAGCTGCGTGTCCGCCTGCCCCCAGGGATCTGGCTCGCCCGCCGACACCCAGAAGTACGCCCAGTGTGAGCAGAACTGCTTCAGCTCGCACTTCTTCCCGGCCAACGGGGCTGCCACCACCAAGACGAGCACGACCGACACCACTGCCACCGGCTCTGCTGCCACCGAGACCAGCTCTGACAGCACCAAGTGTACGTCCATGTCTTCCTCTTTTGCTATGCCTACTCGTTACTCATGGCAATGCTAACATATCTCACAGCGTCCGACAGCAAGACCAGCTCCACCTCGGGCTCCCCGACCAGCTCCTCGGGTGCCGCCGAGACCAGCAATGCTGCCGCCAATGTCAAGCTCGGTGCCTCCGCCGCCGGTCTCTTTGGTCTGGTCATTGCGGCCTTCGCTCTGTAATTCTCTCCCAAAGATTCCTGGATCTGTCCCAGTGGCATTCCTTGTGACAGGCCCGGTCTAGAGCAGCGCGTGGCCCGCGTGCCTCTAATTTTCTTGCAATTCAGCATTGCCCCTTTGTGTCTTCGATACATGATCCTTGGGGCGCTCTGTGAATGACACGATAATAATGGAACATTGAACACGACTTGACAACTGTAAACATCCCTCTAGTCGTAGACCTTGTGTTGATCACATTCCCCACAGATCCCCAACATGGACTGTCGTACAATCACGTCGTGTACAACTTAGAAGAAGCCTCCATCAGATTCGAATATGCACGGAGTTGGACAGCAGGCGGAGGCGGGGTTTTCTCGCTTGTTTTCCCCACCGAAGATCGTAGATCCAGAAACATCACGCCAATCAACGTCTGGTATCTCAAGTATTTGGTAAAGGCATCAAAATCTACAAGCATACGCAGCTGCATTTTGAGTCGGCTTGCATACCCATTCCACCGTCTCGAAGCACCACAGCAGACATTCAAAGCCACAAACATGACATCCGCGTTCGCGGCTGAGAAAATGGACTGTGGCGAGTCTCTCTTCGCCGCCATGTCCGCCTTCGTGAGCTCCTGCATGTCCGGCCACGATCCATCCCATAACCCAGCACATGTCCACCGAGTCGTGGCCGGAGCCAACACCATCCTAGCCGCAGAACAAGCCCTGGATCCAGCAGCGCACTTCGACAGCACTGTGGTCCAGCTCGCGGCTCTACTGCACGACATCGGAGACCGCAAGTACATCTCTCAGGTGGCACAGAGCACATCAGACACATCAGAAAACAAAAAGGCCTCGCTCGACCCAACAACCATGGTCCGGGAAGCCCTCCTCGCCCACGGAGCGAGCCCAGACCTCTCAGCCAAGGTGCAAACCATCGTATCGCACGTCTCGTACACGACGGAATGCAAGGACCCGACAGCAATCCAGCGTCTGATCGAGCAAGGGTACCCCGAGCTAGCCATCGTCCAGGACGCAGACCGGCTGGATGCCATCGGGGCGCTTGGGATCGGACGCTGCTTCACATTCCTTGGGGCACAGGGGCGTAGGTTTGTGCCTGAGGGGCAGTGGGAGATGGACAATGCCATTGAACATTTTGGAGAGAAGCTCGAGAAGTTGGAGGGCATGATGAAGACCGAGACGGGGAGACAGATGGCCCGAGTGCGGACGGAGAGACTACGAATATTCCGTGGGTGGTGGGAAGAGGAAATGGGGATGTCTGCTGGTTCTACTTGAAATTCGATACATAATTCTAGAGTCCTACTATTACTCTTAGATCACGGTGCTAGCACCACTATGTATTTCTGAATCGTGTACTATTGCCCATGCCATGAGCTCTCGCTCTCCCTGGTAAAGCAACCAAAAGAACCAAACGATGGGACCTTGTAAATGAGTGGAGAAGGGCCCAGAGCAACAGAAACAGAAGAACAAAGGTGTTGCGTGAATGATCAAATAGCCTCCAATCTATCAAAACTCCGAAATGAAACACAGCGCAGGATGTGGGTATTTGGGGTTTGAGCAATATCGTATGTCGAACGGGGTCAAAAGCCGAGACTCAAGGTAAACATGTGCAAGAGTTATTGGTATGTGGATATGGTTTCAAGAGGTATAGCCCAACAACATCGAAAGGGGTTTCAACCAACGCCGCCCGGGCACATCAGTTCTAAATCAACGATAGAAATAAAGAAAAAAGAGTGAGAGACACGCCAAGTATCAGACGCGGTCTCGTGCGAAATCCAGGACCTCGCAATCGTCTTCGAAGAATCCGTCATCCACCTTCAACGGAGTGGAATGCTTCTTCTTCCGACGCGTGGTGATGACCACTTCCTCGACGTTGCCGGTGCTGTTCCCCAAAGTGATGTGGTTCTCAATGTCTCCTCCGGCTCCCAGGGAGTGTCCGTGGATGGCGGCGTTCTCGTCTTCATCCTCTCCATGGTCATCACTACTGTTGTTAAAGGATCTCACATGCACCGTAGTAGTCGGGAGATCATCGCCAAAGACCCACTGACCACGAGGTGCTGACACCATCGAGTCACTTTCTTCACTACCAGCGGAAAAGACACACAGCCCAACTCGCTGGTCCGTGTGGAATGGCTGGTATGGGGTATTGGTCTCGATTTCAGCTTGTGAGAGAGGCTGGCAAAATGCTCTTCCGGTGTTCGGCGGCTGTGAGCTGGCAGATGGCAAGGCCAGACCGACATGGATGGCAAGCTCTGGATCATAAGCTGTGAGGGGCGCTGGCCCACACGGAGTTTGGAGGTTGGTGGGCAATTGGAACTGAACCTCTTTGCCGCCGATGATGGAGTGGGATTGCCGGTTCTTGTTAGTAGGCACGGCCCGCTTGAGGCGATACAGTTTGAAATATCCGTCATCGACTACACCCAAGTAGATAGTTCCTTTGTTGCAAACCCATGTCACACGAGACGGTGCAGGATCCCTAGCGAGCCCCGACAAATGAAGACGGTTCTCTCCTACATGTCGGAGAGTATTGACAGTGCCTGTCGCCGCACCCATCGACTTGCTGAGGCCCGCAGCGACCACCTTCCCACCTTTCATACCAGCTGCAGACGGCAAGGCGAATCCAGTCATATTGGGCAATGCAGCACCGGATGACGGAACACGACCTCGAACGGCAGAGAAAAAGGGCTGGGTTTTGCCACCCACTAGCTTCATAGCTGCAGACAGTGGGTTTCCCGCATTCCCCTGTCCCGACAACTCATCCCCCGCGGGATCAGTCGCCGGAGACTTACTCGCTGCCGGTCGTGCTCGACGGAAAGGGGGCCATTGGAAGGCACTCCGAGGTAGGTCAAAAGCGTGGACAGTACCTTTGCGCGTGATAACTGCCAAGCGATCTCCAACTGGGGCAGTCCAAATAACATCAATAATGCTCGACGTAGTCAACCGCGCATATCGTGCCACCTGGCGCACATTCGGGCTATGGGCGGCCTGGCTGTTGGTCATGAAAGCCATGGCTCGACAGTGTTTGAGTTGCATCAAGTCCCAAACATATTGGACATCGCCCTTCTTGTTTGCCGTGAAAAGCATCAAGCCATTCGGGGAGAGAGAGAGGAAGCTGCAGCCATTGGGAACCTGGAATGTCGCCACGGGGTGAAGAAACGCATTTTTCGGTTCCGCGCCGTCCTCAAGACGCTTTAAATCGATGATGGAGACTGCGTCAGGCTCCGCAGCGGAGGATGCCGAGGTATCTTGAGCGTGTGTTGGTGGAAAAACGCCAAATGCCTGCGTTTGGGAGTCCGGTCCCGGGACTAACCGCCGAGAGGGTGTCCCCGGAGCTTGCTGGACGTTCCAGTAGTTGTTCCACGCCTGCATCCCCTGGTCTCCCATCCAACGGGCGCCCTTGACAAGTTCTTGGGTGACTCCCCTAGCGACCTTGTCGAGGAAGCTCTCTCCCTCGCCCACATCTGTCGCGCAGTTCACTGATGGCATATTCGGGGGACTGCGGGTCTCAATTCCTGGAATTTTTCCGTGAATCAAATTCGCAGGCACAGTCCCCTGAAGCGATGCCCTGTAAGTCGAGGATGGAGGTATGATGGCCAGCCATCTGCCCTGCACCGCCAATATCGGCCTCTCTGTGGCTGATGAGCTATGAGGCGAGTCATTGCGAGACCCTTCCGGATCCGTGGAACTCGAAGAGGTGGAGTAGCGACGTGCCTCTCGAGACTGAATACCTGTCCACGTTTTGCCCAGGCACTGATACGCACCCAGTGCGGACGAAGTATGCTTGTAAACATACACCTCTCCACTAATCCCCGACGCCAGTATGATATGGTTCCCGCTTGTGAACAGTCTCAGGCTGCCAACAGGTGAAGGGGCAAAGGAAGGGAGGCCTGGGATATTCTCCAGAGACGGCACGGGCTGGCTGGAAAAGAGCGTCGCGATATGTTCGCCCGTCCGTAAGGAATATACTTCCACCCTAGTTTGATAAAACTGAATGTCATCTCTGGCTGTGCGTCTATCACTCGAATGGCCTCGCGCCACAGATGGTGGGCCATCGTTTATGTCCGAGCCCGCAGAGGAAACACGACCTTCCTCTTCGCTCAAGGGCAAAGGACCATGGACGATGACAGCCACATGTGGGCGTGAGGCAAAAAGCGCGTCATTCGATGGAAATCCCGGCAATATTTTCGCGTTAATCACTCGACCGTTTAGACCCGTGATTTGCCCCACGAGACGAGATCGTCTCTCCTCGACGGCGAGAATCTCTATCGCACCGTCCATCCCCACAAGCAAGACATTCATTCCTGTTCGTGAATTCTTTGGAAACGCATTCGGAAGCGTATCGAAACCACAGAAAGAGTATCCTCCTTCTGGCCGGTCTGGAATCGGAAGGATATCGATGTCAGGTGCTCCATAGAAATGGGCCTGCGGAAGATGAGGGGGAGGCGCTTGGTTGCTCATAGGGCTCCCGTAAGAAGGGCTTTTCCACCTATCTACTGACGGTTGTCGGGATTGCATGCTGGTGCGGTAACCATTCCCATAGCTGAATGGCTGTGCTTGGGCTGGAGGGGATGCCGAGGAGGGATGACTGAAGCCGCCTCGCTCGTGGATGGTTGGGAAATTGAGAGGCGAAGAGTTAGGCGGTTCACCGTCCATCAGATCAGTTGGGGGGCTCTTCCCAAAAGGGACTGATTGGGCCCAGGTGTCGGTCCGACGAGTGAGATCATTATCGGTCGTCTCCCCGAGGGACCCGAGAGCATCGAGAACTGGTGAGGTGATTGTGTTTGCATGGTGATCCAAAGATGGGTCGGGGCAGGAGGAGGGTTCATCCGGTGGAGCAGAGGGTTGAATCCTATGATTATGACCATGCATTAGTGGTGGGTTCTACATAGTAAGCAATCGCACGTAGGTGCATACAAATCCTCAGAAGGCGTTTCGGTCACTGCCTTAGCCGCCTTGCTCTTTTTGCCACCTTTCTTCTTTTTGCTCTTCGTGCTGGGTTCATGCTCTTGAATCGGTCGGGTATGATCCGGAACCAAGGAAGGGTCGTCTCCAAGGGACCGGCTATGCTGGCGGATCAAATCGTCAGGCGCGGCCGGGGGCATTCAAATGGAGGCTGCCTCGAAAGAGGCAATAGAATTTGAGATAGCTAAAACCGCTCCCAGGACCTGTATTGAGGTCTGAGAACGGAGTGCCGGGCCACTCTGTACCCGACGTTCAGTGTTTTGGATAAGGGGATCTTGCGAAGTAGAATGAGAGGAGGGCCTGGTTCTATTAGAATCAGGGTAAGCTCTTAGATCAAACCACACTAGCAGATTCCAGAGATCATACCCTGGTTCTATCAATATGGTATATCTGTAATGGAATGAAAGTGGCTGTTGGTGTAGGGTCAAGCGTATCTGGAGTGGGACTTCACTCTAGACACGCGGGGGAGCTTCGATAAGATTGATAGGGCGCACAGCACAGCTAGATAGTTGTCGCTGGTGTAAAGATTAGACAAAAATACAAAAGGTGTTTCAAAGCATTCACAGTCAAATTTAGATGGAAGATGAGTCAAGAGGAATAGAAGGTGTTATGGCGATAAGAGGAGGGGGAGGGGGAGCTGACCCCAGGTCAGGTGTGAGGTACCTGACTCACGGGGAACGGAGTGACCCCGTCATTTGCCCACGATACTTCAGCCCCTACGTTATCTCGCACTGATAACCATGTACCTCTGGGATCGCAACTCTGGCCCCCCTTACGATACCTGGTCACCTGCAAGGTATGAGGGGAATCCATGCTTACTTAAGATTCCAGAATCCCGAGGTTCTCTCTTCCATGGAACTGTGCTCTACTCAGGGTAATCTGGGTAAACTCTCAGAATGCCGAGTCCAGCCGTCTGTCTTGCTTTTTGTTTGCACAGTCATCGGTCAGGGTGGCGTCATGGATGACTCCCAAGTCACGGGGACTCGGGGGAAAAGGGATATCATTTGCTCCTAAGGATCCGAGCGCACATGTCGATGGCATGCCAGAGAAAGGTATATTATTACATGAGAAATGGATGGCGCAAACAGACTGGGAGAGAGATGGTCGAGCACGCGGCCTACCGGCCATTCGTCCCCCCCCCTAACCCAGCACCGTTTTTCTCAGGTCTTCTTCTTCGCAGCAGCCTTAGCCTTGGCCGCCTTTTTCTTGTTGCTGTTGATCATCACAATCCCAATAAAGGTGCCCACCACAGCAGAAGCTAGGAGAGTGAGGATGACGGGGATTCGAATGGCCCAAACACGGGGAGGGAAGAGGTCATGGAGAGGGTGGCCCGGGTCGACGAATGGCTGGGAATAAGTCAGAAAGGACGAAAGACAGCACAAATCAGATGAGCGGAATGGGCCTACCATAAGCAACGTCCAGGCAGTATAGTATAGAAAGATCGCGGTTGCGACCAGGAGCATGGCGGATCCAACGAGTTGGCCCAGCTAGAGGGATGTGTTAGTAAGAGGCCGCAAAGGAATTGAAGACATAGCATTTACCATTCTGAGAATGGATGGGCGCTCAAAGACGCAATGGAAATCCAAGGAAGGTCGATGAGTAGACTGCAAGAAACACAGGAGCTTGAGGCGTTCCCACCTGGCCTCCGGATCACGTGATCCACGCCAGAGCTTTCTCCTGCTGGGGGTTCCTCCTGCACCGTCTGAATTCGCACCACCTGCCTCCCTGGTGTCCACCAAAATCTCGACGGACACCCTTGTTTCATCGTCACTATGGAGGATCCGGTTTTGCAGTCTGCGGTTCGCGTGCCGACGCCTCCACCGGGCGCCTCCTACTCTCCAGCGGCAGGCTCTCGCAAACGCTCACCTCCGTCCCGGTCTCCGTCACCAAATCGTCGACGCTCACCACCAGGTGATTCTTCGAGAGACAATGGCGATGTACCTCCGATGGATCCAGACCGTGCATTGGAAAGGGAGCGACAACTCGCCGAGCGGTTTCGCGAGCACGAACGGAAGGAAGCCGCGCGCAAGCCGATGACCGATGAGGAGAAACAAGCCTCAGCCAAGGCCGAATATGAGAAATTGCTTAATATGCGGTCGGGCGGTACATATATCCCGCCGGCACGATTGCGCACTCTACAGGCGCAAATCACCGACAAGACCAGCAAGGAATACCAGCGCATGGCCTGGGAAGCTCTGAAGAAGTCAATCAACGGATTGATCAATAAGGTCAATGTCTCGAATATCAAATACATCGTTCCCGAGCTCTTTGGGGAGAACTTGGTGAGAGGACGTGGCTTGTTCTGTCGGTCCATCATGAAGGCCCAGGCGGCCAGTTTGCCCTTCACCCCCATCTACGCGGCGATGGCGGCGATTGTCAACACGAAGCTTCCCCAGGTGGGAGAGTTGCTACTTTCTCGATTGATCATCCAGTTCCGCAAGGCGTTCAAACGAAACGACAAAGCCGTTTGTATCTCGTCTACGACGTTCATTGCCCATCTCTGCAACCAGCAGGTCGTGCACGAGATGCTTGCCGCCCAAATTCTCTTGCTTCTACTGCACAAGCCGACAGATGACAGTGTCGAAATCGCCGTGGGTCTCACCCGCGAAGTCGGTCAGCATTTGGAGGAAATGAATCCCCCGATCGCGCTCGCCGTGTTCGACCAATTCCGAAACATCCTCAACGAGTCGGACATCGACAAGCGTGTGCAATATATGATCGAGGTCCTGTTCCAAGTGCGCAAGGACCGGTACAAGAATAACATGGCGGTCAAAGAGGAACTGGATCTAGTGGAGGAAGAAGACCAAATCACCCATCGGCTTGGGTTGGACGACGAGATTGAAACGCAGGACACACTCAATATTTTCAAACATGATTCCGAGTGGGAGCAACACGAAGAGGCGTACAAGAAATTGAAGGCCGAGATCTTGGGTGAGGGCAGCGATGAGGAGGATGAGGACGACGAGGATGAGGACGAGAGCGAGGATGAAGAATCCGACACGGAAGAACAAAGAATGGACATCAAGGACCAGAGCAACACAAATCTTGTTAACCTCCGCCGGACGATCTACCTCACGATCATGTCCAGCATTGACTTTGAAGAATGCTGCCACAAACTGATGAAAATCAATCTGCCGGCAGGGTTAGAGCCAGAGCTGCCGTCCATGATCATCGAGTGTTGCTCCCAGGAACGAACCTACTCCAAGTTCTATGGGCTGATCGGCGAACGGTTCGCCAAGATCAACCGGCTTTGGTCCGACCTGTTCGAGGCTGCTTTTGCCAAATACTACGATACCATCCATCGCTACGAGACCAACCGCCTCCGCAACATTGCCCGCTTTTTTGGCCATATTCTCAGCAACGATGCTGTCGGGTGGCATGTGCTGTCGGTGGTCCATATCAACGAGGAAGAAACTACATCTAGCAGCCGCATCTTTATCAAGATCCTCTTTCAAGACCTTGCGGAGAACATGGGCGTGGCTGGGCTGCAGGCCCGCTTCCGGGACGAAATTCTTCGCCCAAGCTTCGAGGGGCTTTTCCCAACGGAGAACCCGCGCCACACCCGGTTCTCGATTAACTATTTCACCAGCATTGGCATGGGTGTCTTGACAGAAGACATGCGCGAGCATCTCAAAAACCTTCCTCGGCCGACCGTGCCCGCCTTGCCAGCACGAGGCGACTCGCGCTCGCGCTCACGTTCTCGCTCTTCATACTCATCTTACACTCGATCTTCCCGCTCCCGCTCGTACTCATACTCTCGATCTCCTTCCCGTGACCGTGGCCGGTCCTACTCCCGCTCAATCACGCCGTCATCCCGCAGCCGGAGCTACACTCCCTCGCGGTCACGGTCTCCCGCTCAGCGTCGCCGTCGCGATGCCTCGTACAGTCGATCTCGAACGCCGTCCGATCGATCTGTGTCTCGATCTGTGTCTCGGTCTGTGTCTCGGTCTGTGTCTCGGTCCGTGTCACGCACTCCCTCTCGACGGGGCCGAGCTCGCTCCTATGACTCACGAAGCCCGAGTCGCAGTCCGTACCGGTCTCGTCGCTCGGCCTCTCGGTCCGTCACTCCGCCCCGTGGCGGACAAGCATCAGCCAGCAAAAGGGGTCGTAGTTACTCGCGGTCGGTCTCCCGGTCTGTCACGCCGCCCCGCCGAGGGGCACGACGACACTCGTCGGCGTCTGCATCCCCTCCGCCTCGTGGCGGACATGCCGCGTCTGCATCGCGCTCGCCCAGTCCGCCTAGACGGCGAGAGGAACCGCGCGGAAGAAGCTACTCTCGAACACCGCCGCGGCGCCGCTAAGTGCTTCGCACTACAGGGGGAAGTAGTGTTGGATTAGGAAGGGGTGGGTTTGGTCGTACTTCGGGATATGGTTGGTACTGGTAATGGTCTGGAACTAGCGATACGGATATCAAACCCCATCTCACAAGCAGAAATTGATCCCATGATGTATTTTTACCATTCTGCAACACATTCGTCTCAATCGAGGCAAATCCACGAACACCATGCAACATGCACTATCTCGCTCATAGTCACAAATCCAAGTCTAATGGGTATCTCATATACAAGCAACATCTCTCCCCTCGAAGAAACATCTTACTCCTCAGCCTCCCACACACACCTCTCACACCGACACATACCCCCCAGCGCACCGCACGCCCACTCCCTCCTCTTCTTAACAGGCAACCCAACATCACAGTAATGGTTCACAATCTCCTGGTCCTTGGCAATACCACCAACATGACACTGCTTGCGCTCGTCTTTCCTCGTCCATACGGGCCTCTCGGCGGTGGTACGCGCACGGAAGGTGATCTCGCCGCCCCATTCCCAGCGCACATTCGGATCGCACGAGTGGTTCGCCAGACACCAGAGCGGATGCACGGCACAGAGCTCGGGCCCGCCATCCCACGTGGAGAGCCGGCCGGAGGCGGTGCCACGGAACTTGGCGTACAGCGTGTTCAAGACCCAGGTGTCGTAGCGCGGCAGTGTGGTGTACGGGTCGAGACCCATTTCTTCGAGGAAGCGGGTGGGTTGGAGGATGTTGAGCTGGAAGGAGAATGGGAGGGAGGTGGAGGCATCCTCTTCTGCGGATGAACCACTGCCTAGCTCCTCGTGGTCCAGATCGACGTCGTGGAAATCGCCCCAGATGTATTTGACCTCTGGCAGGTCCAGTGCGTGGACGTCTTGTGTGGCGGACATAGCCAGGGCCCGGCCCAGCAGCAAGAGATACAGATAATCTGCCTTGTCCTTGGGGTCGGGGATATCTTTGCCGATTGACTCGAGCCCATCTTCGAAGCCACAGATGGCACCGTGGTAGATGCGCTGCGCGGCATCATGGCATGACTGGCTGCAGAAGACGGTGTCGGCGCATCCGCCCTCACAGCCAACAGGCGGCTCTGCAGCCGACAGCTCTGGGAGCGGCGCATTACAGGCATCGCAGAGGTCATCGTGGAGACGGTTCGTCGCGGTGAGAAGCGACGATTCACGCAAAATTATCTCATCAGGTGCGATATCTTCTTTAGCGAAGAGACCAAGCTGCACCGAGACGCCGGGCTCGGCAGAAGAATCGGGGATCGCATCATGCAGTGCAGGCAAGGCCACCGCGCGTACCTCACATTTAGGTGCGACGTCGACCAATCTGTCGTTCAGCAACTGTAGGGTCTCTGGGGCACGACGATCAGGCTCATGCTGGTTCCACGGATAGAGAACGCGGCGGGCAGATCCTTGAGCCGGGAGAACACTAGAGTCAATGGCATTCCACGGCAACTGGTTGCTGGCGTCTGTACGAGAGATATACACCTGCTTGATATGCTCCATCTGCTCAGACAGCGCGGTCACTGCCGCAGCAGCTTCTTTTGTCTGGCGAGCAAGATCGCCCAACAACCCTAGGCCGCGCACGCCAAACTCGAACGCATCGCGGTAGCAGCCACAGCGGACCAGACTGCGAACGAGAAGCGCGTAGACGGGTCCGACCAGCACATCATATTCCTCCTGTGTTATGGGGGTTGTCCCGTCGTCTTTGTCCTCGTCCTCGTCCTCGTCATCGCTGTCGTTGGTGGCGTCTTCTCCCGGGGTCGTGGCCGAGGGCCCCTTCTCAGGGGAGTCCACATTGCGTCTCGCATGGAATTCACATCCGTCTGGGTCAACCACGGACTCTAGCAGGGACAAGGCACGGTAGGCATCTGCCGCCGCCAAATCAGAGAACCCCAGCTTTTCATATAGCAACCCTCGTTCGAGATAAAGGTGGGGATTATGCGGGTCAGCATAGAGCTGGATGGTTATGTCGGCGCGAAATTGCAAAGCCTGTGAAAACTGCATTCTGTGTCTTCTTAACACGAGGTAGAAAGTCGTGTACTTGTTAGGGTCGGAGGTATATATAAGACCTAGGAACGAGGTGCCACGCCAGAAAAGGCTGATTTCACCCCTTCAAGAATCTGGAGTAATATTATATGTCGACCAGTCCCCCAGCGCGAGATTTCTAACGCAATTGACAAAACATGCAAGACAGAGCAGACAAGAGCAACGAAGCAGAGAATTGAGCCCCGCGACGCGGCTTATCGAAAAATTCGATAAGATCACGTGGGACACATCAGCCGTCGTGGCCGAATGAGGAAGGTGCACCCTATACAACACTCAAGGCTGTTAATCTATGTTCTTAAGAGGGAAATAAGGAACATAGCCATTATGTACCACTTCATTAAGGTTGTCGGACGTATAGTTTGGTTATACATAGCAGAAATCTGATAGTAAACTTTGATGAACTAAATAAACATATCGTGCAACCATACCTGCCGGACTTTGCAGGTTTAAGGGTCTAAATTGAAGTACAACGTGTGTATTGACATTCCCCATCCTGCTTGGTACATTGCCTTTGTGTTCGGGTCTACGAGGAATCAAAATAGTTAACAGCGAGGTAGATAGGGTCGCCGCTTGGCGAAGTCAATTTGATTTGATAAATGCCACTGGCAAGACGGCAGAATGAAAAGAAGAGAAGAGAAGAGACAAACTCTAATACCCCTCGCTTGTCGTCAATCTGATTATGAAACAAGAAAAAAAAAAAAAAAAAAAAAAACAAAGGAGTATATAATCGAGTGCGCCGTGCCCCAGCCCCAGAAATGGTTGCGTCTCATTACATCACCTAAGCAACACATAATCAGCTCCATTCTAAAACAGAAACAAAAGGAACGATAATACCAGGCAGTTCTCATCCAGGACCACAGAGGCATCTTCGCCATCTTCGACGGCCAGGCCGCCAGTCGCAGCCCCGAGAGCCTGCCGGCCTCTCAGGGTGGCAGCCACACGAGCCAGCATACTTCTCTGCTCGGAGTTAGTGGGAAATCTCAACTGACTCCCCGGGATGGGTAAAGGTCAGAACTGGGGGTGGTATGGGGTAGAAAATACAGTGATATAGGCCTCGCTCATGCCGCCGCGGCGTTCCACGTCGTTCTGGCTCATTATGCGGTAGTTCTCGTGGATTCGCTTTCGGCTCTGGAGACCCCCGAACTCAGCCATATCTGAGCTCAGCATGTTGGCCGGGTTATCCGGGTCGAGGATGTTAATCCCTTGTTGAGCATCCTCCTGGGCACGCCGGTCCGGGGAGAAGATCTTGATGGTATTATCAATCCCCGATGCAGCGATGGTTGGTTCATAGGGATGGCCTGGAGAATAACGTTAGAGAGTTGATCTTTTGCCCACTCCCTGAAAACGCTCACCTTGAACAACATTGACGACCTCACTGTCCCCCTCTAGGATATTGACCAAGTTGGCGGTCTTGCGGTCCCATATAAATACATGACCCGAGTCGCTGCCGCTCACGACATATTCGTCGTCCAGGCCGAAGAAATTAACATCCTTGACGGTTTTGATATTGCAATGGCCCCGATAGGACCTCATGTGAGATGAGCATGGCGCGTCAAGCTCCACGTCACCGCGCCGAGACTTTCGAGTTTGAAATCGTCGGGTAAGGGGGTCGGTGTCGCTGTCATCGTCTTCTTCCTCATCCGATGACAGCTCGACCCCGTCTTCGTCCTCGTCACCATCATTGGAGGTCTCATCTTCGCTGGTATCAGTGTCAACATTTATAGAGGATACAGCATTTTCAGCAGAAGATCCTAGATGAAGTTCGCGATGACGCGCACTTCGCCGCGTAGCAGAACCACCCATGTTCACTAGGTGAATATCCCGAATGGGCTCTTCCTCCTCGTTGGGATCGATGTCTTCCTGGATTCTCTCTTGGTCTGAATCGCTGTCCGAGTCGTCGTTGATGGTGGTATTCAAGCCACCGAAAGCACGGTTGACAAAAGCGTAATCGACGCCATTACCCGCCTCCATCAAGACCCCCTTGCCTACTCGAAGAATCCAAAATCTCATGGTAGATTCCCGGTCTAGGGATCGAACTTGCGAAGAAGAACTGGACACACGACGCCTGTCAATCTTGGCGGCCGTGGTTCCCAAATCCTCCAGAGGTAGCCGCACCGCATTTGAAAAAGCTGTCACTGCTGCACGTTGAGTCTGGAAGACGATGCGTGTAGCATCGTGCTCGAAGCGAGATGCATCCACATTGACGATGGGGATATCACCAGCCAAATTCTGGAGATAAGGAATCAAGACTGTGTCGATAGTATCTTCATTGCCTTCTTTGGGAATTGGATATCGCCCCTGGGTTCGTTGAGGACCTCGACCAGCCTTGAATCCATCGAGGAGCTCTTCTCTGCCACCCTGCAGCCAAAGAAGAATTGCTTTGAGAAAGTCATAGCCAAACTGCGATTTTGGATCAATAGATTCATCCTCACCCGGTGCAGGGAAGATCCTCTGGAAGTCTATCCATTCTTCTGCGCCCCCTGTCCGCCTCGCTAGGGTACGCGCGAGAGCTCCGCTCGCCTGAACGAATCTCCACGTCGCTTGGCGATTCCTGCGGAGTGATTGCTGGAAGGCAACGGTGTCGCTAGATGGGTTCATCGGGTACGCCCATTGGTTCATAACCTCATCCATCTGGGGCAGGTATATCGACGCTAGCCTCAAGGCATATGCAAAGGCGTCCGCGTACAGCGAGAGATCATTCTCTGCAACATCTGCAGTTTGTCGAGTTGTTGCTTCTAGGGAGAATAGGGCTCGGCGAAGCTTGACCAAGCCCTTTGCAATGTGCATACTCAGTCGCTGAGCATCGTTCAAGACAGAATACCTCGCGCGTTCGAGCAGACCCTCTGGGGAGTCAGATGCAGTGTTTGAAAGGGAGGGGAATGGTACATCTTCAGATTCGCCATTCTCATATTGAACTCTGAATGCATCAGGCTCTACCGAACGACGCCTCGACTGATGCCGATTGCCGCTTTCGTGGGAGGAGGCTGACTCGGGTTTTTGACGCTTGCGCTTTAGACTGTGCGAGCCGCGCCTGTGGCTCGTGCTCGTGCCCTTTGAAGTTGATTTCTTTTCACCAGACCCAACCTCCCGGGCATCGGGGCTTCGGATCAGATCGAAACTATAGATGTGGTCTCCGGACCAGCTCACCACCATCTCGTCTGGATTCGCATCACTGATTTTACAGGCGGTTATATGGCCATCGTCGAGCTTTTTCATTCGACGCTTGCCACCCGGCGCAAATCTTCGCACGCATCGTGTCGCCTTGTTCATCTCTTCATCGACACTGGCAGCACTTGGGGTCGAGCTGCCCACGCTACCCTTCTCAGCTAGGAGGTCTCGGCCAAGCATTCGCCGGTCGTGCAGAAAGCAATGCAGGTGAGCCCCGCCAAGAGCGATGTAATGTGGCTGAGTCGGAGAGCAAGAGATCGTGTTGAGGTCCAAACTATATTTCTTGTAGGAGATCAGAGGCGGTGGCACATTGGAGTCATCGTGTTCCAAACCCGGGCGGTATGCCATGAAGCCCTGGCCGCCCCGAGGTGGAGGGTAAGTTGTAGATGGCTGACGCAGATCCCACTGCCGGACCTCCCCATCTTCAGAGCATGTAAGGAAGAGATGGGGAGATGACTCGGTGACAATTCGCTTGACACGATCGGCATGGCTCCGGTAAACCCTAGCATTGGTGTTCTCCGCATTGAGATATCGAGTGCTAGTAAAGAAATTATCGAAGCGCCGACTCCGCGCCGAGGCTGTAGAAGCCGACGTGGCAGCAACGTTGCTGTGGCTGGAGTATTCGATATCAAATACGCGCACCTGGGAATCGCCCGCGCAAGTAACCAGGGTTCGATCATTGGAGTGTGGCATAAACTTGACTGAGAAAATGTTGGCGCGGTGGCCGGTGAAGACGGTAGTGTTGAGCGCAAACGGGACATTGGAGGATTCTGGTTGGTAGGAGTAGATGTTCAGATGCTGGTCATCCGAGCCAGATGCCAGTAGACGTCCTGATCGCGACCAACTGAGGGTTTAGTTAGCACATGCACCAACGCCGCCAATTAAAAAAAAAAAAAAAGCTGGTGAGAGGGTGGGACACAGGAAACACAAAACCGTACCTGAGGGCATTGACACATCCCGTATGGCCACCTAGCTCATTCACAATGTCTAGATCATCAATCCATTCCTTCGTGCCATAAATTCCCCGAAACCCGGAGTACGGCGACATGTCCCCGCATTCCCGGCGCCAGAGGCGATCATACAGCGAGTCTTTCATGGCGACGTCTTTCATGGCGGCGAGTCCGGAGTAGGATCGCGCAAGTTAGTTCAGGGTTAAGTGACATTGGCGACCATCATGAATGACTGCAAGGAGAACGTAAGCCTGATCTGGACTTTGTGGTTGACACGAATTCGTAGATGACGTCAAGAGAAGGAGACCCGAAGGGACAACAACTCGGTCGCCTCGGCAGTAAGACCAGAGTGAGAGGGTGGATGGCAGGCAGATGAAGAGAAGATACAGAGAGAAGAGAAGCAGAAAGCGAGAAAGGCGATAGTGAAGGCGTAAACCGGTTTGAGCATCTCTAGCATCCAGAACAGGCGAAGAGTGGCTGACTCAGGTACCTCGGGCCAGGTACCACGGCAGCCATCGCGACCGCAAAAGGTACCTCTAAGGGAGTACTACGTAGTAACCTGGCACTTCCAAGGTTTCCTTGCAATTAACAGGATTATAAGAGTAACCTGACAAAAATAATAACAATAAGAGACATTATGTACTCGAGGTGACTATACACTTCTAGCATCTTAGAAGCTCCTCCATGCCCCAACCTGCGGAGCTCTCCTATCTCGTGAAGGACTGGTTAACTGCGCAGCAAGCTGGCTGACGGTCTCTCGCTCGGAACGAACCAGCTCCACCTCGAGGGCGCGCATCACCCGGATTTCCTGGGTCATAAGCTGAATCACTTCCTCCAGGTGTCGAGCCACTCGTGTGAGGGCCGAGTGCTCCAAGCGCTCGATCTCCCCAAAGCCCAAGATATCCAGGCTTTGTAGCTGTCGCGCACACAGGTCTAGCTTGGCCTGCAAATCATGAAGCTCCTCCTTCCATGTGTGGCCGATCGGGTCGATGAAGAGGGCTCCATCAATTGTCCCTGCTGCCTCACGGTCATGCCGAATCTCATCTGCTTGCTGGAACCAGTCCTCGAAGGTGTCCGCGGCGCGGGGATACTTTGCATCCACTCCGCCCGCAATAAGGTTAGAGATTTCTTGCAAAACTTGCGAGAGGACCTGCACCTGCTCAGGGAATCCGTGCGGACCCTGGTGGTCGTGGCAGTTCTGAAGCCAGAAGCCCAGAACCTGTGCATTCACCTGGCGTTGGCGTTCCTTTTCATCAGCCAGCATCGAGCGATACTGGTCTGCAACTGTATCGTATTGCTTACGCAGATGGGACTCGGAATCGGATTTCCACTCTGCGTGTCGCTGCAGTGAAGTAGAATGAAACAAGCTGAGCTGCAACAGTTCGGTCTGCAAAGCTGCGACATCTGGCCAGGACGAAGGGATGAGGAGATCATTGGATTCGGGGCCAGCACCCGGGGTAGGCGTCGGGGGCTTGGTCGGTTTCTTGGGGGAGTAGTGCTGCTGGTAAGTGGAGAATTGGGCTCGGGTTTTCTGGCCTGAGGCCGGAGTGTGTTCGGTCGGCTTGGTACTCGTCGGGGCAAACTGACTGCGATGGCGCGCATGGCCGCGGGCGGCAGCTGGAGGCTTGGTTGCAGTGCCCACAGGCTGTTTCAACGAGGACGATCGCCCGGGACGGGGTGGTGGTGGCATATCGGTTTTCTTGGGAGACGGAGGCCTTTTTGGTGAAGGGGGCCGTACGGGGGAGCGCGCGATCGGTTGCTTGCGAGGCGACGGCGGCGTAATTGAAGGCGCAGAACCCGTAGGGTTAGGCGGATTGGTTCTCGTGGAGGGCATTCTCAATGTCCCAGGGCGCATGAGACTCTGCTGGCGTGTCGGCGCAGCACTACCCGTCACCCCCGTAGACCCTGCCAGTTCCTGCTTCTTCTCTCCTGGGGTCTGATGCTGTCGCTTCGGCGAAACCTCCCTACGTGGCGGGATTCTGCTGGTAGGTGGTTGAAACCGGACTTGTCCCAGTCCACGGCCCTCGTTTTGAACGGGGTTGCTGCGTTGAGGGAGAAGAGTCTTTCCCCGGTTGGTTGTCTCATTGTCTTTCGATGCGCCTTCGACCGGCGAGGAGTTTCCAGCTGGGTGTGTTTTTTCATTCGATCGGGATGCTTCTTTGGTTCCGGTCGTGGCAGGTCGTGCGAGAGTGGACGTCTGGAGGATTGGTTGTCAGATCGCCAAAATTCGGGGGGGATGGAGACTGACAGGCTTACGAGGCTCGCGCAGCGAGGCCGAGCGCGTCGGAATGGGCATGGTAGCGTAAGATCATGAATGGGAGTGCATTTTGTTGAGGGAGTTTTCAAGGTGTGGAGGTAAACAGACAGCTCCGGGCGAAGTGAATCCTTCGAACGCGACGATCTGTGGAGAGCAACTAGGCCAGTTAACAATGTTGTCTACTTTTCTAATAATTCAAATAACTACGATGTTACTCTAGAAATATTTTCATGTTGATGGTCCCCCCCCGATCGAGACGTCATAATTCAAGATCGCAATATATGGAAATTCTCTATTGTTCGCTTCGGTTCGCGACTTCAACTTCACAAACACCAAAAAAAGGAAAATTCCCACTTTTGAGGATGGATCCCAGACCAGGTGGAAATTCCCCAGGCCCAGAATCTCCGGATCGAGAAGCTCAACCACGCGACAGATGAGCCCCATGTCGGGCCATCAGGTGGAGGAAAGAAGTAGGTGCAGGAAACAAAACCTCCCAATTTAAGAACCGACTATCTTTCACAGACTTCCGCGACGGGGAAACGAGATTCCCTCTACTGCGGGGTGATCAGTGAACCAGCTGACCTTCTCGCCGCCGCCCTGGTTGACCAAGGCCGAGGGGATACTGCGGCCCTCCTCCTGATCGAAGATCTTTTTAAGGATATCCTTCTTGCCTGCCCCGGTAGCCACGAACGCGATGCTGACGGCGTGCGTGACGACAGGCAGAGTGAGGGTGATGCGCTTCGGCGGCGGCTTGGGCGAGTTGGTCTCGGCCGCGACCCAGGCGTCCTTTTCGCGCAGCAGCTCGTGGCCCGGGAAAAGACTGCAGGTGTGGCCATCGGGGCCACAGCCGAGGAGAATGAGGTCGAAGACGGGCAGCTTAACGCTGTCCTTGGCGGCAAAAGACCGCATCAGCTCCTCCTGGTACAGATCGGCCAGCTCCTGGGGGTCGTCGTCGTTGACGTGGTTGGCATCGATGGCGTGCACGGTCGGAGCACCAAGCTCCGACGGAATCTTGCTGACCAGCTCATCCTTCAGCAGACGGTAGTTGCTGTCTTCGTGGTCGAGCGGCACGGCCCGCTCATCGGCGAAGAAGATGTGCCATTTGGCGAACTGCGGGGTGTCCTCGGGGGAGCCATTGCTGGGAGCCAGCAGGGCTCGCGCCAGGACGGTGGGCAGGGAACCACCCGAGACGGCCAGGCGGAAGGTATCGTGGCGGGTCAGGGCGGCATTTTGGGCGCGGAGAACATAGCCGCGCAGCTGCTGGGCGAGATAGTCGGTGGACGGGAAGCTGAAGAGATTGGGGTGTGCGGTGGCCATGGTTGCTGGATGAGAAGAAAAGCAAAAGGCGAAGATGAGATGGCGGGGTATGGCGGGGCAAGGAAACCCACGTCAGACTCCAAAAGACCTTTGAACGCTGAAGAAGCGGCTATGACGTCGTCCTTCGCAAGCTTCGAGATGCCGCCACACACTGCCATCTCCGGACAGTAATGAGACCAGTTGACATTGTGGCTGTTGACTAATGGGCTCGAGATATTCAGAAAGAGAAAAGAGAAAAGAGACAAGAGACAGAGAAAGAAGAAGAAGAAGAACAGGAAACAATCAACATGAAGACAGAAGAAAAGAATCACGAAGATCCATCACATGAGATCGAGATGGCTCCCAGTCGTGACGCCACCAACACTCGAGTTTCTCGCGACCCTCGCATCTTCTAATTTGGGTGGATTTCGCGTGGAAAAAGGGTTGATGCGCGACACGGGATTCCTGAATTCCTTTCGAAATCTCCTGGCTTCATCCAACAAAACACCCACCATGAGTTCTCCTGCCGTGCAAACCTCCCCTCAAGAGTTGGACGGGACACCGCGCCCGTCCGAGGTTCCCTCAACCCCCAACTTCGATGTCGTCCGTTGTTCTCGGTGCCAACAATCCCTGAGCCGAGCTGACCACACCACCCCTGGAGCCGTGCAATGCGGCATGAACTCGTACTATTGCACCCGCTGTGCAACCAAGGTTGGGTTCGTCCGCTGAAAGAGAAGACGGGGAGGATTCGAAATCGACATATCCCACACCCCCAACTAGAAAGACGGCCACCACTGTGCCCCCGAATATCGACACTTTCGACTTTTCATTCTCTTCGACATCTCCGTTGGTTTTCTCTGGATGTGATCCGCTGTACCGGCACAGCTGGACGGGGAAATATTTGAACGCGTGGAGATTTCACACTTTCTTCGATTATCTCGACATCGAGATCATCTCGAGATCGAATGGTTCCGGAAAAGAAACCTGCAGAATTTCAAGGGAGTTGTCGAGCACATCCAAAAGACCTGCACACTCCGGTCGGTCTCGGATATCACTCGTTGCTCAATAGAAGGGCTCGATGCCCTGGAAGTGAAGGCCTCAATTTTTTGCATGGCATTAGCGACACTGTACATACCTTTCAACGCCGGATAGCCCGTTGTCAATTGAGTCAATCTACCAAAGATGCCCAGGGAGTTGCGAACTCGACACGAATTCCTCAGCCAAATATCGAGCTGTTCACACTCAGCCCGCCACAATCGTATTGAGAGCTCAGCTTGTCCCACCCAATTTCTAAGGTTGACGATGAGACTATGAGACCGTGACAGCAGAAGAGCAGGTGGCACATACGCTAAGAAACCAGATCTGCAGAATCAAGAACATCTTGGAATTCCTGAATCCTCAAGTGGAGCCCCGAATGGAGAACCTGCAGTGTGACCCGTCCTGCTTGGTCGCATTTTTCAGCTTCGTGCGTTGGCCAAGATGCGTCTGTGCGGGTCACTGCGATCGAAGACACGAAATCATCCGCCAACGAAAGAACAAAAAGCAACACAGTGGAGTCCATGACGAACCTCCAGCCAGCCATGAAAAGCTGCAGGTACTTCCTCTCATGCATCGAGTCCATCCAGATCTCTCCAATTTGTTGATCCCGGCTGATTTGAATTCTTCTCAGATCTCTCAGCTCCACGTCAATTCCCTGGCACTTCCGATCTGGGTCTGGCGGTGTAACCCACCGCATGCTAAGCGCTCCAATTCACTTGAAGATCTCATCCTTGACGTGGAATGCTTGAGTATCTGCTTGTCAGAATTGAGAATGGCAATGACACAAAAAAGAAAAGGGAAAGGAAAAGAAGAAACGAGAAGAAAAAGCCACCGCAAAAGTAACTACTCGGTGGCACTGCTTTATTGCATCTGGCAGAGCTGAGCACTCGGCCTTGACGAAAATGACATATCGCAGCGTCTGGAGAAACTACGCGCGGGCCTTTTTGACTGGCTCCAGTTGCTGCAGCTGGGGTTTCGCCTGTGGGCTGCAAGCCATGAGGACCCTCTCTCTCTGTCGTTTTTTCGCTCGCTCTCTTTCGCTCTCGCTGTCTGCGACCGAGTCATCCACATATTGTTTGTGAAACATCCCCTAAAAGTCACATACCTTCATCCTCTTCCCTTTTTTGGCCGTGGTTTTCTATAATAGGCTCGCTCATCCAGATCGTGGAGGGATCATTGTCTTCTTTTCGCACAGCGCAGGTGTCGAGCAGACGAATCCGTTGACCTGCAGTGGTTCACAAAAAGGTAGGCACCGTTTTGGTCTGGTATTCGACGGTTGACGCGTTGCTGCACCGGCTCCTCGGTGATATTGATGTCATTGCCATTGGCTCGAGAACTTAGGTTTATATATATGTGTGTGATCGGGTAGCTAATTATACAAACAGCAAACTACCTGGGTTGACGCACCATTGGAGACTCAACCAAACAACTACAGAACCTTGGTCGGACAAGTCGAGCCCCGACTGTTTCGCAACGCCGCACGGGATACTGCACACGAGGAACGTGCTCGACATCACCCACTTTAGCCCGTCGCATCTGGCGGTGCCGCACTCGGCAGGACAGAATCATCGGGTTGCATTGTGAGGTCCAGAGAGCTCTTTGCTATGCCTTTCTTGGGACGTGAAAAGGGACGCAGTCCGCGATCTCGCAGATCCGACGATGAATTCGTTGTGTTCCTCCAGGGGGTAGGTGGACGACGATGCTTCCATGAGGGGATGACTGGACTAACATTGAACCATCCAGATCCCAGCTCACTGCCGCTGGCAAGAACTCAAGGACCTAGTGCGCCAGACAGCACAGCATATTCGACAGGCAGTAGTATATGATGACAACCACGGCTTCCCCACGGGATTGGGGCAGATCATTGTCAAAGATGAGGACGAAGCGTGGCGAACGTATCGTGGGTGCTTCCTCACTCACTTTTCATTTCTGGTTCGAGACTGACATCATCGCAGATCGATTATCCACCAATGGATGGGAGGGCCAGAGCCTGGTTGTCACGCTGGCTCGCACCAGTGCGCCCACCAAGCCCATTGCCGGGCCTACCAGAAGCCCACCGGCCATGATGCCTTCAGGGTACATGGCCGGGCACTCGACGCCTCCCCGAGTGCAGGGCAACATGGCTATGCCGCCATCACCGATCTCGCCCGAGTACGAAACTATCATTCTGCTTTCCTTGACCAAGCTAATTGTTTTCATTAGATCTGTCCACCCGGCCAGTCCCACATATGCGTACCCAGAGTACGGCCCGATGATGGGGGCAATGTCCATGCCACAGCAGTTCATGCCAATGATGCCAGATCCACTAGCCCAGCCGGTACAGTGCTTCTCGCCCTCGCCACTGATGCACTGCTCGGTGTACGATGGGACAAGCTGGAATATGCTCCCAAGCTACCCGGTATCACCGATGCATCCGCTGCACGAAGCGCGCGAAGATGATGACAGCCCCGACACGTCTCCACGCTACCATCCCCACAAGTCGCGGGCCAGCCACACAGACCCCAGCTCGCCGACATATTCACTAGTGTGGCGAACCGTCCGCATCCAGAACCTCCACACCGCCACGACGAGCGCCGACCTGAAGACACTGCTGCAAGGCGCCGGCAATGTCGAACAGTGCCAGATAGTCGGCACGTCGGACGCGCACTCACCGCAAGACCAGACACACGGGTCGGCAACCCTGCACAGCGCCGACGAGGCGCGGCGGGCCGTCAGCATGTTCAACAACATGACGTTTATGGGGTCGCGGATCCGGGTCAAGCTCGACGGTAGCGCGCATGCTGCACGCGGCGGCAGCTGGGATGGCAAGCTCGCTGCGCAGGCGGATGACCCAGACCCGCTGGATTTGTCTCTCAGCGACGAGCTGTCTGACTCTTCTGAGGAGCGATACACACCGGTCAAGAGGGTCGTCGACCCTTTTCAGCCGCTGGTCGTTGATGGGTCAGGGCTGGCGAACATGTCGGTAGATCTGTTGTCGACGTCGGCGCCGACATGATCTGCAGGGCGGGTGGTTAGTAGTTTTGAATTGGGGTACACATGAAAATGGATATGCATTTGTGTCTTTGTCTTGTAGGGGAAAAAGAAAAAAGGAATTGACCCCAGTACTCCCAGTGATACAACCTGGCATCGCAAGATGATCCAATATCTATTCCCAAGTGCCCACCAACTCCAGGGTGTCATACGTACTATCGCGGTCAACATCCAACCGCATCCCAGGAACCAGTTCCTTCAAAATCTCCTTATCTTTGCAATCCAACCTCCACTGTCTCTGCCTGCCCGTTCGAGCCCCTAACCCATCAAACAGCGCCCCCAGCAACAGAGCAATCAAGCGGGGGGCAAAAACAGGCTTCGCAGGGCATTCGAATGGCGTCACGCCGAACGGCATGAAAGCCTGTCTCTGAGCCGGAGTCAGATGGGTCCAGCGGTCCGGATTGAACGTCTTGCCATCGGCACCCCAGATCAGCGGCGAGAGATGGCAACTTTCGATGTCGGCTGCGAGGATATAGTCTTGTTGCTGGGCTGCAACGCCGAAGATATTAGGATGGGATTCGGACATGCGGTACGCACGCTTGATTCTGCGTGTGGGCGCATACAGCCGAAGCAATTCGGAGACGATATTCTGCACTGAGGCACTGGTGCACAGATGGGTGCCAGACTTGATGGGTTGCGGCATGTTGCTACCAGTCTGTCTCTCGCGGCCGGCAAGACCACCAGTACTCGCCGTTGGAGCCGGTGGAAACGGTGGAAACCGCGTGAACTGGTCCTGAGTGGGCACTCGCGCAAAATTAACGAGCGCAGCTCTCCATTCGCGGTGGCAAAGACCCGTCGTGAAGCGCAGCTCAAGGAACGCGCACAGGACGACGCGCCAGACTGTTTCAAACGATGGCAGGATCCAGTTCAGCGGGTTCTCTTTGCCACGCTCGCGAGGCTCGAACTCGCAGAGGGCATTTCGCAACAAAACATCATCCTCAAATCGAGGAACGGGCTGCTGTTTCTTTGATGCGATCCAGACGCGGTTGATTGAGTTTGCTAATTCAAGCAGATTCCAGTTCTTGATATCATCCTCGCCCATCTTCCAGTTGAAGATCGCCCATAGAACGACCCTTAGCGAGAGAGCCTGGACCAGACTCGTAAGATGGACGCGGATCTCTTCTGGAGGGCCCTCGCCATGGGCGAGCGTTGCTTCACTTCCAACATCGTCGATCTCGACGTTGAAGATCCCGTCGACGTTGAGACCAGGTTCAATCCATGTCCGCGCCGTGTCTCTGGTAAACTGGGCCATATCAACCCATTTCTGCGGTGAAAGATTGATCATGTTTTTCACTTTGCCCACAAACTTCTTGACGTAGACCGGGTTGGAACTGGTAAAGGCATTTTCAATGCCAAAGGCGATATTGAAATGCTGATTTGGCAGAGCCCTTGACTGGTGAGGATTCAACACATTCGGGTGGCCCTGCCACTGTAGCTTGCCGGCGATGAGGAGACGGCATTGGTCTGGGGCGACGATATGGCGAGTGGTCGTGCTATGGTGATGGGGTTGGGTGTAGAGGTACGCAGCGGCCCCGAGTATGATCAGGAAGGCGATGAGGACGAGCATGGTTTCTCCAGTAGCTCTTTTCTTGGGTGTGGGGTCCTTCAAATAGTTTCTCGCGAGAATAGAGAGGCAGATGAGGGTTATGAGGTTCTTGTATCAGCAGGTATGTCAATAAGAAGGCCATACAGGAGGGCTGTCAGAGTGCAAACCAAAAAAAAAAAAAAAGTTGTCAAAGAGTGCTGCAAGTTCAGTGTTTGCTCATTGTAGTCTGGGAAACTCAGGTTTGAAAATCACGACGATAATTGACCCAGAGACTGTTTGGTTGCTTGATGGTGATAGCTTCACAATAAACCGCATCTTATCGCGTTGCTGAAGGGCAGAGTGCTTAGAGGACTACTTAAAAGTTCTCAATCAGCTTAAGAGAATCATCAATTCATTCAAACTGTCATGGTGCCAATGCTCTTTTCATGTCTCATGCCCCGATCCCGTATCAAAGAAATCATCAAATGCCCAAACGCCATGATCATGAAAGCCAGAGAAAAGAAAAGAAAAAAAGGTGACCTGTGATGCTAGATCCGCAATATGGCTGTCGTAGGCCCTCATTTCGCATGGTTGATCAGCTCTACGTAGATATCATCAGGGATCTTCCGGACCAGAAGCACTGTCAATGCGATGATCTCCTTGGCGTCAAGAGGAGGGAAAGACCGAAGAATCTTGTTGGGACTAATCCAGAAGTTAGAAATATTCCAAAGGCAAACCATGGGGAAGCAACTTACCTCGGACTCTCGAAAATGATGTCCCGCATGCGGATGAGTTGGGCAACAATGCAGAGAATATTCAGGTGTGGCCCATATGCAAACAAGAAATCCCACAGATGTAAGACCTCTGGCAATGGGGGTGTGCAAGCACAGAGGGTCAAAACAGATGGGAACGCATACAGTTCCGCCTGCATCCCCTTAGAGAAGAGGTAAGCCGCAAGCTTGGGCTCCACGATCTCGAGGCAGCGGTCGACCAGGCGAAGGCCCTTGTGCACTCCATCCATAGTCCCACAAATGTAGCCAGGACATTCTCGGGTAACAAAATAGTGGAACAGGGCAAAGGCTTCGACCTCGCTACGGGCGGCATACAGGAAGGGCGCGCAGAGCACGTTCATTCCCTGGACGTAGATAGTCGAATCACCCGAAGAGCCCATGCTAGAGTCATCAGGGACAGATGGGTCTTCGGCAATTCTGGGAGGAGTGTTCACCAAAAGCTCCATCTCGCGTCTGCGGGACGAGGGTCGAGAACGCGACTTCGTTTTCGAGTCATGGAGCTTCCATGCCACGGCGTTAAGCAGCCGAATCAGACTGGCTTCGGTGACACGGCGTTTGAAGAGGGGGTCAGTAGCGAGGGTGCGGAAAGTGTCATTGCGGATTTTGGTGTATGCCGGGGAGCGGCCGCGGTGAACAAGAGCAAGGTAGTCGTCGGTAGGAAGAGGGGGAATATTCAGAAGAATGAGCCACAAATAGACGCGATACGAGGACTAGCATGATCCCAAAATGTTAGCGGCGTTGGCAAGCATCGTCACGAAATACTTACCATGCCATCTCCATCTGCGTCGACTCTGGTCGACAGGACAAGGTACTTCAGCTCCTGCAGGCCCTCACGCGTATTCCCATTCTGAGGCCCGTCGCGCAGAAGATTCTCCAGCACAGAGCGCTTCAATCCGATTCCAGAACCCGTCTTGCGCGCGGGGCGCCTTTGAGTTGGGGCGGGAGCTGTTGCTGTTGCCGCTGCCTCGCGAGTGGCAGCATCGCTGTTCGATCGCGCGCGGCGATGCGCCCGTGCCCGCACTGAAGCACCCACCGGCGCTGTTGGTGGTCCATTCTCAAGACCATCGGATGGAAGGGGAGGCTGGGTGTTGGCAATCAAGGCGCTCGAGGTCGTCAAGACTTGATGGGACTGGATCTTTCGTAGCGTCCGCATCGTTCGTGGGGATGGGGGCACCTCGGGGCCAGTGAGACCCCACGAAGGCTGAGGTTTGGCCATGGTTGTTGCTAACGATCAGGTCTGCATCTGTGGGTGACTGACAGACATCTTAGATAGGGCCAGGTGTAGAGGCGAGAATGTTGCACGCGCGGTGGCTGGTGTTAGTTTTCTGCCGTTGGAAAATGCGGAGCGCGCAAAGTCTCCGTTTCTTATAGATTTGGTTTCAACTATCGAGTCTCTATGACCTCTCCATGGATGCTTATTTCAATATCTTCGTCATAGTCATTCTTATACTATCGCACAAGCAAACAGCTAGATTCGTTGAATACTGTGACCCAGTTTTGGGAGCTGCGCCAACGGAAAAACCCAGACCCAAATCCCCATACGCCAATCCCATTGAATTTAGATAAATCAAGCCTGAGCTGCACCAGCATCCCGTTGTCCATTGTTCCCGTTTTCTCCTCCCACGACGCTGCGGACAAAGTCGTGGTACTGGAAGACCTCGCCCCTCTTGCCCATACCACCAGTCTTCGCACCCCGGCCTCCAAATGCCCGTCGCCCGGTGAACCCACTGAAAACCTCGTCAATCTGCTGCTCTGTCAAGGGCGTTTCTCCTTCCTCAGGGGCTGTATGTAGGAGAGCGTCTCGCAGTTCGGCCACTTCGATTTGGCCGTTGTCATCGTCATCGAAGGCGGCAAGCGCATTGAGCAATTCCTGGGACGATGACATGGGGGACATCAGCTGCGACAGGGTATTTAGGAAGGTCGGGAAATTGATCGTCTGAGCACCGCCAGAGAAGAATCGTGACACCGTCGACTGAGACGAATCTTGGCCTGGATGTAAATTTGAATTAATACCCTCGCTATCTTCAAGAGACTCCACCAAAGAAAGCTTACCCAAGTTCATCAACACATCGGCTACATCGTCTTTATTGACCATCCCGTCATTGTCCCGATCGAGGACCTGGAAGGCCTCTCGAATCTCTCTCACTTGGTTGGCCGGTAATTTTGCCGACGCGTCAGTGGTAGCACCCACAAAACCACTAAGCCTGCTTTTAAAAGTCGGCGACGATTGGGCTGGCGACTTCGCTCCTTTTGTGGGGGAAGGGGGAAGCTCTCTGGTAAAGTTGGGTTGGGGAACGGGGCCGGTCTTGGGAGAGATGGAGTCGTCTTCTTCCACAGTGTACGACTGATTGAGCTTGCTTGGCGACTGAAGTGGAGTATACCCTCTGCCAGGGAGCTCCCAGGTGTTGCTGGCCGCGCCGAGGGCGGGGAGTTTGGGGTGGACGGTCGGCGGAAGGGCGATGCCCTGGGCGAGCCAAAAGATAGTGGCGACGGCTTGAAGGTTGGATTGTTGGCCTGCATTGTCAGTAGTGATTACGAGACAACGATTGAAGGACATACCATGGTTGGTCGCAGGATGTCAGTCTCAAGCTTGCAGGAAGCGATGCTTATCGCAAGTAAACAATCGGGGCATAGTCGGCCCGAGGGCACGTGTTCTGATCTATAAACATGCAAATTGGACTTGTTCGACTTGCAGTTTGTTGTATGTGATGTGTCAATTTACGAGGGATTAGTCTGCTGTGTATCCATAATATCATATATCGATCACACCATCCTTTTGTGCATTTCTTCCATCTCCCCTCATGTCCCGGTAATCATCTTCAGGGCTGTTATCGCCTATCGTCCCCGCTGTGGAGATCTCCCTTTTTCCTAGCAGCCCCTGAACGATCGACTTGACCCTCGGTAATTGGTCTAGACGAAGCATTGACACCACCCGATCGAATGGGCTTGGGTTTTCTCTTCTCTGCAGAATTTGTGACAGTCTCGGACATGCACCTCGAGTCTCTCGCCTTACCCGGAGCCCTCGTTTCGACCAACTCCTCCGACGATGGCGACGACACTGCCGTATCGACCATCCAATGACTCCCTGTCCGCCTCCCACAACCCCAAGACCAATGGGCTCCCCCGCCTTTCGCCCGCAACCTCCTTCGTCGGCCGGTCACCGAGCACCTCGCACGCCTCCGGGCAACGGATATCCGCCGAGAATGCCGGCCTCAAGCCGCGCCGATGCAAGTCGCAGTACCCGCTCGACTCGCCGGAGCGCCATGTCGAATACATCCTGGTAGCTTCGTTCCATATCGACCGGGGCCCGATAATGGAGCACCAGTATCCTGCTCCGATCAGTGGCGACGAGAGCATGCTGGCGGAGCTGATGCTTCCGGATCAAACACATGTGCGGAGTCAAGACTGGACCATCTTTTTCTTGCATAAAGACACAAGCGGTGAGGACGATGACGAATCGACGGGTGGCAATAAGAAGAAAAAGCGCAAATCGCAGCGATATCACGGGAATGAAGAGGGTGCCCACATCCAGCACGAGAACATCGACGAAGCCTCCGACGATGAGGATGACAGCGAGGACGAAGAGGGTGGCGAGGGGCCTCCTCTGATGTATGTGCTGAACCTGGTGAATACGAAGCAGGATAACACGGTCCGACGGTATGCTCGCCCATATTTTATGAGCTTCGAGAAGCAGAAGGACTGACTTGAACAGAGGCGCGGTAGTCAAGGCCATGGCAATCTGTACGCGGCATTCGTTTCTCCATATATACAAGGTAAACTACTCACGCCTATTGATTTCTGGACATAGTCTGACAATCACAGCCATTACTGCTTTTGGCGCTGGAGGATTATTTTAAGTCGCCATTCCCCGAAACACTAGCATCCCTCTACGACGCCGTCAACAACATGGACCTCTCGTTGATGCCGAAGCTTTCCATACTGGAGCGCCATATCCTGCAATCCAGCAACACCAAGGAGATGTTTATTGAAAAGTTTGAGCAGATGATTCACCAGCGGGAGGACGAAGAGACCCAGAATGAGGATTATCCACCGTCGCCCAAGAAAGCCAGTCGATACGTTCTGCCGCGGGATACGCACGAGTTCGAGTCGAAAGTGGTCTACAACGACATTCCAATTCCAGTCAAAATCCCGACGGTAATCTGGCCAGAGACTGTGGGTGACTTCTCCCTCATCAAGCTCATCCAGACCTTTGCCGCGCCCCATGCCGCCTCCCCTCAAGCCTTCCCGGTTCACCCCCATTTGACTACCAGTGGTCCATTCACGCACCCCATCATTGTCCTGGTCAATGCTATTCTCACCCAAAAGCGAGTGGTCTTCCTTGGGCACAACCGTCCTTCTGGGGAGGTGGCCGAGGCAGTCCTCGCGGCCTGCGCGCTTGCATCTGGGGGCATCTTGCGCGGGTTTACGCGACACGCATTCCCCTATACCGATCTCACCAAGATCGACGATCTCCTCAAAGTGCCTGGGTTTATCGCTGGAGTGACAAATCCTACGTTTGCCAACCACCCGGAATGGTGGGATATTCTGTGCGATCTACCGACAGGCCGCATGAAAATTTCAAGTCATGTCGAACCAGCGCCGGTAACCGAAGGGCTTTTGTTTTTCCAGCAGCAGAGTTCACTTTTGCTAAACCACCCTTCTCAAGCCAACTCAGACCCGACTGGTGACAATCTCTTTATGGAAGATATCCTCCGCAGTATCAGCAATCGTCATGGGGAAAATGCAATCCGAGCCAAATGGCGCGCATACATTACCAAATTCACTCGCGTCGCCGCAGCCTTCGAAGAGACAGTTTACGGTGCTTCGAATCTCTACATAATCGGCCCCGGTGAGGAGCTGTCTCCAGATAGTCCGACTGGCCAGCAGGCCGATAGCTCAGACCCGACAACACTGCGCGGACACGGGTACGTATGGCCCGACGAAGCCGCCAAGCAACGCGAGCTCTCGGCGTCGGTATCACGAATCGAAGGCTGGCGCAACACACGGTCGTACTACTCGTACATCCAGGACATAGCAGCCATGTACTTCCCCGCGCGGCCGATCCAGCGCCCCGATTTGCACCACCACCATGACCGACTCCGGTCCCTGAAACTGTCCCACCCGGACGCTGCCGCCATCTACCTGGCGCTGTCGCACGCAGTCAAGGACTACGCAGGGATCTGCCAGCTGCTGACCGTGGCCCCAGAGAACCAGGCCGGGTTGTTCTATCTGAGCATGGGCTTGTTCCATCCCGACCAGGTCGTCCGCGAAGCCACCGTCGAGCTCCTGGACCGCATCGCCGCGCACCCGGCCGGGCGCCATTTCTGGTCGCACCTCGGCCGGTTCGCAAAACTGGGATACTTCCGCGTCAAGCGCGACCGCGACGCCGCCGCCCAGAGCCCCATCTCGGGCCCTGGGTCTCCCAACTCTTCCCCGCCCACGAGCACCACCCCTGGCGCGAGTTTCGGCGGCGAGCCTCAGAGTTTGGTTGGAGTTGCTCTTGGGGATGGTTTGTCGAGACGAAGCTGAGATATAATATTTTTGGTGGATGTGCTTTTTTCTGCTATTTTGCCAGGCATCTGGATCTGATCTTCCAAGGTCATCATTTCATTTCACTGACGAACGAGAAGTGTCCATGTCCTCTCCATCATGACTGTTTTTGCATCTTTGTCCATATACTGTCTATTTTTGCTTGGCCTGTTTCTCACTGTGGATATACTGGATCCTGTTTATACATATCGGCGTTTGAAACATATTGACATTTGACTTGGACATTTGAAGTGGGATTAGGCAGTCATAGTTGGTACAGACTTGATAGCAGTCAAATAAGGAGGCTAGGGGCCGACAGAGACTATGGAGTGTACACGATACCTTCGATCTCGACAGTAGTAGAAATATATGAACAGATAAAGCCAGGAATACTACATTCCATGGAAGGAATAGTTATAAAGCACAAGTAAAATTGCTCTATAGACAAGTGTATTGAATTACATACAGTAGATCAAGAAATGGCACGCTTTTCGTTTCATGACGCATGACCGTACCCGTAGGTATGAAATAACCCAAAAAAAAAAAAAAAAAAAAAAAAGAGAAGAAACCGAAACAGACAAAGAAACAGGCATGTAGTCGAGGTATCTAAAACAAAGAAAGGAAAAACGGGTCTATCCAAGGATATGTTCTCGCGCAATTATTAAAACAGCCCTGTGGCTGTAGCGCCGAGCACAAGCCCTATAATAGAGACAGCAACTCGGAAATCCGGGAAAGCAACACTCAAGGCTGCACGGGATGCGATGGTATTAGAGCCGACAGTGACGTTCGTGGAGACAAAGTCGTCACCACAGTGCTCGTTGACAGCCTTGGCAGAGGGCATATAAGTATTATCGAGGGGCTGGTTGTCGACCGCAGCCCAGTGCGCAAAGACACCCATGGTAGCCTGCAGACACTTGTTGCAGGTAGGTTTGGCCGACGAGCCGAGCGAGCTGCCCAGCGGCATAAAGTAGACATTATAGTCATCCTCGGCGGTGGAGTTGGTCACGGCGTCAACAAAGCAGTAGGCCTTGGTGGTGGGGCTGGTGAGGCAGGAGGCGTGGTAGAGAGGCTCGTAGGCGACCAGGGCGCGGTACGCGCCCTTGACAACCCCGTTTTTGGAGTGGTAGTCCGGCCCGCAGGTGTCGTCCTGGAGCAGCTGGGAGGCGATCGAAGACATGGCGGGGGCACATTCCGAGACGGTCTTGGAGCAGGCGGTGTCGAGGACGCGGGTGGTGGAGGCGGCCGAGCTCAGGGAGTGGAAGAACGAGTTGGAGTTTTCCAGCAGCAGCGAGAGAGGATGGCAGTTGGTGATGGTGGGGTCATTGAGGAACTTGTTGAAGAACTTGGTGCAGCTGGCGTTGGCGAAGTTCGACGCCAGACTGTCAAAGGGTGTCGGCATGGACGGGGAGTCGTCCATGCTGGCATTGGCGATGCGCCGGTGCAGAATTGGGAGCTCATGTCCATCCTGGAATTCTGTGGCATGCTGTTCTTCAGAGATCGTGGGTGATGGAGCCGATCGCTCGTGAAGATCTGCGATGATCCCTCCACTTGGGTCAGGAGCCGAGCGCGGGCCATCTCCATCCTGACCTGGTCTATCCACGGCAGATTGGTCCAGGGCGGAAACGGGAGCCAGACAGAGTATTAAGAAGAACAGAAGTAGGCCATGATAGAATCGGGGACTTTTGTGTTGCCGACGCGAGCGTGGCAGGGTTGTGGAAGACAACGAAGGACGGGTGTGTCGAGTGCCAATGGCATCCATTATGAACGAATGAAGCAATTATTGGGAATAATCAGATGGTAACAACCAAGGTAACAAGAAGAATTAAAATAAAATAAAAGAGTGACGAAGACGCAGAGGTCTGGGGTCAAGACAGACAAGAGACATGAGAAGCAAAAGGAAAGAAACAATTGCGAAGACAAGAAGAAAAAGAAGAATCTTGGGGCCGCATAGAATAAGCAAGCCACAAAGGATGACCTACCTATGTCCTACGCAGATAACGCCCTAAGCGTGTCGCAAATGAGATGCGCCTCAGAACTAGAAGCCGGTGGAGCAGGTTCAGGGGAGAACGGCTGGGGCCAATTTCCAGCCAGCTAAGAGTCCAGACCAGTCGATGTTGCATCCTTTGCTTTTCTTTGTCTTCTTTTCTTCTGCCCTTTTCTGCGCTTTTTTGCTCTCTTTTTTCTTTGTTTGGTTGACGGTTGACTATCAAACCGTGCGAGTTCACCTTGGACCCTGGATTGTATGACTCCTCGAGGGAACACGGCAGTAAACCAGACCAGACCACAGTACACAGGCAATTGAGCAGAGAGAAAGGCTGCAGATCGGGCTGTCAGTTGGGCGAAGCAAGGTGCCCATCGTAATTTCAGTCTGCATCGTGATTGGCACATTGCTGGGCATGTATGTACGTCTACAATGTTATGATGATCAAGTACTTTTTATCATTTCATCGTATATAGAATAAAGAAAGAAAAAGGAGTAAACAGGAATAGAATCATATCATTGAATATCCTGGGCATAGCATGATAGTAGTATCTCCGTGTATGTCAACGGGATTCGATGGAACTCGATGGAAATTAGGTAAGACTTCGGCTGTGCCCCTCCACCAGCGACATCTGCCTCCCCAGGATCTCTCCATTCCGAGCTGATCTTTGATTGTATAATTATCCATCCCATCTAGTTCTCGGCCATGACAGAATCCCTCGTGCCCGAGACCCGGGTACTAGCGGTGGCCAGCCATGTAAGCAACCCTTGCGAATCGCAATATGAACATGCGCTGACTCAAACCAGGTGGTCTATGGGTATGTCTATGTCTATGTCTCCCTCGAAGATATCAATATCGTGAAGGTGGCCACTGACAATCAACCAGCCATGTGGGAAACACCATGGCCACTTTTGTCATGCAGTCGCTGGGCTGCGAGGTGGCCGCGCTGAATACCGTCCACTTCAGTATGTTGAGGCCATACGTTGAGATCTCCCATCAGGCTCTTGCTCGTCACTGACCACGTCTAGGTAATCACACGGGCTATCGCCAATTCAAGGGCACGCGGGCCACCGCGCAGGAGATCACTGATCTCTATCAAGGCCTGGCGCAGAGCCACCTCACCGATTTCGATGTCATGCTGTCTGGCTATGCGCCAAGTGCCGCCGCAGTCAAGGCCGTCGGTGCCATTGGGATTGACCTGCAGCAGAAGGCTGCTTCGAAGCCCGGGTCGTTCTTCTGGGGTGAGTAGCAGCCTCAATCGACGTCCATCCGGAAACTGATCACCGGGCATAGTGCTGGACCCCGTCATGGGCGACCAGGGCCGGCTATATGTGAACGATGACGTGGTTCCGGCCTATAAACAAATGATCCAGCATGCGGATCTGATTCTTCCCAACCAGTTCGAAGCCGAGTGAGTCACTGCCACAGATCACCCACATCATCCAGAAGCAACCCGACCTGACCGGAGACATCCAGAGTGTTGTCCGGCATCAAAATCACCTCCCTGGCCACGCTCGCCGAGGCCATCACTGCCATCCACCGCATCTACTCCGTGCCGCACGTTATCATCACCTCAGTGCAGCTCTTCAAGCTCTCACAGTCCGGCACGACCCCCAGCCCGCCTGCGAACTTCCTAACGGTGATCGGGTCGACGACGCGGTCCGACGGCTCCCCCCGACTCTTCCGCATCGACGTACCAGCCCTGGACTGCTTCTTCAGCGGGACGGGCGACATGTTCGCCGCACTGACCGTCGCGCGACTCCGCGAGGCTGTCGCCGCCGCCGGCCAAGACCTGTCCACCACCCGCTCGTGGGTGTCCCCCGACAGTGTGCCGGCCACGGACCTCCCGCTCGCGCGCGCGGCCGTCAAGGTCCTGGCGAGCATGCACAGCGTCCTCGAGCGGACACTCGAGGCCCGTGATGCCGAGCTGGCGACTGCCCCCGCGCAAAACGGGGATGTTGGTGCGGACGAGCCGCAGAAGCGCGAGCATCTGCGCCGCACCAAGGCCGCCGAGGTCCGGCTGGTCCAGAACGCGCGGTTCTTGCGAGACCCGCAGATCCAGTTCGCCGTGCAGGAATGGTGGAAGGACGATCTCCCGGCGGAGCTGCAATAGTGTCTTGTTGGTGTCGTGTGAGGGATGATAGAGGACCCGATTGGATCATAGATCGGATGAGACCTTGGATTGTACATAGATGAAAAAGAAAGCACGGTCAAGAAACGTCAATCATCGCATTTTATTTTTACTTGATTATCTTCCCATCACCATGTATCATGTACCTCCTGGTATGAAGGCTTCCATTCCAAAACACCCCGTTCATCGATCGACTCCAAAACCGGTCCCAAAATCATGGCCAACTTCACGCACCAGTGCTGCCGAATCCGCCTCCACCGCGGACACTCTCCTCGAGTTCCTCGACGACCGTCACTTCGGGGGTGTAAATCTGCGGGGGACAGCATGGTCAGAATGGCACAAACGAGTCTGGGAAAAAGCAGACTCACTCTCTCCAGAACCAGCTGGGCAATCCGGTCACCCTCCTTGACTGCAGTGCACAACATCAGCAATTGGGGTCTTCAGAAAGTAGTTATACCAATCAATAATATCACATACCCGGGAAATCCACATCCGAATGGTTGAACAACAGCACCTTGACCTCGCCACGGTAGTCAGCATCGATGACACCGGCGCCGGTGTCAATAAAGTGCTTTGCGGCGAGACCACTGCGTGGAGCAATGCGGCCATCTAGAATCGTATACAATTAGCTCCTGGTTCAATTGACAATGCCAGACAACACTCCTCCATTGCAAGACAATCCTTCGCCAACACAAGTATCACAACCATCACCTCTCAAGAATCTTACATACAGGTACCCTCCGGCACAGCAATGGCAATGCCCGAGTCAACCAAGGCCTTCCCCTTGGCCGGGATAACCGTCTCCTTGGCGCTGTACACATCGTACCCCGCGGCAAAGGCGGAGCCCCGCGTCGGCGCACGGGCCGAGTCGACGAGCTTCTTGACAAACAGCGGCGGCAGCGGCTGCTGGATCGAGGTAACAGCGGGCCCCGTGGAGGCAGTCATGGCAGCGGCGTCGGTCTTGGTGCGTTTTGCGAGCGGCGAGGTGGGCAGGGAGGGGGGTTCGCGGGTGGTAGGCTGGTGAGAGTCGGGGTGAGGCGGGGTGGTCTCCTTGGTCATGGTATGGTCCAGGAATTGATCGGGAAAAAAGAAAAAAAGGGTCAAATGAAAGTGCTGAGTGGGGAGTAGGGAAGTGGGAATTCCACAATTAAGTGATCAATTAGAGCTTCCCCCTTCGAGAATTGCGGTGAGTTGAGCCCTTGCGACGTATCTCTCTCTCTTTTTCTGCGCGTTTCACCGCTGCCACGCGCATCGCGTCTTGTTTGTTCTGTTTGTTCTATATGTTTGCGCTGTTTGTCTGTTTGGCTCTCCCCGCCCCGAGGGCCCGTGGGCCGAGGTTCCCCGGTTGCCCCAGGTTGACTCGGCTACTTTATATTCCAACGTTCAACCTCCAAGTATTGGTGGGTGGAATATCTCTCTCTGGGTCCAATTGCAATTATGGCGGGAGCTGTGCGCCAACCAATAGATATTCCCTCGCTCGAGCGGTATATTGACCAGAATGTCCCTGCACTCAAGACTCCGCTGGACGTGAAACAGGTGAGTGACCGGATCTAAATCGTTCGACCAGACTCCAAATGAATACTCACAGATCTATAGTTCGGCTTTGGCCAGTCCAACCCAACATATCAACTTACCTCTGCCGATGGCAAGAAATTTGTCCTTCGCAAGAAACCCCCCGGCAAGTTGCTGTCGAAGACAGCACACAAGGTGGAGCGGGAGTATAAGATCATCCGTGCTCTTGGAGAGACCGATGTACCGGTACCTCAGGCCCACTGTCTCTGTGAGGACAGCAGTGTGATTGGCACGCCCTTTTACATTATGGAGTTTCTGGATGGACGGCACTTCACTGACCCGTCGATGCCCGGGGTCAGCGCAGAGGAGAGGACTGCCCTGTAAGAGACTATTTCCCATACACTTCCACCGGGAATATCAAGCTAATCCCGGTGGTTCATGCTCCAGATGGAAGGATGCAGTGCAGACACTCGCCAAGTTCCACCGGGTGGTCCCCAAGTCCGTGGGACTAGAGACGTTTGGCAAACCAACAGGATTCTACGACCGACAAATCGCAACATTTACAGCAGTATCAAAGGCACAGTCGCAGGTAGTAGACGCAGACACCAAGGAGCCAGTGGGCGAACTGCCACATTTTGGGGATATGGTACAGTTCTTCTCCCAGAAGACGACACAACCCCGCGACCGCGGCACGCTAGTGCACGGCGACTACAAAATCGACAACATGATCTTCCACCGGACGGAGCCACGGGTGATCGGGATTCTGGACTGGGAGATGGCGACGGTGGGCCACCCCCTCTCGGACTTTTGCAACCTCACCAGCCCCTACACAATGGACGGCGGCGACCACCAGGTCGAGCAATTCCAGCCCGGCCGGGTGCCAGGGCTGCCGGCGCGCGACGACTGCATTCGCTGGTACCGCGAGGTCGCCAGCTGGGATCCCGCCGAGGATATCCTCTGGGGCGATGCGTTCTTTGCGTTCCGGGGCTCCGTCATTATGCAGGGAATTGCGGCGCGCTTTGCTGGTCGGCAGGCGAGTAGTGTGCGGGCGGAGGATTATGCGAAGCGCGCCAAGCCGTTTGCCTTGGGGGCATGGGAGCGAGTACAGCAGGTACAGCGGTTGGGGAAGAGCAAGTTGTGAGTTGGGACAAGAGTGTATATATCACCATCATTATATTCATGGGGTTATCTACTACTTCTGTCTTACAATCCTTCTCCTGTATGTGAGAACCCATAAATCTTAGCGGGGCACCAACTAACCACCCACTCGTGGCAGATGTTTAGGTTTACGCACCAACATAAACATCATAATGGGGCCACGGATATCTCGGATGACCATAGAGACCTACGTAGTCTGCCCCCTATCCCACTAGGTGGTGGTCTGAGCGCGTCAGCACTTGACCCTATATGGATAAATCGAGTTAAAAGGATGGCAGCTAATTGTCTAGTTTATTTATTTATTTTTCTCATTTTCCTTGATTTCATATCTTAAATTATGGCCCAGTGACTGACGTGGTGTGCCCTGCGGCTCTACGTAAAGTGAGGCTGAGGGGTGAAGAACCCACTTTGGCTGTTTTTGGGGATTTGTGCGGCGCGGGCCGCGTATTGCGCCAATTAATATTCTATGATTCTTATTAATATTTATATAATACCTGGGTATATTAGTGTAGTACTAATATATTCTCCTATTCTGCCTCGGCATCTCAAAAGAAGAGGAAGCAGAAAAAAAAAAAAAAAAAGGGCAAGTCTATCCCGACCACAAACCATTCTATGAACCCACGAAGACATAAATTCTCTGATGAAACGTGGGCCGACTTCCGTGCCGCAGACCAGACACCGACCGCGTTGGCAACGCAGCCGGGAGACACTTGGCGATCCTTCGGGGCTGACGGGTCGAGGCTCCCTGAGGCAAAAGCCCCTGCGAAGGAGAAATCCTTCATTAGACCAACACCCAGAGAATAAAAGAGAGTAAGAATACTACTAATACTACTACTACTAATAATCATAAAACTACAAAGTCAGAATCAAAAGAAATGAAGAAATCATCCAACCCAACCCAACCCAACCCGTCTCGCCAGGAGAAATACTCCCCTCAAACCGTGTGGGCCGCGAGTCGTGCAGGTTCCCCTTCCCGGGTTGAAGGAGTGGAGAAGACGTGCGACTCGCAGGCTGATGACTCCGAGTGGAGAAGGGGGAAAAGCGGTGGAAAGTGTGCGACCGGGTTCAAATCCTCCGATGACCATCCTGGATGTTTGTGATGGTGGATGGGTGATGGATATTGGTCTCGTATACAGGAATCGACGATCAGTCATAACACTAGTTGACTAGAATCGCAATCAGAATTTGATAATATATGATAATATATGATAATATCATGATCATGATTATCCTGCTCATAATCTCCATGGATACGACTATGAATCCTCCATGAATCGCTGGAGCCTCGGGCCCACCTCCCAGAGCCTCATCCTCCCCGAGCCCTCGTGGATTCACAACGCTGTCTCTCTCTCCTTTCTTCCTTTCCCTTTCGTCTTTTTTTTCTCTTCTTTTTTTTTTTCCTTTTTCTTTCTTTCCCTTTTTTTCTCTTTTTCGTTCGGGCTCCCCTCCCTTGTTTCTTTCCCCTTCCCCCGATCTCTCCCCCTCTCCCCTCTCTCTGCCCCCCTGAGCCGTGGACCCTCGGACCTCCCAAGCCCTGAAATTCTTCCGTGCTCCACTGCTTTGGGTTGATCCATTCCCCAAAGACTGTGTGTGTGTGGTCTGGTTGCGGGTTTCCCTTCTGCTGGGCAACGAAATTTGGATCCTTCCGATCCACTAAATTCCCCCGGTTGCCCATGGCGCTGCTTTTAAACTGTCACTGTTGAGCCTCAACTCGGGCCATCTGCATTCCATCGTGGTAAGTCCTTTGCAAACCCCACCGGGTCAAGTAGAATGCAGAATGCACAGCAACACATTCACCCACAAGAAAACAAGTGTGTGGGAATATTTTCTTTTTGTTTCGGGACCTTGTGTTCTGCGGGGAATCCGAGGTAGCGTGGCGGGGAAGTTTCGTCTTTTTCACGGATAGTCCTCGGCCTTAGGAATAAGCCTACATCGTGATGGTTCTTGTTCGATGGTTCTATGTGGATGTGTTTGACTGATGTTGCTTGCGTCTGCAACTTGGCCACGACTGAGACATGTCCGAATATCGCTGACCTCGACGCAGGATCTTCTCTGATGGTGGAGGGAATCCTAAGCACCCACTTTTCGCATTTCAAGCCAAGCGCACCCTGATGCGCCTTGCACGCCTTGATGACGTCCGACGTGTATGATTCGGACGACGCCTGTAATCGGTCGCCGCCGCCGGTGGCCCAGAAAATCTCCTATGCGGTGCAGGAGCCTCTGCCGCCCTTTGTTCACCCAGGGTCGCCTGAGGGCGATGTCGAGAAACCTGCCAAGGGAACGCCCGGTCGTTCCCGTAAGCACCTGCCGGAAACCCGGACTCAAACGCGTCTCGGCGACTCGGTGCTGATCAGCTATCTAGACCCAAGCCGTCCGGATATTGCCAATCACGCCCGAGATCATCCTCTCACGGACTGGCCGCCTCCGCTCGACCGCCCAGCCCTGGTCGAGAAGAGGAAGCCTGAGCCAGCTCCGACCCCTGGACCCAGTCTGGGAGCTCCCACGCTGCCCACGGCCGCGCAGGCCGTGGCCCAGTTGCAGGACAGGCGTCCAAGTGACGACAAGCCCGTCTCCCCGCGGACCAAGTTTCCTCCACTTCCACTCCCCGTGGCGCCCATCGAGGTCAAGAATGAGGTTTTCTCCCCTGTCCAGCCGCCTCGTCTTCCGTCGATCTCGGGCCCGGATCGACGACCCTCAGAGGATCCCTCACTCAAAAAACCCAACCACTCCCCGAGCATCAAGGCTCGAGTATCGCTTCCCTCTCTCCAGTCCTTCCACTCGCCGCCAGATTCTGCAACACCTCCAGACAGTAACAGTAATAGCAACAGCCAAGTGCTGCCGTCCATTCACTCCGCACTGGGAGGGTTATCGCCCAAGAGCTTTCCCTCGGGCCGGATCAATAGCTTGCCTCCTCCTTACCCATACCCCTCGTGTCCGGTGTCAGCGGCGCCCCGAAATGAATCTCATCTGGAGCGCATCTTGCCCGGGCAGTTCCAGGTCCCACCCAGTCCCTTCTCGCACTTCTCCCCCGTGAGCACCAAGGACATGTCGACCAACCCATCCCCCGCATCGCAGGTATCATATTGGCGGACCCCATCACAGACCGAGATGCACCCGGCTGCGTCGCCGTATGATATGTCCATCACGGCCAAAAGCCCTGCCACTGGGTATCCGACGCCCACGGAACAGGTCAGCGCCGGGTCCGGAGATCGCACCTCGCTCAGCTCCAACCCGTCAACCAACGGGTCAATTGGCAGCTTCAAGTGCACTCATCCGGGATGCACGGCACCCCCGTTCCAGACGCAGTATCTCCTCAAGTAAGCCGTTGCCTAGCATTGCTTTTTCGCCAACGGCATACCTCTTAACACGCTGATCTATATAGCTCGCATGCCAATGTACACTCGCAAGATCGGCCTCATTTCTGTCCGGTAGAGGGGTGTCCGCGCGGTGTGGGTGGGCGAGGATTCAAGCGCAAGAATGAGATGATGCGCCATGGCCTAGTCCATAATTCCCCGGGCTATGTCTGTCCCTTCTGTCCGGACCAGCAACACAAGTACCCGCGGCCTGATAACCTGCAACGGTAGGTTTCCCTCAGTGGATATCTAATATTTACTCTTGGGCAATTAGCTGATCTATGTGCAGACATGTCCGCGTCCACCACGTCGATAAAAACAAGGACGACCCCATCCTGCGACAGGTCCTTTCGCAGCGTCCCGTCGGCAGCTCTCGCGGCCGACGACGAAGAATGAACTCCTAACCAAAAAGCTTCAGAATGAGGGCTGGGGAGGACCCCCAGACCCTCGAGACAGATATTTACGCGTGACGACTTTCGCATCAATGATACCTATGTGGTTTTTCATCCGATTGTTTTCGATGTCTACTCTTTTTTTTCTTTTCTTCCGTTCTTCAATGATACCACCTGTCCCGCCATTGTTAGAAAAGCGACGATACATGGGCCATTCGTTTTGTGTATTCTTGAAGCCTTGACTTGACACTATGTTCTTGTTCGCTTTCCCACTCGCTCTTGTATGCTCGCAGCCTGGTGTATAGGTCGACTGGGAAGTATTCTTGTATGGGATGACACGGCTGGTATGGAGTTTATGACTTGTTGAATTATCCATGGATTGACTTGTTGACTTGGTCATATTTATATTATTCTTCTTACTACCTAGTATTCTTTATTGACGATGATCTGCATCGTTGAGTTCAAGCCTCAAGACAAGTAACGAGTGTGGTTCTTGTCTAATGGTAAGATGCCCTGCGAAGATGTATACCCTTCTCACATTTTCGGTGACTATCATGCTTCAGTGGACATGGAGTATATACTTTGATCGATTTTAAGCTTAAGAACAATAATCAGTGTCTCTTTTTGTCTAGTAGCATCATGCCTCACATACGAAGATAGAACCCATTCTTAGGTTTGAGTGTCTATCATACTTCCATAGACATGGTATGAACCCAAGGCCATCGTCACGGTTAGGGCTAGCAATTCAGAATTATAGAATTTATTAGACTTCAAACGCCTGATTTTTTACTATTATTATGATTATTATGATTATTACGGTTTTCTTGAACAGTAATATGCCTCATGCGCAGAGAATTGCCCTTGTGCTACGAGAGCCATGGGACTGACCTTCTCTCTCAAAATCAGATCTTTTCCCTGGTCCAATTCACGCGTGTTCATACCTAAAAAAAGAACCATACCCCACAAAACCTGGAAATGATCAGCGCAAGGACTATGTATATACATAGCTCCGGATCCCTTAAAATAAACCCTTCGCGAGATCTCGGACTTATGCACACGTGCGGTCTTGTACACCACGAGGACAGACAAGGATAGTCCTAAAATAATGGTAAAAAATAAGTAAAAAATAAAAACTAAAAAATTAAAAGCGCACAGAGCTCCGGCGATCAAATGGGGAATCAGGAATAAAGTAAGGCCAGGGAAGATGACCTGCGTCGGGAAGTACGTCGCGTGGAGTCTCACTGCTATATATAGCCCTACTATTGCCGGGTCCATGCTTCTTGCTGCTTGCTTCTTGCTCTACCGAATACCGAAAAGAGCTGTCCGAGAAGAACAAAAAAAAAAAAAAAGGGGGGGGGGGACTTTGACATTCCGGAGATTGCCCGGGGGGAATAGATCTTTTTTTTTTAGGTGGGGTGTGATGGCCTGAGATCTTACCGGAACAGCTTGAATAGAATCCAAACAACGAAAGGAAATGGATTGCGATAGGGTTGCCACCTGGCTTGGCGTGATCTCTTGTCTATGCTGATCTTGTATAGTATCTAAATGTGTCTGAGAGTAACACAGCTATACAAAGGAAGAAAAAGCAATAAAAAAAAATAACCTTGGGACACCGAATCGCCTACTCTAAATATGTCACAAGTCCACGGGTATGTAGGTGATGGATGTGGGCCGGGGAGAAGGGAGATCCACATCGAACTCCACAGACTCTAAGAAATTAATATAAACAAAAAAGCATATACAAAATATATATAATATACAAAAGAAAAAAGAAAAAAGAAAAAAGAATCAAAGAATCAAAAATAAGACATCAAAACAAAGCAGAGATAATAATAGACTTCGTCCAGATGATAATCTTCAGGATTTTCTTCTGTATAGGAACCCGTTGGGCTGGGGGGCCGCCCCCCGCTACACCGGATATAGTTAAACGCTGCGATCCCTGTTTCTTGGCCAGGCTATTTACGCTGTGTCCTCTCAGAGCCAAGGAGAACCGATCCATTCATGGATCCCCATAGGAGCTATAGTAAGCATGGACACTACCGTGATTAGCTCGGCGAGACACCGTTTCTTGGTCATAGCTGTGATGATCGACCCACCTGACTTATCTCGATACCTCTATATTGAACACTGAATGCAAAAGGAGTTCATAATAATGATTATAATAATAAAAAAAATAGAAAGTGAAAAATAAAAAGACAGGAAGCTGACCGACGAGTTCTTGGCACATCTTCCCACCTGCCTATTTGAGGTGGTGATTTCGGCTCGTGGAGATAGGGGCCGTCAGCCCCAGCTCTATTCCCTCCCCCCCCAATTTCTTTTGCTCTTCCTGTTCTTTACTTTTGCGAAGAATCTATTTTGGACTTTTAGCTTTGGATCTCCATCGCTTAAGGATTCTACTACAAGGTGAAGACTATTTTCTGAAAATAGCAGCATGATCGATCGAATCGAATCAACTAGATGGACATGTAGATCGAATTCAATTGCGTGAACAGTGATGTGAATGTGGATAGAGAGAAGGAGCTGCCTGCAGCCACCGGGCCACTAGGCACACCCGGTGTATATCGGTATCTAAACGAGTTCGTCACAAGCTTGGAAAAACAATTGGAACAGAAAAGAAAAAACAAAGAACCCCGTAATGTCAACGCAATGCAATACCCCAGAAACAAGCCTGTTCGCCCGTTCCCTTTTTTTCCGCTGTATTTATACAGTAACATAACCATCTGGACAGAAAAGAAAAGAATGTAATAAACCAAAAGAAAAAGAGGGGGAAAAAAAGGGGGAAGGAGAAGAGAAAAGGATAGTGCTTGACCAGCAAGTAAAAAAAAAGAAAAGAAAAAGAAGAGGAAAAGAAAAAGAAGAGGAAAAGAAAAAGAAGAGGAAAAGAAAAAGATCGTAATCATCCATAGATCAACTCAAGCCCTAATTCATCGAGAGCCAACTTTGCGATGGATCCGGCGCACATGGTCTTTCATGTTGTCGACGCGACTAAACACGCGGCCACAGCCATCCCACTCGCACACAATGCCAGGGTTGTGCTTGGCCTCGTGGCGCGCGCGATCTTTCTTGCTCGAGAACCCGCCTTGAACAGATTGCGGGCAGTTCTCATGGCGGCAGAACAAATGCTTGCGATGCCGGTTAAAGTGCTTGCGCAGGTCACAGCCCCGGCGAAACAGGGCTTGGGACGAGCAACCTGGGTGGGCGCAGCGCCAGGCGCCGTCGCCGGTGGGGATACCGTAGCGGGAGAGGTCCGCTGGGTTCGAGGGTGATGAGGGGCGTGCACGGGATGGTGGGGAGTCGAGGTCAGAAAGGGTTGGGGCAGGAGAGTCGCTGAGGACAGAGGACGACTCAATGGAGACAGGCGCAGTGGATGGGAAGAGTGGGGACGGGGCGAGGAAGTGGTCCGGTGCCGCGGTCGATGCTGTCGAGGTTGAGGGCCCTGTGAAGGCGGGCAGCGGCAGCCAGGATTCGGCGGTGGTCAAGCCATCACTGAAATCGGGGTAGGTGTGGAGGGGCAGGTCGGTAGATGGGGGAAAGCGAGAGAATTGGCTGGGTATGAAGAGGGCGATTGGTACAGGGCAGCAGGGTCGCTCTCAATACACCACTTGTCGATTTGCTGCGCTGTATACTCTTGCAGCTGGGGATGGACCAGAGCGGGCTGCGAGGGCCCAGTGGGGTAGTAGGATTGCATGAATGGCGAGTGTGTGCCCGAGCAGACAGAGGGGTCAACCGGCGGCGAAGGAGCTGTCAAAAAGTCTGTGTTGGAAGGAGAAGACCACGCATAGACTGAGCCAACAGTATCGCTGACGCACGAGGCGCGGCGGCTCGATAAATAGCTCTCGGGGGCAAGGAACGAGACCGAGTCGGAGTGAGCCACATAGTCCATGGCGGGGTGGACACTAGACGAAGGTGGGCTTGATGACGCGCCAACAGGGATATCCATCAAGCCTGCCAGCGGGTCCACAGACCCTGCACACCCAGGCACTGGACCCTGGGTGGCCTTGGCTTGCCAGTTGTAGTTCACGGTGGGCATGTCGTCGACACTGTCGTTGAGGCCCTTGTCGAGAAACTCGGCCGCGTCCACCCGGTCAAAGTCCAGCAAAGCGTTTGAGGGGGAATCGAGGACTCTCATGTCAGCTGCCAAATGAGAGGCTTTCTTTTCTTGTCTTGTCTTCTTCTTCTTCTTCTTTTTTTTTTTTTTTTTTGAAATAATCTGTCGACAGATGGAATGTTGGATGCAATCACAGTGATAGAGTCATAGGGCTTCCGATATCTCTTTGATTCACATTGCATCTGCGTGGGAGATCCATGGGTATAAAAAACAGTCAAGGTCGAGCACTGCCCCAAACTTAGATCTAGGCGTTCCGCAACGTACTGATGGAAGGGGATCTGCAGTCCAATTCTTGGATTAGAAACCCCAGAAACATGCATCTCAGGCCCGCACGGCGCCGAGTCCGGTGGAGAAGCTAGCGAGACTAGCGAGAAACGGGGATGGTTTAATCTTTTTCTGGGAAAATAAGAAATTAGCAATCACCGCACAGAGCCAATGTCGGGGAGGAAAGATACCCTCACAAAGTAGGGCTGAGGAAGGGAAGAGGGTGGGTCCAGCTGTCGAGGATGATAGTGGCATAAGCGAACGCTTGGGATCGCAACGTCGAACCAAATCCAGTTGCCCGTCATCGGATCGGCGTTTTTGATTTATATTTTGATTTCGTTTTATTATATTATTTTTATATTTCTTTTCTGATTAATTATATTCTGTGCCAAGTGGTTCATTCTGTTGACCTAGTATATTCGTTCGAATCCTCAGGTGTCACTTTTTCTATATATAAGCCCACACCAAGGATCCCCTGTATTTTCCCCCATCGCTTTTTCTCCTGCAATACTTCCCGGCTGATTTCATTCTGGGCTCAACGCAACCTTGTTGGAAAGGTAGTATCCTTAGTTTGGGGATGAACTAGGGAACCTTTTGCGACAGGCATACCACATTGACGATCGTTGCTGGAACGAGTGCAGGGAATGCGTTATCGGGTTGACAGGTCGGAGATTCAGCTCACGGCCAACCCGACTGCCCGCGGGCCCACGGGCCCGACTGCCCGGACACCGACGATTTGCACCGTCGGTGGAGTAGTGTCCGGGGGGTGTTGAATGTGGCTATTGGTGGCTTCAGCCCAAGTGGATGCTCAGTGCGTGGCTGGACCATTCATCATCCACCGTGGGCGCGGGAGTTGGATCACCCCCGATATACGAGGAGCGGTGTCCGGGCGTTGTGCCTCCCGAGCCTCACTAGCGCATCTCCCCTGGATGTGGCTGAATGATTCATCCGCCATGAATCCTGACTCAGGTGTGAATATTATTTTCTTTTTTTTTTTGTACCTCTTTCTAAATCGGGACTTGAGGCCTGATCTCGCAACGTGTTCTTGAAAAGATGCCGAGAAATGGCTCTTGGCCTATGACATGGGCTCTGCTAACTACCGACATAATAGAGTTCCGCCCCATGTGGTCGACATCGTGAAGAAGCATCCAAGACAGGTCTATACAAAAATAGACGCCCCCACACCATGTCTTAAACTTGGCCCCAGATTTTCTTCTGGGCACGAACCTCATGCCTGTCGGGCCCTCCAGTGGTCGGCCAGAAGGGGAGTCTGGTCTGATTTCGTGCTGGAGTCGCGGTACAGTACGTAGTGCTGCACCACGAAGACGAGATCGAAAAAGATCGTGACATTCCCCAGCAGGAGCTTGACCGGGTTGCCCGTGATGCCACTCCAGTCACTCTGGAGGCTCGAGTCCAGGACAAGCTGCACCAGCGACAATACGCCGCCAGCCAGATCCAACAACATGGGCACAATACTCCATCCGACAGTCGACTTCCGCTTGTAATTCAACCATGCCTGCGGCACATACTTGACCACGGTGATAATGAGCTTCATATACGAAAATGTATAGACCTGGCGATTCAGCGTGGTTAGCTCAACACACCCAAGCGGAAATCCAGCCCCAAAAGAAAGCTCATCCACTGACCACGTCGATCCACGCCCAGGATGCTGGGTTGTGGCCTTCGTCCGGGCTCCGCGACATTACAACCCAAATCATCACGACGGGCGCCCACACACAACCCCAGAACAGACCCGCCATGGGCTTGCTGATCCGTTGGAATCGAGACACATTCAAACCCCAGATGAACGGCCAGAACTGCGAGTAGACGATCATGCTCATGATGACTGCGTGCACCGCAAATGCCAAGTCGTTGAAGCGGACGGTCGGCTCGCTGGCCGCCGGATGTCGGGACGCATACTGCTGGCGAATGAGGGGGGAGTAGAGGAACGATGAAGTATAGATCGTGTAGCAGGCGAACCCCAGTAGGTTGATGGTCGGGAAGTCGATGGAGAGACCCGCTGTCGACCCGCGCCGCACATTATAGATCGGTTGAGGATAGAACGAGGCTGACCAGCAGACCATACTATGAGCTGGGTTAGATTCCATAGGCTACCTCACTGGAGGTAAGACACATACTATATCCATCCTAGAAGGCTGTCGCGTTATCAGTCTCATGATCGATAGTATCATCGACATCCCGGGGAAACTTACCGAGAAAGTGCCTTGATGAAAACCTCAAGCTGTTCAGATGGCATTTTGAACGTCAAGGGATGCTCAATCCCCAAGAATCTAGCCGGCAACAATCGCAAACCCCAAGAAGCCAACGACCCAGCAAAGCCACGAAGACATGACTAGTTGGGGGCCATGGTGATCAGGTCAGGTGACGATAAGAGATTGTCCGGGTGTGCCTATCCATAGATGGCAGGCGGTGTGTGAATGCAGATGAGTCAGCCGATGGTTGTCCCGGTTATGCGCTGACACGCTAAACCCTAAACGGCAAACAGTTGACGGGCCTCTGGCTCAGCCATGTTGTGATTCCTCTCTGTACGACGCCCAACTCTTCTACTGTCGAGGTCTCTCTCACGATTACTTTTGGGCGTTTTCTCAATTTCATCTTCCCTTCAATCCGACCCTCGTGTGACTACTTCCTCTCTTCACGAATTGTTGTGGCACACACCGCCAGAAGACCGCAATTCCCTTCCCAAGCTTTTCCTTTATTCTACAATCATCGACAGATCAACATACCAAGCGCGCTGTCATCCTGCATTTCAATTGTTGTCGCCTATTTTGTTCCGTTGTCGCATGGTGCATTCTTCGGATCGGGGGGTCTCGATAGATCTCCTTGGGTAGTTCCGACATTCCAGGGTTTTCGAGATCGCGTGGAACTTCGAGAATCATCGGAAGAATGTCGCCAAATGCGGACCTCACGCCCCCGGGGAGCAGCACATACTCGTCGAACACCCTCCATGTCGGTGATGGCACCTGGGACCAGGGGCGGGATACTTTCCTGCTGCCCAATCTGATGGGGGTAAACTTTGAGATGATGCGATACAATGGTATGTGCGCCAGGACTGGAGAGTTCCAAGGTTGGGAGTTAGGGTATTCTGACATATCTCAGGTATGGGCAATCGCTTCAAGGAGATGGCTGGCTACCATTCCATAATCATCGCCCATGGGGTCATTGGAACCATTGTTTTCTTGGGCCTCGTCCCTCTCTCCACATTTCTCATTCGATACTATTCACGATGGAATCCATTTTGGGCATTTAAGCTCCATGCCTGGTGTCAGGTCCTCACCCTTCTTTTGACAACAGTTGTGTTTGTGCTGGGGTGGTTCGCCGTCGGGCCGCAAAGAAGCCTGACTAACCCGCACCATGGGATCGGTCTGGCCATCTATGTGATGGTGATTTTCCAGATTCTGTGGGGCTGGTTTGTACACAAGGTGGAGAGCAAAAGACAGCGGCATCACGTTCCGTTGAAGCTAGTGGTAAGTTGAGCAACCCAGCAGGTGGCTTTGGAAACGCAAAACCCTAACGTCTATCAGATTCACCGATGGCTAGGCCGTGCACTTACGATCCTGGGGATCGTCCAGATCCCGCTGGGACTTACGCTCTATGGCTCCCCCAAATCACTTTTTATTTTGTTCGCGCTCGCGGCTTTTGCGCTTCTGTTGGTCTACTTCGTGATGTCTTATTTATATGACACCGAAGGTTACCACATGGGCAGTGAATACGATGCCCGACACAGCCATTACACAGGGCCTTCAGAGGTGGAAGAGCACCGTCCGAACCGCCTAGGGCAAGCACTAGCTGGTGGCGCTCTGGGAGCAGGCCTCTTATCCATGTTCCGACGACGGCCCCGAAGCCGCACAACGAGTCAAGCCTACGAAGACTCGCGCACTTCATTTTCGGACGAGAAGTACTCCGATGAAAGTTCGCGACATGGCGGGTGGGGCAAGAAACTGCTGGAGGTTGGTGCATTGGCTGGGGCCGGTCTTCTCGCAAAGAAATGGTGGGATCGTCGCCGCAATCGCCAGGACGACGCCGAGTCTGGTCGATACCGGCCGGCACATTCGCGCAGCGACAGCTACACTGAGGATTCGCTCAGTAGGCTGGAAGACGGACGCCCGGAGCCGAGTCACCGCACGCCGCTTAACCGGCCACCGAGCCGGCCCCCGAGCAGACCGCAGAGTCCCGGCTCGTCGTACTATTACAACAGCACCTATTACACGGAGCCCGAGGGTGGCCGATCCCATACCGCTCGCAACGCCTTCCTGGGCGCTGGTGCATTAGCCGCCATGAAGAAATTCTTTGGACGTGGCAAAGACGACGACAAACGCCGTCTAGAAGACATCCGTCGTCGCGAAGAGGAAGATGAGCGGATACAGCGTGCCAACAGCAAGCGCCGGCCGCATGCCGGGGAGGGACCCTACCCGCACCGACGAAGACCGGCCTCGTACTCGGACACCGAGCTCACCGAGACCGACCTGACCCGGCCACCGCGGCAAGCCTCACATGGAGAATCTCTTCTGAGTGCTGAACCCATCGCGTCGGGTGCAGTCCACGCTGCCCCATCAGACATTCCTCCCGCACCGCCCGCACACCAAGAACTGTTGGGTGACCTGCGACCCAGCCGCCGGCATTCGTATGATGGATCAGACTTTGCATCTGGGACAGCAGCCGGAGCCGCCGGAGCCGCCGCAGCCTCGGGCCACCGCCATCGCAGCAGTAGTCGACACCGCAGCAACAGCCGGCGCCGCGAGGACCACGTCGAGTCCCCACCCGTGTCCGTGAAAGTGAAGATGCACAACGACGGGCGCCACGTCACGCTCCGCCGGCTGACGGAAGAAGAAGCGGCCGCCAACCGCGAAGCCCGCCGTCGCGAGCGCCGCAGCTCCCGTCGCCGCGCCGGCAGCGCCAGCTCGTTGTCCGGCAACGAGGGCAGCAACGACCGGTGGCGCCGCGTCGAGGAGATGGAGCGCCGACAGGCCGAGCAGATGCAGCGCGAGCAAGAGGCTGCTGCTGCTGCTACCGCCGCTGCCGGTGGAGGTCCCTCCGTTGCCCCCTCCGGCAGTGTTCCTCCTTCTTCTTTCGTTCCACACTCGCAGGTCAGCCATATGCCGCCCCCGCCGCCGGTGCCGCACCCTGCACCCTCCAGCATGCCCTATGGTCCCGGCAGTGTCACTTCACCGGGGACCTGGACGGGGACTGAAGCCAGTGGTTCCTACGCGAACAACCGCAGACGGCGTCGAGCGGAGCGAGCGCGCGCCCGTCAAGATAGACAGCAGCCGCACGGCGTCGAGTTTACTTGACAGTAATAAGTAATACTACGCCTCCAGCATTCTGTTTGTCCTCTTTTCCCTTTTTTTTTCCTCATGTCCATTTTTCTTTTCTCATTTGTGTTTCCTCTATTCCTTTGCGTGCTCTGATCTGTCCCAGGCACTGCTTATGGCTTGTATAAAATGAGTTCTTTCTGTTTCCCCCGAGCTTTTCTCCGGTGTCGCTATGAATGGACCCTGCCTTACGAACGATGCTTCTGATGGATTTTTGACATGTTGTTTTCTTTCTTTTTCTTATGTGTCTTTGGATGTGTCATTGAGGCGATGGATATGATTTCATTAGGTAGATTCTTCTGCTTCTTTTCTCATTGGTTTTATCTTCTCATTTCTCATGATTGCCAGCGAATATGCAAACTGATCACCAGGTCGGTGGCTATGTCCTTTTTTTTTTCTCTCTTTCTTTTATTATCGTGGTTCAGATATACCGTGTCATCATGCCATTCATGCGTTGACTTTTCCTGTCTTATGGAGAATTGAGAATATCAACAACGCATAAAATGAAATGGATTGAATTTCAAAACTTCGACCGCGGGAGATATAATGTAAACAGCCTTTCACCGGATCACTACTCTGCCGTCAATGTAGAGTTAACCACTCGGCCAGCTCCTAACCACAAACCGCATCATGAAACAAACACAAGCATCTTCAAATCAAAAAAAAGAACGACCAAGTCAGCACTCGAGTCAATAAAACATGTAAGACTGGTTTGAACACTCCCTGTAAGGCCATGCCCCGATAGTTGAGATATAGTCCACTATCAAGGCGTGGGTGTTTTGCTGCGGTGGCTCACACTTGATTTCCAGTAGCAGCTAACATCCAGGCCACAGAGAGACATCACATAGATGATCGATGTAACTGCCAGAGACAGGATGGCATTAGCAATGGCAAGGGCTGCATTGCCGATTCGAGAACCGTGAATTCGTTGCACAGCCGACAGGACAGCTAGAGGGACTTGTAGAACTATCCCGGGAATAATGAGGCTGATATGCAGGAGCAGTTCGTCAGCGGGTGACCGGCACACGATGCGTTTCTTGTCGGGCAAGGCGTCAGTTGTGAAGGTCGTTGAGTTCATTCGCACTTGGAACATAGATGCGCGCGCCCCTGGAGAAGATTGCTCAGGATTTCGGAGTCTGTAAAGAGACAAGGAGATAGCGATGAATTCAATTCGATTCTGTGAGGCAGCTCTATGCGCTGGCATCGAGCCATCCGCGGCAACGTCTGTGATTTCCGGGACTGTAGCTCCCGTCGCATCATGACCCGGTTCATCCTGGGGTTGAATGCAACACTGGACACTCTTTGCAAAAGGCAGATTGGACAGAGATGAAAAGTGAATGTCAGGTCTCTTGTTGAGGTAGTTGACCCGTAGCTGGGGGGTCTTAGAAGGGCTATGATAGGGAGAAAGTCGCTGAGCATGAGATCGCTGGGTTCCTTTCCATTTCTCAAACTGCTTCTTCTGGCGGTACGAAGAAATATAATCCCGGTTTCGTTCAACCGAAGGAAGCGGGCGCTGGATCAGTGGAGACGGACGTGATGGAGAGGTATCAGGAGAGAACCGGATATATCTCACCGGCGACACGGGATCTTCGAGGTCTTTGGCAGAGTAGGCATTGGACGTCTGCTGGAAGTTATTCATCGCAGTGATAGGGGGTACGCCAAACGGCTCACTGTCGGCAGACAAGGGCTGTTTGTGGAATTTTGGCCACTCTCCTTCATCGCCTGACTCTGCGAAACTTTCCTCGAGTTTGCCGTCAAACCAGTTGTATGACAATTCCCGCTTCTGCGACGCAGACTCGGTGCGCAGATTCTCGGCCTCGCAGCGCTGGCAGATTCCATGGTTGCTAGCTTGTTCGCTGTTCGATGCGGGGGTGTTCTGAGGGTTTGCGGGCTCCATGAATCCGTCGAGGGTATGATACTGGTCCACGGCGACATCGAGCTCCAGTCGAGGATACCGTTTGCCAGCACCCAGGCCGCGAAATGGTTCGCGAACTTCATCTGGACTGAACCCTTGCTTCATCGGACGGGCGCCGTAGATCGCATGGTCGGGTCTCTGGGCATCTGGCGGTCTCTGCACCTGGCCATCGAATTCAAGGACGGACGCAAAAGTTGGGGAGAGCAAGCCGTCGGCTGTGGATTCGGTCATCGTCAACCGAGTGTCAATGATTCCCAGAGGACCTGATTTCATCGATCGCATGGCGCAACCTTGGAAGAGAATGGAGAAGCAAAATTCGAATGAGCAGACGAAGAGAAGGCAGGGCCGTATGCACCCAATGGGGAAGGTGCCCCTCTACAGCAGTGGCCGAAGCCAAGCGGAAGGAAAAGTGGAAACAGATGAGAATTGCTATAATTCTACAGGTTAAGGGATGAGGTGCGCAAGAGGTTATGTACATCAGTCTATTTGACGTGAGCCTGCAGGGTCTCCAGCACCTGAAAAAAATGTCAGTCAAAATGCACAGATCTATGAAATAGGTTGGAACGGGTCTTACCTCCAGCTCGATCTTGGCCTCGGCGATGTCCTGCTCGCTGCCGCTGCCGCTGGCGATCTTCTGGGCCTCAGTGACCTGGTTGCGGATAGCCTGTGTTGGGGAAGATGTCAGCACAGTTCGCTCGAGAATCACTGCGGAAAACCTACGTCGGCGCTGAACTCCTCCAGGGGGAAACCCTCGACAGCGTTAATGCTCAGCTGAGAGTCAGGCTGGACGACAGCGAAACCACCGGAGACTGCAAAAATAGAAAAGACCGCTGTTAGTTTCTTGTTCGTTTTGATTGGATGGCGGACCAGCATAAACTGATATTGCGGGCGTGCAAGGGTCGAACATACGGAAGTACTGCTTGGTAGAGCCGCCCTCCTCAACAATCTCAACGAGACCGGGCTTGAGCTGCTCGATGGAGGGGACGTGGTTGGCGAGAACACCCATCTCACCGGAGGCGGCGGGGATGTTGACCTGGGTACTGTGATCGCGAAGACGAGTCAGTTCCTGGGATTGGGAGGCGAAGACACCGAGGGGATGGTCGCAACAAAAGGGATGACATACACGCCGGTCGAGCGGTAGATGGTCTATCAGATGGGACAAAAAGTCAGTAAGGAGACCAAAGAGAGATGATATTCAAGTCGGCTCAACGCACCTGGTGAGGCAGGGTCAGGGACAGCTTGATCTTGTCGGCGACAGCCTCCGCGTAGCCTCGGCGCTGGATGGGAGCGCTGAAGAGGGAGGGACGGGCCCTCAGGGCAGAGCGAGCGAAACGGAGCGAGCTCATTATGCAATGGGTGGGAGGTGGAACGACTAGGAGTATCCTGGAGTTGCGGTGCAAAGGTCGAAGTCGGAATGCCGGTTGTTCCCTAGCGCGGTCACGTGGTGGGCCGGGCACTTACCAGGTTAGTGTTTGTGTAAACAGGCTCCAACACTACGTTTGGGCTATGCATGATACAAGGAAGCAAAACAGTCTAATAAAAAGAAGGATATGGCATTATTATGGATTTTCGTCTTTGATATGCCCTTTTATTTCATTTTTGCAAAGAAGTTTTGTCTTGACTTGACAGGGAGAGCAACCTTGAGACCGAACTGCTGGTATCATTGCAGAATAATCCATCGATTGAACCACAGGATTTCTCATCTCTGGTATACCAATAGCATCAAGTTCTATATTTAAGAGGTCTTGTATATTCCGCGTTGAAAAGTCCGGATGTGTATGACATCACGTGGTCTTATATTTGGGTATGTCACGTGGTTTGTATGAAATTCTTTCAGAAGCCCAGAATTCCACACAGACAACATATAACGAAAGGCCAGGTTAAATGCGTAAATGATATCCTTGCACTCGTCATATGCATATTTGTCGAGTATGCCGTATAACATCGAAAGCATACACATAACTCGGCAGAGACTTGGGCACTTACAGAGTGAATTGGTCCGTGCACGATAAGCGAGCCCACACAACGACGAGCCCTAGGCAAATGTGACTCCTGGGCCTGACGTTCCCGTTCCTCTCTTCCACCATCCTCGTCAATCACCAACCGTCAAGATGGCCAGTACGTTGTCCCATCCTATTCTATTCGGCTTCAGTGGGAAAGGCGACCCATGGAAAAAGACAGAAAAAAATTTGAAAGCACACCCCTAACATATCGTCTCAGAGTCGAAGAACGCGTCCCAGCACCACAACAGCCAGAAGGCTCACCGTAACGGGTGTGTACTCCCCCGACCCCCGGCCGTTGGAAAAATGGACATGTGTGTGAATGGGCCGGGAGCGATGGATATGGAAACCGAGACGCAGAGGTTCGATCGACTGTCGATTAGAAGACTGCGCATGATCGCCTCGAATCTCCATTGGAGCGATCAGCCTCGGCCCCCTCGTCCATTCCCGGCCCATTTTCAACGCGACATACGCTGTCGTACGCACCTGAACCCAGCCAGCTAACCCCCCGAACAGTATCAAGAAGCCTAAGACCCACCGTTACCCCTCCCTGAAGGGTGTCGACCCCAAGTTCCGCCGCAACCACCGTCACGCTCTGCACGGCACCATGAAGGCGCTGGTACGTTGAATCACCCAAGGACCACCAGTCCCAGCTATACATCCAGCTTGGTGGTGGCCCCGCAACGGATACTAACTCCTCGAACAGAAGGAGCGCAAGGAGGGCAAGCGTGAGGTCGCATAAACGGAGGATATTAGAAGAAAAACCAAACCCAAAAAAGGAATCATGAAAAGGAATCTCGAGGGCGCAGAGGATCCGACGTACAAGTCGTGCGATGATCGAGGATCGGTCCGCTGTGTCGAATAGAGCCTGGGTTTCTGCCTTTACTCCTTTGCGCGCCAAGTCCCGGGTTGTGTGAAATACAAGAAATCAACAGGCTTCATTCGAGTGTGCACATCGCAGTGCCAATGCCTTAAGTGGACCGTCCGCTTTTGGTTTATTTCTTCTCTCTTCTGCTGTTCCATGCGCTTTTAAGGATCACTATCGAGCTTGATCTTGCAAGCTCCCCCAATCTCCCGGCATATGTGTGTACAGCCACGTGCCTATTTTATGCGCGCTCGCTGAAGGATTTTTTACGTGCCAAGAGCAGACCCCAAGCCCTTCACACTTACCATTCACCCTTTCTCGATCCCTGCTCGATGGCGGAAGGGTGTCTGGATGGAGGGCTACATCTCGTAAACAAGTCATTTCATTTGAACGTAGAGCGAATAGCTATATATACAAATGCTATCATTCAACTTTCCAGACAATCAATCGTTTATCAAATCCGCCACTAATAACCCATTCTTCTCGGGCACGGTCTTCGCCTGCACGAGGTACGGAGACATGACCCGCCCAAATCGTGCGTACCTTGCAACCGGGCTCATGGCCGTTCTTCAGCAGAGCAACCACCTTCCCGGTCTTCGTCTCGATCCCGCGAACTACCCCGTCGTCCCCATTGACCCAGATACCCGACCCGTCAGGCCGCCAGGCGACCTGCGGCGTCGAGTAGGCCGTCTGCGGCGCAAAAGAGTTCGCCTGGACCAGGATGGCGGCGTCTTCGCGGTTCTGCAGTGCCAAGGATGCCAGGGCCTGCGACGCCTGCGTCATAGAGACCTCTGTGTCTGCTGCATTGCTTTCGTCACCTGCGTCTGACCACGGGAATAGCAGGCGCACGATAATGACCTTCAAATGAGGAAGGGCGGAGGTGGCGACAGCCAAGAGGCCCGGGTCATTCGGGCTGAGTGCCATGTGGGCGGGCGAAAACGCAACCCAGGCATTGGAGTGCGGTGCTAGGTTTTGCTTTCCAAGGAGCCTGCATTCTGGCAGTGATGAGTTCGGTGCGGGATCACTCCCACTCTCGTGTGGAGAGATGTTTGTTGCTGGTGTTGGTTGCACCTGGTAGTAGTAGATATAGGTCGAATCCCGGCGCGAGGCCAATAGAAGCAGTTCGTCGGAGTCGACATGGCGCACAAAAAGCAACGATTCTGGATTCGTAGCAAGTTTGACCCGTGCAGCAGGCTCACCGATTACCGGCGCAGCCTCTTCGCTGTCGGGGATATCGAGACGGTACAAGAAGATGGTGGCATCCCAACCGGCGGTGGCCACCCACCACTTGGTGGACGAAGATTCAGGCTCGACCGGGTCTTGGTATGCAGTCACCTTGACTGCATATTTCGAGTGGTCCTTCCGTCGATCCAGAATCTCGGAGTCGTGCTGGAGCAGCAGTTGGCCGGACATATTGGTCATCAGGACATATCGGCCCTGGAGGATCGACACGTATGAAAGCACGGGCGAGTCCGACAGACCTGTGAAAGAGGTCACCGCGGAATGCCCTGAGACAGTCTCCAGAAGATGGACTTGTCGGTCTGCACCTGTGGATATAATGTAAGGTCGCGCTGGTGTGTCCGGCGCATTTTCATCGCCGCCATTGCGGGGCTGCTGCCACAGTTCTACGGATGCAGCGAGAAGGTTCGCGGATGTCGGGGTCTGAACGACCGTTGGTTTTGATGGCGCTGGAAGAGGTTAGTAGAGCGCTACAAGTGATCCAAGCCTGTGGCGGAAATGACGAGGCACAGTTGGATACATCCAACATCCAACATTGAGGAATACAAACTCACCGGGCACGCTCCACCGATCCGACTCAGCACGGTCTGCTCCATACCGTTCGAAACTCACGCTCTGTTCGAACGTGCGCTTCTCTTCGAGCAAGCTTTGAATGGTCCAGTGGTTGGTGTCGTCGCCCGAGGTCTGCCCCACGTCAGCGCGCAGACCAGCCTCGTGGATAAAAGCCTGCAGCGTCTCGGAGTAGTCGTTTGTGCGCAGGAACCGAGCTACCAGGGCGCTGGCGAGAGCGTCTACTGCGGTGGTGGGTGCCATAGCCGAGGTGGTGGAAGTTGTTCATTGTGAGGTGGCGCGAGATATTTATTGGTAGTCGCTGGTGACCACCCATCATCCACCTGTCAACCCTAACACAGACCGGATATCTGCCATTGATGGATTTTCAATTGACTTGCATAAGGTTATTGATTCCATCCCTAGCCGACTTACAGGACCATACCAAGTGTGTGTAAAAACTTCACTATGATCGCAGTATGAATGCTGTAAACATCGGAAATCGTCAAGGCTATAAACCAATTTCTAGAGCAGGGTATGTGCTGTATGCGAATATTCTCAAAATCCATTCTCCCATGCCTCCCGTGGAATCCATAACGCCGGATATCAACCATGCCACCGATGAAACTTTACATCATTGGAAAAGAAAAGAGAACGAAAACATGAAAGAAAACCAGATAATGCCGAGCTTCCATCTCTCGCTGTGCTCAGCTAAACATATCCTCGGCTCTCCGTCGACGGCCACCACGCCCTTCGAGCGTCCCGGCAAACAGCTCCTTCTCCGCATTGCTGTTGTACTTGGACGGGAACAGCTCGCGCACCGAGGCGCCTCGGCCCTTGATGGACATGCCGTTAGCCGCGCCCCGGATAGCAAATCCCTGGTCTTCCCTCGCCGCCCCACGGATATGGGCTTCGTTCCGAGCGGAATCGGGGAAAAGCTCAACATTAGCGTTTCGCGTGGATTCGACGTGCCCATCCCCAAAGGGAGCGGTGATCCGTCGGCCCAGCGGATCTGCCGTCTCGTCGGAAGCATCAAAGGCATCTGAGCGACGGTGGTTGCTGGCTTTGCTGGGCGGTTGTCCCTTGGGGATATAGCTGGAGGTGGGCTTGTTGGGGAAGAGTTCGCGCGCGCCGGAGTTGGACTCGCCAGCGGACGGGAAGAGCTCCTTGCCGGTATTTCGGCTCAACTGTGGAGACCGCTCGCGGAATTGTCGGCGACCGTTGTGACCGGCCCGCTCAATGCGATCGCGGTCCTCCAGAGTGTCTCGTCCCGGGGACGCGCTGCGGTTGCGAAGACGTCCCGATGCCCGGTCATCATCCTCGGGGAACAGTTCTCGCGGGCCACGACGTCTGCGCCCACCTCGCCCGCGGTCCGAGTCTGAGTAGCTCGACGCGCCCCGATCATCGTACATGTCGGCATTGAACAGGTCGCCATCGCGGTCGCGGCGCCGGCGGTGCTCCCTGTCGTCAAACCGGCGGCGCGTGTAATCACCATCGTCCGCCTCACCGTTTCGGCGTCGGTCCGCGAGCTCCTGGCGCAGACGCTCGCGGGGGTCGTGCTCGGGGTGCATGAGGTAAAATCGACTCTTTTCGTGGGCACGCGGCTGCTTGCGATCTGTCTTGACAGCTGATCGCACTTGAAGGACCGAGTCGGGGTGTGACGACAGAAGCTTCGCTGAGCGAAGGCGCAGTGGAGGGAGGGCCGAAGCATCCTCTTCGCCGTTAACTTGTGTAAAGGCCGCCAGCGCTTGGAGGCCGGACTCGGTGGAGGTGTAGATGATGTTGGCGGAGGTGTCGTCGATCCATTCGATACGCGTGGGCTCTTCGCGGTCGTAGTGGCTGAGAGCAAATTGTTTGATGTGGTCCGTAGTCAGTTCATCCACGCCGCGAACATGAACCTTTTCGTAGACGGCCTCCTCCGTGAACGGATCAGCTGCGTCCTCTGCGCGTGTCGCCGATTCCTAGAAAGCCGAGGATAAATTAGCGCGCGAAGACAGGATATGCGACTAGAGTAATCACTCACCGTTTGAATGGGCTCCGGCTCCGGCTCCGGTTCCGGGCCCAGATCAAGGTCCATATCGATATCCATGGAGGCATCGGGGGCTTGGTTGGCTACAGATGACAGATGGGCAGCCTCCATGATGAGGAAAGGTGCCAGAAGGTTGTAGATGACGAATTGAAAGGGTATATAAGGTGGCGCGTGGAGGGAAAGTGAAGTGTGGAGAGGCCACGGTGAAAACGTGAAGCTGGGATGCTCTAAATCGGGAATAGTGCGGCTGACGGTGGCCATGCCGCAACAATGAACATCAGCAATCCACGTCAACATCGATGCCGATCATCGTTGCCATCCTCGAAGTCGATAGTGGGAACAGCGGGGATTCGAATATTTTGCATGAAAAAGAAATTTATCTCGGATTGTGCCGTCAATTGGCGGTTGAGTTGGCCTTGAATCGACATTATGGAGCTCCGGCGTTGCCAAGTTGCGGCTGTCATCTCCTCTTGAGATGCTCCAACAGTTTCAATTGCACAGAAGTTCTTTACCGACCTCATCAAATTCATTCCAGCTTTTGAAAGTCTATTTTGGTACGCAGCAGAATATGGGAATGACATCAAAGCAGGCGGGCAGATGGCCGTGTTCTTTCCGGTCAAATTTAGCCTATTCTCGTCTCCACCAGAGCATTTCTGAGGGCGAAATTGCGATCCTCAAAGGATAGTCATTGCTGGAGCTGGTGATGAGGGGCAATGGCATACTCTCGGCGTCTGCCCACCCCGGCCTTTTAAATCGGACTGGTTTGCCTTGGGTGTTGTCTGATATCGATGCCTTTCGAGATATACCCAACTAATCGAACAGGTTCTATTTCAAGTCAAGATGCTCTATTCAGAAGAAAACAAGCTAATCTTCCGTTTTGACGATCATCTTCTCTGGATTCAGCCCTGGGGAGAGAATGCATTCCGCGTCCGGGCCACCAAGCTGGCCTCGATGCCCCTCGACGACCGGGTTCTCTCCATCAAACCAGCCACTCTAACCCCGATAACCAAGATACCGCTGGGCCAGGAAGCAGTTATCACGAATGGCAAGATCACTGCAGCCGTTTCACAGCGGGGAAAGATCACGATCTACAACTCGAAAGGAACCAAGCTCCTCGAGGAGTACGCCCGGAACCGACAAGACCTCCTCGATCCCAAATGCAGTGCATTAGAGATTGAAGCGCGCGCGCTCTGGCCAATTCTCGGCGGAGACTGCAATCTAAACATGCGATTCGAGTCTCTGGGCCCCCAAGAAAAGGTCTTCGGCATGGGCCAGTATCAGCAGCCTCATCTGAACCTCAAGGGTACAGACCTGGAGCTAGCGCACCGCAACTCGCAAGCGAGTGTGCCCTTTGCTCTATCCTCACGCGGGTACGGCTTTCTGTGGAATAACCCGGCCATTGGACGAGCGGCATTGGGGACTAAAGTCATGAGCTTCGAGGCATATTGGACACGGGCACTGGATTACTGGGTGGTTGCTAGTGACACGCCAGCCGAGATTGAAGAGGCATACGCCTGGGTCACAGGGTATGTGCCTATGATGCCCGAGTATGGACTGGGTTCTGGCAGTGCAAACTCCGCTATTGGGAGCAGGAGCAGCTGCTGGAGGTTGTTCGCGAATACAGGCGGCGAAATGTGCCTCTAGACCTGATTGTCATAGACTTTTTTCACTGGAAGCATCAGGGGAAGTGGAAGTTTGATTCAGAATTCTGGCCGGATTCCGGAGCGTGATTCATTTGTGTTATTCACTAACCTACAACCTCATGATTTATGTTCTATATCTGACCCGAACTCTGCACATTTCAGATGCCATGGTCAAGGAGCTCGACGAGCTCAAGGTGAAGCTAATGGTCTCCATCTGGCCAACAGTCGAAAATGCATCCGAGAACTATCCCGAAATGCTCGAGCGCGGGCTTCTGATCCGCCACGACCGCGGAGTTCGCGTGGCGATGCAATGCGACGGCAACATCACCCGCTTCGATGCAACAAACCCAGCAGCCCGGGAATATGTATGGCACAAAGCCAAAAAAAACCACTACGACAAAGAGATCCAAGTCTCCTGGCTAGACGAAGCCGAGCCCGAATAATCCGTCTACGACTTCGACATCTACCGGTACCACGGCGGCAGCAACCTGCAGATTGGGAACATCTTCCCCAAAGAATACGCGCGGGGATTCTACGAGGGCATGCAAGTGGCCGGCCAAACCAACATCGTGAACCTGCTGCGCCTGGACCGGCAGCCAACAATACGGCGCGCTGATCTGGAGCGGCGACATCGCGTCGACATCGCGTCGTCGTGGGCGTCGTTCCACAACCAGCTCGCAGCCGGCCTGAACATGGGGCTGGCAGGTATTCCCTGGTGGACGACCGATATAGGCGGGTTCCACGGCGGCAACCCCGACCACCCAGCGTTCCGCGAGCTGTTCACACGCTGGTTCCAATGGGGACCGCGAGCCCAAGCCGGCGAGCCAGCCCACGGCCAATGGTGCGGATAACGAGATCTGGTCGTATGGCGACGAGGTGTACGAAATCTGCAAGAAGTATATTGGGATCCGGGAGCGGCTCCGCGAGTATACTCGGGGGTTGAACATGAAGCGCATGAGAAGGGCTCGCCAGTGATTCGGACGCTGTTCTATGAGTTTCCCGGGACCGGGGTGCATGGGATATTGAGTCTCAATATATGTTTGGGCCGAGGTACTTGGTTGTGCCGGTGTTTGAGGCCGGACAGCGCAAGATCACGGCTTATCTGCCTGCGGGAGCCTCATGGAAGCTTTGGGATGCGGAGAAGGTATACTCTGGTGGATGTGAGGTCGAGGTCGACTGTCCGATTGAGACGAGGCCAGTTTTCGTCCGGGTGTAGTCCAGCCATTCTCTAGTCCTTTCTGGTCTGTTCTGTGTATTCTATTAATCATGGTACGACATCAACGAGTAATATAATGCAACTACGGGTGCAACATATATATATCAAGAGTGCCCAAGAAATTCAAGAAATTCAAGAAACATGCCATGGCATCCATTCCATAGAATACATATTCCATACATCGACCCTATCGAGTGTCGTGCATGCAGCACCAGATTTGACCAAGCAGACCCATCAGCGCCTGCTTTCTCGCCCTAATGCGGCATGTCTATTCCAGCCAAAACACCGCGAGAAGAGATCCAAGCACCAACATACATGACATGCCCTCCCTGAGACAACTCCTGGCATGGCCACATATCCAAGCGTTACACGTTCGCGAGACACACTATGCCTTGATTGCGTGCAGGACAGGACGCAGGTATTGCGCGGGGGGTTGATAGATCAGGTCTCTTTTCTTACAATCGACAGCCAAGCAGAAGATCGGTATCATTATCAGTATTGGTTGAAATCAACTGTTCTAACTTTCTATTGTACCAGCCAATAATACATGGCAACGGGCATGGGTTCTCGGTGACAAAGCGGAAAGCCAACGCGTGCACACCATGAGAAAGGAATCCGACGGGATGGGCGCTTGCAAGGGAAAGATAGAGAAAGAGATCCCAAGAGACAAGATAGACACTGGCAAGTATCCTGGCAAACAAAGAACCCAAGACCGGGGTAGATCACCCTAGAAACCAGGGGACAGAGGCCTCGGAAAGTGTGGTTGGACCCATATTCAGCCAAAATCAAGACAAAGACAAAGAGCCCAAAAAGGGGAGAGAAAGAGGGCAAACCTTGCATGGCCGTCTTTCTTTTTCTTCTCTTTCACCCCTTGCGTCAACACCCTCGTTGCGGTTTCAAGCTGGTCAGCTCGTTCCCGGCAAGCCACACTCCACGAGCTTGGACGCTACTTTTTTGTGACCTTGTCCATGTGTGGTTCCACGAGACTATTGATTCTCTGGTGGAGAAGGAGGGGGGCGGCATGGACCCGTCGGGTAGGCCGTCATGTCAGTGGTGTGGCTGGCGTGGAGGGGGGAGACTGGAGACTAGGGACCGCGTGTTGGGATCACAGAGCCCGCTGGATGGAAAGGTGGGTAGGGCTATGGATTGTCTGCCGTTGCCCAATGAATATACTCACGGATATTGGATGTGTCGTGGATATACATTGATCAAAGCATGTTGCCTCGGGGTTATTGTATAATATTGGTCATAATATCGAGTGGTTGAGTGTGACTCCAGTGGTAACGTAGATAAGTGAATAAGTGTATAGAGGAAATAGTTCCCTATCTATTTGGTTGATGCTGTCACCAGTCTCGGGATCACGTGCACTAGTCCCAAAGAGGAGAATAGTCGACCGTCTTTCTTTTTCTTTTCATGTTTTCATGGCCATTGCATCACCCAGGCACAACGCACTGACCCAATCAAATACCCCAAGAGACCTTTCCCTCGGAGTCTGACCGGGACACTTGTATGGTTGGATTCATGAGGCCGATCACATTGGAGATCTCGAGTCAGGGGAGAACACAACGACACAAAGGCAAAAAAAAAAAAAAAACTAGTCGCTCGCACATACAAACCAAATTCGGAGAAGGAGGATGACAGGATGAGAGAGGATGCTTCTCCATGGCCATGTTATCAACCCAAAATTGGCCCAACTATGATCACCCCTGGGCCAGAACTCTTGCTCTCCAAAAAAAAAAAAAGTGGGAATTATTGCTCTGGCAGGCCGTGGACCCTTCGCACCGGCTCGAGCTACAGATCCACCTCTCTTTCCCCTTGCCATGCAGGAAACCTCCCCGACACGCCCCCCCCTGTTGCCCATGTTCCAAGGCCAGAGTGGAAATGGCCCTAAAAGGTTTGTTTCCCAGGCCCAGGATGTGGCTGTTTTACCCGAAAATTACCTGTCGACCCATGATCCATAGCCATAACCCATGGTCCACGATCCACAGTCTATGGAGACATGTTTTCTTTCTTTTTTTTCTTTCTCTTTGTCCCCGATCCCTGGAAACCAGTCATGGTCACATCGATTGAGTTTGGACTGGATCAGATAGGGATGGGCCGTGGTTCAGGCCTTTGCTATGTCCCGCCCCGAACCCCATCACAGACACACGAATCTCCACTGGTACAACAGAAAAGGGGGGGCGTGTTTGGCAGGGATCTACTCTGCCACATCAGCAAGAGAACTGGTTCGTGGGAACCGTCAAACCTGCCTCAGCCAGTCACCGTGCATAGGGAGGGAAATGGGTGTTTGAGTGGGGGCTACAGGGACGAATTATTGGTCCAGTATGGCAAGAACGAGAATATGTGGAAGGGTATATACCTCACGATAGTCGGGGGTATACTGTATTAATTCATGAATAGTAGGGACATAGTATAGCCATAGTGGGTAGAAGGTTTTGCCATGCCTTGCTTATATCCCTCAATATATACCTCAATATATTAATCATTATAAAATCTGTGGTATAGAAGTGGATCAGACCGTTGAGTTTCAGATCCCCGACGGGGCTTTTCCAGGGTGACACTGAGGCCCAAACGGCTTCCCACCGATCGGGCACCATGGGAGTGGTCCCCGATTGAAGCCCGAGAGCATGGCCGGCCAATCAGGCTAGCACGAGGATAGCCTTTGTCCTTGTGGGTAGTTGGGACTTTGTACTAGTCATTGGCAGGATATAATCTAGGTGCGATGAAATAGTAGAATATGATATGGATAATAGTGCAGTCTCGGTAGAAAATATAAAAAAACAATGAATACGAAGAGCTAAATAAAATAGCTAAATAATAATAATACTAATAATAATACACGTGATAAAGCCACGAACCCGACAGTCAGGAAGCAGCTGCGAGACCGTTCGCTCCACTCGAATTTCCCAAGTAGGCAATCGGTCGTGGATAACAGATTGGAGTGGCGGATTCTACGGATTTCGTCTTCGTATAGTAGTGTACCTTTACTAGTTACTACAATAGCTTTGTACTATGGAGTTAGCTTGATGTATCTAGTGTCTAATGTAGAGTGTAGAGTGTATAGTGTATAGTGTATAGTATACAGACCAAACTCAACACATGCCACGGGGAGAAGGGGCGGAATGTGTTGTGACGCAGCACGGGACTCGCGATCAGCGGTAATCCCTGCAGGTCGACAGGGATTTATCTCAAATACCTTTGGGCGAGGTGATTGGTGGAGACCTGCTAAGCCATGTCAAGTCATGTCAAAAAGGAAAAAGGAGTTGACAGGTCACATCTCGGATACACCCTAGTCGATGTTGCATTCCAGGTGGACGGGTTCATCCTTTCAGCAACGGTTTTTCCCAGGAGTATGGAAATCGATCTCTTTGTTTGATCTGATGGTTTATAGCAGTAAAGATTTTGAAAAAAAAAAAAAAAAAATTTGAAAACAAAAACAAAATAAAATATTGAGATTCCACAGACCATGGGTATGACTCTCATAGATCATATTCTCTAGTAATATAAGATCATCGAATAATAATATATTCGAATCAGTTCAATGGGATCCCCAAGTGGCTCCCATAACCGCCCATCCCTGCCGAGACAAGCAATGACAAATAACTGGCACCAATAGGAGTGCACATTGGGGGTTCGTCACATCACGTATAGAAAAGAAAAAGAAAAGAAAATAGGTGTGGCTTGTGTTTCAACGGTTTCTATGGTGGGGTTGCAAGTCTGATACCCTCGTACTCAGTATCTATACAACGATGTACTGGTATACACCCTGACTCGGTAACTACGGGGTTGATTGACTATGAAGTTGTCTCTATAGAGAGTATGTCTGTAGTTATTTCTCTCATCCTACTCAGTCTTAGAATAACTAAAAATGTAAACAATTGAGGTATTCGACGTATCACCCCCCAACTCTGGTACACCAGTGTCTAGTGTGGATATAGTGTGTGGGAAGGGACGGGAAATAGATTGGTTCAGCAACAGCTCATGGCGCGCAGCTCAGCTTGGTCGGACGATCCAGATCTCCTATAACGTCACGATAAATTCCGTGTTTTGCGTCCCTGGGGATCCACGGTCCAGTGTCAGTGACAGGTGGCAGGTGGTCCAAGCGGGCTTTTTTTTTCTTCTCTTCTGCATAAGCGAGGGATCGATACAGAGGTTGCCGAGTATACCAAGTACATATACAACATATACAACATATACAATATGACAGTATACAGTATACTCTATAGTATCACTAATATCCTTGAGTATAACTTAGGATATTCTTGGATATACTACCTCGGTCCATAAGAGTATTCCTGCAAGGTACTGACCCGCACGTCAGCTCGCCGTTGGCATCGGCGTTGCTCGGGGGCATCGGGGGGGAGGTTCCTGCTCGATCCCGGAGTCGCCGACAGATGATTTTCCCCATACTATTGAAGCAAATAATACACCAAAAAAGGATTTAGGGACTTCTTCACGGAGGACCCAGACTGTAGGGAATTTGTCAACCAGCATGATCCGAGCCCCACCCTTTTTTGTTCCACGGTGGATCCCTATTATTGTAATTTTTTTTTTTTAAATTGAACTGTCTTTTTTTTCTCTCTCTCTCAAAAACACATCGAACCAATAACAGACCGGCGATGCCCCGATTGCATGTGGATCGGAGACGATCAAGAGAAAAGTGTTGTGCATGGCTGGCTGATGAGGGCTTGGTAACTACTCTGAAGCGAGCCCCTGTTTATTTATTATTTGTTATTATTGTTTATTATTTATTATACTATTTACTCTATTTTTGGCTGGCTACCCCTTTCTCCTTATGATTCGAGGACCTAAGTCTGTGGTTAGGGCTAGACTGGTTACCTGGGTATTATTATGATTATATTATATCATCTTTACCATGTGTATATTTTGTTTATTATTATTATTATTACTGCACGCTGAACCACCGCATTGGGTCTGCAAACGGCCACAGGGAGGGTACCACAGGGACAGAAGAAATCAGCCAATCATATTCCAATGGCTAGAGTGATTTGGAATTCCAGCAATGGGGCTCAGGGTCGATCCGATACCTCTTCAGCCCGGATTCCCGGGTCTGACGATCGGAGCATTTCTTGATATTCTATATTCTATTATTTTTTATTATTATTATTATTATTATTATTATTATTATTATGATACAATAGCTCTTCCCCCCGGTCTGACCATACCGTACCTCCACGGTATTGTTCCGAACTGTCACCGAGAGATCTTGGATCGTGATCTTCTCATAGCGTGAGCCCGGTGGAGTCCGTCATTTTTCTACGACCCGTCCCCCTGGGAGTACATAATTTCTTCTCTTCTCTTCTGCATCTCGACACATTGTCTCTCCTCACTTCCACTCTTCATCTCCAACTCTCTGTCTCCTTTCTTCTTCCCCTCTCTATACTCCTATACTCTTAAACTCCCACACCCCTACACTTCATGGCTCCCGCTCAACGTCGTGGACCCTGGGTTCCAGAAGAGGACCAGCTGCTCCTCCAACTCGTCCGGGAGCAAGGCCCCAACAACTGGGTGCGCATCTCCCAGCACATGCACTACCGCTCGCCCAAGCAATGCCGCGAGCGTTTCCACCAAAACCTCAAGCCCTCGCTGAACCGCGAGCCCATCTCCGCCGACGAGGGGCTGATGATCGAGCGCATGGTGACCGACATGGGGAAGCGCTGGGCCGAGATTGCCCGCCGCCTGGGGAACCGCAGTGACAACGCCGTCAAGAACTGGTGGAATGGCAGCATGAACCGCAAGCGCCGCGGCCTGTCGACCCCGACAGCCTCGCGCACCTACAATGGCCGCATCGAGGCTCCCTACCAACGGGCCTCACTGCTGAGTCCGACCCGTCCTCGCTACTCCGTGCCAACCACCCACCCCTGGGCCGATGTCGACTCAACCACGCCTGACCACTACCCAGCACCATCGCGCCGCGAGTCGCACTCGACCGCCCCCCGCCAACTCTCCCCGATATACACTCTCCCCTCGATCAACCGCCCGATCGAAACCCCTCTGACCTCGCCCGCCTTCTCCGAGGTGTCCAATGCTGCCTCGATTGAGGCCCCGTCCATGGTGTCGGATCACAACTCGGTGTCCTCGTCTTCGCCCCGCACGCTGGCCTCGCCGCAGCTGCCACTCCCCGTGGACATGCGGCCACACTATGAAATCCGTCGGCCCAGCGTCGTCGACGACTCGCCCAACTACCCCGCAAAATCCCTCGAGTCGCTCTCTGAGTATGCCTCGAAACGATGGTTGGAGCACCAGCCGACGCTGGCTTCGTGGCACCAGCCGGTCCCTTCGTTACCCAAGCCGTGGCAGTCTGCCCGGCCTGAGCCTGTTCGAGACACCCGAATGGGAGTCAACAATCTGCTCAACTAAACCAAAAAAAAAGCACTTCCTCTGAAAGCACAGTGGACTGCTTATGATGACGAATTTTCTTGGATTTTTATCTTATTTTTCTTTTCTATCTGTTTCATACTTGGAAACCCCTTTGCTTTGGGACTTCAAAGTGTACATGTGCCAAAAACCCCACGCTCGTTTATTGATCTTCCTTTTTTTTTTTTTTTTTTTGTTTGTCATAATGTGTACCACCATGGTTCGATTCTCAAAATTCGGGGTTACGGATGTTTCGGGTGTGTTTGGCTAGGAGTCTCGAGTGGAGCAGACTACCATGAGTTTTTCTATTATTATTTTGGGCTGGCGTATAATACCCCTGAGCATATGAATGGATTTCTGGGAATATTTTGAATATATTAGGGTATATCCATACATAGATACTACTGTATATTGGAAGAGATCTATGTTTTATGCACTGGCCCATGGTCATAATGCAGCCAGGAATGACGTCGACTCCCTTGGATCCTGAGATCCTGTCGAAGGCGTGGGCCAAGTTGTAACCCCGTGAGGAATGCGAGTTCACGAGAGGAACGCAAGGGGACTCAGGGAGACATGGTACATGGGTACATGGGTACCCACCGGAGACAGACATAGCTGCACCTATCACTCATCACACACCTGGGAGGCCAGCAACCGCCAGGATGGAAACCCAGAGGTATTGTAGAGAAAAAGAAAGGATCTCCCGCAAGTTCCCCGAAGGAATAGGAAAAAGTTTAATCGACAGGTTCGTCGAGCTGCAGGTGAATCAAACGGTTAGATTCTTATTACGATTATTATTTTCTATACTATTCCTTATATTTCGCCAGAATAAAAAACAAGGTTCACAATCACTGGCCCGTTTCTTGTTCGTGGCTCTCCACATCCCGTTTCCCGTCTCCCGGAGCCCAATGACTCGCGCTCAATCGCCATCGGACTCGTCAAGTCCTTGGGAACGGCGGGGCGCACGGATGGATCGTGTTCATGCATGCATGTCACAGTTTTCTTTTCTTTTTTTATTCTTTTCTTGTTGGATTTCCGAGTGCCCCGTAAAAGAGGGGAACCCCCGTTAAGGAAGTATCAGTGATCCATTCCATAGATGGTTCCATGGATAAGCCTTGCCACCCCCTCTATGTATGTATACACTATAGGAGGTTCGTACCACCCCTAGACTCCCTCCCTGTACGCTTATCTTAAGGGCAGTTTCAGCTGTTAATTCACCCGTTCAGCTCCACCTTTTTTTTTTTTTTTCTAACCCACACTCGATCGATCCCGCTATATGAAACCAGATTGGACAGCAGAATCAATAGTGGCAGATCCGATAGTTTTATTTTCGTCACCTTAGCTACCTTCTTGTTTGGGCTAAGCTGGACAGTGCCATTGTCCGATCGGCCCTAGTGGCTGTCCGCTTCCAGGTATTTGGAATTGACAGCGATGTGCATTAAATGCCCGGTTATATTTGTATACAGAATACATGATACCCATATAATTAAAGTACTCTACTATAGGTATTGTATGTAGTAGTAGTGCTATTATTTTACTAGTATTATAAGGTGGTAGGATAGATATCACTATCTACTATACCTTGATCCATGGTTCTCTCACAGTGGTAGATTCGGGAGAATGAGATTGACATGCCAACCCATGGATCTGTGTAAATAACTCCAGTATACATAACTGTAAAAGTAAATGGAGATGTAAAATACCACCCCGTCGGTGCTGACTGACAGCCGAAAGGGGCCCTAGCAACGGCGCCAAGCCCCGATCTGATTTCAGCCGCGGGGATTGTCCGACCTCTAACTCTTTACTATCCACTCCTAAACGCTGTGTCTTATGGTCGTCTAGACCATCTTCTATACTATATACGAATATATATATATATATATACAATTAATAGTGTACAGTAAACTTGGAAGTAAGTATTAATGGGCATGTTTACTACTAGGTATACTTAGATCCATGGATCTCTCACTAAAGGGTCAGGGGTAACCCCCACAGTCAGCCGGGGAGGATCCGGTTCCTCCTGCGGGTAACGGGAGAAAAAAGGAAAGAAAGAAAGAAGTGACGGACGCCTCACGGGTATAGATCCATGGACTCAGGTTCGCCCGTTGGGACCCAATCCATTGGATCCTGCGATCGACAACCGCCCTCCCCCTACATGGTAGTCTTGACGCCCGCTCATTTTTGGTCTGTATTACTGTATATAATCCACTACAGTAGCCTATGGTTTGTGCTTATAATGCCATATCAATATATATATATATATATATATATATTTATATATTTGTTTACCCTATTAGTATATTATACTAATAAGCTAGGAGTTTATATTTGTTCAAGTACCTTTGATAGTATATCATATACATAGTTTATACTATACGTACGTACTACAGTAAGTCCATTACAGCCTGTATATTACAATTACACCAGTACTACCACTATAGACAATTTAATTGGCCCACGGCGGATCTCGGTGCCCATCTAACGCTAAATTAGCGCAAAAGGAGGTACCCGCCTGTCGGTATTTACAATGATGTATGATCGATCCCCCAGGTCTGTGTCCAGCACATTCCAAGCAGTCACATACTTCCTTCCTTCCTTCTTACCATGCCTAGTACGTAGTTCCTCCTTAGTTTCCTCTCCCCCAAATTCGAGGCCAAGAAAAAGACCGCGTATACTATCCATTTCCCTCATCGGGAAACCATTTTCGTCATGATGTGGGCTGCTTTCTCCATTCCACTTTCCAAGTAAGGTGTCCGTTGGGCCGTTCGACCAAGGTCCCCCCTTACCCTACTACTTCTTTCTCCGCTACAGCAACACTACAGTAGCACTGCAGTCGGGGAGTTCGTAACTTGTCGGTGGAATCCTTCGTGCCTCATTTCCCAGCTGAATTCCAAGGACATAGATAGTTACCTTCCTATCGGGACTAGGATTCCTCCAGCGATTCATCGGCTTTATGCCACCCAAGATTGTGGCCGAGTTTGCCCCGGCCAAGAGAGATGGGTCGGCCTACTGTTTATAGATACGATCGAGCACGATCGAGGTCAGCAATAGATGGGCACACTGACCTACCTAACATTATACCAGTACCAAATCGGGTGGAACGGCCTAAGATCATCTACATGTATCAAAGTGGCAACCTGGGCACTGATTCAAGTCCAAGAAAATGAATGCTATGAGAAATGAAAGTCCCTTGGGACACAAAACTACCAATCCCCAACGCTCCGGCGGATATGAATCCCAAATGCAAAAGTCTCCATTAAGACAGGGAAAAAAAGGCAAGAAAAGAAAAGGCTGGTAAGGAGGAACTGAAGAAAAATCGCTCAAGGGGTATATTTCGCTGTGCACATCATAACCAGATATCGCCTTCTTCGCCGTTTACCCATTGCGCCCACACTGCCTCGTAGGCGTCTTCCAAATCACGGACCCAGCGCCTCGTGTCAAAGAGCGGGCTGCGGTATCGCTCCCGAAACAGCATTTGCCGCATGTCTGCCAGACGCCCGCGCGCGCGGCCCTCGCCGCCTGCCACATACTGCAGGTCTAGACACAGCCGGATAGCTTTGTTCTCGTAGTCTTCATCCGAGCGGGCGATCAGCTCGTCACGGGCGCGGTGGCCGAGCTCGGATTTAGGCAGCGCACTACTCAGGATGCTGCTGGCCATGCGCGAGCACATCTTGTACTTGTAGCGCGGAAGCGTCAGCAGCGGCGTGCCACTCCAGAGAACATCGGTGGCCGTCGTGTGCGCATTGCACTCGGGAGTATCCAAAAACAAATCGAGAATCTTCGCGCGTGCAATGTGCGTGTTCTTGGGCGCCACGTCCGTGAAGATGATCCGGGACGCCGTCTCTTCGCCGGCCCAGGCCTTGGCAATGTCCCGCAAGTTCTGCTCGCCCAGATCCGGGAACCGAAGAAGCCAAAGGATGGCATTCGGGATCCGCGCCAAAATGCGTAGCCACGTCCGGAACGTCGTGGGTTCAATCTAGACACCAATGTTAGTGAATAACATCATCATAAAAGTGCAATCCGAACCCACCTTGTACAGCTGGTTGAAGTTCCCTAAGATAATAGTATCATCGCTGAGTTTAGGGAACAGCTCTTTCCGCATCTTCCAACGCCGAATTTGCTCTTCATCCCAAGATATGTGTTTCTCCCCCGCATCCGGCGCGCTTTGCCGATGGTCGCAGCAGAAAAACGTGTCGCGGGTGTAAACAACCTTCTCCCCATAGACCCAATTCTCGAGGTCCTCGCCATTGTCCTCCTCAAGGACGCGATCCTCAATCCGAGTCGTGCGTCGACAAGGGGCGAGAGTCTCCGGCGGAATCGAGATCTGGTCTGCAAGAATGTAGTCGCACCACTCAGCACCGAGCGTCCCGGCAAACCCCATAAAAGACATGTGGATTGGGGCGGGGCGAGCTGCAAAGACCTCGTTGCGAGCGCCTCGGGTGTAGCCATTCAAGTTGATCAGAATATGAATGCCATCATCCACTATCTGCTTGACCAATCGGTCGACCGACCATCCACTGGCGTCATGGAAAACAGGTGCCTCTTTCTCAATTTGTTGGCGATGCACCGATTTGTCGCTGGCGGTGGTGGCATAACAATATGCCTTGACTCGAGACGGGTTGTGCAGCCCAAATACCGACTGCATCAGATGTGCAAGAGGGTGGTTATTAAAGTCGGACGAGACATAACCCACGCGGAGGCACGGGTTTGGAGGCGACGGTGGCTGGTACACAGTTTGCGGGAGCCAGGGCAGCCGCAGCGTTGAACATGAGATCCGCAGACCATTGCGCTGAGAGATCTGGCGGATTTGCTTGGCGGAGAGGGGACAGGTAAACGTGTGAAAGGGTAGAACCGTAGGCGCATTCGGTGCCGTGAGCGCCGCTGGGAGCTGCGGTCGACGATACTTGAGGGCCGGATAGTCCTCCCCATAGACATATCGGTCTTGATACCATTGCCAAGTGACAGACCGGGTGGCACGCTCGATGAGCCGAACGACCCGGGATCCTTCCCATTTCTGGCCAGCCCATGACTGCAGAATCTTGAGCAAGGACACCCGGTGGCTGGCAGGGAAGCGACTAGACTCGAGAGCGGGCGCAAGTTGAGCACACAGTTGCTCCGTAGTGCTCGTATTCAACAACCCCCGGCCCCAATACTCACCCTCCCTAAGCTGCCGGTCAACAATGTCGACGACGCGCTTAATCCAACCGGTACCCGAATCATTACTGTGGGCGTCCCGAAGCATTCCCTTTTCATCAACATGCCACCGGTCACGAAATCCCCGTGCGTTGACAATGCCTCCACGACTGACCCAGTTGCAAACAGAATTCAAGGCATTGGCCAAACCGCAGACGGCTTCGGCGAATTCCGGGTTCACTTTGACGGCACGCTTGTAGTAAGAGATAGCATCGTTGACCCGACCAGCATCCTTGACCGCATTGGCCAGGTTCGCCAACGCGATATCGAAATTGCCGTCGCACTGGACTGCTTGCTCGTACATCTTTATTGCGGCCTGCAGCTGCCCAATATCCTTGAGTAAACTCCCAAGGTTTGTATAAAGATGAGCGTGACGGGCATCGAGGCGCAGGCCATAGTTATAGTATGCAAGCGCCAGAGAGATGCCACTACCGGGAACAACCCCTGGAATTTCAGGGTGCTGACACTCTCCATTGGGGCGTACCATTCCCCGAGCCGGTGGGTTGTTCTGAATCCCGGCCAACAAAATGCCCACATTGTTCGCGGTGGATGGACTGGGCTGCAAGGAGAGCGAGAGGTAGTAGAGAGCCAAGATATCGCGGACACTAGGCGTCGACCGCGCCTGTCCAGAAGAAACGCTGGACATACCGTCTTGGTAGATTTTCGCCAGGGACAAGAGAGAATTGCTGGTGGTGGAAACAGCTGCATTCCTGGCAATACCCTCCGCCACAAACTTGAGGCCTGGTGGCGTCCCGTTGGCTTGGAAAACAAGCTTCGAGGTTTTCAAAGCCCGGTCTGGGTAAAGCAGGATGCTCTCTGTTGAATTGCTCCCCGGAGGGTATCCCTGGCTCGACCCAGTAGAAAAGGCGGCAAAAATCTGTTTGATAAGACTCTGGATCCCATGACGTCGTCTCCCAGCAGCAATCAAAACAGCATCCTCGAATGCGGCGGCGGCCCCAGCATTGTCGCCGAGGGCATAAAGCATGTTGCCCTTGGCGTGCACCAAAGCCAGTATCCTGCCGTTGTCCGAGCCGGGGATTGCATAGCCGCTGGTTGCAAAGCCGACGGGGGGACATCTGGCGTGCCCAGGTTCAAGTTTTGCACACGCCCAACATCGTCCTCATAATCAAACGAGGCCTTGTCGCACATCCCCATATCGGACACATTGCTCTCCGCATCGCTTTCGGGCTCACTGGCATGCTCATCCGTCTTGAAGCAATCGCCATCCTTGGGGTGGCGGAGCGAGGTCTGGACAAATTCGATGATATTCACAGCTTCTTTGCCGCGGTGAGTGCTGCAGAACAAGCCAATAAGATGTTCAACGGCTTCAAAAAAGCTGGGGCGGAGTTTTACGGCACGCAGCCAGTTCTGCGAAGCCTCTTCCCGACGATCCAGTGCCAAAAGGGTGGCGGCGAGGTTAGAAATAGCCTCCACATGTCTGGAACATGGTCAGTGGGGACAACGGGTTCATCAGTAAATCAATATACTCACGTCGAGTCACGCGCAATAATCCGAGAATACCACCGCATAGCTTTGTGATAATCACCCAGGCCATAGGCCAAGCAGCCTCCTAGAAGCATCCCATCAATCCATTCCCAACGGCTCTCCATGCACAAATGGGACAACATCTCCAAAGCCGACACCGCGTTCGCAACCGGAGACCCCTCGTTGAAAAGCGGACCGGGGAATCGAGATATCGGTGACGCCCCCGAGACTTGTCCGAGGTCGCACACCCGCTCAACCATTTGGAGTTCCGACCCTCTATGATGCTGAGAGAACTGATTCAATGATGGACGTCGATGGTGCGCGTGGCCCTGGGATAGGGTGGGGTTAGTGGGATCGTTTGACCTCGGGTTGGCCAGGTTAATCTTTGGCCGATGCAAGTCATGCTGGGTGGATGGATAACTGTTGTGACGAGAAATTTCGGGGGTGCTTTGATGAGAGAAGTCGAGGCCAGGCTGGCGGGGAGGTTTGGGGTAGATGCTGGGTTTCAAAAACCGATTCTGGCCATCGGTGCCGTTTGAGATGCTGTTGCGACGAGCCTGATGGATGGTCGCGAGGAGGTCGACATAAACACCATGAGCCCAGGACATGATTTTCTCTTTGAACTCCGTGTTTGAGGCGACCGCAGGCCCTGGAGGTTGAAAGGCCTGTCCCGACGGACGACCGGACCAGGTCGCGGGTTCATTTCCCAAGGTTTGTGGCGAGTACCCCGATAAAGACCGGTTGGCACGGGTGTGAAAGGGCAGCTGGTCTGAATGGCGCGGCGGAAAGTGAGTTTTCATCAGAGGGTCCTGGGGAGGCAACCCGGGCGCAGACTGACCCCATCCAAGCCCCGAGTCTGGATGGCTCCCAAGTGGGAGCTGGGTTTGATTAAAAGATGATTGGTTAAAATTATACAAAGGCTGGCCGCTAGGGCTCAGCTGCTTTGCAAAAGGTGTTGGGGAGTCAAAGCGAGAATCACGAAAGGCGGCAGGACGGTAGGGGATATACACTCCATCTGGCCAGTATGGCCCAAAGGGTCCAGTGCCAGCCGAGGCGGTCGGTCCGACGCAGGGATGCAAGGTCGCAGGAAGAACAGTCGGAACGTAGGCGCCGTTGTGCAAGATATAGCGCTGAGATGGCTGCAGGGGCAGAGACTGGTTGAGAACCGAGTCAATCCCCGGAGGATAGTTGTTGACAGGACGAACCCAGCTCGTCCCATTCACATCCTGAACCACCTCTCCCGCAGGAATCGCGTTGCCTCCGGTCGCATCGTGTTTGAAGATGGGTGGGAAATTCATGTGCTTGGTGGTGGACTGATCGAGGGCGGGCGGCCAATTCTCCGTCTGCATCCCTGCCTGAGGAGAAAGGAACTGCCCTGATTCCATCGGAGAAACCAGGATATGTTTCGTCGCGGGTTGGATCGTAGTGTCCCCAGGCGTCCCATCATACCCCGCTGCCAAAGTTCCATTGGGTGTTTTTCGCCGCAACGCGTGTTCCCTGGTGTTTGCGCTGGAGCTCGACCCCGAGTCATCGGGAATCTCCAGACGTTGAACTGGGTGTGGCAACTGGAGACGCGATCGAGAAGGGTTGTGAAAAAACGTGGAGGAACTGTTCGCGTCGTTCAGGTCGTACGTGTGTTGGTTGAGGGTATCCTGAGTGGGATAGTGGTGAATACGGTGGTGCGGTTGGACCGGGGGAAATGCGCGACGGTCGGAAACATCTTCGCTCCTCTCTCTCTCTCTCTCTCTCTCTCTCTCTCTCTCTCTTCTTTCCTCCCCTCGGTCGACTCTTAATTTCCAGGGGACCCGAATACCTCGAGACCGGCGACAAGGGGCAAGAGGTCGAATCACACAAATCACAGGATCAGTGCAACTGGACATTCAACAAGCATCCTCCTTGAAGCGTTTCCGACACCTCATCATGGGTATGAGCCAGCTCTGAAGATCAAATCGAGGCACCGCTTGGGGGAGAAGAAGGGAGCGATAAGGATAAGGATGTCGAGAGAGAAGAGAGAAGGCCGAAGTTGGAGACCGGACGCGAGGGACGAGCACACTTTGTGCCAATCAAGAATGCTCTTGGCAGCGAAAGGGGGGAGATCGGAGTAAAGAGAAGAAATCACAGAAAAGAAAGAAAGAAAGATGATGAAAAAAAAAGAAGAGGTGAAGATTCAAAGTTCAAGGAAACATCTCGAAGTTGACTCCAGAAGGTGGACACGGTGGGCTTGGGAGCCACGAGTGGGGGATTTTCTACTACTACTTCTCTTTCACCATCTTCACCATCTTCTCTCCCTTCTATCTCCCTCTTCCCCCCCTCTTATTTCATCTCTCATCAATACTCTCCTTTGTTCATCCCATCTTTCCCTTCGTCATCTATTTCCTCTCCTTCTGTCTCTCTTTCTCTCTCTCTCTCCCTCCACCGACCCACTCGATCCAACGGCTGAACCCTCCGTGGGCTGGCGGCTCCATCGTACCAGCAACATCGAAGGACTCATTGGTTCGACGGGATGCAACTAGTCATGGATCGGTGACGCCCCGCCGCGATGATCCAGTCGAGCCCGCTCTCGGATTCTGCCTGGTGGAGTCGATTCTCATCTGGAGATATCCTTTTTTTTTTTTTCCTCTTTTCTCACACGAGACTCTCCCGAATTGATCCCCTTCGCCCTATAACCCCCGCACTATGATGACAATCATAATCACCCCATCGATGACTTGATATGGCCATGAAATTGTCCCAAATTTCGAGTCTCTGCGAAAACACCCCCTGTCTTCCCGTTTGCCATCCAGCCTCATTCATCGACGAATCCTGCTCAATTCTGGGGTTGCTAGCAGGGATACGCCACCATGACTTTCTTGGCTTCTATTATTATTATGATGAGTGCCGTGTGATATTGCTGATTGGCATTTGATTTCTAGTCCGGCATCCTGGGACCCTCCTCAACTCTCCCTTTCTCGCTCTGCGAGTTTTCTTCCCTCATAGCCGCATACTTCCGGACGCATGGTATGGGATGTAGTCGTACTGGGGAATATTCGATTCTTCCATGCTGGGACTGCGACAATCCAAGGGAGTCTTCCATGTCACAGGTCAGAGATCGGCAAACTCACTCTCCCCTACTGTCGCATCCTTTCTTTTTCTCTTTTTCTATTTTCTTGGCCTGCACAACGTTCCTGTGCCAGAAGGCATGCGGGTCGGGTGGTACAGACTTAACTGTCGACAGCTGGAGGAATCACAGGAATAATAGGAGTGGGAAAAAAGGAAATTAAACCAAAAGGACGCGAATCCTGGATAAAAGAATCAATAAAAGGCAAATCAAAACTAAATCATAACACGAGGCCTAATATCGAAAATGCTCAACTGTACCTGGAAGTAGACATTCATAGATTTATGATCTTTACACCACCTAAATATATATACCTCGTCCTACCTCGATATTCCCCGAATGAAGCATTTGTCCTTCCCATATTCTGCAGGACTATGCCGCACGATCATCACCGAACCCGCTTGCCCCCACCAGGTGGGGGCAGCAGGAGCCATGGCCTTATTAGGGGGATCCCAATCCAGCGATCGTCGAGTGGAGCTAGTCGGCCGGAGCGTCAGCACCACACTTGGTGGCTCTCTGTGATTTCGGTGTGCACATGGCAAATCGGATCCACTTGATCAAGGATTGCGTATTTTATTGGCCTTTCTTTCTTTTCTTTTCTTTTTTTTTTGGGTTGTAGATAGCAACACGTTACTACATTACTATAGTACTATACTACTGTTGTGCTATGAATACCTAGTACTATGTACTATGTGACGTTCCTCAAGCTGTTTGCTTTCTATCTATATCTACGGTGATTGCAGCCTTGGGGCTTAGTGGCCGTTTGGATGTTTCAGAGGTGCAGCAAAGGAAGAAAGATGGATGTGCTAGCTGACGTACAAGGGGTTGCAAACAAGCTCATCGCCATCTGGTGGTGGAGTCATGTCACGAGGCATAAACAATATATCTCCAGAGCTTCTGTGTCTTCGGGTGATCAATGATGTTGACAAGGATAGATTTTGGCGCTAGTTCAAGGGCACAGAAGAAAAACCTGGTTTTTCTTCATATGGTTTTAATCGAGGTGCTAGTATTATAAAGATACTTGATATATGTCCATGGATGTGGTTAAACGAGGTCATATTTTCAGCCAGTTTACATCCATGAACCAACTCATACTAGAAATGGGAAGACTCGGCCAAGTGCGCAGTATCTCGGATAGACATCGCCGATACCGTTTATTGTTGCACTTGTCGAGTCCTTAGGGAGCAAAGCCGAGACAAAGTGGAATAAGCACACCGCTAGAGTACACAGACAGGAAAAGAGTTGGGAGTAAAAATTAAGTGTAAACATTTTCATTCAGGATGGACTGAAATCATATCCAGGATATGTAAACTACACTCTACACGAGAACCAAACCCCGTGGTTCTCGAAGTGATGTAAACCCGTAAGATGGATCGCTGCAACCACAAGAGACCAGCACAAGGCCGGCCTCCCAGGCAATACCGCGATGAGTAAAGGGTCTGAAGATTGCTCTCCTTTGCGTAAAATAAGCCTATACCACGAAGCAAAATGGTTCAATCCTCGCAAGGAGAGAACGGTACGGGCCAGAGTGTTGCAAAGGTTTCCGGGCGAACGGAGAAGATCTGGGGGCGTGGAGATGTGGTTGGGGTGGCCACATCGCCTTTCACAGATCCTCGTCGCCAAGGGAGCGAAGCGAGAGGACAGTTCAAGGATAGAAGTAGGGTTGAAACCCCACAAGGGAAATGGGGGGGATCGGAGACAATACAAACGGAGAGAGGGATAACGAGCGAGCTGATCCATTTGTCCATTTGATCACTCGCGAGAGTAAAAAGAAAAAAAAGAGGTATCAGGTCATGACTCATGAACATTTTTGGTTTCTTTTTGGGGAGACTTGAGGCAATGTTCGTATTCTGTAACCTAGCACCGCGCCAAAGCGGGCATGCACGCCGGGAACAAAAGCAGAAAACCACCTCGCTTCATTCAAGAGGGAATAATTTACTCCTCAGGGACTGTAAAATTTGTTAGCAACATCCCAGACTACCAGAAATCCAAAGTCAAAACACATACTGTCAATCTCGCCTTCCTTGACATCGTCGCTAACGTCCTTGGGGTTGCGGCCGTCGACCTGGCAGCCGACGGAGAAAGCAGTACCCAGGATCTCGAGGACGGTGCCGCGGAGCTCCTTGGCCATCGAGCGCGAGCGCATGGTGCGGGCGATGTCGATGATGTCGTCCAGAGGGATAGACTTGGTGTGCTTGATGCCCTTCTCCTTCTTGCGGTCACGCGGGGGCTCCTTCAGAGCCTTGATGACCAGCGAAGAGGCGGAGGGGACAACCGAGACCGCGGCCTGACGGTTCTGGATGGTGAGCTTGACCGTGACACGGAGACCCTTCTATAAAATCCGCAAGACAGCGCAAGTCAGCCACTATATCTTATTCAACATGCATTCCAACGGTCGCCGACGTACCCAGTCACCAGTGTTCTTGGCAATGTCTTCACCAATCTTCTTGGGAGACAGACCCAGGGGACCGATCTTGGGGGCCAGAGCGGACTGAGCTCCGACCTCACCACCAGTCACACGCAGGTGACTAGAGAAACCATTAGTATGTTGTCTCTTTTGTTCAAAAACAATCTTCTCACGACGAGGACTTTTAGACTTACATGACCTTCACCTCATTGGGGTCGAACTTGGGAGCTGACCACGAGGGAAAATGTTAGTCGCCATTTTGCAGTTGACCAAGGAGATGATACTCACGCATGGCGAGTGCGAAAGGTAGTCGATCTGCCTTGGGTTGTCGAAAGGATGGATGGATAGAGAAGAGAAGAAAAAAAGCTGGCGGAATTCCACTTGACCCCCCGACCCACAGCCCGGGTCTAAGCGAGTGGCCCAATCGGGTTGGCGCTAGGGCTTAACCCAGACCACGTGATATTTAGGTGGTCACCTGTTTGGGAAAGTTGTTGACTCCCGAGGTCTTCCATCGATTCATACGGTCTGTAGATATTGGAGAATTGATGATATTTTTTTTTCTTGACGAAACAGCCCACATCTCTAGATCCACTTCGATGCTGCTGCCTCGTCTGGTATCAATCCATTCAATCTACTACTATATTGCGTCAAAGGAGTTAAATCACCGCTAAAGATACACAAGACCCAAGGGGTCGACGTCAGACCGCCCTTTTGCTCTCATGATGGCCATGGTCTCGTCACATTTAGCTGGTCCCGGAAACAGCAAGCCTGGGTTGAAGAGTCAGCATCGAAACCACATTAATAAGTCCCAGAGGTGCCACTTACTTCATCAGGTGATCCATAAACGTCTGCAGTGAGACGTCGTCAGTGAAGATGGTCTGCGAAGACACACCGCCACCGTATCCTCCCGTAGTGTGGGTGGTCGACGGGTTGAGCTTAGACAGAAGGAAACGGGCCTGAGAACCACCCGCGTCGCAGACGATGAACCGGGGCAGTGGGAATCGATCGGCGATAAGTTCCTGGAAAACAATAATCAGTAAACTGAGCAATGGTACATTTCAAGGGAGTTGAGCCACGAACCCTTGCATCCTCCTTCGGTTGATCCAGTAGCACCTTGAGGTTTTCGTACCCCTCCTGGTCCTGGTAGCCAGCTTTCCTCCATTCGGCAATGGTCTCACCGTGGAAGATGAGGATGTGGAAAAAGGTGTCAAGGAGTAGAATGTGCGCAGGCATAATGGAGGCCGAGTCCAGGAGCACTGGCTGCCCCCCTCTTGCTCCAGGGAGTAAGAGTCCAAAGTCGGCTGGATCATGACGAGCGAGTCGCCCGCATCTTCATGGTTCAGGACGTGTCGGTAGAAAGCAGTCTCGTCAGGCGAGTTGTTGAACACCTGCAGGAACTGACTTCGGCGAAGGTGGAACATGAACTGAGGGTAGAGAGTAAAGTTCTTCTCCAGTCGGAACGATGTCGGGTCATCCTTCCGGTAGTCGGCGAACCGTGAGCACAACCGAATAAGCATACGGTCCACCCACCGCAACACATCCGGGCCATCGTCCACCTCCGCCTTGAAGACGGCAATTCGAGCCATGAGCACCGCGGCGGCTTCTTGGTCGAAAGACTGAGCCAGTGTCGGATCACCAGCGGGCCCACTCAAGGGTCGGGCGGTGGTAGTCACCCGCAAGTGGTAATATCCGGAAGAGTGTTGGTAGTATGTCAAGAACTGCATCATGCCTCTTTGAGGGCCGGGCTGCACAGCGGCGGGACCTCCTTGGTTGGCAATTTCAAAGTAGACACCGTAGCTGGAGGACGGGTCGATTCCGCACATCTTCCATGCACAAGTGTTGCCAATACCACACTCAGTCTCGCCAACCGAGCTTGATTTCTTGTTCAGTGAAATAGCGTGGCCGATGAGACCGGTAACCTTGAGTTCCTTGGTCGTAAGGACCTCGAGTGAAGCATTGAAACCCATCAAGAGGTGGTCGTTGGCGTCCTTGTCAAACACACGGACAAAAGATTGCTTGAACTGCGAGGATGTGAAGCTATCCGTAAGAAGCATGTGACCACCAGTGTAGTTGGACAAGTTCTTCATTTCTAAAAGACCAACTTGATCGAGACACCCAGCGAAGATATCGACAATATGACCATTGTTCGCGGCGCGCTTGGCGAGGTTTTCGTAGAACTAAACGGATTAGCACGAGCGCAGAGACCAATAGATCAACAGTCATACCTTAATAGCCTTCTTGAAGTACTTGATATTGTCCCGGTCAATATCATGATGCGAACGGATCGGTTCCTTCAGCTCGGGGGAAACAACGTTCCCGGGACCTTCGGTGGCTGCACCACTGGTGAAGGCCATGATACGGGCACCGGAGTTCTGGAAGGAGGTTTCCAGCAAGCCAACTGCAACGCTCAGAGCAACACCAGTGCAACGAAGGGGTCGCTTGTCGTTTGCCACGGGCCAGGGATCACGCTGCATTTGCTCGAGGACGTTGGTGATCTGGAACTCGGCCTGCTGCACCGGCAGGAGGAACCGCGCAGCTGGACCAAGAGGAGGACGGGCGGGTTGTTGCTGAGGGAGACCAGGGCGGATGCCGGGAGCAAGGCCGAGCATCTCTTGGACCTGCTTGGCGGCGTAGTCTTTGTTGCCCTTGAACACATAGGACTTGGCGCATTCGGTGTAGCCGAGCTCATGAACCTGGGTCTACAGGGAAATGAAAAGTGTCAATGATGCGATTCCCTCCACAACAGGGGTCCTTGGCTCCTCTTACCATTGTCCCGAAGGTAATCAACCCGACCAGCGCATTCGGCGGCAGAAGAGACAAGCTCATGATGAGCGAGTCCTTCACGGCCTGCAGACTGTCATCTTCCTGGCAGGTGTCGACGACGAAGAGGAAGATCGGCGGGGCCGGGGCCGGTCGTGCCAATTGGTACTCGATCGTGGTGCTCTGCGGGTGGAGTTCGGGGGGTATCGTGTTCTCCGTGATGTCCTTATAGTGGGGAGGGAGGGGATTGCGCATCAGACAGAAGGGACAGATCCAGATCCGTGCGCGGACATCCACAGTGCTAGAGATGGTCAGTTGTTGGTGCCTGTTTTCGAGCAGACGGATGCTATTGTACGTACGCATATGGGTTGAGAACAGCTCGGCAGGGCTGTTTACAAGTGACAGGCTCATATTGTAGCAATGGCGAATCCGGCTTCTCCTTGAGCGGCGTGTAGACGGCAGCAATGGGGACGACAAGTCGGGACGCTTCCTATGATCGAGGGTTAGTGGATGACGCGACGGTGAGGATGGAGGGGAGGCCAATCTATCACGGACCATGCGCGAGCTCGGGAAAGTGTTCCAACTGAGTCTGATGCCATCACGGTCCTCCACATCACTCCATTGATCCTTCAGCGCCTCAAAATCCATGTCGGCGGTTAATGTTCCAGATCTCGGTGTGTTGACCAAGGGGAGGGAGGGGGTTGCGGATGAAGTAAGGAAAAGGGAGCCTCGATGGCGGGTCTACTCCAAGAAAACGTCTAAAGAAGAGGGACCACCCAGGGCATAATCCAGTCCCAAAAGAACAGAGCGAGATCCGCCGACGTCAGCGGGTTGGTTGGACACAAGGTAGAGGAGTATGTTGTGTGAGGGAGTCCATCCGCCATTAAGGCCAGGTTGCAGCACAACTGGTCGCTATGGTGCCCCGGACCCAAACAGCATTAAATCTCGGCCCAATTTTTTTTTTTCTTCTTTCTCTTTTTCTACTATATTTCACGCCGACACTTTTATCACATTACTGTCGACAGCTTCCGTCCCCTTTATGATGAAGTTGTTTTCGCGTCGAGCGAAGATCAACCTGACCCGTTGCTGGGCACCTGGCTTTGAAAGGTCGTTCCGATCCTTTCGGATAATCTGGGAATCAGCTGTGGTCACACTCTTCTTGAATAGAAATTATATGCTAGTCCAATCAAATCTACCTGAATGCTGTTACGAATACAATTCCCCTTCGAACGCCGATTGAAACGTGACAAACCATGACCTCATAAAGACAGTTGAGTGAAAACAAGCTCATGCATCCCTCGGGGCTTGGGTCATCTGCTTCAACAAGTAGCTGCGCTTGAAGTAGGTGTTCGGGTGCACGATTGTGTCGAGATCAGTCTGGCTCCATGTGCCGTCGTCCTTGACCTTTTTGATTTCGCCCTTGTGGGACCACTCAAAGACTCGGTTGCAGGCGATGTGGTATCGCATCTTGCCAACATCCTCGCGTACCCCTCGCAGAACTTCCTTGTCGTGGACACCCGTGGCCTGGAGCAGTCCGACGAGATTGTCAACACTGTAATGCCGGTAGGGACACCCGTGCGTTTGGCCAATGCCCGGGTTTGCATCGCCGAGGATCTTTTGGCACGAGTAGGGAGGATATCCACGTCCTCGGCGGTTGACGTCTCCACCCACATCACCGTAAGCGTGACGAATGTTGTACTTGTACTGGGAGTTGAACTCGTCATCCGTCTTTCCTTTGAATGATTGGCGCCAGAAGAGAATACATTCCTCTAGCGAGAGGCCGATGCCCTTCAAGAACAGAGTATACTGAAGTCGCCCAAAGTGCTTGAGGTGGTTGTTCTTGCGCAGGTTCATGTGAAGGCTGCGCATGCACAGCGGAAAATGCTGAGATAGCTGGTCGATGGAGCTAGCCGTGATTGGCGCTCCGTCCACATATCCCTCGCCCTCCGAGTATACTGACTCGGCGCTGCCAAAGTTCTTGGAGAGGTGGTTCAAGATAGGCGTCAGACGGTCATCCTCGTCCAATCGTGGTAGCGCACGGCTGGTGAGCTAGTGGAAAAAAGTCAGTAAGGCATCTCTATGATAAAGAGCAGAAACTGCATTGCACAAACCTCGAGGGCTCGTTCCAAGCGGGCGGTAAACTCAGCGATGATCATGCTGAGCTGTTCCCTTCCAGGCACATAGGCCTTTCCTCTCCTCAAGAAGACTGTACGTCGCTCCACGAGCTCGGGAACCTTCTCCCAATCAACCTTGTACCACGTCTCATCGTCGACCCGACGCAACCCAGGCGTGGAGTTGACCAGGTTTTCAGCCACTTCATTTTTCTCCCCGTCGCCCACTGGCTCCCAGTCGAGGTTCAGACTGTCGATGAAGGCACGTCTCTCTCGCGAGTCATCCTGCTGGAACCGGAATCTAAAAAGCATAGTCTCGGCGCGAGCGAACCGTCGCCGAAGGTCCTCTGTGGCCGAGAAGGCGAGACGCAGGATAAAGTGGGAATAGTGGTCTTTCTGTCGTTCATTTTTCAAGCGCGTGTCTGCGGCCCCAGACGGAGCCGAGGTATTGGAGGAGAGAGGGAGGAATTTCTGCAACAGAGGCGTGATGTGCGCCGCCGTCTCTGCGGGGGTTTTGTTCCGATAGGAGCAGGCTTCGATCTCAGCCAGGACTATCTACGCATTAGCGGATAGGGGATTTTAACATTCATACGGCAAGCTTACTCTTCAACCTGTCGATGGCCCATTGTTCGAACTGTTCGAGCGTGATCTCCGCCGTGGGCGGCGTGTCATAGAGATTTAGCCGGTACGGGTAGTCCTGCTGCTTGTAGGTTGGCGTGGCAAATTGTCTCTTCTTGTGGTCGATGGTGGCCCTTCGTTTGGGGTCGATGCGATGGGCGTCTTGCCGAATCATGATGACGGGTGGTGTTAAGATGGTGGGTGGTTAATTGGGTTGTCCCCGAATGTACCATCTCTATCGGACGCGACGCGCCGCTACGCGCAACGGGGGAACGGACCCCACGTGACTATAGAGTGCCTCGGGCAGTCTAATTCCAGACACCTGAGGCCACCAACTCCGCACTGGACTCGAGCAAATCCCCCAGCTCGGCAGGACACAAAGCATGTGAGACTGCATTGACCGAAGAGCACGCAATACCAGCCGCCCAGGGATACCTGGATTCTGTGCATTCAATTGCTTCCCCGGACCTTGGAGAGCGTGGGAAGTGTTTTCCTCGGAGCTTTTCTCACCGGCAACCGAAGGGAGAAGAGGATCGCAACCCCACACGAATTACACTCTCGAAGGATTTGGCATCTCCGCTGAACGTGCACCTGATCTCCCTAAATTTCAGCATGTCGCGATAGACATTTGCGTTTCCTCTTCTTCCCCTGGTTGTCCAGGGGCCCCCTCTCGCGCCATTCCCATCCGAGTTACCAGGAACATTGCGAAGTATAATCACCTTGGATCGGAGCAACACGGAAAACTCGAGGTTGAACATAGCCCACGCCCCCCCCCCCCGAAACTGAACATGTCCATGAAGCAGCTCAAGAAGGCTGCGCGCATCATTCTCATTGGCGCTCCGGGGGTCGGAAAAGGAACCCAGTCCGAGCGACTGCTGGCCCGGTTCCCCCAGCTAGCTTCTATCAGCTCGGGCGATCTGCTGCGAGAGAATGTGCGCCGACGGACTCCACTGGGTAAGGAAACCACCGGTTGTGCGGGAGAGACGAATTGGGTCTGACTGAACGCATACAGGAGTGCAAGCCGAAGCCGCAATGCAGTCCGGCAACCTCGTTCCCGACTCGATGATCCTCGACCTGATCTCTTCCGAACTGAAATCCAAGGGCTGGCTCCCACCGTCACAATCCTCTACCATGCCGTCGATATCCTCTTCCGCCTCTTTCATCTTAGACGGGTTCCCCCGCACAGCCGCTCAAGCATCGAGCTTGGACAAGTTTGTCCCGGTGAATTTTGTCGTGCACCTCCTCACCCCACCCTCTGTGATCCTGTCGCGCATCGCATCGCGCTGGGTTCACGAGCCCTCTGGCCGGGTGTATAACACCGAATTCAATACGCCCAAGGTCCCTGGCAAGGACGACGTCACGGGCGAGCCATTGACACAGCGCGAAGACGACTCCATCGAAACGTGGACGCAGCGGCTGCGGAAATTCGAAGAAACCAGCCGCGCTCTTTTGGAGCATTATGATCGCCGCGGCTGTCTCTGGCGGGTTGAGGGCAACACGAGCGACGAGATCTCTCCCAAGCTGTTTGCGGAGATCGAGCAGAGATTCTGCTAAAGGCCTGGTGGCTTGTATACATTATCTTTAATTATTGGGCTCTTTTAAACCTGAGACGCATGTTCATTTTTTTTGTCCCTGGGAGTGTGCTATGGTTGGGAGCCGCTCTGTTACTATACCCTGGTATCATTTGAGAGTCCTGCTGTCGGGGGACCATGTCGAGCGCTTATACATGTTTAGTCGGTGTATTGTATCCAGATACTCGAATTAGAGCCACAATGATCATGGTTCAAACCAGTCGTATACAATGTAGTCATGCTATCTTCGTTACATGCATCAGCCAAACGCAATCGCTGAGAAGAAAAAAAAAAAAGCTAAAAGCCCGCCGAGGTGCTTGGTATGTACTACCCAAGAAAGCACCGTCATGACTTGGATTTGGCATGGTTGTCGGATGAATCACCCATGCCCATGCGGTTTTTATAGTCGCGTGGACTCTCCCAATCGGACCCAACACGCCGATAATCCTTCCACAATCCCTTTGACCGTGCCTTGGCCCACCATTCGGCGCGACGATACTTCTGCTCCATGTCTGTACCGCCGAATTCTGCGCCCACCTTGGCTTCATACACCGTCGCGAGGCCACGCTTCAGCATCTCGTACGAAACATCTCTGCGACGAAACGGTGGGAAGTCTAGTGCGCGCCGAACCATCACACTGGCCACGACACGGTGGTACTGGTCCTGACGGTGGATGAATGCACGGACGCGGCGACGGCCGAGGTAGGAAGTTAGCCAGGCGTGGGCGTCGCGGGCAAAGGGCTGTTCGGGGCGGCCGAAGTGTGCGAGTTCGGGGGCGTCTATACCGGCGAGACGGATATGAACCTGTTTCGCAGAGAAAAGAAAAACACATACGTCAACTCAAATCAATGGAAACAATGGGGTTTTTTCAGACGAATAAAGGCGGTAGACGAACGGTATTATCTTTCAGCTCTTTCTTCGTGGTGGGAACTTTCTTCCATGGCAACCAGCCCCATCCAGCGAGCCGTCCACCGGGGGTGTGAAAGATCCGGAAGTTGTCTCCATCACCGACGCTGGTGACCCGCCCGAAGAGAGACCGGTGTCGGAGGTGCGAAGGCGAGATGCTGGGGGCATCGGGGATGCGACGCAAGTAGCGGCGGTGGACGCGCACTGCAAGCAGAATGCTGCTTGTCAGGAAGAGGGTCGGGACAAGGGTCCTGGTTTCTGTGAAGGCCGCCCAGTCGAGGGAAGAGCTTTGTTTATTTAGGGTGGGCGCGGGGCCGGCAGAGGAGCTTGAAGAGCTGGACTGCGATTTCTGATCAGTTGTTGAATCGGAACTCCATGGCGGCCATCGCATGACGACCCATGTCCCTGCGGTGGGCAGGGGGTCTGGTGTGAGGGGGGTGGGAGTTGGTTGGGGTAAAGTGGTGATCGACGCGGGCGAAGCTGGCAAGCTGCGGATGATTGCCGGTTTTCTCTCCCACTCCGAGGCCGATGGTTTTGCTTTTCTTCAAATTAATCAGAGACTATACAAGAAGACTGAGCATCCTGGTCTCATTTCTCCTAAGCCGGACTTTGTTTGAAACCTCTGTCACTACCAAGCAAGCTCCTTCGGAGTTGATCAACTGGTTTCAGACACACGAGGAGAACGGGTTTGGCCGAACTATGGTATATTTCCTTCAATGCCCTAAGATTCTAATAAAAATTCTTTCTAACTTTCTAGAACGACAGCTGTCCCTGAAATATCACAGCCGAGGCTCTAGTGGGAGACCTTGTTGACCCTAGAAGCCGACTGCTTCTTCCCCAATTCAAGCCACAGCCAACCCAAACAGGCAGAAGCACCCAGATACATGGAACCAACGAAAATCTGAATCCGCAAGTAGCGCTTCAACTCATGGGAATCATCTCGAAGCTGGACCGCAATCGCTTCAGCCACCAGAGTGGGAGGACTCATCACAAACAACAAGATCCCAAGTGCAACCCCGAGGTGCTGCAACCCAACGACCTCGGCAGCAACTTGTGCCACGGCAGCCAGGGATGTGCCGGCGACTAAGCCCACTGCTATCGCAAAGAAGTATATCAGCCCCATGGAACCAGCGAAGATCCAGAGCACCAATGGCAGGATGCCCGAGAGGAGAGATGCGCCAAAAGCGATGCTTATTCGCCCGAAATGATCACTCAAGAACCCAACAGCCGGTCGCCCGAATGCCTGGTCCAGATTGAATAGTTCACCGGCAAGACTACCTTGTTGTTGGGTGAGGCCAATCGCAACGGAATAGCTGGGCAAACTGAATAGCAAGCACACATACCCCAAGACACTCAGGAAGCACCAGCCCAACAGTAAGTCAAAGTCCAGTCTCTGGAAAAGAGAGAACTGGAATACTGAGCTAGTCGATCGAGAACGCGAATGTGAGGGCACTCGAAGGACGGTTGCACACAGCATGTTCACCACGAAACATAAAATCCCCAATATCCGCGTTGCCCATGGAAAGCCAAGTTCGGGTATCATCTTCCCAACAGCCAGAGGATAGACAAGACCGCCTATCTCAGAGCCGACCCCTGCAATCCCGTCGACCAGAGTCCGCCGTCTTAGGAACCAGTGTGAAGGAATGCCCACAGAGCCACAGAAACAGAGTCCCATGCCAAATTCAAACCAATCTCCCTGCGACAGAAACAGCTGCCAATCAGTTTTGGCAAACGAAGTGGTAATAAGAGAGAGCGCCTCGAGAATGGCACCAAGATTCAAAACGAAGCGGGTGGATATTGGTGACCGAGATATGTTGCAAGAGGCGCGATGAGCATTGCACAAGAGATGCTTAAGCCCCCGACAAATGCATACTCCAGAGCTGATGTACCAGGGATTATGTTGGTGGAAAGATAGTATGAGAGATAGACCCCGTATGCCTATATCTGATGTTAGACGAATTTAGGGCTCGGGAGTGCACAGTATAGATAGTCTTGCTTGCGTACAGCGTCGATGCCCCATGTATGGGCATTTATGAGGAAGGTGCACGCAACACAGACCCGGCCATATCCTCCTTCTCGGATGACTTCTTGTGGATTTGTTTCTTTTCCTGGTTGGTTTGTTGCAGACACCAGCGCTTGTTTGCTTCAGTCATTGTTGACAGTGATCAACCAGATAGAACAAGACTATAGAAATTCTTCAGACGGAGCTTGCACCGAAAATTTCCCAGCATGACGCAATTGCCACCCGAGTCTGTCGGTTGGATGGAGATGTCCTTTTTCTTGATCCAGACCGAATCGTGCAGACTACTCCATCCCGTTCTGGGGACTCGCGAGCAGTGCTCTGCACAGACTCTTCCGGACATCGCAGCTAAACGGAAGATGATCCAAGAGCGCACTCAATATGTCTCTTCGCGTTATGGCATCTCGAGTTCTTCCAAAATGCCCAACCATCTACCCCGTATTGCAATGCAGCATTCTATCACCGCCTACAAGAAAATGGAGTTTATGCTCCAGCTCCGAGAGAAGATCAGCATGCAGAAGCAAGAAGACTTTCAAGATGATGACGTGGCTGATGTACTGAACCCATCTTTTAAGCTGGCATGCGATGGACTGGAAAGTAGTTACGTTCTATTGAAGGGGGCCTTTCTGCGGGATTCAAATGGTTCTTCACCACATACACCCCGTGGTACGCCTTGTCTATGTCTTGCGCTGTCTGAATACAAACCCCTGGGGACCAAATACAGACCGCGCCTGGGAGTTGGTTGAAGGAGTCTTTCTGCACGAATTGTGTGTGAGTGAGATATCGGGCCAAACTCAGGAAGAGAATGGGCAGGGAAGTATTCGGAAGTGTCTCGCTTTGCTGCAACATCAAGCCCTGGCGTCGAGAAGTGCTCAGCAAACCACAACGAGTAGTGATATTCAAGCTCCTTTGGAGCGTCGTCCTGCTTCCCCGGGCTTTGGGCTTGGGGAAGATCCTCATGAAACTGAAATCCCGCTACCATATACGACGCCTCATGAAGGATCTCTTCCGAACTTTGAAGCAATCCTCGAACAGGGGTTTCTCGCGGATACTAGCCAGAATATCTTCTCTTCTTTGGACCTCTCTGTGTCTGAGGTGCCGTTCCTGCCGGAGTGGAATGCAGTCATCAATGGCTCCTTGATTGATGGCAATTACTCGAATGCACGGTGATGATTATGTGGCTACCAACCAACTACCAAGATTATAGGCACAAGGACGGAGTGTATTTACAGATCTATAAAGATATTCAAGTGCTAGAAACACGTCTTTCATCGTGACGGGCCTCTTTTCAAGGTTTGAAGGGTGCCTAGACTGTCCAGGAGAATCGCAGAAAGAAAGACCAGCACGCCGTAAAGGGAGTCAACAGAGAAAATCCAGAAAGAAGTTCATGCGTAGAGTTCAACACAAGCAGACGGTTATTTCAACGTCGCTGGCATGCTGGTCTTGGCCGTAGACGCGGCAGCGTCGACGGCCTTTTGCAGCTTGTCCTTCTTGACCTTCCGAACAGTGGCAAACAGGGCGATGAAAGCGAGTTCCATTCTGGAGGAGGGTCAGCAAAAACAAGAACAACAACGTTGCATTGTGAAACCGGGACATACCTCTCCTTGGTCATCATCAGCAGACCTTGCACCAAAAGACCCTTCAAAATCTGGGGACCAATGCCCTTGAAGAGGGACATGAGACCCTCGTTATCGATGATGTGCTTCATGACCTCGCCAAAGGTCTTGAAGGGCTTGCCCTGCCGACTTGGAGGCGGGCGAGATTGCAGGCCAACTTTAGCAACAATCAAAGGCTGGGTTGCAATGGTCGCCAGCGCCTTGGACATGGCACCAAGGACTGTGTGAAACCCCTCGTTAGCGTAATCGTCCCAGTATAGAAGCCGAACATCACTCACAGAAGGCCTCCCACGGCTTGAGGTTATTTTTTCCCGTGAAAAAGATATCCTTCAGTCGCTGATATGCTCCATAGGTGATGGCGGGATTGACAACCAGAATCAAGCTGGCCTTCAGGCCTCGCCACAGGCCGGACCAGCCGTCCTCGCTGTCGACCACCTCACGGCCGGTCTCGACCAATCCCTTCTTATCCCCTTTTGGCTGTGTTTGCTGTCTGGTGGTGATGACGGCCACTGGGATGGTGAAAATCTGAGCCACGGCGCCGGCGACGGCACCCAGGCTAAGCTCGATGACGGTGCCGGGGGGCTTCGGTGTTCGGTGCGAGGCCATGTAGAGAGTGCGGACGACGCTGTACCAGTAAAAGTAGGCAAAATTGGTGGAGGCAACTCCCAGAAGTGACCCTGCAATCCCAGAATATAGACCGCTCACCCCTTCCTTCTCCGCGATCTTGACAAGAGCGTCAATGGTCGACTCATAGTGATCGTCGATGCCTTGATGCTCGGCTCCGTCTATTTGCTTTCCCTGGACTTGCAATTTTGTCTTGATCCTGGATGATTCAGATGAAGTCAGTGGGCTTATCCCGAAGCGTTGACAATAATTAGGGTTGGTTGCCTCACAGGTCAAGTGGATATACGATCGCATTGGCCAGGACTCCGCCAGTTGCGCCTGCAACGGCGCTGCCCCAGGGAGAAAGGCGCACAGGTTTTGATTGACCAGTCATGATAGACACAAATCAAGTGACAATCAAGCTCAACCAGAAGAGTAATAAAAAAAAGTGGCGAGCAAAAAGGCTCGCCTTTACAGCGGCCGGATGAAAGGGGAAGTATCGGGCGGGGCTAATGATGTTGAGACCGATAGAAGAGAAAGGAGGTAAAAACAGCTAGGGGAGCAGAAGATGCATGGATATTCATTCCAGGGCAACCGACGGCACCCGAAAATAGGACGAAAAAAGGAGAGAAGGAGCAGAAGCACAGGAAAACCGAGCGGCGAGCCGGAATGGCACCTTCGCAGCACCTCGGCGTTCACTCCATGAAAATGAGCCGAGGTCCACTCGGCTGCTTATGTCACCGTGCAGCTCCCACTTGGTTCCTCAGGCACTAAGGCAACAACCAAAGACACGCTCTCGCTCCGGCTCAGCCCATTGGGCGTCGATCTTCTTGCACTCCTTTTTGGCGCGACCGGACTTGTCGCTGGATGATGCGGGGCGCATCGACTAGGGTCTTATCTGGGAATCAGATGGCTGTCGGCGATCAGAAGCAAGCATGTCTAGACCCAATGGGTCCCAGTCCCATCTGTCCCAAGCTTTGGTACTTGTGATCTTCCCCGGATCAATCGAGTGGAAACTAACCGCCATATAGAGGGCTGAACGGCAGGTGGCTACCGCGACCTCCCAAAAGGCCGCCCTAGAAGCTGCCATCGATGCCGCAGAGCATTACATGAAAGCGTTGCGACTGGAACCGCCATCTGACGCGAAAAAACAGCTCGATGCTAAATGCAAGGAGCTACTCACCACCGCAGAGAAGATCAAGGGCGCTAGCGACTGGCGGTCGGCGGCGCGGGGCTCTTCCAAGGCGGTGCCCAGTTTACGACCGCCGACGTCGAAACGAAAGCTGACGACCCGCGAAGAAATCATCATCCTTGAGGGCGCTAAACTGAATGGTTTTATTTTCCCGCCATGGGACCGCCCGCCTGCTCCGGATGAATTTCTTTCGCGCGACGGGCAGCCTTTCACGTACGTGGAATGAATCGCATCGTGGTAACGTTTACCATGGAATAATTCGGTGTTCTAACTCCGATTAGGGATGCACCGGATCTTCATCTTTCGGAATTCCAGAAGGCCATCTTTGCAGGATGGAAACGACCACGTGAGCTTTTGCAGTCAAGGAACACTGCAGACCAGACATCGAATGTCGTCGAACCGGTTATGTCTATCTCGGGGACTGCAGATCTTGTGCAAGATGTGTTGACCGATTGTTCGGTGGTTGCAAGTCTCTGCGCCACCACCTCCCGGGCTGAGCGAGGGCTAGGACCGGTATGGATTAAAATATGAACTACTGCCACCAAATTGCCACCAAAGCTGACTAGAAGTAGCATGCATCGCCAGCAATATACCCATGTGACGGTGGACAAGGCGGTCCGCTGTTATCACCGTCAGGGAAATACATCTTTTGTTTGTATTTCAATGGATCCTTTCGAAAAGTAGTCATTGATGACCAATTGCCATCCTCCAAAACTACACGGTCACTGCATATGACTGACCGAAATCACCCACACTTTCTATGGCCTGCCCTGGTGGAAAAGGCGTATTTAAAGGTTCGCGGGGGCTATGATTTTCCTGGAAGCAATTCCGGGACCGACTTGTGGGTGCTGACCGGGTGGATCCCGGAGCAAGTTTTCCTACATCACGATGATACCACCTCGGACGAGATCTGGGGCCGCTTGCATAAAGCATTCGACTATGGAGATGTGGTATTGACCATTGGGACCGGCAAGTTGACCGAAAGGGAGCAACAGGGGCTAGGGCTAGTGAGCGAGCATGACTATGCTATACTCGACATGAAAGAAGTCCACGGGCGGCGTCAATTCCTTTTAAAGAATCCGTGGGCGGGCGCAGAGCCAGGATCAGGGCAAGCCAGTCCCAGAGTCCAAGCGACAGAATCAACAAATGGGCCATCTCCTCTCTCACCAGGCACATTTTGGATGGATTGTGAGCAAGTTCTACAGAACTTTGAGAACCTCTACTTGAACTGGAACCCCGGTCTGTTCAAATACCGCGAGGACATTCATTTTACATGGGATCTTTCTCAGGGACGGGTCATTGCAGGCTGTTTTGTGAAAAACCCACAGTTTTCAATTTCCAGCGAGTCGGGAGGGACAGTCTGGCTCCTGCTCGGCAAGCATTTCAAGACGGTCCGTCACCCTGGACAAGAGCACAACCCGAACGAACCGCAGGGGTTTATTGGCCTCCACATTTTCCAGGCTGACGGGAAAAGAGTTTCGCTCAGCGATGGAGCGCTTCATCCTGGGCCTTATCTCGACTCCCCGAACACCCTCACGAGGCTGGAGATGCCCGCTGGGACCACGTATACGGCTGTGGTCTCTGAGCAATCGCTGCCTGTATCGAGTCAAAACTTCACACTCTCTGCCTTCTCGACCTCACCAGTGGTAGTGGGAAACTCGAGAGACAAGTATCTGTGCTTGAATAAGGCAGCCGGTTCCTGGACGACGTTGACGGCTGGCGGGAACGCCGAGTCAGCTCGCTATCATTCCAACCCCCAGTTCAGCCTGAAGATTTCTGATAGAACCGACGTGTCTATCTTGCTCGAAACCACAAACGCTGAACTGGCCACCCACGTCAGACTCTTTTGGTCCAACGGCCAGCGCATCTCCCGAGTGCGAAACCGCGACATCATTGCCGACAGCGGCGACTATCGGCGGGGATGTGCACTGGCAGAGACAAAGGCTTTGGATAAGGGGTCCTACACCATTGTCTGCTCCACCTTTGCTCCTGATCAAGTTGGTCGCTTCACGCTCTGGATCTCATCTATGATTCCGTGCACAGTACAACAGTTAGCCTCCGAGTCCGCGGGCCGCCGTGTCATCTCCTCAGATGTCGGCGTCCTTCCGCCAGGTAAGGATCGGATGCTGGCCACATTATGCGTCTCTCGTATGACACGGCTCAAGCTCATCGCGAGGAATAAACGGTCCACTATTGGTACCCGGGCCGTGGCTCCGTCTCCTGTGCTGATGACTGTGGAACTCGGCCAGGGACCATATAAGGAGATCCTGGCTACCTCGGAAGACGGCACTCACAGCGACGCAGTAACGGGGGTTCGGGTGGAGGATTTTGACTTGCGACCCAATCTCTCGTCGCAAGGTGTTTGGATTGTCATCGAGCGCATCGGGGGTCCAGGAGGGCAGGTGGAAGATTATTTTGAGGTTGAGGCGCTGGCCGAGGAGCGGGTTGAGATTGGGGAATGGGTGATTGAAGATGCATGAACAATATAGTTGGGCAATAGTTTCATGAAAACCTGAGATATGTTGCTATTTCCTCCGAGAAGAATGCGCTCCAATTCTTTGTTACCAATGTGTGTTGATTGTCGCGATAAGCCGGCAGCTTCGAGTCTCCGCACGGGCGGTGGCATTTCCCCAAGCTCCAAACGTCATCTTCTCCAGCCTCCAGCCCTCTCCCTCTTTGATTTCTCTACAACAAAATCATGGCAAGTAACATCCCTGCTGGACTGAAGTCTGCCGACATTGGGCGCTTTGCGCTCAGGGCAGCTCAGATCGAGAAGGCCAAGCCGGTGGTGGCCTACTGGTGTGAGTCTGCCTCTCCCCGCGATCCGGGTATTCGAGCTGACCAAGTCCCTAATGCGGCAGGCAATTTCCATATTGTGAACCAGATTATTGAAAGGGGCCTCCACAGTTCAGACGATGAGATTAAAATTTACACGACCAACCTGGTGGATAAGCTGGAGCAGGTGCGGTTGCCTTCCCCGCCGTTGACCCCTCCTTTACATCGCGTTCTTTGGAATTAATGACTGACGATAATTTTCTGTGTATAGTTCAAGAAGGAGAACCCAGAGAATGAAACAGTGACGGATAATGTGGCAGCGAGTGCGTTCGTGGAACAATTTGGGTTGGAGGTGTTCAATCGCGCCGAGGCTGCCATGACTGCCAACAAGGTCACCAAGTGAGCTTCCAGTGGCTAGTGGGGCTTATGGGAAACTAGGTTGCTGATTGTGTGCTAGACAAACGGCGGATACCTTTCAGGCGGCGGCGACATTCCTTGAGTTGTGCCAGATTTGGGGTGATTTGGACCCGGAAATTGCTGGGAGGATCAAGTTCGCCAAGTACCATGCAGTTCGAATTGTCAAGGCGATCAAGGCTGGCGAGGACCCCAACGCAACAAACCCTGTACCAGCAGAAGAGGAAGAACCCGTTGACGCACCAGAGGTACAGGCATTTGATCAATCTGTGGCAGAACAGGCTTCCAAACCCCGGCAGGCGTCGGTTGAGGAAATCCTCGATGAATCAGATCGTCTTGGACGACAGCTAGCCCACCAGTCGTCTTTGGATGAGTCCCTTCACCCATCCCGAACATCATCTGTTCCTCGGCAGCCTGCCGCCCCGGTGCCAGATATTCCATCTGTCCCGCGCAATGCGCCTGGTTCCCCTGCACAAACCATGGATGTTGACCAACCTCAGTCTGGGGAATTAAATCTCCCCCCCCACACCCAGCAAACTTGGCGGTTCGTCGGTTCTAGATCTACCAGATACCCCCAGTGCATTGACTGGTGGCGCTCGTGATGCCTCACACCATCCCAATGCCTTCCAGTCCTTCCCACCACCATCCGGGAGCCCGTCAGTACCTGCACCAGATCCAGCCTCATTCTATGACCCGTCGAGTGCCAGCGCCCATATCCCACATCCTGCAGCTTCGCCATCGGGGCCACCCTCAACTGCACGAGTGCCTGTTGCTCCTGCTCCTACTGCGCCGAGCCAACCATCCCACTCGGTAGACGATAACTCAATCTCTCTGGCACAGAAACATGCTCGCTGGGCTGTATCTGCATTGACATTTGATGATGTCAACACAGCTGTCAAGGAGCTAAAGAATTCTCTGAAATACCTTGGTGCAGAATGATGAAAGATAGGTATAGCTTTACTGGATTGACTTGCTCTATCTTATTCAAGTTGTCCCTAAAACTTGCTATTTCTTGAAACTGGACATTAATCTAAGCTTGTTGAATTATAGAAACTAAGTTGTTAAGTTATTTATTTTTGCTTAATCTATAGAAGTGAGAGAAGAAGAGCCATCACTCAAATGCCCCTACGGACAAATTGCCTCGTAATCGCGCTTGTGGGTCGATTGTTCTTCTCTCACATCCTCTTCCTCCTCCTATCCCTAGTCCTCCTGATGTGCTCTTTCTCGATCCTACTCCCATGTCTTGTTGTCCCCTTCCCACTCTTCTACTCACCTTGTTCTTCTTTGGATTCAACCCCCCTACCATTTCGCTCACAAAATCTTCCTCTATTTCCCTCTATCCAGGCCTTGCCTATCCTCTCTTTCTCAAGATTTCAAGTCTTTTAAAGTTAGAGGTTGTTTGATCAGTCATCTTCTACCTCATTCCTTGAACACGAGTGTAAAGATGCCGAGACAAATCCGTCCTCCAATGGTCGACTCCAGCTCTTCGGAGTCCGATTTTGTATGCCCGATGATGGCAGCTCTCGACGAAGGAAGCCTTACGGTCTCGAAGACCCTGAGTGAATTCAGGAATTTCTTCGACCTCAGGACCGACGTGTGGGACAAATTTCGAAAGGAACTCAGAAGTTTTGCACTTGATCAGTATTCTTTGGATGATCTAAAGGATCAAGAGAGCGCCCGCATGCAAGCCGCCGAGGATTTTCTTGAAGAGAATGGAGAGAAATATTGGGGTACTTCGGAGAATCGAAAGAAATATCTTGACCCCAAGGCCTTGCAGCAGAGTCCCGTCTACATGTGCACCTATCCCAAGAAAAAGGAGCCGTGAGTTTTGGTTTTGTTTCTAGAGAATGTCCTGCTGGGTATATCTTCTGCTAACCATCGCTTAGGATGACCCGGGGATTGATGATGTTGCTAGAGAAGATTGCCAAAGCCTCCAGAAATAAGTCGATCCCCCAGGATGTAAGATTTCCTAATCGAAGGGCATATTGTTTTGCAAATCCAGACTGATAAAAGACAGACTCCGCGTGATCTTGCGGACACTTCGCACATTCCTGGTTCTACTAGTGTTGCCGACACCCTCCCTATCGAACCGATTCAGCTTTCTCCCATCAATATGGACGAAGTGAGCAGCCCTCCGGCCGTGTCGTCTCTCAGCGCTCACGCATACACCTCTCCTCATGCTCGAAAGTACCAGGAGGCACATCTCCAAGTTCAAGGTATGATATAGATGATTTCTATCAAATATCAATTGTCGGGACTGACCCCGGCAAAGCAGGAAACACGCTGTCAATTGATATGCTCCGTGCTCAGCAAGAGTGCCAGCACCGGAACACCAAGGCTACATTCTTTCTAGTGCGAGAGGACGGGACCGAGGCCAGGGACACCATCTGCGTTCCGTACCGAGAATTTCATTCGGCCTCCCATTTTCTGGCAGTTATGACCGAGGCATACGGGCTACCCAATTTCGAAGACAGTGCTCTCCAACTGCAGGAAATGAGTGGAAATCCCATTCGTCGGCTGCGCTATGCGGTTGTGAGACCAAAGTGGGCGAAGGTCTCGTTCCAAATCCGAGCCGGTCGCGATGCAGACTGGCGGGCTCTTCAAAACATCCTGGAAGTTGCGTGGGCAGCCAGCAGCCGTGGAGACTTGGCCAAGACTTATTTCAAAATTGAAGTCACGTTGAAAGTGGAGTGAAGAGGGGCGTCGTGGAAACAGAGAGGATCGGCGGGTGATATTGGATGGTCGAAATGCTTAGCATGTTTTGATGCTAGAGATCTTGGTTCGGGGCTCGGGTAACCCAGCGCCATGGGAGAGAGCAGAGATCCATGGATGTCATCCATGGACATGTCACAACTTGTACTGAGTTCGGCGCGAAGGAAGACTGATGTCACTGGAAATAGGGGATTATCATTGTTTTTGCCCACAAAGAATCAGTAGAGTCGTATTGTGGGCTCCACCCAGCCCACTTGGTCCCGCGACTATCGACAACGGCGTCGTTGAGCCAACGGGCTTGGCAGGGGAAACAGGAATGAGAACTGCGATCTTCTTTCCCGAATTTTCTAGCGATGCATGAGGGAGTGGAGTTTGGCGCATTGGAATGAGGAGGTGCCCCGTCCGCGTGGGTTTGATTTTCCCACGTTGGCCCCCTCTCTCTTTCTCTCCTTCATCTTTCCCCTTCTCCTGTGGGAGTGGTTTCTTGAACTCGATCCAACCATGGCTGAATCTAGCAAGCCTGCTGTCCTGATCATCGGCGGCCTTGGTGCGTGTTGACTCTCTTATTAACCTCAATCCCCGGGTTTTGCGGGATTAACGTTTCTCGGCCCCCTAGGCTTCATTGGTCGTCATCTCGCCCTCTATATTCACCAGAACAACCTCGCGTCCGAAGTGCGATTGGTCGACAAGGTCTTGCCGCAGCTGGCTCGGTTAGCCCCCGAATTCGACGAGGCATGCTCCAAGGACAAGTTTGTGCAGGCCGACGCCAGCCGTGAACGTAGGTGAATTCGCCCTTGATGAGGGGATGTTTGGAATCGTTTCTGACCCACGATTCGTTCTAGAGCACTCCCCGCGTATCTTCGACCGAGCCAATGGCGAACAATTCGACTACGTCATCAACTGCGGCGGGGAAACCCGACACTCCCAGCCTGACGATGTCTATGAACTGCGCAGTTGCGGACTGACTGTGGCGTTGGGTAAGGAGATTGCCCGGCGTGGCATCTCCGCCTTTGTCGAGACCTCGACAGCGCATGTCTACAAGAGCGGGTCCACCCCGCGCAAGGAGAATGACAAGATGCAGCCCTGGAACAAACTGGCCAAGTGGAAATTGAAAGCTGCCGAGGAGCTGGACCGGATCCCAGATCTGCAGTACTGTGCCTTGCGTTTGCCGCACGTCTACGGCCCGTATGACCCGGGGTACTTTGCGACGGGCATCTGCCTGTCCCGCGTGTACGTGGATTTGGAACGGGACCTCGAGCTGTTGTACACCAAGGACGTCAAGATTAACACGCTGCACGTCCAGGATGCGGCGAGTGCCTTGTGGCGGGCCGCGGAATGGCGGGCCGGTCAGGGCAAGATTGACAACAAGGATGGCTTTGTGGCCTTCAACGTCGTGGATCACAACAACACACAGCAGGAGCACGTGGCTAAAGGGTTGTCCGAGGTGTTTAACCTCAAGGTGACATTTATTGGATCGCTCGTCTCGCAATTCGCCAAGATGAACTTGGACGATGTGGTCGAGGACATGAATGAGGTCAGTTTGCAGACTTGGGCTGAGCTGCTTGAAAAACACAACATCGACCGCCCCGGTCCCATCAGCCCCTTCCTGGAACGGGACATCCTCAAGGACCAAGACATGTCTATTGATGGCTCGTTGTTCGAGTCCACCACCGGCTGGAAGCCCAGCCACGAGCGCTTCGATGCTGACAGCATTCGCGAGATGGTTGATAGCTACAAGCGCATGGGCTGGTGGCCATAAAACTCTTTTTCTTTCTTTCTTCCCTTCTTTTGTTCGTGCCTCGAAGATATCCTCCCCACAACCCAATCTCCCATCTCATGCGCATTGCATTGTGTCTGGAAAGAATGCATTGACTCGCAACACGACACACGACCCTTTCATGACTTCTCCCATCCCACTATTCCACCAGACATCATCCTTTTCTTCCTTTCTATTTTTGCCAGGCAAGTCAACCCACACCCTGAACTGGATCTGTTTTACTCTGTGATTCATAATACCCATCCCGTTGGAGGTATTTTGTTTTGCTTTTTTTTTTTTTTCCCATGCATATATTGGCTTGATTTGTCCCCTTCGTTTGATCGAGTTTGCATTTCCCTGCATGCAGCATCCTAAGCCTTTTCTTTTCTTTCTCCTTTCTTCCTTCCCCCTTTGATATATGAGTGGCACTTGTCCACTTTCTTTCGTCTGTATGTATTTTAAGTGTTGAAATTTGATTTTGGTGATGATCCTTGAACTCTTTTGGGTACCCCTACAGCAGATACCGTCCCCATAGAAGTGTCTGTGGCCGTATTGCCGATAGTGTCGGGACCTTGACGAGCTATGCTCTATTGAGCCATGTCAAGGCAAGAAGATCATTTATGTCCCCATCAACCATGCATACCCCCCTCGCAAGATGAGTTTTCAATGTCAGCTTTTCAACCCTTTAAGTGGGGGTTATTTGAAGCATGGGCGTTGGCTAATTGATGACGCTTGCTTCTTTGAACCCTGGGGAGTGTCTCATGCAAATGGCTATGCGAATGGGGGTAGCGAGGTTCTTGCTAATGGTGTTGTTAATGGAGAGTGACATGCGGTCATTTGTTGTCGAGAAAGAATTACCGCGCCCAAATTCAAGAAATTCCCTGTTAGCCCCATCAAATGCTATAATTGTGAGTAATTGTGAGCCCATATCTCAGCAACATGAGCACTAGAATCCATCATCTAGAGACGGCGATCAGGTGGAGCAGACCCACAAAAATTTCTGTTCAGCGGGGTTTCAGCATCCCCAGAACCGCGCGCACTCAGTTCCTGAATCTCCCCAGCTCCTGTCACAATCCTCGATCACGTCACCGTGCTCGAGATGCCGGTGTGGCACCAGCCAACTGCGCAACGAGAAGCAAATGTCTGCTCCACTCGCCGAGGCACAGACCGCACAGAAAGGTATGAACGACCTGACCCCTAGGGGGGCACGAGTGGGGCGCCGGGCTAATAACGTCGTAGATTGCCGGAAATGCCAACTTCGCCGCATCAAGTGCGATCGCGGACTTCCGGGGTGTATGAAATGCTCCAAGCGTAGCCTCGAGTGCCCGGGGTATGGTCCGCGGTTCAAATGGGTCCATGGAGTCGCCAGCCGGGGGAGTTTGCAGGGCAAACTGGTTCCTGTGCAAAACAAATCAGCGCCTCTTGGGACGCAGGGGACTCGTCATACTTGGAATGTGCAGTATGGAGGTCCGGCTATAGAGGGACTGTCGATCCCGCGCTCGCTGTCCAACCCTCTGTTGCGCGAATCTAACTCCCCCTATGCATCTCACCTCATGCCCTACTTCACGGAATATGTGGCCCGCAGACTCGCATGGGTGGACGGGCCAGAGAATCCATGGCGACAGATCGTTCTGCCGATGGTCGAGGGCTCTGAAACCGTGCTGTCATCTGTTCTCGCGCTGACCGCGCATGACCTGGCATCCCAGTATCCTCGTCATGATCCCTGGTACGAACGATTCCAGAGCATCTCCAAAACCTACCAAGAAAAGGCCCTGGGCCGCCTGGCGCAAGAACTCAATACGCTGCGCCAATCGACTACCTCACAGCTCTGGAGTCGTGCGCTACCCACTGTGATCCTGGCATCGGCGATCATTTTGTGCAACAACGACATGCTGAATGCGCAGACGGCAGGATGGCGGGTCCATTTACAAGCCGCGCGGGAGGTTATCCGAGCCGCCTGTTACGGCAAGACAATCCACGTCGAGGAATTCTTCTTGCAGGAGTACTATACCACCTCGGTGTGGACACACCTGACGACCTTCCATGAGGTGAACGAGATTGTCCATACTCCTGTAGCCAGCAGCAGAGATGCCGTGTTCATGGACTTCGTGCGGATTGTCCACCAAATCACCCAAACGGAACGTCTCCGGGCGAACTGCCAGCAGCCGCCGGAGATGACCATCGACGACATCCATGTTCAACTCAAGCTCGCTGAGGGAAACGCCCTAGAACTTATTCAAGGTATCCAATTCTGGTCGGAAATCGATCGACGCGATTGCGAGCAGCTCGTCTCGATGTATCGCCACGCGGGCCTTGTCTACAGCTACCAAGCCCTTGCGAGCCGTCCTACCGTGGAACCACTTATCCAAGACTCGCGCAATCAAATCCTAGAACATTTGCAATGTCTTTCCGGGACGGGGTACGAGATGTTCGCCCAGGATTTGGTTTGGCCGCTCTTTGTTGCCGGGACCGAGTGTCAAGACAGCCGGCTTCGCCAGAAGACGATTGAGCGCGAACTCACCATCGTGATGCGCATCAGCCGGATCTTGGATCGAGACCGAATGTTGTCGTTTTTGAAGACGTGGTGGATGCTGTCTGATCCTCAATGTAGCTCGTGGATCGATCTGGCGCGGAAGCAGTCTTCTGAGTGCAATTTTGTGATTATTTGAGATCCAGTCCCAAGGAAAATGGAGTACATATTCGGGAATTCTATTTTTTGAGCACGATGCTAGCGTGATCTTGCCAGATACATGTTAAATAATGATACAGGTTAAATACATGGTGTTTCTCTTCGCATGTGAGGTATATTACCATTAGACAAAAGCCAGGCACTGGTTAGTTGTCTTTAAGCTTAAACTCCAAATTTTCTAGATGGAGGCTGTCGATGAAACGTACCGTAGGGCCGGCCTTAAGGTGAGACCGACAAGCAATTTCGTCCTAGAGACATGACTACACTTTATTCAATTCGAAGGATAAACATGTCGACGGCATTTCCATGCGCTGTACTCTGTGATAGGGAAATTAACAGTCTCGTCACACCCACTCGATAAGATAGGGCAAGAGGCCTAATCAATAGACCTTTCCATTACCTCCATATACTTGAATATCTCCAAAATGCCTCGTGTATATATCATGCAAAACAATGCAGAGCGCGGGACAATAATACGCACGTATAGATAGCAGACCCACGCCCCACCGAATCCTCCCCATGGCTCCACCTCAACCTCACCTGGCAATTCTCCAGGAGTCTTCTGTATGGGCTCATTATTTTCTCAAAAAACATCTAGACTTCAAATATATCCGGAATTTCTTCCGATCTTCCAGCTCTCATCGCAGCATGGCGACCCGCCCGCATATCGGCATTATCGGCGCCGGCCTCTCGGGGCTACGCTGTGCTGACATTCTCATCCAGAATGGGGCCCGGGTAACGATCCTCGAAGCCAGAGACCGGATCGGGGGAAGAGTATGTGGTTTTCTCCCCGGTGATTGTGTGAGAACCCAAGCCAGAAATCGAGCTGAGTGGTTGTTCTGTGGCTAGGTGCATCAAGATGAAGTGGGAGGTCACTTGGTAGATCTGTATGGTCTCTCTCTCCCACGTATATCTGCGTGTTTATATCGAATACTTGACTAACTACAAATCAGCGGCCCCAATTGGATCCATGGCACAGGCCAAAACCCCATCATGGCCCTCGCCGAAGCAACACAGACCGTCACGCATGACCCTGAGGGCGCAAATGTGGCCATCTCGCGACAGGGACATGTTGTCGATGATGCTCTCGCTATGAAAGCGTCTGAGTTTATGTGGACCACCATTGAAGAGGCCTTTGAGTACAGCAATCAGCACGCCGAGAGTATCCCAGCAGACCGGAGTCTGTTCGACTTCTTCCAAGAACGAGTGCAGCGCACAGACTTTACTCCAGCTGAGAAAGAGCTGTGTCTGGATGCCTGTAAGCTGTGGGGCGCTTACGTGGGTGATCCGATTGAACGGCAGAGTTTACGGTTTTTCTGTCTGGAGGAGTGTATTGATGGGAGTGCGTATCCTTCTCTCCGTCTTTTGCACATATTTCCACTGCATTATACCCCATGGTGCTCTTCTGACTACTTTTCTTCTACAGATAACTACTTCGTCGCGTCGACCTACAAGCACATCTTGGAGCATGTGGCCAAGGCTGCCCAAACCCAGGCCGGCATCTTCTTCAACCACCCGGTTGTGCGCATCGACGCTCCACCCAGACCAAAAGACCAGCCCCAGGCCCAGCACCAAGTAACCGTCACCACAGCCTCAGAGACAAACCACCACTTCGACGAGGTCGTCGTCACCTGTCCACTTGGCTGGCTCAAGCGCAACACAGACGCCTTCCACCCGCAACTCCCAGAGCGGCTCCTACAAGCCGTGAATAACATCTCGTACGGCCGCCTCGAGAAAGTCTACGTGACATTCCCGCGAGCTTTCTGGCAGACCACCACCACAGAAACACGCCCACCAAAACCACGTACAAACCCCGTCTTCGCGCAATTCCTCGACCCAATCTACGCACCACACCCACCACACATCCAATGGAACCAAGAATGTCTCTTCCTCGCCGCTCTCCCAGACCCCTGCGCCCAGCCCACCCTCCTCTTCTACACCTACGGGCCCTGCGCCACCCACATCGTAGACTCTCTGGCCGGACTAGACCTCGAGTCCAGCGCCTACAAAACCCGCCTGATCGACTTCCTCGCCCCCTTCTATGCCCGTCTCCCCGGGTACTCCGCCTCGGCACCGGACTGCACGCCCACGGCCCTGCTAGCCACGCGCTGGCAGGCCGATCCGTACGCGGGCAACGGGTCGTACTGCAACTTCCAGGTAGGGTTGACGCATGCAGATCGCGATATCGAGGTGCTGCGGTCCGGGGCGGGCGTGGGTGCGGAACGCGGGGTGTGGTTTGCTGGGGAGCATACGGCGCCGTTTGTGGCGCTGGGCACGACGACGGGGGCTTATTGGAGTGGGGAGCGGGCGGCGACTCAGATTTGTTGTGCGCGTGGATTAGGGAGTCTCGGGGTTGGGGCTGCACGGGATGATTCTTTGCCTTCAGCTGGGGTTAAGGGCATATAGATGAATCTTGGGGTTTGATTGGGGTATAGTTGCTATTCTTTCGGTTCTTTTACATATTTTTCTATCTGCTGGGTTATCTATACAGCTTTGGAAGATTATCAAGGCCAGAGGCTGTGGGAATATAGTGGGAGTATAGTTCTTGATATTCCAGTCTCGGGGACCACTTTATACTTCTCTTCACTTACCCCGGTCTCGGCAATTCCAAGTGTTAAATAATTGTAAAAAAAAATTCAAAAAAAATTCTATAGATTGTCTCAAAAGGTCGTTTCGTGTTTATTCCAGGATTACCTATGTAGCGGATTTCCTCTGCCACTTCTTGGCTTTCCCCTTCCGTTTTAGTGCTTAGGCCTTGCCGCTTTTTGCTCACTGAGTAGAACTGACAGACGGTAGCTCGGACCACCATTACTCGAAACCTCCGACTACCATAAAGGTCACGTGTAGTCACGTTTTTGGTCACGTGTTGGGAGGTCAGACCACTATTAGATTCTAATGGTTAACCGAGCTCTATCGTTATCTTATTATATAAACTAAAATCTATTTATACCCTACCAAAACTAGTTACTAGTTTATTACTAACTAATTTTAAATAATAGACGCCTAGACTAATCCCGACTAATAACTCGCGTATAAATATAATATTATCTACTCCCTTCTTTATCGGGACTAGGATAATAGGGAAGAAATAGAATGAGAAACTGCCTAAATTAAAGAGTTTAAACGCTAACGAGTTAAATTTAATAAGGCACTAAACTATATAGAGAAGGAATCGATCCCCAAAAGGCCCCGCCTAGTACTACCCCTTTAAAAATATATATTTATATTATCTATCTATTAACTAGTATAAAACTATATACTAACTAGTTTTTAGTTATTTAGTATAATACCTTTAACTAATAATTATAATAATATAATATCTACTATAGTAATTAGACCTGGATAGACCCGCGGATAACCTATATGGGTCGACCCGTGGGTCAGCCTATAGACGGGTCGTGGGTTAGACCTCTTGACCCGTAGGCGGGTCAAGATTTTTTTGACCTATCCCGCGGATTAATAGGTTAATCTATTTAACCTATTTAGATAGATACTTTATTAACTATATAACTTTTATAAATTATTATTTTTAGCTATATTTTTAGATATTATATTTATTTTAGTTAAATAATTTTTTATAGTAATTAAAAGAATAATTCTTAAAAAGTAATTCTAGAGAATATTATTTTAAATATTAATCAATTTTAATTTTAAAGCTTATAATTATTAAGTATTTATAGATATTTATAAACCTTATTAAAAATCTATAAGAGGCTATAATTATCTTTATAATTATTTTTTAACTTTTTTTACTATAATTAATAAGATATATTAATTATAATTATTAGATCTATAATATCTTTTTTTATTATTATTATTAATTAGTATAATCTCTTTATAAGTTTTTTAGGTCTCTTTTTCCTTCTATATAATTTCTAACTTATCTTACTCCTAAAGCTCTTAAATAAATATAAGCTACTTCTTCTTAACTTTAAATTTAATAATATATATAAGTATTATTAGATCTTATATAGTAGATATATTTAGTATCTTTTATTAATAATAGTAAATATTATATATAGAATTAAATAATCGCTTAATACTAATATTAATAGCTAGGATTAAAAAGAGATTATAGATAAAGCTTATAAATATAAGAAATTTATATTAATAATCCTTCTAGAATTAATAGGGTAGGATTAGGATAGTATCTAGATAGAGGGTAGATTATAATAATTAATATAATATTTAAATAGATTAGAATTAATATCTCTATTAAAACTAGGGTTCTAAAATAGGCCTTAAAACCCTGGTTCTAATAGAGATAGAAAGATAGAAACTTAATAGATTAAAACTAGGGTTTTAAATAATTATTTAGAACCCTAGTTTTAATAAAGATATATATAGAAACTTACCTTTTTTAATATACTATATTATCTTAGATTAGGAGCTTAAGGTAGAAGTGTTACAGGACCTTCGTACAAAGTCCTATACAACAAAGAAGCTCGACCTTAAGGCCTCGTAGGCAGAAACTGACTGTCTCCCTAACAAAACCCCAACTCCTACTTAACCCCTTTTTTCTTATATCTCTTAACGAATCCTTCTTATATCTAGGATATACTATTAATTAATATAATTTAGTCTAATCCCCTAATATTAGGATTCGTTCGTTTCTTTTTTTTCTTTCCCTTAACTAGATAGCGTCTATTAGTCATATAATAATAGATCCTATAATAGAAGATTTATGGTTAAACTATTCCTTTCTAACGAATAACCTTAATAATAATTTATAACTATAACTAATATACCCTAATATCAAGATATATAATAAGAGTGACCTAAGTATTTATACAGTATTCCGTACGAATCTTAGAATTAAACTCGAGATAGACTAATAGTACTTCTATACTAAATAAATAAAGATTTACTACGTCTTTAGTAGACTCCGAGGCTAAGCTAGTTAACGGATCTATCTATAGATTAAAATAATAGTAATAATAATCTAATCGGTATCGTTTAAAGACTTCTACTAAGCTATAGACCGATAGTTTATAGACCTAGAATAGAAATAAAGGGCTTTTATATAAATTAATATAATAAAATAAAGAAAGAAGAAACTCCGCGAGTTCTTTAGTAAATTCGAATAGAATCTTATAGCTATAGGAGGTCTAAATTAGGATAACTCCTAGAAATAAGCCCTTTTAGAGATAGTTATTAATATTAATCTATTTAAAGGGATAATAAGGCTATTCGCGAGCTTATATAAAGAATACTAGAGTAATCTATTTTATATTAATAATAATCTCTAATAAATTAATAGATTATTAAAAAGAAAGAACCGTTTAATACCCCTCTAGATCTTATATTACTAGCTATTTAATAAATAAATAGACTAAGAGCCTATCTTTATTAGAATCGTGTTACTTAAAATATAGATCGCCTCTTTTTATATAAACCCTAATTAGAGTTAAGAGAAAATAAAATAGATTAATAAATAAGAGTTATAGAGATATTATATAATAAAAGCTTATTTATAATATAGAGAGAAAGGATATTAGATTATTTCTTATATATTAAAACTAGCTATTTATTTAGCCTAGATTACTATAGCTACTATAAAAGAGGATATAGATCCTAAAAAGGATAAAATAGAGTTAAGAAAAAAATAACTCTTATATAAAAATATATATAAAAAGATAAAAGAACTTCGAATAAATTAGATTAAGATTAGAAAAGATTTAAAATATTATATATAGACTCTCCTTCTTTTTTTATCTCTATAATCTTAGAATAATATATTATAGCCTAAACCTTAGTTAATTATAGCTATTTTTTATATAGTATAATTAACTAAAGATTTACTTAAAAATAAGACCTTTCTATCTTTAATATCCTTCCTAGAGTCTTAAAAGAGATAGAAAGAAAAAAACTAATTTCTTAAATTATATAATCCTCACTAAGGATTAGAGGGTATTTCGAATAGCCTATCTTTCTTTATATAATCCCTAATAATCTTAGATATAATCTTATCTTTAGATTACTATAGCTTATTTAGAATAATATATAATTAGAACCTTATTAAGGATATCTCTATCTTTAATTCTTAGGAATATATATATAAAATAAGATTATTAAGCTACTTCTAGCTTTAGAGATATCTTTAATCTCTATAAAAGAGATAGAAATAAATATCTAATAAAAAAAGAGGACTCTTTATATCTTATTAAACTATTCGCGGCGTTAATAATAGATATTAAAAAGGCCTTAAAAATAAAAGAGAGGATTAACTATTATATAAAACTATCTCTATAGTATATAGAATTCTTCTCTTTTTTTAACTCTAAAAAAGTAAATAAACTCCTATCCTATTAAAAAGCTAGAATCGACTACTAAATTAAACTTATATAATAAGAGAGAAAAGAACCCTTAGTATCTTAGAGCCTTTTTTATAATATATTAAACGAGAAACTATTAATACTACAAAAGACCTTTACTAAGCTTTTAGATAAAAACTTTATCCGAGTAAGTTATTTATTAATAACGGTACTAATACTATTTATATAAAAACTAAAAAGAGACCTCTAATTTTATATCGATTACTATATACTTAATATAATTATAAAAAAAGACCGATATCTTTTACTCTTAATCTATAAAACGCTAAACTAAATTAGGAAAATAAGATAGTTCACAAAACTTAATATATCTATAGCCTTCTATAAGATTAGGATTATAGAAAGAGAAAAGTAGAAAATAGTCTTTTATATAAGATATAGTCTCTATAAATAGCTCGTTATACTATTTAGTCTTATAAATATACTAAGTATTTTCTAGAAATATATTAATAATATACTCCGCGAATTCCTTAATAACTTCTATTTAGCCTATCTTAATAATATATTAATCTATACTAATAATAATCTTAAGACCTATTAAGAATATATATAAAAGGTCTTTACGAAGCTCTAAGAAATAGAACTATAACTTAATATTAGTAAATATAAATTCAAGTATACTAAGATTAAGTATTTTAGGTTTATTATATAAATAGATAAAGGGATCTAGATAGACCTAGAAAAGGTTAAGATAATTAAGGAATAGAAGGCCCTAACTACTATAAAAGGAGTTAGAAGTTTTCTCGGATTTATAAATTTCTATCAGTAATTTATCGAAGTATATTTAGAGATTATATAACCCTTTATAGATCTTATATAAAAAAAGAAACTATTTAACTAGTCTAAGGATTATAAAGTAAGTTTTAAAGAACTTAAGTAACTATTTATAACTAATCTAATCCTCGCGACGTTTAACCCTTTTTATATAATAGTTATTAAGATTAACTCTTTAGAGTAGACTATAGAGAGGGTTCTTTTATAATATAATAACTAAAGTATACTCTATCTCTATATTTATTTCTTAAAGAAGAATACTCTGGCTAAATATAACTACGAGATCTATAATAAGGA